CCGACAAGGCCAAACCAGCTGGGGAAAAAGAAATGAGGAGACCGGCACCACGGTACAACTTATATCAAGCCACACCTGGCATTAGGAAAGGAGGAGGAAAAGAGAGGAGAGCAAAAAAGAAAAAAAGAAAAAGAAAAGCATAGAGTATACAATAATATCTAGAGAGACAAGTGGTGGATCAGAGCAGCCACGCCATGAGGACATGTGTGGGTGGAACCCAACCACCCCCATGTCGATCGTCATGGGCGGCGTGCGCTCAACCCTGGCCCCCAAAAGCAAATTTAGTGTATTATGATGAGCTGCGTACCAGGCTAGAGGGGAACCCATGCACCTTCTACCAAGGGCCCGAGAGCATGAAGGGAAGCGAGGGAGAGGAAGGGGGAAAGGAGAGTAGCAAGAATTGCGGGCGCTTCGGTATGGACAGGCCGATTTCTTCCCCTTCTCTTTCCGACGATGCATGTACCTTGAAGTGTCTGCCTATACGGTCACCTCGTACGGGTCAGGAATGAGACTCGTCGAGGCTAGTTTCTGCCCAGTACTCGATCTGAATGGCTTGACACCTTCCCCAAGTCGAAAGAGATACTCCCGTGTGTGTTTCTGAGACAGAACCGCCGAGCATTGCAACTGCCACGGACAGTACTCCGTACGCGTCGAGTAGAGAGAGAGAGAGAGAGAAGAAAAGGCACCGACAGGGGAGAAACATCAGATTCTCTGCATATGCCCGCTGCAGTCCGCATTGACCGGATTCACCCCTGCCTATGTCACTTGCGGAGAACGAGTACAGCGATGTGTACGATATGCTTGTGTGTGTGTGTGTGCGTGTGTGTCTGTCTTCCTGTCGAGCCCGAAACGGGTTTAACGGATGGGTGACGCGACAGGGTCTACGACACACAGGCTATAACGAGGGCATTCACCATCATCCAAAGGCGCACGTCCTTACTTCTTCTCCAAGTCCACGATATGAACGATTCCGTACCGGGAAAGAGGAAGGGAGGACAGGTAGGGGAACCTTGAGCTGTCATGGTGATGGGCCGTGCATACGGATATGCAGCTTGATAATTCTCCTAATCACGCCAAAGATAATGATGCGAGAGATGCGAGGGGAGAGATGAATGGTACGGGTGGGACAGCTTGACAGTCGCCCAACCTGGTTACGAGCTACTCTGTCGTCGTCGTCGTCGTCATTGTGCCGGAGGGAAGAGGATCAAAAGAGGAAGAGCGAGTAGGAGGACAAGTAGGTCTGACGTCCTGTCTGACGCCCAGGTCTTGGAACCAAACGTATTGGGCTTCTTTTTGTTTGTTCTTGTTTGTTCTTTGTGTTTGTATTTTTGTATTTCTGGCACAATTGTCCATTTCCCTTGCATATCGGGCTGTCCGTCGTTCTCTATCGCCGTCTTCTTCTCTGCGTTTTGCTGTTCACCTTTAATGCCTGCGAAAGATACATGTACACGAGCATACGACGTGACCGCTGCGGAGCCGTCACATTTAAAAGGTTTGATGAGATCATGTCGATGAACGCTCATTACGAACTTTTCCTACGGATGGGGGGAAAGGAAAGGAGGGAAAAAAAAAGAATGATCCACACGATAGAGGAAAGAAAGGTATCCACGTCGCCATGTTGGGTAACAAAGATTGGTCGACCAAATAGACGGCGCGTCATGGGAAACCACTCGAGCCCCCCCCCCCCTTTCCCAGCCCCTTACCCCTGTCTGAGCGCGCAAACCAGATCTTGGCTCTGATCATCACTTGGCAGCGCAACCTCCCAGGGAGGGAAAGGTCAGCTCGATCCTAGCCGGTAGGAGTAGTAGGACGGTGTTCCGGGGTGCGGTCAGTCCCAGGCCAAGGCAAGTGATGAGGTGATGAGCCGGCTCATGGTCAGTCACTCATCGATCAAGGCTCAGCTCTGGTTCCACAGTGCTATGTGCTTGCGATATATTCTGGATCGGGCAGGCTCTCATCAACCGACCGGCACCTAATCCGGATCCCGTGATGATGATGATGATGATGGTGCCGCCGCTCTCGATCGGGGGCCGCCGTCTTCTGTCGGTGCTGCTGCTGCCGGCCTCTCCCCATCTGCCTCCCCTCTTCCCGCCTGCCGAGATCTTTGACGTCCCGCGCGCGCGTGTGTGCTGCTACGACGCCGTCTCTGCCAGCCACAGGATCGTACCATCCTTCTCCTAGCTCCAGCCACGGGGCTCTTCCTACTGGTGCATTCAAAGGGGGGATGAGGTGGTCCGTATCGTACATGTACCGCACTCTCCACTCCTCCTCTCTTCCTATCCTAGACTCGCCTCCCCTCATTTTCCTCTCCCGATGGAGGGCACGCCTCGGTGGCCCTGCTAGACCAAAAAATTCGAAATAAACTAAAATAAAAATAAACCTTGAGCGACGCCATGTGCCTGTCACTCTTGAACTAGACAAGGTGACGGTGTCGCGACTCGTGACAAGATCAGCAAGTTGCATCGAAGCTCTTCCCTTTAGCAATCGATACTAACCTGCCGTCCATGAGGGGCGAGCATGGACCAATGCCACCGCCGTTGCCGCACCTTTTGGTTATTAATTCTTAATTCTCAATTCTCCCCCCCCCCCCTCTCCAAAGCTGGAGCACGCTATCGAGGACTCGTCACCGAGCATTCGTACTCGTAGACGTCCCGTGTCCCCCTCCCCCTCTTCTCCTCTCTGTGCGGACGTCCCGGTAGGTCAGTCGGTCTCTGATGTCTCACCTGCCGGCGCCAGGTGGCCTGAGCACCCGGTAATAAACTATCAGGATTATGCAGTGACTCGTAGCCCAGCATGGCATCCTGCATACATCACAATCAAGGAGAATCAATCACCTACGTATACGACGTACGGCATGCGGCGTACGTTGCATGATGAGCCTTGGCACGTAACACAGCTACAAACTACTCTGCTATTCCGTTCTGTGGGGTGAGGGAGAACATCATGACGTTGAAGCGCCCACCCTTTAGAAGAAGAACGGCATTGCCATGCATCCTAGCATGTACGGTAGGCAGAATGGTATATAAGCTGAATCGTCAGTAATGGCAACATGGTCTGCGTTTGGAGGGGAGATGAGAGCACTCTCTGATTTCTTCCCGTCCAATCCCTTGATATCCCTGCCTTTCTTGGACCGTGAGCCATTGCGCGCTCGAGGAGATTGAATTGTTCATCGTGGGTCACATCATTCGATCGGTGAAATTTGACCATGTTCACTTGCCTATAACCTTGTACCATCCATGCATGGAGGATTGCGGTGGTCATAACATCAACACATCTTGGTGTAGCTTTAAATAGTGTCAGTGTCACCCGTACTTTTGCAGGGAGAGGGAGGAAAACCCGAAAAAGAAGGGGGAGAAAAAAACAATTTATAGCATAAACGCAGAGTCTGGATGAACATCAGCAGCACGGGGCATCGGCCACCCCCTGTCAGGGCTATATCAGCCGACTCTCTATGATTTCCAGGGCGTCGAATCGTCGTGAGGGTTGCATAATCTTGCCCCGTCGGGGCCTGTCGATCTTTATCCCAAGAAGGCTCCCTTCACGACATGGAGGATGGCAGGGGTCGAGAGAAGAGATCCCGGCTAGTGCCAACTTCCCAACTGCAAGCCTCCCACCCTGGAAACGGTGAGCGTCGCGGCGCGCGGGTCTACCGTACGTGCTGCGCACTACGAGTGCTCGTACCGATCTGTAGGCACCGGAACCTGCCCGCCTTCAGACGAGGGCCGAAGCTTGCAAGGCTTCGTATGCTCGTATACCCATCGTACCTGCACGGAGTAGCAATCTTCATCCGCAACGGTTATGAACGGTTAGTACCTGTGCTGGTTGTGCGGGTATATATGTAGTAGAGGGCAACTCTCGCGTCGTTCTATCGTGGCAGTCTATCGACCTTCCTGATCTCTCCGGTCCGTGCTTGTGCTAACCGATCGGAGGGAACGGTCTGTCTTCGTCCCTGTCTTCGTCCCCGTCACCGGGATCTACCCTCCGCATCTGCATCTGGTGACGTTCAGATTGATAAATGACATCTCACAAAACCCTCATCGCCCATGTAGCACCGTACCTGTGTTCTGTTCTCCGGCCCTGCCCAGCCTCAGCCCAGCCTCAGCCCAGCCTCAGCCCAGCCTAACAGGGGGGGGGGAGGGGGCCCCGACGAGACGAAGAAAAATAATGATGATGATGATAATAAAAAAGAGCATGCATTATGATTGATTCCTACTATACGGGAGTATATGTGTATGACCTTGCATCAATCCGGAGGATTGATCCTGCAGTGAGTGACCTTGTTGACTAGCAACAGTGTGTGCCAAGCCAGGAGATGAATTAGCAAAGTGCCGAGAGGGGGGAAAAAAGGTCCCTGAGAGCTCCTGGATCCGTCTCCTGGTTCGGCGACCTGGTGACAGAGAGCCAAAGGCTGGGATGGGCATGGGTCGAGTACCGTACCGTACCGTACGTATACAGTCGTAGCCTATTGCCGCTCCTCCCCATGACAGGGGTCTGCCTGGTTGCAAATGAACTGCGGGCCTCACCCAAGGATGTACCACGGGATGTACCACGTTAGTTCGTGATTGATGACCTGGCATCATCAGTACGAGTATGGTTCGTTGGTTGAGGGGGGGGGGGGGGGGGGGGGGGGGGGGGGGGGAGCAGGACAAGAGCAACGTAGTGTGGTGATGTGTCGCAAATGACATGAGCATAAGCCTCCCCCCCCGGGGACGATCGTATTGAAAATCTCTATCTCTTCCCCATTCAATGTGACTGTGACGGCAACACACATGTCCATGACGACGTAGGGAAAGGTACCGAGTATAGATCCATTAGTACGACACACACCCATCATATGAACTATGCACGGCCCCCGTCCGATCAGACGTATTTGACACTTCTGACAGGCGGCAGACGAAAGGATGAGTGCGTGTATACGATACACAACTCGACAACGAGTCCAATGTCTATGAAGCCATCTAGTTATCTCTTCCCCCCCCCCCCTCCTCATCAACTTCCCCACCATCTACTTCATACTTCATGATAAAATATCCTCTTCGGAAGATACATGAAAGTAAGAGTGAGGGTCAGAGACCGTTTTGAGGCGTGGCTGTGGATATGCCCTTGCAGTAGCCAGGGTTTTTCATCTTCCTTGTTCCACATGTTTTCGTTCAGCTCGAATATTCCTCTCTCATCCATGTTTACCATACCCGTACTCTACAATCACCAAGTGCATGCATGTGCACTCCCATATCTCATTTCCATGGAACCGGACGAGGTAAAACTCTGCATCTCCTTATTCCCTTCCAGGGATCGAAAACTCTTACATTTATATGTATGTATGTATATATATATATATATCTTTTAGTCCCAATCGCCAGGGTTGATAGCCCCGATAGATTACTTCATTTCAATGAGGTCCCCGACGGCCGGGTTACTTGGTCACGACCTTGTTCAGGTTAGAGGCTCGGTTCGGGCAGACCCATGTCCAACCTACCCCTGTGCGGTTGCGGCCTAGATCCAGTCGTGATACTCCGCGAGCTGTGCGGACCATTCATTGGCCACTCGTATATGAGATGTGATGTCGCCGAGGAAACAGCAAGGGGGAAGAAGACAGGCTCTGCTCATATACTCCGTACGTACTGATACGTCCCAAGAGAAGACGATTCTGTATGTGGCTTGGGAGAATGCAAGCCAACCTTGAAGTTCGCTGATTCAGTATTACTGAACTGCCTGCATGAGAAGGCACATGGCTGATGGAGTCCCAAGACCTATACGTTTTCTGATAACGGGTCCAGGAATTCTGGTCTCCAGGGGCCAACACTGCATGGCTCTCATTTCTTTCTCTTCTTTTTTTCTCTCCTTCCTCTTCTCCTTCCCATACCGGGTCCTTTTGACACGCTCTCGTGGCAACGTCGAGTGCAAGCCACCAGCTCTGTCGTACCGTGGATACAAGTTTCACATTACGGAGCAGCGAGAGATCCCGGAAATGACATCTGTACCCTGCCCCCCCCCATTGTGAGTGACGACTTGCCTTGGCTCAGTCTCCAAGATGAATCGCTTGACCCATGTCTTCAGCTGAAAGGGGAGATGGGAGATGGAAGTGCCCTCCCCTGTCAGGTCAGCAAGACGAAGTCGGTGGTTCCGGGCATAATTCCGCACATGCACGGACAGCAGGCCGGGGGGGGGCAGTAGCATGTGGCCTCGTCCGTTGAAAACCACGCCGGCGACGTTTTTTTCTCTGTCGAGCCTACTCCATCATCTCCCTCAGAACTTGGAGAGGAGAGATGACACCCGCAGAAGAAGAGAGAGAATAAACAGTGATAGAATGACACGCCCAGTTGCTCAGGTCCATGCAGCTGCTCGTAACATGACGTTGCGAGCTGTCTTTATAGCCCAATCAGGTTCTCTACCAAATATGGACGCGATGCATTGCGCTGAACATGGTCTCAACGCAAGGGAAGTGGCTTGTAGAGCACGGGATAGACGCTGCCACCCTACGGGAAAATATGATGAGAATGAGTGGATGAGAAGTAACAAGAATCTTGACGATACACTGGTAACTAGTATTTGAATTGCCAAGGTAAGTCACTCACCATGCAACGGTGGTCTATACTGCATCCTCACATGGCAATCCAAGTCTTGCTTTGGGTGGACAACGACAGATCCCCCCCCTCCCTCCCCCCTTTCAGAAATTACACTGTACCTGCATCGTGGTCGTGTAGCCACTGGCTTTCCGGTCTTTGGCCTTTTCCTTGATCCAATATGCAAGTTGTTTTTTTTTCTTCCCTTACACTCCCTGGTGGGTCGGGCATGATAAGCCCATGCAGGAGAGAGGCAGGTCTACGCCTACGACGTAAAGAGTATGTATTACTACTACTCGTATCATTGGGGGAGAAGGAGTAGGGATGGCCATGAGCCAGGGCATGTGGCAAAACGTCTGGTAGGGAGCAGATTCCGTTTAATCGTCGTAAGCTGCCATCGGTAACTTGCGAAGGAATATAATACTACGGCGTGGCGTTGTTGTTGTTGTTGTTTTTTCTGGTCCATCCTGAGTTTTCACACGCATCATCATTGGCATCATTCCCCTCGTGCATTGTTACTATTCTCGATGAGTTTGAAAGACTCAACTCAACTAGCAAGCTGCTGCCACGACCCTGGCCCACCAGCATACGCCGTCCGGCAGATGGATGAGGCCGCCGCTGTCTCTGCCAACGTCGTCAACGTCGTCGATGTCAAGCAACCCAGACAGCCGGAATCGCCCATCTGCAGGTTTGAAGACGGCAGAGATGAGTTGGAAGATCCGGCGACTGTGCTGACGCTGGAGTCGTCTACAGGTATCGATGGCCTACAACGCGCAGCCAACATTGTCGACTTCGTCCGTACGCAACATGGTGGTTACATCATCGAACTAGGGGTTTAACCTAGCATCGCATTCTGCCAACGCAACCGTCAGCCTGTTCGAGCCAGCGTGAATCCATACCCAACTATTCGGGAGTCCACCGTCGTCGACATAGGATCCAAGTCTATCATTCAGGATTCACCTGATTAAGGGGTGAAGCCATGCTAGTGCCGTCGTACTCCCGTCATGTCGAATCGACAGCATTCATCTCTCGATCCAATATTGTGTACACAAGGAAGAAGGAAGTGCCACCAAGTGCCACACGTGGATAGTCTTTGTTTTTTCCTTTCAGTTCTTGCCATATTTTTGGTTTTCTTTTTTTTTTCTCTCTTTTCTTTCCTGTTTGATTTGAAATTTGACCTCTGCTACTATCGGACGCGTACAGGTAAGACATTTCTCTCCCCGACTACCCAAGTCCTGCAAGACTTAGACATTGACGCGGAATAGTATCGCAGTTGACCAATCCTGTCGTTGCTGTCGGTCTAAGACAGTGTTGTTCTGGATCATCAATGCCCCCTTTCTTGCAACGTAGCATTCGAGTATTCACTCGAGTCTCGCCATGGCCTTTGAAACTTCTTCTCTCTTCTTGCTCCTCCTTTCCTTCTTGGCTTTGATGTCTTCCTTTTCCTCATCTCCATGGAATATGCTTGGCCAAAAGATCAGAAGTAGCACCACAAGCGGAAATCCATAGCCGACCGAGTAGTCTTCGTATCCTTATCCGGACTTTTTTCCATCTTATCTGTCCAGTGGATAAATCTCCTCTGTATATACTCGGTATATTCTTGCATTATTTTTTTCGCTGTGTTTCGTACCTGGGGAGGCTTGTGCGCGAGTCGTTGCTTTCAGGTTGCGTACCCTATAGCCACGAACTTGGTATCGTCGTCATCGTATTATCCGAGATCGAACTCTTCGCATCTGTGGCGCCCTGTAATGCACTGGCCATTTCATGAGACTCGAATGGTATTCCGATATGCACTATAACGTAGTATGATGGTGTGAATTACTGTCGTGGCTGCTGTGGTGAACATGAGATAGATTAACTCGGAACACTTCTCATGACGATGAGACAGCCACGACTGATATCTGATATCCATGGCAAAAAACATCCAGCCCGATATATTCAAAACACTCAGATACACCGCTTATCATCATCATTGTTATTACTAGTATGGTTTCTTAGGAACGACCTTACTCTAGGATGAATCGTGAGGGATCATGTGCTAGACTGGTACAAGATGTGCATCTCTTCCAAGGAAGAGATAGAAACATTCTTCACCGTATTCCAAGGTGTTCCAACAAAAGAATAACACGCATAGATAAACCTGTAGGCTAGAACGAAAGACAGGGTAAGAGAACAAACATGAATAGCAGATATTTGAGCAGCCTGTTGCTTCTCGTACCTTCTTCCTTCCTTTGTCAAAACCATGTCGAGATGAAACGGCAAGGGGCGTTTGTGTGAAACTCGAGGAGACACGTTTGAGCTTTGATACCTACCTACATACATACATACAGCAGAGCTGGAGACTGCAGTAATAATACATGCATATATATCTTACCCATTACTGCCCCCACCGCTGCAAGATTTCCTCTCTCTTCTCGCTCTTGCCACCGTTGGCCAGGTGTACCTCGGCACGGTGAACGTCATTCCTGAGCTGTACCACCTCGCGCGACAAAAGGGCGATCGACCCGTCCACCTCGGGGTCCGCCAGTTTCACCTCTCCGTAGGCCGACTCGGCGAGGAGGCTATCCCGCAGGAGCTGGAGAGCCCGGCGCGCATCGTCGAGGTAGGCCGTCACGCTCCTCTCAAAGCTTTCCTGGCTGCTCTGGGCAACGTCGCTCTCCTTGCTGATCCGGTCGGCCAGGGCGCGGGAGAGGGCCTGGATCTTTTGCTCTCCGCCGTCGTTGTCGGCGTCGATGTCGATGTGGACCGAGAGCAGCTGGAGGAGGGCCTCTGTGGGCGGGACGTCGATGAGGCTCGACGAGTGCCGTGGGGCGGTGGCGGCGCGGGGGCGTCGGCGTACAGGCGAGGCTGGGACGACCGGTTTCGCAGGACGGCTCGGCGGCTCTGTCGGGGTCGCGATCTCGGCCTTGGCCGTCGCCACAAGAGACGTGGACGCCGCCTGGTGAGACTTGAACGAGCCAATCCGGTCTGCGAGACGGCCGGTACGCTCAAGCAGGTGGTCTAGGCAGCCGTTGATCTGGTATGTGTGCGTTTGGCAGTCAGCAGAGGGGGCCGTTGATGATCCGTACTCGGACACACACGTACGTAGGCAATCGCCGTCACAGAGCGGGATAGGCCTTGACTGCTGCGGGAGGACACCGACTTGAGCGCTGGCTCGATGTACCGCTGCTCGACAGACATTTGGGCCACGGGGAGGATCTCCGAGTACAGAGACTCGACCTCTGCCTGGAGGGCGTTGACCTCGTCTTCCGTGACGTACTCGTCGCTGCTGCTGCCTCGACTCTGGCGCTCTCCCTCGATTAGACCGTCCAAGTAGATCCTGTCTAACTTGGCTCGGAGCATTTCCACAGTGTTCTTGATGAGCCTGAATAGCCACCCCCCAAGCATGTTCATCAGCAATGATGAACGAACCGGCCTCAATGAGATCCCTCATCAGGGTTTCCCATCAGAGGGTAAATTCCAGGACGATATTTGCGTGGTACGTACCTCATGCAAACTTCGCGTAGCTTCGCGACCATCTGTGTCTCCTCGGGGTCCTGCTGGTCAAGCTCCCAGCCGAGCTTCTGCAGGCTGGACAAGAGCTTGTCATCCGAGCGTAGTACATCGCCGACGATTTGGCGCAGAGCCTCGCCTGAGTCTCCAGTCTGCTGTTCAATATCCGAGATCCGGAAGCCGAGACTCTGAGACAGATCCTCGACCTGCGGGGGGGGGGGGATTATGTTTCAGCAAGGCATATATGAAAACATGCATGGAGGGAAGAGAAGAAGAATAACACCTACTTCGGCAGAAATATGTTTGCGTTCTGTAGCCAGCCTCCGTTGACGAGAGGTTTCGAGGTCGCGACGTCGGCTATCAGTGTCGGCTGTCTTCTTGACGAGACGCGCAAGGGCATCGTGCTGCAGCTTCAGCGAGTCAGTCTGCTTGGTGATGGCCTGGGTGGACCGCTGCAGCTCCTGGATGGCAGTTCTGATCTCATCGTCGGTCACGGCTTGCACCTCTGCCAGGTCATGTAGCTCTGCCAGCCTGTCTACCTCGCCGCTCTTGTCTAACGCGGTGTACCTGAAGGTTCAGGCCGCATGTCAGCAGATAACGCACACACATACACGCGCCCCTCCGCTCTGTCGGTCCAAGCCGGTAGAAGCCTTGGTTGGTCATGGCAAAGGTAAAAAAGTCTCACAATGCCATCTCATCCGGTGTGACGAGATTGTCCCGTCCTAGGTGGAGGGAAGCCCACTCAGCAAAGGCCGGTCCGTGTCGCGGGTCGACCAGAGCACGCCGCACCTCATCCTGTTTGATGTGGATGCCATGAGTGCGGCCGGCCTCTAGGAGAAGTGCCTCGGCCTCGCTTCGACTTCTGGGATCCATATCTTGGCCGTTCTGCGGCTCGAGCTTGGCCTAGATAGAGAAGGACAGGCTTGGTTTACCGTGACGCAAGGACCGGATACGATGCGTCCCGTTCCAGGGACTGGTTTCCACGACGTGATACCACCTCCAGGTTCAGACAAATGGTGATTTAAAACGGCTTGTCAGGGAGTAGTAAGACGAATTCGCAGGTCACTCTCCAGATTTGATGGGGACGTCTTTTCCAGTCTGTAGCATGGCAAGGGTGGCGGTGTTGGGAGACGTGGGGAAGCGGTGCGGCTGGGAGAGACTGTGGCGTACAAAGGAACACGCACCTTGAGGCGTTAGATATATGCGCAAGAAAAAAAAGAAGGTAGAAGAAAAAGGGAGAAGAGGAAACGACACTGGAAATGATGTGTTGAAGCGGGCCGTGATGGCGGTCAGAGCCGGAGACCGGCAGTTTACGAGCTCTCGGTACAGGCGTTTGTAGGGGTCAACCGTTTAGGGGACGCATTAGTGGATGAGCCGCTGTCATTCCAGGTCTTGCGGAGCCTTTACACCACTGTAGGGTCCTGACAGCCTCCCTCCAGGTCCATACAAGAAATGGTCAGAGACTCCAAACTTCCATGACAATCCAAGAGCATCGCGTCACCGCCATCAAACTGATTGCACGAGAGTATCACCAACAGGTTGGAAACATCTCCCCCGCCTCCCCCGCTATTCCTGGAAATCCACGACGACATTATGCCCATCATTCAACGCTACATTTGGGTAATTTCTGACCCGCTGCTCCATTCGCCGATGACCGACCATGCATGTGTTCCCTGTACGCAGACTATCACGCCAAAGAGCACGTAGCGTGCCAGTCTTCGGTACGACAATCGTTTCAAACGCCAATCACCATGACAGGGCCGTCGGCTCTTTCGCTTGGGCAACCCGTCGCTCGGAACCGATACAAAACCGGAGGACGTCGCTGATGGGGAAATTCCTCACCCACGAGAAGCAAAAGCAGAGAAAAGCATATTCCATCATTCGCTCTCTTCTCCCCCATACACTACAAGCCACGACTTTGTTTACTCTCTGCCCATTCTGTAAAGACCCAGAATGTTGCCCGACATTTTTGAGATGCCAAGATGGGACCCGAGCAGACGGGATCTGAAGGAGAACAAGCAATTCCCCTCCTCCGGGGCGAGAACCCAAACCTCTCGGCTCTAGGCAAACAGTCTCCAATGACGTTGCATTTGCCGTAACGTGTGTTTTCTGGGACCTGCATCCTGTATGCCCAAAAACAGGTTCCTTGGGTAACCATATGACAAAGTCACCGGTGCGGTGCGTATTACAACATCTTTTGCTGCCATCTCTCTCTCTCTCCCTCTCTCTCTCTTGTGTTTGTCTTCCTCGTGTCAGAGATGGAGAGAGACAGGAGCGCGGATGTGCTGATGGCATCGTGGGGGTCAACTCGATTTGTGTGTGTGCGTGTGTGTGCGTGTGTGTCTACAACGCAAAGATGCTTGTTGGGTTTGGACAGGTGGCTCGACCCGTGTCATACAGCATGTCGCTTCCTGTTGTCGTGTAAATGCGTGGTGCCTAACTTGACGCCCGTTGAATCACGGCCCGTAGATGGACGGAGAGGAAGGGCGGAGCTTCAATGGTTGTGCTTGCTTGGTCTCCCCCTGTCTTCCGGTTCACTATCGTGTTCTTCGTCTACTACAACAATTACTGCCTCTAGCAGTGATGTACTGCTCTTAGTACTCTGCGTAGACATCTCTCCTTCCAAAACATTGACAACTCGCTCTTATTATTTTCCCGTTTGCGAACCGTATTCACTCTCTCCATTCTCCTTGGTAACTCAGAGGAAACCACATTGGTTCGAGTCACTGACATTGACCAGATCAGTTTGCTTGCTTTCTCATTATATTCCCTTCCTCTCTGCCCACTCCTCCCCGACCTCCTAGTATTTCCATCCGTTCCACCGAGAGAGCTCCGAGGTTTAATCCACATGTTCCATTGCTTCTCCCTTGTCATCTTGTCCTCCATAGCAGGGACGTTGGCCAAACACGCCATCTATCCTGTTGGTGGTGCATAGAATAGCGCGAAGCTTGAGAAGGGGTTGGTATCTATTGACCTCATGGCCTCCCCTCGATCGAGACTGGCCTTGGTGGCTGCCCGAATCGCCCACATGTTGGCTTTAGTCGTCATATACTTGGCCTGCGAGCTTCTCATCTGGGGTCTGAGCTGCATCCTCGTCCACGCCGATATCACCTTCTTCGCACCTGTGCTCGCCATGGCCATTGTATTTTTGGCGAAGATGGCAATCTGCTCTGTCTTCCCGAGTTGCGAGGTCTTTTACACCGAGTGGATTCGATCCAAGGTTTGTTCCATCCCCCCCTCTAGATTCGACTAGTCATCTTGCCTTGACCAACTGACTAACATGGTCAGGTCAACTTCATCAACGTCCACATGAGCATTGGCTTCCCCATACCGATCGTCATGCTTGGCGCGACAACCATGATCCAGTCTAGGCAGATTGCCTATGTTGTCGGGGCTTTTGGTTCGTCCGGCTCCCATGCTACCCCTTCTATCAAGGAATGACCCCTATTAACCGCCGCCGTCTTGTGTGCAGTCATTACTAGCGTCCTTTCGTGGACAGTCGTCTTCATCGTGTCCCTGATGGCAATGAGACTCATCTCCGCACTTGGCCAGACCCTAAGACAGCCCTCAGAGTCCCCCAGTATCTCAGCCGTCGTGTGCAAGCTGATTGGCAGCTACAGGTCGACTGTAGTCAGCAATAGCGACAGTATCGATCAGGCAGAAGGCACGACACCGACGACGAGTCCGAGGTCATCCATTGACAGCCCGAATTCTTCTTCATCGGGCAAAATAGTACCATCGTATGATCGCCCGGCCAAGGTCTGCATCTTCTACCCTATGGTTGTCTCCATGGCGTGCGCGCTCATCATCGGCGCCCCCATTACCGCAGCGACAGGCGATTCTCGCATCCTTGACGGGTGCGTCCTGTGGTTTGTATGGATCACAGCCCACCGGACACAGCATCTGTTCAAGACGTCCAACGCTCTCCCAGACCACGAAACACTCAAGAACACCTTCACCACACTTATGAACCCTGTCCTCCTGGCCACCTTGACTCTGATGGCCTACGTGAGGGCCAGGGCTGCCGCAACTCCAGGTCTCAGCCTGGACACTGTTCTGGACAACTTCAGCGGCGGACAGCCTCTGTATGCCCTGTGGACGGCCAGCGTGACGGGGACTGCCCTGCCCGACAATCCTACCCTGTACTTTGGTGCAGGCGACGCGGCTCTGTCGCTTCTGGAATGCGGCATCGTCGTGTGGGGGTTCAAGCTGTCCGAATGCCAGGAGAAGATGTTCACCACGGCGGGGCTCCTGACGGTCACTGTCTCCATGGCTGCAGCGGCGGCCAACGTCTTTCTTTCCGTGGGGTGCGCACGCATATTGGGTGTCAACGCACCCGAGGCGCTTTCCTTCGCGGCACGTAGCACGACTCTTGCACTGGCAAAGCCGGCCATCGAGGCTGTGGGTGGGAATCTGGGCGTCAATGCGACGCTGGTGGTGATCAACGGCATCCTGGGCCAGCTCATCTACCCTTTCGTTCTCGGTGCAATGGGTATCGCACGAGAGGTAACTCGGGTGTCGACGAACCACGGTAGGAAGCAAGAGAGAGGTGATGGGCCAGGGCTGCTAAAGGGACGGTATGATGAGGAGGGCCCGGACCGGGAGATGGACGAGCATGATACCGAGCAAGATGATGCCATGACGATTGCGACGGGCACATCCATCGGCATCAACGGCGCGGCCATGGGAGTCGCGTACCTGTATGAGACGAGGAGCCGGGCAGCTGCGTATGCGGCTCTGTCGATGACGGTGTTTGGCGCCATGACCGTTGTCTTTACTACTTCCGAGCCCTTCAAGGGGCTTGTCCTTGACCTGGCGGGAGCGTGAACTGGACATGTGTTTTAGCTACTAGCATACATGGGCCATGAGCATTTTCGATACTAGGAGGCTGATGGCGTTTTGGGTTAGATGGGATTAGCAGACTGACAGCCAGTTGGTTGCAGCTAAGTCAAAATTGATGGTTTCTGTAAATTGTGCATCATGGACTGTCGTGAGAGTTCCAACAAACAGGTAGGTTCTGTTTTTCCAAAGTATACATGAAATTCCGCTCCATTTTCCTTTTCATTTCAATCCTAACTCGTAGCGTTTGCTTTTGATACATTTGCGCAGCAGTATTAGTCCAACCTAGTCATCGGACGTATTAGCACAGTCATTCTCCATGTCGTTCTTGAGCGTAGAAAAGCAGCAAGAAGAAGAGGGATAGCTTTCGGAAATTACCTCTGGATGAGATGGACGCCACTGGCCGTCTCGACAGGCCCCGTCATCTCGCCGACAGCTAGGGCAAAAGCAGCATCCTCAAACTCCTTTTGCATCATGCCACGACTGAAGAAGCCCAGGTCTCCTGATTTGGAGTAAGACGAGCAGTCGGAGAACTCGAAAGCCAGAGAACCCAGGGTGGCAGGGTCATTCTCGTCCCTGATGCGACGCTCATGACCCCTGAGCTCCTCAAGGGCATCCTCCTTGGTCCTGGTGATCTGAGCCTGGCGACGGCTGGACGGACGGCGGCTGTCGCGATGCTTGACGAGGAGGTGGGCGGCACGGATCTTGGACTCGCCCACACCGGAGGCGCCGCCAGCCTGTTCCTTGGGCTTGGGGATCTGGGGCACGTCGGACGAGGGCTTCGACGTCTTGTGGTGGGTGGCTAGGTACGACTTGAGCTTGTCGACGTCGGTGCCCACGGGAGGCTCCCAGCGGGACACCTTTTCCACATCGTTGAAGAAGTATGGTAGGTTCTTGGAGTTTGAATGGCGCACTTCCCAGTGCGGAGGGAGTCCGGTATCGGCCTGGGAGGGGGAGGGGAGTTAGCAGGCTGGTCTCTTTATCTCTCTCTCTCCCCCTCTCTCTTCCTCTCTCTCTCCCTGTTTGAAGAATGACGGGACAGCCTTACCATTGTGTGTCTTTGTGTGTGTGTGTGTGTGTGTGAAGGAGATTTATAGCCGTGTCGTGGAAGGATGCGAAGATCTCAATGTTGGAGCTAGAAATGTATGAGTATGTAGGAGCAATGACGTGCTGGAAGCTGCTAGACGCCAGACATGATGCTGCTCATCATCCCCGCGCGTCGTCGCTGCGCAACAGATTCAGCACTCCTCGAAGTGGGTCTGGGTTCTGGAAAAGCTCTAGCTGCGTGCTACTAGATAGCAAGGTAGGTACAAGCTTATACACTGGAAAATGCACCTATGATTTGTACAGGAGCTTACATATAGTATGGTATGGCCTATTTGTTCCTGATACGATCTTATTTTCGATACATCAGTTCTTCTGAACTTTTCTTGACGTCGCAGTATATGCCATGTCCCCGTGTAGGCTGTTCCTGTATTTCTCTACACCCACGGGGTTTCGTCCCGGCATCCGCGCACGGATATATAAATATCCAGAGTTTTACCGACAGACTCTGGGACCCTGGACTGCCTCTGAGCTTATAGCACATTTATCCACCGAGTGAATCTACGTGTACGAGTACTCGTAGGTGTGAATCAGCTTACGATGTACTGGAGCCAATGGCTGTCCTGCTTAGTGCCCCACCTATAAAACTCGGTGGCCAATATCAACATAGTCATCAACCGCCTCGGTCTTTCATCTTCACATATCCGCCTTTTCACCAACAACAACAATCCCGACAATCTGTTTCCCGCGCCGACTATTGAATTCATCACCCCGGAGAAATACAAAGCATCTGACATTCGACTGCGCGAATATATAGAATACCGATCATGGCTACTCCCCAGTCGACCACGTCCGACGCCGCGGCTCCCGACTCTAGTAACGAGCAAATCAGTTTCCGCTTCTGCTCCGAGTGCTCCAATATGCTCTACCCCAAGGAGGACGAGCAAGAACACAAGCTTCAGTACACCTGCCGCACCTGCCAGTACACTGAGGACGCCCAGTCCACCTGCATCTTCCGCAACGTCCTCAACACGTCTGCTGGCGAGACGGCCGGTGTGACCCAGGATGTCGGAACTGACCCTACGGTTAGTAGTGACCCGTCTTCTTGTTGCTCTCTGTTGGAAATGTGTACTTTCTGCGGCACTGTTATCCACTGCACTGTTTGCGGGGAACCCATGGTCTCTCCCCTTGACCGTCAGCAGCAGCAGCCCTCGAAGCATCACGACGCTGGACCTCCCCCTGGCGACTCTTGTGACTCATCATGGTTGAGCATGGATGACTGGAGCGCCGATGACTACGACGAGGAAAGGATGGACTCTCCAGATACATCCATCGACGACTTCGCCGACAAGAGAAATTGATGGGCTGCCTAAAGAGAGATAAAAAAAGAGACGATAGATTGCATGCAAGAATTGGTCGCTGACACTGTCAACCCATTCTAGCTCCCTCGCTCCAACAAGTCTTGCCCCTCGTGTCAACATGAAGAGGCCGTCTTCTTCCAGTCGCAGCAGCGCAGTGCTGAGACGGGCATGGTAGGCTCTCCGATGTCTCAAGATATCTTAAGGAGGAGGCAAATGATGACTAACTCGTCGCAACACAGAAACTCTTCTACGTCTGTTGCGAATGCGGTCACATCTTTACTTGATATTTTGAAATGGTTTTACAATACATACCCCGACAAGTCTCTCATGGCTTGCCAATTGTTTTGGGTGTTTTGGGCGTTTATGAAGAATGATGTAAAAAGGGGTGTATGGTTATTTTCTTTTCTTATATTTCAGCATTATGAAGCAGATGAAGTGTAAAGCGAAACTTCATTGCCAGATTGTTTTTGCGAGTGCTCTGAGGCACTGTTCATATGTTGCGGGAGGATTCCCTTTCTTAAAGCAAATTGAGCCGTGCGTGCACGCAAATACATAGATATATTTTTATTCTTTTATTTCGGACAAGCAGACGCCGTGTAATCAAAACAAACGCTACTGCAATATGTAGCTTTGATAGTAATTGTACAGTAATGTTGTAATACATGTCAGTTGATGAGCACACCACAGGCTGCTCGGTTGGGTTGGTCAAGGAAGTGAGTGGTTTTGTCGAGTAGTCGGATCCCCCTGATCGAAGGGATCGTATTTTATCGCTGAAGAAGGGCAGAGGCATGGGGGATTTATGCGTTCATGGGAGCCATAGACAGAATCTTGCTCCACTTCTTGCGCCTGAGCTCGTTGCCGACGACGCCGTTGATGCGCGAGCCGATAGGATCCCCCGACTTATTGAGCAAGACACAAGCATTGTCGTCGAACTTGACCTGAGATCCGTCGGCGCGCTGCATGGGGTACCTGGTGCGGACGACGACGGCGTGGCGGATATCTCCGCGCTTGACCTTTTGGGCGTTGGAGATACCGGCCATGCCAGAGGCAGAAGCAGCACGGTGCTCCTTGACGACGACGACGATGCGGTCACCTGTTTAACTGAGTCAGCCGTTTCCAACTCCTAGCTCCCGTCCCCTATCCTTTCTCCATTATCATTGGGAACCTACCGATCCTGGCGTGTCGCTTCTGCCCGATGACGAGGGCGCACTCAACGAGAGCGGCCCCCGAGTTGTCGATGCAATTCAATACTGTCTGGGAGCAAGGATTAGTCACGGTAAAGGGAGATTAGGAAGTGACCTAGAACATACCTTGAGCTGAATCATGGTGTCCGTGTGTGTTGACCCCGCCGTCCGATGCTCCGTCGCGATTGATAGAGAAGCTATTCGCGGTAGTATAGAGAGCAGCACCCGGAGTGAACTTGTCGGCGAATTCTGTTCCGTCACGTGCAGCCTTGAACGTGGTCCGGATGGGGATAGAGGTGGAGCATGATTAGCCAGTAGATGCCTGGCCTGACCTTTACTCGTATTGAAGCAAGCCACAGGCTACTGGGCCCTGGCAGGTGTGGCGAAGCCAGAATTCGTGGCGCCTCTATATACCCCTGTAAGAGTGCCAGCGGTCGCCTGGCCAGCAGCCTGCGGGCCGTCATTTTGTGGTGGCTGGGGGAAGCGCCTTCTATTATGGCCCCCGGACGTTCCTTCCCATGTCTGCACAGCGTCTAAGAGAGAGGGAAGGAGCACGGGCATCTACAGTAGTTTCCCCCTTCCACCACAAATCACCATGTTCTCTTAGGACCTCATTTGCTTCTCCCTGACCTCCCTTCTCTCCTTGGGGATCTCCTTGTCGCTCCTTTTTCCTTTGTTCCTCTGTACTCTGTCCTTTCTCCTTCCTTGTATGTGAGTCCGCCAATGAGGCCTGCCAATCGCAACCTGCCCAGTTCGTCAGAATCACAGCCTCTCAGTCTCATCTGGCATGACGTGGTGAGCGCAAAGTAAACGACTCGACTAACTTGACCTCTAGATACTCTACTATTGGCTGCTCATTTTTCTGAGGAGATTCAGCTTCACACACAGTCCTTTTTTTTTTACCTTCTCTCAGCCAACGGCCTTCCTACCCCTCCATATCTTCCGCCCCCCTCGTATCATGCGTCGTTCGTCAGCCAATATCAAGCCGCCGCCACGGCCTCGCTTGACTCTCGCCCAGATATCTGCGTACGATGACATGTGCACGGATGCGTTGGTCGACCGCGTAAGTTTCAGAAACGAAAACCACAAACCAGACGTAGGCGGTCCATTAACACGCACATGGACAGGTGCACTACTGGACGAGCATCCCCAAAAACCGCTCGACCTACCATGCCTCGCGTGGTGTCAAGTCGGAGGAGATTTCCAAAATCCTGCAATCCGAAGTGGTGGTGAACAAGGACCTCAACGCTGCCGAACAGAAGCTACTTGCGACAGACGGTATCCGGAGATTCGTCAATGGACTGAAGACAGATAGAGAAAAGGACGACTTTCGCCGCCACCTCCGCCGCTATGCTCAAATTTACCTTCCCGACTGCCCCTTTGAGGTCAATTCCACAAACCGCTACACCATTGTCACACACGAGGCTGCCGTCACTGCCCGACGTTACATCCGGCGCAACGAGTCGGTAAAGTACCTTTCGGGGATCCAAGTCACCATGACACCCAAAGAGGAGGAGGAGATCGCTTTCCGGAAGAAGGATTTTAGCGTCGTCGTCTCCTCTCGTAACAAGTGCACCAGCTTGTTCATGGGTCCCGCCCGCTTTGCCAATCACGATTGCGGCGCCAACGCAAAGCTCATGACGACGAGCCACGCCGGCATCGAAATCATTGCCACCCGCGACATTGAAGTCGGCGAGGAGATTACTGTCACCTACGGAGACAACTACTTTGGCGAAGATAACTGCGAGTGTCTCTGCCTTACCTGCGAGACCTTACAGAGGAACGGCTGGGAACCTGAGGATGGCCCGGTCACCATGAGGGCTAGCATTGAGGAAGACAAGACCGAGTCATATTCCTTGCGTCGCCGGAGGAGGGACGACAGCGTTGGTGGCAGCTCCTCGCGGACGTCATCTGTGACGCCCAGCATTCGTCCCAAAGTCTACAAGTCGAGGAAGTCGACGGGATCGCGTTTGAGCCTCACGCGTGGTTCGGTTGGATTGGAGAGTCCGATGCCATCCACGACACCTGATGGAAAGTCGGAGAAGCGACCTATGCCAGACGGCCTCGCATCGCCGCCCATCACACCGGCCAAGAAGCTGAAGCTCGTGGCCGACATATCGCTCGAGGCGCCGATGTCTTCCCGAAGAAGCTCAACCTCCCGCAGCGGCTCTTCTGGTGCGTACGAAGCTGATACGGACTTGACATCCCCTGATAAGGAGAGCCCGGAGCCGCTCATGCCTACTCCAACCAAGGAGGGGCCGACGATAGAAGTCAGGCTTCCGGTAGAGCTGAACCCCATGTCTCTTCAAAGCATCTTGAACGCATCGGAGACGGATGGGCTCAGCCCAGCTCCAATCGTCACCGCCAGTATCGAGACGGCTGAGGAGACTACTGCTGAGGCCCCAACAGCTACTGCCGTGGAAGAAGGCGACGCAGACGAAGCTGCAAAGATGCTCAAGAAGAAGAAGTATCAGAAGCGAGTTTTTATCAAGCAGACGACACCGCCGGCCGAGTGTCGGACACCCGGTGACTACGTGCTGACGCCGCTACTACTGTCGGAGCCAGCCATGGCATGGATTCAGTGCTCCAACTGCCCGACATACTTTGTGCAGCAGAATGCCTATTGCACCCGGTCGTCGTGCCCGCGATGCGAGAGGCACTCGATTATCTACGGGTACAAGTGGCCCAAGACCGACAAAACGGGACCTAACGACAAGGAGGAACGGATCCTGGATCACCGGATCATCCACCGGTTCCTTGACCCTAACGACGAGCGTCGGGCAAGGGGCAAGAAACCTCTGCACGAGGACAACGAACCGGAGGCGACCGAAGAGCCCAAGGAGCCACAGAGGGGTCGACAGAGGGACCGGGGCGGGCGACCGCCGGCCAAGGCCAACGGGAACGGAAAGAAGGAAAGCCTGACCAAGAAGACGATTCGGGTGGCTCAGAGGGGAGAGGCGACGGCGAGCCAGGAAGCTGCTGGCGACGGGAACGTACGACGCAGCGGGCGTAATAGACGAGTCAGCAGCCGCATGGGCGTAGCCTGCTGACGGCACGTGGGACGATGGCAGGACGAGGCCAATGAGGCTAGCGATTGGGACCGGTGTACGGAGTATCTTGATTGTATTATTATTATATGGACCATAGACCCATGCTGGAGGGCAAAGGCAGATGTGCTCGGCAGGAGGCACGTGGCTGAGACGTGTGTTTTGAGGGGGTATCATTGAAGTTTACGACTGGCTTTGGCCCGTGACATTTAATCAATGTACTAGTAGTATATAAGTATTTCCTTAAGTAGTCGGCATAGCTTAGCGTATCAATGTTTGCATCTAGGATACTGGTGCGAGAATGTGAGTGGAGTATTACAGTTGGCGGCGAGGGGAGGACCATGACAGGATTGATAGTCCCATGGCCATGGCTACAGAAGCCATGTGCCTCGCTGTATGTCCGTGCCCCGTGGTAGTACAGACAAGAGGGCCTGGGGTCTTGAAAGTGTATGAGCGACCGACGCGGGAGAAATGGGGCTGTACGCTGTGAAGGACTGCGCTGTACATTAATACTTCAAGTACTCGTACGTCGTCGTAATAATGCCTTGGGGGCGGGGGAGGGGGGATGAGCCACACGCAACACACCTGACAAGAGACCAGTTGCCGTCGACAATCCCGATCCCACCACTACTACTACCACCATAATATTATCTCTCGTGGATAGTACTGAACTCTGACGGAATAGAAACTCTTAAAAGATATAGGTCAAGGACGATTGCAAGAATGAGTACAGATATTGGGCAAGAACTTGGAAGAGAGGAGGGGAACATACAAGGTGGATTCCAGAGACGATCGGAGAGAGAGGCCTTGAACGTCGGGGTAGGGCCCACGTGCAGGAAGAGTAGTGACAAGATTGGAGGTCGGATACAGCGGTGTGGGGCAGATGAGCAGGGTCTAGGAAAGGGAAACGAGGTATAAGCATTTGAGGACAGATGAAGAGGAAGAAGAGGAGGAAGATGGATTGAAAGATCCTGAGCGGTTTTCAAGAGCTGGTTATAGGGAGGAGAAACCCTGGGTTGAATTGGCGTGCATATTCCCTCGACGATTTCTCATAAAGGGAAGGGACCGTCCCATCCCGTCTTTTCCAAACTCTGGTTGTTGATAGCCCCGAGCACGTCATCTCCACAGCATTTACATCATGGTGAGCACTGAGGAGTATCGGCAGTCGGGGTGATGGATTACGGTCTTAGTGATGCTGACTAGAGGGATTGTCTAGGGAGCCAAGCAATTCCTCAGCTACGTCCGTGAGTACACGTATTACATATAATTCTCCGTGTCCAATCTGTGCGGTAATCACTGACAGAAGAGACATGTAACAGTCCTGGCTGCTACGCTTGCTGGGGCAGAGCGTCCGGACGAGGGAAAGCAGCTCAGATGGACGGATGGTGCCCTACGGATGAACCAGATCCAGGTCGTCGGATCGCACAACAGCTACCACATTGAGTCGGATCTCGAGGAGCGCGATGCGCAGCAGAAGTTGCTGAAGAATACGGTGAATTACTGGTACTCGCATACGCAGTTGGATCTCCAGCTGGGGGAGCAGCAGATGAGGAATCTAGAGTGAGTTTTCACACCGTCCCCAATAGTCAGAAAAAGAAAGAAAGAAAGAAAGAAACCGACGACTCGGACAGAAATACTGAGAGAGAAGAATAAAAGAAGAAGGAGAAGGAGAAAAGCTGACGAGAGTTGTGGGGGGGGAAAAAAAGGATTGATGTCCTCGCCGACCCCAAAGGCGGCAACTACGCCGAGCCCCTTGTGCGCAGCATGTCCGGGCTGCCGTACCCCACCGACCCGGCATGGAAGGAGCCGGGGGTGAAGGTGCTGCACGTCCCGGGGGCGGACGTGCACACGCAGTGCGTGACGCTCATCTCGTGCCTGGGAATCATCAAGTCGTGGATGGATGCTCACCCGCTCGCGGTGCCCATCCCCATCATGATGGAGCTCAAGGTGGCGGACGCCGAGCTGGGGTCCAGGCCGTACGCGTGGGACCGGGACGGCGGCGCGCTCCTCGACGAGCTGGACGACGAGATCCGCTCCGTCTTCGGCGAGGACCAGCTCCTCACGCCCGACAGCCTTCGCCAGACGGGCAGGACGCTGGAGCAGTCCGTCCTGGAGAGGGGTTGGCCCGACCTCGACAGCGCGCGCGGCCGCATATTCTTCCTGATGGATAACGGACCGGACCACGTCTATCGTCACGCATATAAGAAGGGCAGACCGAGTCTGCAGGGGAGGGTGCTGTTTACCAATGCTTCGCCGGGGTCGGATGACTGTGCTTTTCAAAAGGTTTTCTTCTTCTTCTTCTTCTTCTTCTTCCCTCTTCTTCGCCGTATCCCTCCATTCTTTCTACTCTTCCTTCCTCCGACATCTTCTGACGATCGACAGCTCAACTCTCCTACTTCCGACGAGGAAAACGCCAACATCAGGAAGCAAGTGGCAGCCAACTACTGGGTGCGCACGCGGGCCGACGAACCGATGGGCACAATCATCGGGAAGAACTGCAGCACGGAGCAGCGCGAGGCGGCCTTCCGGTCTGGAGCCCAGATCGTCTCGACGGATTTCCAGGCGTACGGCATGAGTTCGCGGTGGGGGTGCGAGTACGCCTGCCGGCTGGACCGGCGGAGGGCGGCGCGGTGCAACCCGGTCAACGCGCCGAGGTGGTGCACCGACTGGACAGGCTTGGAGCCTATCGAGTACCGTCTCGGACTTGACCAGGAGCTGTAGATTCTTCTTCTTCTTCCTCTTCTTCTTCCCCCCTCCCAGTAGTAGTAGAGGTGGTAGTAGTAGTGGTATTAGAGTAGTAGTATGCAATTAGACAGGATAACACATAGAGGCGGGAACCACATCATAACCTGACTGCGCTTATAAGCATACGACCGCCAAACACCAGGAGCGTAGCGAGGCCAGCCCCCCCCCCGCCAGGGCCGCCAAAGGCGATATCAACGCACGCGCGATTGAACAGCTGTATCTCTTCATAATCGAGGTCCGAGTGCGACGGCTTGGTGACGAGACGGTTTCATGTCAGACGTGAGGTATCAGTACCTTCCCGTATTCCCAGGATCGTTATGGACTGGGCGGGGGTCGGGACCGAGCACGCTATTGTCGATAATATAACCTGGTCGTAGCCTGTAGGCCTCTACGAGAACCTTCTGATAGCGGGCTTCGATATCCATCCACAGGGCGATTTTAGGGGAATTACGAGTGTTTATTTATATCCGGGACACTAATCTGTGACGCTGTCAGGAACAGCGTCGCTCCATACGTTTACATGGTAATTTGACATGGTAACCTGTGGGGGGGGGGGGGGGGGGGGGGGCGTAATATGTCGTCATATGCTGATTTGTATCAACGATACTCCGTACCTGTGCAGATTGCCGATATGCACATGTGCGTGGAGAAATGGCCGAAGCTTGAGCTGCGTCAGGCTGATTGCGAGTTGACGATTCTCCAGTCTTTTTCCCACCTTCTTTCTCTTTCCCTTCCTCTCTTTGCGTCTTCTCCCCCCTTCCTCAATCTCTCTCTGCGCCGCATCACGCTCCCTTGGTTTTTTGTTCCCGCAAAACCCGTTGAGGGATTCATTCCAGGCTGGTTTTTCTCTCTCTCTTCCTCTCCTCTCCTTCTTTCCTTCTTTCTTTTCTTCTTTCTTTCTTCCTTTTGGATAATATAATCTTCTTCTTTTCTTCGAATGCTCTTCTCACCACCCTCTTGGCCCCTATCTGAGCAAGTGCTCGTCATCTCACACGACATTCCCAAGCCTGCGACCCCCCCCCCCCCCCCCCCCCCCCTTCAATCGTCCTCCCCCCATATCAAATTCTCTCTCGCCCCCTGCCTTCCCCTTCCTTTGGATCGATCTTCTCATAGCTATCGTTGTGAGGGGATTCCAAGACGATATTCAAATATACGAAGCAAGATCAAAGACCGGATGAGACTATACGTGATATATTCCCAACAGCATCATGGGTGATTGGCTGGGTGACGTTCCTGAGGGAGGATGGAAGGCGTCCCACAGTTGGAGGATGCCCGAATGGGTTGAGCCGATCGTGAGTCTCCGCCACCGCTGCCGATCGCGATAGCCTCCATCACGGTGGATCAGGCAGACGCTTCTATTTGCTAACCCACACTCTAGATCATCGTCTCTATCCTCTTCCCCGCCATGTACATGACGCGCCGCAGGAACTACTCCGTCCTTGGTCGCAGCAAAGGGTACAGGCTGCTCGGCGACATCGAGCACTCCCCCCCGCCCTTGAGCTCCGACGGCTTTGAGCTGCTCCCGCGCCCCGACGCCCACCCCCCGAAGCGCCGGCACCTGTGCGGCCTGGTGCCCATTCTGATGCCAAACTCGTCTCGCTTCGCCCAGAACGTGCACTCGCGCATCCTGCAAAAGTTCCCCTTCCTGGTCGAGATGTTCTACTGGTCTCTGGCCCTGGGTCTGTACCGAGCCACCGGTGCCATCTGCCAGCTCATGTACGGCGGCCAGCGCACCATGTGGGACTCCGCCACGCAATTTGGCCTGAGCCTGCTCGACGTCGAGGCCTACCTCTGGGGCGGCGACTACGAGGGCCCTGAGCGCTGGCTCGAGTGGCGCATCCAGCGCTGGCTGCTGCGCGGGTCCGAGGCCGGCGACTGGCGCGTCTGGCTGCTCACCGTGCTCAACCGCGGCTACGCCCTCATCCACATCCCCGGCGCCGTCGGCTTCATCTCGTACTACTACGCCACCGCCCCCACCCACCGCCGCTTCTGCGCCGTCCGCCGCACCCTGACCCTCACCAACATCCTCGCCTTTGTCTGTTTCACCTTCATCCCCACCTGCCCACCGCGCCTGCTCGACGAACGGTACGGCTTCGTCGACACCGTCAACCTTGAGTCGGCCGCCTCGGTCTGGATGAGTGGCAAGTTTGTCAACAAGCTCGCCGCCTTCCCCAGCATGCACTTTGGCTACGCCTTTGGCATCGGCTGCGTCTTCGTCTCCGACTCGGGCGTCCTGCACTCCATCACCTCGCGCGCCTTCCGCCACGTCCTGGCCAGCCGGAACGAGGTCGGGAGCGGCTTCGAGTACGAGGAGGAGGAACGTCTGCTCTCCCGCCGCAGCCCCCTTTCTCGCTACCTCATGTTTGGCTTCGGCATCTTCTACCCCCTGTGGATCCTGCTCACAATCGTCGGCACCGCCAACCACTACTTTATCGACGCCCTCGCCGCCGTCTTTACCGTTCTCGTCGCCTACGTCTGCAACCGCTTCCTGCTCGTCTTCATGCCCCTCGAGGATCTCCTCCTCTGGGCCTGGCGTCTCGAGAAGCCCGTTCCTACCACCGGGCGTATGAAGAATCTCACAGTCGAGTAGGATTCTCCAGGACGGATATCAAGAGACATCTGAATCGACAGCTAGAGACGCCCACCCTACTTGAGCGTCCATGCCTTTTGATGATGTACGGTTGGTTCTGGCATTGGTCATTTCTTGTATATATTTATTATTATCTTGTTCCTTCTCTTTATTACCTCCTAGACCTTGGTTTTTTTCTTTTCTTCCTTTTTCTCTTTTCTTTCCTTTCATAATATGCTCCTCTTTTCGCGCTCTTGACGGGGTTAGATAGACGGCACTCACACGGTGTAGCATCATTGCATTCGTTGATACGGGTAGGCATTCGGAACACTTGATCATAGGCGTTCAATGTGTATAACCGTAGGTTGGCCAGTGCAGCGAGGGCAGCTCTCCGCAAGAGGCCTCTCTCTCGTCGGGGAACACCAAAAAAAACAAGCTAGCGCACACGCCATTGTTGTACGAGTAACATGGAATGGGAGAACGATGATTTATAAAGAGTATGGAGTACCGAGCCATCCATTCTAGATTGATGAAACCAGCTGGGTTTGGGAAGTAATACCGGGTGCCTAGGAAGTTCTGTACGCATGACCTCCGCATGACTCAGCTGTCGGGAGTGGATCCGCGGTTCCTGCGTCAACGCCCAGAGCTCTTATCAGCTTGCCATTCCCAAGTCCCATGACGTTTTCCTTGCCTTCCTCTTCATCCTTTCTTCCTCACTCATCATCCTCGTTGTTAAACAAAGGAAGCAGAGGAATCATGGCCCGTCTCTCACTCGTGGCTACCCTGGCCCTCTCGGGCACGGCCTCGGCACTCCAGGTCCCCCTGCAGATGCCCTTTGGACTGTCGTCGCCGTGGTCGTCGCCTAAGCCGGACCTCCCGCTCGTCGATAGCGAGACCCTGCAGGATCGCATCTCGGCTTCTGCGCTCGAGGAGCGTGCCCAGATTCTGTACGACATTGCCAGGAGGTCTGAGGAGGACTACGGACACCCGACTCGTGTGATTGGGAGCCCTGGTGAGTTCTGGGAAGCCCTGCTGCCTGTCATCTGGTGCGAATGCTGACCCCGACCTGTGCACTAGGCCATACCGGCACACTCGACTACGTCCAGAGGTCGCTCGCCAAGCTCGGGTCGTACTACAATGTCTCGACGCAGGACTTCCCCGCCGTGACGGGTGACGTGTTCGAGTCGCGTCTGGTGATTGGCGATGAGGTGCCGGCATCTGCGACGCCGATGGGTCTCACACCTCCGACGAGGCAGAACGAGCCGGTGCACGGTGACCTGGTCCTCGTCGCCAACGAGGGCTGCGAGGCGTCCGACTTCCCCAAGAACGCCAAGGGTAACATCGTCCTTGTGAAGCGCGGCACGTGCCCCTTTGGCACCAAGTCTGAGCTTGCGGGCCGGGCCGGCGCCCTCGCGGCGGTCGTGTACAACACCGACGCCGAGGTCGTGCACGGCACGCTGGGCACACCGTCGATCCACCACGTCGGCACCTTTGGCATCGGTGGCGAGGAAGGAGCCCGGTACGCCGACAAGCTCTCCAAGGGCGAGCCGCTCGACTCGATCGCCTACATCGACGCCGAAGTGCGCACCATCAAGACGACCAACATCCTTGCCCAGACCGTGGGCGGCGACCCGGACAACTGCGTCATGCTGGGCGGCCATAGCGACAGCGTCGCCGAGGGACCGGGAATCAACGACGACGGCTCCGGCAGCCTGTCCCTACTCGAGGTGGCCACGCAGCTCGCGGCCTTCAGCGTCAACAACTGCGTCCGCTTCGCCTGGTGGGCGGGCGAGGAGGAAGGCCTCCTCGGCTCGGACTACTACGTCTCCGTTCTTCCGGAGGACGAGAACGCCCGCATCCGCCTCTTCATGGACTACGACATGATGGCCAGCCCCAACTACGCCTACCAGATCTACAACGCCACCAACGAGGAGAACCCTGAGGGTTCAGCCGAGCTGCGCGAGCTCTACCAGGACTGGTACAGGGCTCACGACCTCAACTACACGCTCATCCCCTTTGATGGCCGCAGCGACTACGACGGCTTCATCAGGAATGGGATCCCTGGTGGGGGTATTGCTGCTGGTGCTGAGGGCATCAAGACTCGCGAGGAGCAGGACATGTTTGGTGGACAGGAGGGCAAGTGGTATGACGAGTGCTACCACCAGCTTTGCGATGACACGAGCAACGTTGACCTCACAGCTTGGGAGGTCAACACCAAGGTACGTCTCTTGTCTCTCCCTTCCACACCGCCATTCCCCCCTTTTAAGGCCTCCCCGACTAACCCTACACAGCTCATCGCTCACTCTGTTGCCACCTACGCCGTCTCCTTCAAGGGCTTCCCCGAAAGGACTCTCGAGGCGGATATCGCTACCCGCAACGTCGAGACCAAGTACCACGGTCACAAGCTTGTCATGTAATGGGCATGGTGACCTTACGGAACGGCATAATAGACGTGGGAATGTTGCTTGATGCTGGGTACGCAACCATGCTGGGTAGCTTCTGCATAGGCGCGATGTATATTCTGTCTTGACAGCGAATTGAACTTGCACTGTTTTATAAAGTCCACATTCCCCCCCCCCCCCAAAAAAAAAAAAATATTACCTTGGGCTAGTTCCCCCGTAGGGTTGAATGTGTACAGAAAAGTTATTACGCAAAGCAGTTATGCCAGGAAGGGGGAAACTCTGGAAGAAGCCCGTTTAAAAAGCTGCGGTTCTCAACACTGCGAATTGGTACGATACCCGTCGATGATGAGGCTTTGTGCGATGGAGAGTGTATCTACCCAACCTCGTAAGATGCTACACCATCATCTCAGCTCGTCCCAAACGGCCTCTTCCAGGAGCCCGAGTCACTACGATGTCCGCATTGGCCTTCATAGGGTTGAAAGGAGAAGCCAAGCCCCATCAACCGGATGGGTCGGGGGGGCGGGGGAGGGGACGCGGAATTCTGATTCGGCATATTCGTAGAGGAAGAAGTTTTCCCAAGCCATCATGTCATCATGGCAATCGGGTTGGTACCGAATATCATGTTTCCGAGACTGCGCAGTCAGCCAACCTACCAAGTTTTCTACACACCTTCTTACGATACTCAGCGGTGCTGATCACAATATGGTATCAGTCAGGAGACTGGCGATGAAAGAGTCGGACCGTCGTGCGTTCCGCAGCAAGCTAGAGAGGCTTCGAGCACGCTCGCCGTCGTCCCATGCCCTCCTACCGCTAGGCGGTCTCGCCTTTTTGCGGCCTAGAGGCTTTAGGGAGTGGCGGGAGCTTCCGAGGCTTGCTGCCGGGCTTGCCTTGCTGGCCGGACTGAGCGTCTCGGACCCGCTGACCGAGGCGTGGTCGAAATCAATCTTCATGACGCGTTGCAGCTCGCGGTTCCAGGTCAGGTTCCCGCAGTTCACATCGTCACTTTCGACGAGGCCCACGGCTTCGAGCTCCCTGAGAGTGCGCTCCGACTCGCGCCCGAGGTCGGCACCGCTCATCTCAGCGAGCCGCTGAGCACGTTGGCTATATAGCCCCAGACCCGCAAACGACATGAGAAGCATGTGCGTTACGAGCGCACCGTTCGTCATGGGATATGGCAGGAGCAGCGGCACCATGCCGAGGCATACCGGTATCGTCACCCCTTGCTGCTCTGCAAGCCTCTCGTAGACACGGACCTCGCGTAGCAGCCGGTAGCTATTGAACGACTCCACGCCCTTGGACACGAATGTATATCCATACCCCGTAGCGGTGATCTTGAAGAGGCAGCCGATAGCACCGACTAGGCACCGCTCGAGCATGCAGTCGCAGTCCTGCTCGGCGTTGGAGAGGAGCTGCAGCTGCACTGCTTCGCGGAGTTCGTCTAGCGTCAACGCATGCTGGACCGACGCCTGCAGGGACCTGGAGTCGCGCGATGCTGCCTGCATGTGTAGCAGAACGTTAGGGCAGCCGGGGTCCATCTCCTCGCCGTGCACGAGACCGCGCAGGCATCCTTGGGTGCAGAAGGGCCGGATGGGACGAAATGTCGATGGGTCACGCTGGCTGGGTAGCGTCGGCCTCTTTGGCTTGCGTCCGTCCACGTCCTACCTTCGCAGGCCGGGTTTGGCTGGCCGCTGGAGCTGCGCTGCTCCGTCCCCGCCCCGTTTCCTCTTCACCCCTGCACACCTCTGGCCGCCCTCGACGTCCGATACGTTCCGTTGCTTCTTGAGTGGTGAGCTGCGTCGACGACGCCTCGTGTTGCTCGATGCAGAGTGCGCATCGTCGTCGTCCCGATGGCCTTCGTCGTCCGTGCTGTCTCGGTCGCTGCCCTCACCGCGACGTCGTTTGCGCGATGCGGATCTGCCTCCCGGGCTCGACGCAGCCGTGCCGGAGGCCGGTAGCTCGGGGAAGCGGGTCAGCTGGGAAAGGTTGAGGCCACGTCTACGCACTCGGTAGGGTGTCGTTTCAAGGGCCATGAGAGTGACGGCGGAGAGCATCGATACGGCGAGCCGGCCCTTCTCGTTGTCTGATAGCTGACCGCTACCTTCGGCCGGGCTGGGAGTCGCGGTATATTGGGGAAAGAGACATGCGTGGTAGAGAAGAGTGGTCGGGCCTTCAGGCGGCACCCGCAGGAAGGAGAGCGTCTCGCCGGTGGCCATATACCCAAACTCAACACCTGAGGAGACCATGTAGTGGAATGCCTGCGTCAGTGCGCGGGCGTAGAAGACCTGACCGGGGGCGCCCCTCTCGGCCCGGGCTGCTTCTTCTGTTCGTCCCCTGTCGCTCGTTTGGAGGCGACGCGGGCTAACAGCACCATGTAGTCTTCGGGTATCGAATCATCAACGTAGCCCGCCATGGTCGCCGCACGTAGACGATGGAGGGCTTTGTGCTCCGCTAGGCCGATGCGACGGACGTTATATGGAGGGCCACTAGCTAGGAGATCGTCGTCGAATCCATGCTGCGCTGCGTCGTCATCGCCCACGTCTCCGGGCGGGGCTATAGTGTCGGTTGCAAGCACATAGCAGTCGGGCTGCGTCTTGGGTGGTGGCCTAGCAGTCGCCTCGGGTCCGGGCTCACCGTTGTCTCCGCTTGTCTGCATCGAACCCCTCCGCCACCCAGAAGTATGGTTGTCGAAGAAGACTCCTCTGCTGACCGCTAGCTTCCAAGTACGCGTTCAGAATCCTCCGAGCGGGTATCTGGAGAGTCTTGTGGATGAACTCGGATGTCGTCATCTCGTTGAGAAATGATTCCGATCCTAAGAATTCGGGGGGTAGTTCATCCCTAATCTCCCTAGCCATAGCGTGCATGTTGATGATGGACGGGAAGACTAGTTGATGGCTAAGGGCAGCCTTTATGCGTGCGAGTGACTGCCCGCACCGGTCGTCAAAGTCGGGCCATTCGCGCATCGCATGCGGGTAATATTTCCCCACGATGCTTGTCCGGCCCGATGTTGTAGCCCTGGACTCTTCTCCCTCTGATAGGGTCTGGGGTCGTGATTTTATCCGCGGAGCAGGAACAAGGTGTCGGAGACTGAAGTTGAGATGATGGACGCACTGAATATACCCGTCGAGATCCTGGTCTTGATCTTGTCAGCATACGGTTACGGGCGAGCTCTGGTGCTCTCCGGAGCCGTACCAAGCTGCACGAGGGCCTTTTACCGTAGTTCTTCCCGGAGGGAGAGGATGATGGCTTCGGTGTCGCGCCGTTGCTGCTGCTCTTCCTCTCGGCGTCGCTGTTCTTCCTCTCGGCGTCTCTCGGCGTCCTCTCGACGTCGCCGCTCTTCCTCGATTAGCCGTCTCAGCCTTCGCACTTCCTCTTCGGACATGGTGGATCAATCGATCGATGGTCGTTTGCAGAAGGGAGGAAGAAGGGAGGAAGGAGAGAAGCGGGGGAGCTGATTGTGACAGCGTTGACGGTTGTATAGAGAAGGGCGATGCGCGACCGATAACGGCCCAACCTGTTGTTGCCAGGATGCAGCTTATTGCGGCAATGCTCCGCGATACTTGATCGTGCGTCTGACTCCGCTGTTGACACCTTGTGCAGCGCACGTATGCTGCTCACACGGATAGGTCTGTAGCTTGGGGTCAACGGTCGACGATGATCTCGGAGGAGAGAGGAGAGAAGTCATCTACAAGACACGGAGGAAATAAAATAGGGGTGGGCATCCATTCCCGTGCCCCTGGACGGAAGTCGCGTAGTTCCCGTACGAGGTAGTATGCCTTTTGGCCCTTTGCTCAGGGGAGCCGCAACTACTATTGTCCGAGCAGTCTTCGTAACCCTGGACAGAGTGAATGCGAAACATTAAACATTACCGATGTGGTTTGATACATGGCTGTATGACAAGTAGACATCGACGGCGAACTTTGGCCTTGCCTCCATGGCAGCCTGCACCGCTTTGCACCTCAGACCTGCCGTGCCTGAGTGGGCCAGTTTTACGCCTCAGAGCGATACGGAGTATCGTTCCGTTGTGCGTGTTTAGCCAGTTCCCTACTGCGGTCCCGGGGTCTGAGCACATGCATCTCGTCCCGCAATTTGTATCGGCGCTAAAGTAATAATGTTATTACAGGCAGGTTTTGACTATGATATCATTGTCATCTGTATCATCTACAGATTACACCAATATATGTACGAGTAGTAGGTACCTCGTCTTCCCTACAATGCAGTGAGCACTACGTACCATTCCGTACTCGTATGCAATATTATTTGTCCTGAAGACGTCGTCTAGCCAGCCAGGTTGAGCATCGGGCCATGGTTCGATCGTGAACGCACCTGGGGATCCTCTTAGAACTTCTTTCCAGAACCACCCGCCTGCGAAAGAGAGAGGATGAAATGTGACGCCACACTCTCTCGTGACTCGGTTACCCTCCGAACCCATTCACATCCCTGTCAACATCACTGCTCTACTGTACAAGTCAAGAGACCTTTTTTTTTTTTTCCTGCGATTGTACCACGTGCATACTCATTATGCAAGTGTGGTGGGGAATGTCTTGCCAAGGCGGACACCATCTTTACTACGGAGCGGTTACGAAAGAAAAAAAGTTTGAGAGAGAGAGAGAGAGAGAGAGAGAGACTCTGTGTGTATGTGTATGTGTGTATGTGTGTGTGTGTGCGTCTGTGTCCATGTACGTGTTTGAAGCCCTGGAGTTTGAGCTCGGAGAACTTGAAAACCTATCATTATCAACGGTAGGTGGAGGTGCGTCTCGTAGACAGCACGCCGTTGGTCGTGTGGGTTCATGTACGAAGTTGCATGCGTGATGTCTCGTGATGCAGGTTTCACATAGCGCCTGCATCGTGGAAGGGCAGTTTTTTTTTTTTTTTTTTTGTGTGTGTGTGTGTGTGTGTGTGTGTGTGTGTGTGTGGATGGGTGGCTAGATAGCTTTCTGATATCATTCTCAAGAATAGCAGTATAGACCTATATTATATATATATATATATATATATATATCATATTTTTCATTTGGAGAATCAAGCTGCTATATTCTACCAAGGTATCATCGAAAATCCAAAATCCAAATACGCATGCTAATCTGCCCGCTAACACAGTCCATTTGACTAGCGAAAAAATAAAACAAAACAAGATAAAACACAACGAGACAATTCAGATGCTTGTTTTTTTGGTATAAGAGAAAAAAAGAGAATAAAATGCAAAAAAGAGTAATGAAACAGATTTTTTTAGAGAAAAGAAAAAGACAATAAATGCAAGTAGCAAGAATAGAGAGTAAAAAAGAAAAGAGAGAAAAAAAGAAAAAAGTAAAAAGTAGAGCTAGTAGTACTCATAGGTCCCACTGCGGCGGCGGCGGCTGCTGCTGCTGCCTGGGCGCGGACTCATCCTGTCCTTGAGCCTCCGCAACTGCGCATCCTCGTCGTCGCTGATGTCAAGCACCCGCATCGATTCAGACAGACCACCATCCCGGTCCTTGTCAGACTTGCCGCCGCGGGCTGCAGAAGGCATGGGCATGGACGGCCTGCTGTTGATCTCGGCGTTGGCCTTGGCGATGCGCTCGTTGATGCGAAGCTTGCGCTGGTCCTCTAGCCGCTGGTTCTCGGCCTCCCGCTGCGCCTCAGCCCTCTGTGCCTCCGCCAGCCTCTCAGCTTCGACTTGGCGCTGGGCCTCGGCCAGCCTCTGGTCCTCGACGCGCTGGGCCTCCATCTGTCTCTGGTAGCGCCTGATGATCGAGTCGCCGTCGTCCAGAGAGTGCGATGAAGACACGGACAGACGCCGTGAGCGCGACGACGAGTGGCCCGAAGATGCCGACGTATGGCGCGAGTGCGAGGAAGACGAGCCGTGGCGCGAGTGTGAAGAGGACGACCCACGCGAAGACCCGTGGCGAGAGTGTCCGTGGTCGTAGTTGCCGGAGCTGGTGCGCCTCCGGTGCTCCTTGTTGGCATCGACAATATCGACATCAAGACGGTTCTGCTCGGGGTCGTGAATGACGACCGGCCGCTGTGTCGTAGAGCGGGATCGGCGCGGCGCGGCTTCAACGATGTTCGGGGACGATGAGGTTGCTTGAGACGCCGTCCTCCGGATCCCAGTACCCTCGACAAAGATCATGGGAGGCTCGTTCCTCGGTGACTTTGAGTATGGTACAGACGATGGCGATTCGTAGACCCTGGCGTTGTTGTCGACATACACTCGTGGAGCACTGGAGCGTGGGCGCCTGTCGTTGAGGGGCGAGGAGCTTGCTCGACGGTGGGTGGAGCGACCATAGTAGTTGTCGGTGTAGTAGTCGGACCTGGGAGAGGGCGGCGCGTACTGGTAGGGAGGAACCGAAGGCGATGAGGCGGCAGAGTATGAGACGTTCTGGGTGTACGGGTGGGTGATATTGTCAACGCAAGGCTGGCCGTGGCGCGAGGCCGGGCAGAAAGTCGTGGATGTTGACGACGACGTGCGCCCGTCAGGGTAAACGTAGGTGTACTGGGTTGAGATGCACATCGTAGCGGGATCGTCGTTTCTCCTTCTTATGCGTCTTCGAGTCGTCCGCACAGTGACGGTCGGGGGTGGAAGTGGAGAAGACACGGCTAGGTATGAAGAAGGGGACTGGCCTTGATGCCTTTGAAGATGCGTCTGGAAGTGCAGGCGCGCGCGCGTATATTTAACAGACGTCTTTTTTCTGGGTGCTGGGGTTGTTGTTGTTGAGGCACGCTGTGTCTAGTCGTGGTGTTGTTGGAAGCAAAGTGTCGGGAAAGGGATGGTGTTATATAGTAAAAAATGAAGGACAGAGACAATGAGCCTTTGTCGTGAGAGCCAAGTACCTGTAGAACAGTGTGACTGTCTTGTCACAGGATGGGACAGGTGTTGATGTAAACTGTAGTATGGAAGAAGGCAAGAGGGTGGGAAGACAGATAATATATATATATATATATCCCCGATGGTTGCCTGAATGATGGAGAGTGTTCGTCTGCTTGCCGATGAACTCTCTCTTGTAAGAGTACTAGCAATACCAGTAACAGTAACGGAAAGAAGAGTATTCCACTCGACAAAAGAAGTGACCACCGATGACTCCCCGAACTTCTGTATGCATCAGGGATCAGGGTGGGGTTGTGCGGTCCCCTCCTCCCGAGCCCAGGGAAGAGAGCAGGGGTGTCGGATTGTGGGTGTGTAGGCTGAGCGGGTTTGGCCTACGCAACCATCATGCGTCTTCCAACCAGACACACTCTCGTTCACCAGAGCATGACGATCCTTGTTCGTTCTGCTCTCCTTCGTGCCAGCCTTTTGTGGCGCAACGGTTGAGCATGTTCTGTAGTCTTTCATGTTTCCTGCAAGTCTGCAAGCTTGCAAGCTTCTAGGACTGGATCGGCATTCTGCGACGTTGCGATGCGATGCCACCGTCATTGGCCTGTTTGAGCTGCGAACATGAAGGCACCACTCACCGAAACCTTGCATTCGCCATCATATGACACCTCGAGGGCACACCAAGACAAAGACGTCCTCATCGTGTGGGTGTGGGAAGCCTGGGAGATCGATTTGTCCACTTTCAAAGCTCTCGCTCTCCTCTCCGTCTCGGCGTCTCTCTCAATCCTCTGTCCCCACTTGTCCGCCCTTGGCTGCATCACCCGACATGAATGGGCCAAGGACAAGGCCGGATGGGTCAGCAGAAGGATAGAGTCAGGAAACAGACGTCAGAAACAAGGATCAAAGCTAGAAGGAGCAAAAGAGAAATAGCCTCTAGCCACAAATTCGTTCCCACACTATTCACGTGCGTCAGCCAATATTTCAGCGTCTGTGGCTTGCCATATTATCATAGTATGATGAGGCGGTGCAACTTTCCAGAATTCTGGATGGTGATGATGCTGCTTACTCTCTTGAGGGCGCTGCACTCTTCGTGGATCAGCCGTTCGATAGTTGTCGTAATAATGCGATTCAAACCCCTGTCACAGTCCCTGTTTCCCCGTGATTGCCTCCCGCGTTCCCATCGATATCTCCGTCATAATATGACCGACCTCCTGGCTGCTGCTTGTGGCTTTGCTGGTACGGGACGGTGTGATCTGTCTGCTGCGCCACGTCCCACAAGAGAAATGGAGAGTCAGCGATGATCCACGGACAAGGCTGCGCGGACATTGCCGTCTACCCCGACGTTTTGCTATTTCCCGCATTGTAGTTCGTGCCTTCCTGTTACACAAAATGCGCGATGCAATCCGTAGTACAACCTAGGCAGTGATATGGAAGGTACGATAGCCGTGACCTGACGCCTGCTGCCTGCCACCTCCCATCTACCTCAGGCTTGCATTTGGGGAATTTCGCATGCAGAGTTGAGGACAGGTGTGTCTATTACACCTGCCTTGAATGACTGACTGCGTCTGCCATTCCAAGGGGAAGAACCCCCCTACCCTCCTCCTCTCCTGCAAAGGAAAAAAAGAAAAAGTGAGGTGGGGAGGGGGGGGGGGAAACCGCCACAACACGAAGAAATCAACCCCCCGGCCCCAATCTCTGCCATCAACCAAGAGACCGTTAATGTTCATCTGCATCCTTTTTTCCATTCCGTGTAGATCTAGGACACTCTTCTCAGGCATATTCCGGTGCATGCAACACCACAAGAGTGTTCTGGCGCGTCTGTGTCACCTCCCCACTTCTCTCACTATTGGCCCGTGGCCGCCGTTGCCTGTCGAGGCGATCAGGCTAGCGATTACCCCCGAATGTGGAACCCCGCGCTTGTGTGCCCCCCATGACGCTCTCTGACCGTGTTACTCATATTGTCCGATATCTAGACTAGGCATCCAAAGGTCTTGTGGCCGTGATCGCAGGCGTTCTCGAGACGATGAGCGTCATGATGATTCGGACTCCCCGATGCTCTCTTCACCACGCCATCAAGGCATTCTGAAATCTCCTCTTGACTTCCAATCATTCAAAACTAGCCATGATATCTTACCTCGATTAACCCTCGAGGCAGAATTGGTCAAGGGCTCAGCTAGTATAGTAATATACAAGTACAGGTACGTCGCACGACTGCAGCAGTAGTACAGAATGGCTGTGCACACCATGTCAGAACCAAAATTCTTCTCCCCTCTCTGCCCCACACTGCCTTGATCCCCCTGTCCATTACCTGTCAGCACATGAAACAAGACTATGCTTGCTTACTACGGAGTACAGTATCGACTCTCATCCATGGATGGGTATCATCTGTCTTTGTGTTCCATATTTATTTCCTCACTCTCTGTTCTTCTCATTTTGCCTGCTTTCGTTTTTGTCATCAACACCCCGTCTGTTACGGAACAACCCGAAAACCACCCGACGACAATGATGGTAATCTTAGCAAGCCATAGACAGACAGGACAACAGCCATGAATAGAGTAGAGACTCGCCAATCGAACGAATGATCCGTCGGCAAGGTGTCTGCCGTGAGAGCCAGCAGATTCTTCAACCTGCTACTTCCGTGCCGCCAAACAATACTCGTGCCACGGTCCAAGGGATCGCATCAGAGAATTGCGATTATTTGCCATCCCACGCTGCTATCGCTCGCATCAAAGTCAACCCCATTCATCAAATTCGGTCTATTCGGGACCCCAGAAGCATGACGAGCGAACCCTTGAACGCTCCGCTCACCAAACTTTTGTCCTCCAAGCACCTCTCATATCTAGGCATGAAGTAAATGGCCACTACGTCCTACACACGACGCCCTCGTGGTCCCTCTCTCGCTACGGATCCTACTACGGAGAGGACTTGGCGCTTGCAGGACGCTGGAAAAAAAAAACCTCAGATAGATGATCATTGATGAACAAGGTCAATGTCGTCTCTTATACATCTGCCTCCCTGCGATTGGAGACGTGATACAAGGTATACATTGACTGACGCTTGTGTCAAGTCATGCTTACCTTACCCTGAAGTAGTCGCAAGTAAGTAATGATATTACCGTCCGTGTACAACAAGTACGAGATATTCGAGCTGCGGGCATTCAGCATCATGGCCATCACGTTTCGAGGTATCATGTTGTTATCAATTTCGTCGTTCACGTATTGTCCTTGATTCCTTGATGTTAGATTATACCTATTGTAGTGACCATCTATGAATCGGAGGATGTATGCATCTTGAATAGGCATGGCAATCCAACTTTCAAGAGACAAACACGAAAGTCTCACAGATGATCTTGCTGTCTTGATATCACATAATAACCAGCACCGAAATGGGAGTTGGACCTATACCAGCCTACAATCCCCGTACAGGATCAAGTCTGGGTCATGGACTATTCAGCACGAGTACTCCTGCCCTACATCTGCTGTTTACGAAAAAGAAAGAAAGAAAGAAGAGAAGAGAAGAGACAAGAAAACAGAACGAGCAGTAAGGGAGTGTGACAAGAGACTGCTCCTGGAGCCGCGGCGGACATTGAGAAGGCAGTCGATCAGGGTAGTCATGGAATACCCCTTAGATTCCGCAGACACTCATCTGGCCTTTCTAGACTCGTTTTATCATGCTACCTACAAGATGCCAACACGGACGATGGCTACATCTTGATTTTTCCGTGCATGTATTTGAAGGAATCGTGAGGTCCACCAGTCCAAGTCTGGCCAGTATGGGGTAGACTAGACGGAAATAGTTGTCGAAAAGAGGCAGCCCGTGGCATGTGTCAAGATGGTATCAATACCACCTGTAATGTGGGGCTGTAGGTCTAGTACCTGGATATACCATGTATTATAGATACTAAAGTATTATAGAGACTAAAGTATCATAGATACGCCCTGATAGAGGACATGCGCACAAAAACCATGGCGACCTCTCATGTTCAGTCCCGTCATAACATGACGGCATCCTCATTGAAGCTTATGACTAACGGATCCTACTACTGCGGTGGCTGCTATCGATAGGTACGAAGTGCTAAGGTACTAGTACTGACTATTAGTTATGCCGATAAGGCTGCAACTCGACTGCCCATGTCTGTTAGCGACCCCTTCCACGAAGCGTTCGGAAGGAAGGAGCGAAATATAATAGGGCAAGCGGTGACGTTCTGGTATAAATCTCAGATAACCCATCGGTCCAATGGTCTGTTAGCAGAGCCTTATACCAGCCACTGGACGATCGGAGTTTATTTTATTTCATTTATCTATCTATTTTTTTTTCTTTTTTCTTTTTTCTTTTTTCGAAGTTGACGTAGACCATGAGGGATCCCAAGGTTGTAATATACCCCGTTGCTCTTTGTACCCCACAACGCGACGGAAACATTACAACGGGGTTCATCACACACATACTACTGGTAGCTACGTAGACATGTTTCATAATGGCGGAACCACATGTCCGGTATCCCAGTCTGTGCGAGAGATTAGGGGCTAGTTGCTGCCTGCTTATCTGCTAGTCGTGGTGCTAGTCGTGATATAAGCCTCCGCGTGTCGTCCAATCCGTACCCTCAATCGTCAGGTACCTGCCTCGATCTGCCGTCCAAGCTGTACTCGTTAATGCGATGAATCGGTCGGTCAAAAGCCCCCTCCCGGACCCCCGGACATCGGAAAAGGCGTGATCCGGCATGATGGCACTCGGGAAATGTGTGGACCTACCGAGAGTCAGCACAGACAGCGGCAGTGGCGGCAGTGACCACAGCAGTGCCACATACCGACGGCCCCCTCTCCGGCTGCGGCAAGCGTCAACCTTCAAGGTTCAGCGCGGCGCAGAACCGCACCGTCCGCTCGACCGGTCGGACGGACGCGCGCCCAACGGCGTGCACCTTGCCGCGTCGTACCGGGGCTCTCGTACCGGAGCTTCCAAGGCGAGACGTCCCAGACCCTGGCGGTGGTGGGCTTCCACAGAACGCACAGTGACGACGCGTGCTTCGAGGCCGACACGATAGCCGTTGGGTTTTGTACCCCGAACGACGTGGGGGGGGAGGAGGGCGACTTGGGCTAGGAATCTGAGCCGTCGTGCCAGGAGCCTCCGACTGCGAAACCCGCCAGGGCACGATCGGCCTTTTGACGGAAGTCAAAGCCTTGTTGCAGGAGACCCGGTGAGAAGGGTTTGCCATATCTTTGAGGCCAGCCCGAGTTAATGCATGGCTTCTCCTCCATCTTTCTTTCAAGTCGGCTGAGTGGCAGGCAGACGGGATGGCTACGACATGTCGAGGACGAAGATGCATGGACGGCATGGAACGAACTAGAAAATGATTTCTGGAACACACATAGTATATATAGTCAGGGAGGGCATGGTTGTATATAGGATTTTGTTCGTATGTTATTCTTACAAGACCATTCTCAGCAAGCAACTACTTGTATTATTCACGGAATCTTTATTTCACTTTATTGTACACTTTTTACTCACAGATACATGTGCTTTTTCGAATGCCGCCAATGCCCTGATATGCGCCTCCTCCCCTCTGATCCGACCCCTGATTAAACGTACAGGTCTCCTGGTGATAAGATGATGGATTACGCAGTTGATGGTTCAATGTTTCACCTCACCTCTTTTTGATTTCGCTAGTTGTCAACATCATTCAACTGGACAATCTGCCAAGTCTAGTGCCGCAAACAAGGTCTGTTAATACGAGCAGACAGTCGAGTTCCCGCGTGGGGGCTGTCCGTGATGGAATTTCAAATCCTGTAAATCACAATCATGTCTCCATGTAGGAATTTACCGGCATGAAGTGTGGGTTGCATTTTCTCGCTACGAGTACGAGAACAGTGGTCATTGGTGCGAGGCAGTTCTCCGCCTCCGTAGACTCTTCCAGCCTTAAGTCTCTGACGCCGACACCCCGCCAATATATGTATCCTTGCGCCGGCATCTGCTCTAGCCGATGCAAGACCCCAGCGCCTCCTCTACGGATGACTTGCTTATCAATCACCATCGAGCTTATAAGGCGTCTCACTCTCCGCAGGGACACGAGGGAGGTAAGAGGAACCATCACACGATCGAACCACCGTACGATCGAACGAGCGGAATTAGAACGTAGAATGTCATGTGATCATGTATGAGGCCATGCTATCGGCTAAATACGCTATATGTGGGAAGGGCAGCAATGTAGCATCCCTTTGCCTCTCTCTGCGACAGGTATCACGGTTGTGATGGGTCAGGAGAGAGACGAGCAGGGCGCCTCGCCTGGGACAGGAGTCTGAGCCTTGGAGAGTACTCCATCCAAAGGTAAACAGATCAAGGGCGAGTCTAGTCGTGGTGATAGAAGTCATCGTCCCGTGGTAAGATTTGGTCTACGTGTGTCTGGAATGCCGATATAGGAGCACAGAGCCCGCATGTTCCGGTCGACGACGACGGCTATCGGAGGAACCTGCCAGCGCTTCAGGGGCCCAGTGAGTGAGTGCATGGGCCAAGGTAGCCATTGTTCGCATTGTCGTTTGGTTTAGGTGACCGCCGGCATGAAACCGTGCTCTTTCGGCCTGGGCAATCTGTGTCCAGTGTCCAGGTCCCCCAGTGTCCAGGTCCCCGTTCAACGCTGGTGTCCCAGCCGTTCGAGTTCCGTGAACCAAGACGAGCAAGGCAGGCGGGAACTTTCCTTCTCATCACTATCCCCGGGTGGCCAGCTCTGACCTGGGCTGTCTTCGTGTTGCCGGCGATGATGAGGTGAAAAAAATTCGACGTTATCGCGCTGCTCAAGACGGATATCCGCGGGTGATCCCAAACAGTGAAACCAACAGGAGAGCAGAGACGAGATATGTACCCGGAGACTGGTCGCGACCATGCGTCTGATCCCCCCACCCCTCAACCAGTCTGTGATAGGATGACACACCGGACCACACATCATGGCACTGGCACTGGGACGGACACTGGCGCTACATATTCCCTCCAGCCTAGTGCCAAGATGCCATCACGGACAAGCTCTGCTGCGCTAGTTTGAGAGTTAGTCCGAGGATAGGAGAGGGAGGCACGAAAGGAGTGCCTCCGGCAGATGTTGTCCGGTGCTGGTGATGGACCCTCCGGGGAAAGCCAGGGCGGATAGCTCGATAGGATGGGAAAGTGGGATACCCAATATGTGCGAGTTGTCCGGTGTCGAAGCGGAGCAGAGCAGAGCATAGACGCCAATGTCTCTGGCCGAAGTAGAGGCTGATGGGAGGTCCAGAACACCAGTGGCGTCACATGTTCCGACCGTGAGGGACGGTAGAAGGCGGATCAGACGGAGATGGGATGAGCGTGTAGATTCCAAAGGCATCAACGCTGGAATTGAACATCGACAACACCTAGAGTGGCCAACTCCATCTGAGCGTGGGGTCTATCCTCTAGATAATAGAATGAGACTGGTTATCGGAAGAAGGGGTAGGGGTATATGTAAGGGTCGAGAGAAGAGGATGACGGATGGATTGCTTGTCTTAATGTACCCTTGTCGTCAGAAATGCCGTAATGCTGTTGTTCTGTTTGTGAGTGACGCGTGCGTGCGCGTGCATATGCGTGGCTGTCAGGGCGTCACATTCATACATCTGACATCCATGTGCTCTGTGAATAATGCTGACCGAGCAAATGAATCCATTCCACTGCATCGTAACCAATAATCATTCACATACGTCTGCCATCTATCCCAACCGGAACATTGAGCCAAGAAAAAGAAAAGAAAAAAAAGGGGGGGAGAGGGGTATCAAACTAGGTTCGAGAAGAGAAGAACAAGAAAAGAGGACACAAGGGGAAGATGATGAAGATATTAACAGATACAAAGAGAGAGAGAAAAAATACAAGGTGAAGATGATGGAAATATTAACAGATACAAAGAGAGAGGAAGAAAAATAAGAGCTAGGAAGAAGAGGGGGGGAAAGAAAGAAGAGGAGAGGAGAGAACTACAGCTGCTGCTTCCCAGGACGTCCAAGTTTGAGCAGCGGCACATCGGCATCAGCTTCGTCATCCCTCCTCAGAGCCATCCACCTAGTGTTGAGAAGCTCCTCTCCGACGACGAGATCGAATCCGGCCAGGAAGCAGAAGCTGACCTCCAACCTGGCCAGCTCCGACTCGCTCACGCCCCCGACACGCGCGACCTTGGCATGGGGGTAGGCCAGATCCTCGAGGGCCTTGGCGGCAACCCTGACGCCGGCCAGGGCCAACCTGTGGACGTTTCGTCTCGTGACTGGGATGGCGGCCTGCTCGACGGCTAGGCGGTGGATATAGACGGAGGCGGCGAGGTAGACTGCGGCACTGGCGGGGCAGAACTGGTGCAGACGGGCCATGTAGCTCGTTATGCTGATGGGGGGCTCCAGCTTGCTGTAGAACTTGCGGGTGATGGCGCCGTGCTGCTGGGGGGCGTTGGGCATGTCGTCTTCTCCCGGGGCAGATGCGTCCGGAGGCGTCGTCATCGATGACGGTTGAGATGACGGCGGAGCAGGAGCAGCAGGGGATTTAGGGACGGTCTTGAGTCGCACGCCGTCGATGGCCTGCTGCTGGGTAAGCTGCATCTGCTGCGCCACGGCGGCTCTGTACGCCCGCAGCTTGTTTCCATCGTCTCGTGTCGTCGCCGGGGCGGGAGAGGGAGGTGTGGTCGTGGCAGCTGTGCCTGCCGCCGCGTCGCCGGCGGAGGTGGTGGAGGTGGTCGTCGTGCTGTCACTGCCAATGCTTGGCCCTCCTCCTCCGGCCGGCGGGGTTCTAGAAGGACTGTAGCGCGCCATGAAATCCTTCTCGGCCAAGAGTCCGCTCATCTGCGGGTCCGTGGGCGTGCGTGGCGGTGGCGTGGGTGGTACGTCTCCGGTGATACGAACGAGGCGCTCCAGGCTGGCGCTGACCAGACGGAGGGCCTCAGAGGCCGGGAGGCGCGAGAGGTCGTGGTGTTCTCTGTCCTTTCCATCGGCCTCTTTGGGAGCTTGTATTCCTTCCGTCTTGCTGTCCTGCTCGAGGTGTATCGTCGGCTGTTGCTGCATGACGGCAGGTTGTGTCTGCGTCGTGGCCATTTTTTTTTTTTTTTTGGCGTCGGTGATGATTTGCGTAGGTCGTGAATCCCCGTCACAGTCTCACATAGTCTTTTGTTCCTTGTGGAAAGGAAGTGTAGCGTGCTCAACAGATGTCGACTCGTCGCATCGTCCTCTTCGTCTGTTCTCTGTCTTTTTTATAACTGTCCTTTGTCCTTTTTATCTGTCGTGTCGCGATGGATATGCGACAAGAGTGAGCGAAGCGGGGTGGGGACAACGCAGGGGGGTGGGGGGGAAGGTGAGGGGTGACGGAGTGGCTGAGAGGTACTCGTAGGGAGAGACACAGAGAAGGAAAAGAGAGATGGAGAGGGAGAGAGAGAGGGGGGGAAAGAGAGAGAGGGAAAGAGAGAGAGAGAGAGAGAGAGATGAATCGTAGGATATTGTCAGATTATAGAAGAGGGGAAAATAACGAGTCTCGTGGTAGATCAAGAAGGAGCGAGGGGGGGCGGCTGTCTTCTTTCCATATGTAGATAAAAAAGGAAAAACGAAAAAGAAAAAAGAAAAAAAGAAAAAAAAGAAAAAAAAGGAAAGGAAGATCCCTGTTCTTCAAGGAGCGGGACCCATGACTCGAGATTACCTCGTGGAAGAGAGAGCATATAATACTCAGCATACACTCCGCATATACTCGTACTGCTGCTACTACTCTGTGCTAGTGGCCTAACTACTATCAATACTGGCACTACTGATCTGTACCAGATACAAGCACTGCTAGTGCGGCGACTACTAATAGACTACTCCGTAATACTAATAGTCACAAGGTATATTACTACTATCTGTACAGATTACAGTCTCTCGTCCTACCGATGACCACTACCGGAAACCAGCACGATCAGAATCCTGATCATGGTGTGGTGGCCCTCGGCCTTGGCGAGTCAGCTTTCCAGAGGCTCCTCCCTCGGGTTAGTGGAGATGTAGACGGGCCGACAACTTTTTTTTTTCTGTATAACAATACATGGAGTATTGACCGTTACTGCTGCTGCTGCTGCTACTACTATTACTTACTACTACTTGCTACCGGTCATCATCACCAGGTATTAGCTGTACGGAGTGTCCGCTGGTATTACATGCATCATCAGAAGCCTATATTGATTAGAGCCCAGACTCGTAGATGGACACTTGTAAGAGCCGTTGTGGGAGACTGAAACCAAGTATCCTTGTTGCCTATTCTCCCTCTCTCATACCTCTTCATCTCCAAAATCTCCAAATCTTTCTCATCTTCAATTCCCCACTCCTCCATTATCTATTACAGGGTATCTCATCTCAACTTTGAAACCACTTCGGAAAAGAAACCCCCCCCCCCCGAAAAGAAAAGAAAGGAGGCACCCCCTTTATATATTTATTAATATCTAATACAGGTGACACTTCCAAAACACAGGTTCGACCTTTTTACCATCAACTACTCGTAATACCACAACATCCACCTATTCTTGTCATATCTCAACCAGACTTTGCTTCCTCTTCTCCCTTTTCTCCTTTTCCTCCTCCTCCTCTCCTCCTCCTCCTCCTCCCTTCTCTTCTCTCGTCTTAGGAGGACCGACACCACCCTCCTCCCATCTATCCTCCCCCTCCCCTCCCCCCTCTTCACATCTTCAGCCGCATACTCTCCAATACGGACTCTACTCCAGGTCTAGATTGATTCCACACTCCACAACTCTATCCTGTCTCCACTCTCTCTCTTCCCTCCCCCCCCTCACTCTCTCTCTCTTCCCCGTCTCTCTCTTTTTTCTCCTCTCTATACTCCGTGTTACCTATGGCATGAAAATGTATCTCTCTTGGTATAGCTCCCATCCATCCTTCCTCGTCTCTCGCCCGTCACCTCTCTCGTCTTGGCTTCCAAGCTTCCGAGCACCAGTGGCCCACCATTCCCAGCCTTGCAGTTAAGCAGAATGCCGAGAAGCCTGTAGTCTGTAGCCTGCAGCCGTGTGCCGGAGCAGAATCCCGACTATGCCAGTATATGACTCCCTCTGCATCTGACTCCACCCATGACCCTCCTTATAACTCACGAGTGATGCGTATACAGATAGGTCTGATAGTTGTTCAAACGAGAGAGAGAGAAGCCATTTACCAGTCATTACATAAAAGACCGCGCTCATCCCGATACCCCCCCCCCCCAGGGTATTACAAGTTCCCAGAGTGCGACTCAAGTCGGTCTCGGAAATGAGGCTTTTCCAAAAGCACATTACAACTAATAATATTACATATGTATTAATATATATATATATATATAAGTATAAGTAGTGCTCCGTATTACTTCGTACCTCTTGCCTCGTAACTCCGTATACTAGACACCCATCTCACCTGTCCGAACCCCATACAGAGACTCACTGCCGCAGTGCTGCTCCAAGATCGCATCTGGCCCCTTCATAAGAGGGAATGGGTGGGTGGGGGGTTTGGAGGGTTTTTGGGATCACTCCTTCGTCCTCCCCTGACAATCCGCCACCACCGTGCAGTCCACCACTGCAGACTTCCCCGCCTGCACCTTGGAAACCGCCTGCTTCGACACTCCCTCCAGCTCGTTCACCTGGCTCACCCGTAGTCCCTCAATGTCTCCAGCCGCTGCTGCCAATGCAGAGCCTGCATAGTCGGGCGCAGGGTCAAACGAGATATTAATCTCCTTATTCGTCGCCTTGGACCCTAGTCCGTCTGGGTGCATCAGCAGCAACGACTTTCGGGGGGGGGGCATGCCAACTTGTACATCGCACCGCTGCATCAGCTTTCGTCCTTCTGCCATTCCCCTCGTTCTTCCTTTCATCATGCATCAACCTTGCAATACACTCGGGACCCTATCCTTGTTGCTTAGCACCATAGTCAACACCGGGATCTTGTACCGCTTCGGAATCCAGTACACGCTCCCCGGCACTGTAGGCAGGTACGTCCCGTCGCCGACAGTCTGCGCCACAAATTTCCCCTTGTCTTGCCTGCCGGCCTCGGCGTCAGCAGCTAGCTTGATGCCCAGCGAGCCGCCGCCCGACCACCCAAGGCCCCCTCCTCCACGATTGATCCACGATCCGGGTGCGGTCAGCTGAAGGTTATCGTGCACGAATCCCGTGTCGGCCACCGCCTCGATTGCGTAGATTGTATCAGACTGGCACACTTCCCGTAGCATCTTGCACAAGTGCCCCGTGCCAGTAGACCCGTCCGGCAGGGTAGTCGCCGCCTTCGAGATGGCCCCGAGACGGGACTAGTGACCTTTCCTCCGCTCCTTTTCCGCCCATGTCTGGTCACGAGCTGCCAACGCTTTGGCAGCTGGCCCCGACTCGAGAGACACCAGGATCTGATTCACAGACGTCAGGAAATCCGCCTTGAAGCGCCCGTCCGCCTGGATACAGTACAGCGACATCAATTCCTTGACGTGATCATCACGTCGGCCTCTGTCACCGAGTCGTCTACGCCGAAACGCAGGCCCAGCCAACCTGGATGGCCGGCGGGGAAGCACATGTCGCTGCCTCCGGTATCGTGTACACACAGGCCTTTGATGGTATCCGCTAAGACCATGAGCGCCTCAGGAACCCCATGGTTGCGTCCAGAATACCCCATGACAATCAGAGACTTCTTAGCTGTCGACAAGGCCTCGGCGATGGATTCCGCCGCACCTCCAGGAAGCCCACCGAGCTTCACCAAGTCCCAGCGCTCCTGCTTCAGCGAGTACGGACTGATGTCTGCCTCCATAACCTCCCTCGCGCCGCATAGATATACGGATCCCCGCGGATCGCTCGTCGCGAACTGGAGGGCACGTTTAACCATTTGCTTCACGTTAGTTCCCGTCATTATTTCGACCGTATAACGGCATTGTTGGCCAAGGATAGCCTTCTGGTCAGGAACATCTTGCATGCAGTGGATATATCCAGTGCGGGGACCACGCATCTCGCCTTCGAGGGTGAATGGCGACATTCCAGCAAACACAAAGACCGGTGCTCGCCCCGTAGAAGCCTTGTGAACAGCTGCGCCCAGGCCCTATATCCCAGAGTCAACATGAACAATGACGGCCTGAGGCTTTCACTCAGTCTGGCATAGCCATCCGCCATGGACGTTGCCACCATCTAGGAAGAAACTGTTAGTGAATCACGACTAAATTTACAGGTTAGATGAACAAGCTGGATACCTCGTCTGGGCATGTGACGATTCGCGGAAACCGTTCATTGGCCTCACGTTGCCCCTTGACCATGGCCTCGATGATACAAGGATGGTCAGACCCCAGGTTGACAAAACAGTATGTGATTCCAGCCTCCCAGATAGCTTCAGAGAAAGCGAATGAAGCTGTGTACATGTCCGACTTGGCCTGCGTCGACGCATATCTGAGACTGATGTTCATATCCAAAGACAAGGACCGGCCAGATCTGAGTGTGGCACGGGAAACTGCAGCTCGACGGCGTACGCCCTTTGTTAAGGAAGTGGTTCCTTCCAGACAAGACGCAGATGTAGTCGACATCGACACAGAACTGCCGTTCGAAAAAGATGGCACGACTGCACGTCGGCAGTTCCAGTGGGCCGGAGCCAATCCGGCACTTCGAAGGCGAGTAACCTGCAGGGTCTTCTTTTTTTTCCGGCTTCCTCTTGCAAGGTAACGGTCGTTCAGTATGAAGTTGGTCACAGTGATGAGCCAGATGATACACGCCGAGTTGCTCAACACGGTGAGTAGTATTATATGCTGACACCGATACCCGAGTATCGGTGTGCGGGGGGGTCTTCGGTAGTAGGTGAGGATCTGCTCTGGGGTATAAATAGCCAGCAGTAGATCGGCAAAGTATCCGTGTTGTGAAGCGGGGCTGGAGGGGGCGTGGTGGAACAGAGCAATGAAGGTTGAAAAAAAAGAAATAAAATGGAAGAAAGGAACAATGACCGTCTGCTTTTCTTTTTGTTCCATTTACATCATTATGTAATATTGAACGCACCTTCCCTCCCGCTCTTTTCTGCCATGTCGCACCTTCCCTCCGCTCCATCGTCATAAGCATTATGAAGCCGTTCAATTCCGCGTCTGGTCGACGGTTAGTCAGGGGGGGGGTTTCCCCGCCCCCGTCTTGACACGAACTACCAACCGCCTCGTCTCCCTTTCGATAAACCAGATGAGACGAACTTGTGTACTACTTCCATCTTGTCCGAGTTATCCAAATGGGCTTGCCTAGCTAGAACCAAGGGTTCACTAAATGAAAAACGCCTGGCAAAGACAGACACCTGATGAAAGTAAGAGTAGACCTCACTGGAGGAGAAGGATGTTTCCAACGCACGGCTGGGCCTCGCTGTTAACAGATATTAGTATCCATCAATCGTCATGAAAAGAGAAATGTTGGACATGAAAACAGTGGTCAAGCATGCATAACTATCATGGTTTTCAAACACATTAGGTCAACATGGCGTTCCAGATTAGGAAAAGCTATATGCAAGTGTCGAAATGAAAAAAAAACAAAAGACCCTGGAGACAGACTCTCACAGGCGAACGAATAAATGGTCAATATATACAAGGTCGCATTATAAACATGTACGTTCCCAGATTCGGAAGTGTGTGAATGTCTCATTGAAAACTTAAGATGGTCTTCTTCCCCCCCTCTGCAATCTACAATCCGCAGCCGGTGATGGGTGAGGGCTTGACACCGGCAATGGTGGGGACAATGGGCTGGATGAGACCGTCCTTGAAGAAGACCTGGTCAATGATGATCTCACGCCTGGAGCCGTTCTCGTTGGCCTTGCGAAAGCGGTGGTAGGCGATGAACCAGTTGTCAGTGCCGGGGGTGTTGATGATGGAGTCGTGGCCGGGACCGAGGATGTCCTTGGAGACGTCCTTCTGGAGGATGAGCCCGTGGTAGGTCCAAGGACCGGTGGGGCTGGTGGAGGTAGCGTAGCCGACGCGGTAGTCCTCGCTGGCTGTATGGCCGATGGAGTAGGTCATGTGGTAGATGCCGTCGCGGAAGTTGACAAAGGGAGCCTCGGCGTAGTAGGTCAGGCCGCTGGGGGCGGTGGCGGTGTCCCAGTTGACCGAGAGCATGTCGGCGTTCATCTCGGCCATGACGGGCGACCCGTTGCCCCAGTAGATGTAGTTGACGCCGGACTGGGGGTCGTGGTAGACCTGGGGGTCGATCGGTGTGCCGAGGGAAGACACCCTCTCCTGACCGGTGATGAACGGCTCGGGCTGGGCCTTGAAGGGGCCGAGAGGCGAGGGACCGACGGCAACGCCCATGGCCTCCTTCTCGCCGTTGGCGATGTTGCCGCCGGAGAAGTAGAAGTAGAACTTCCCGTTGGCTTTGATGATGGTGGGGGCCCAGGCCTTTCCGCGGGCCCAGGGAACGTTACCCTCGTCACCGTTCAGGTACAGGATCGGCTTCTTGGTGCGCGTCCAGTAGACCAGGTCCGTCGACATCCAGGCGTACAGTTCCATGCTGCTCCACGGGTAGCCACCGTCGGTGGTGGCGTAGATGTAGTAGTTGCAGTCGTCAGGGAAGGTGACGATGTTGGGGTCGGCCCAGTAGCCGGGGATGCTGCTCATCAAGCCCCTCTTGGTCAGGGAGCCATCCCACTTAGAGGACTCCTCTGAGCGGGGGACCTTCATGTCGCGGGGGTGGAGACGATCAAGCGTCTGCTTGGTAAGCTCGGTGAGCTTCTTGATCTCCTGAATCTGCTGATCCTCGTCTAGCATCTCAATGCAGTCGTCCTCTTCGGAGACGAAATGAGGCCAAACGGGCTTGGGGACGATGCCGTCCGTGGCGGCAACGGAGGTGGAAGACCCCTGGGAGGAAGAAGCGGCGGAGACGCCCTTGACGGCCAGGACGGCCGCCGCAACGGAGGCAATGGAGAGTCTCATGACGGCAGCGGTAACGGCAGGTAGCAGTAATTATTCACTAAGAAGAGTGCGCGTCTGCGTGTGGATGGACGGAATTAAAAGAATGTGACTCGGCGGGATAGCAACTAGGATATAAAAGAGAAGGACGGGGTCGGAATTAAAACACAATGCAACCCAAAAGAAAGAATGACTGGGAGACCGAATGCTGCTTGGCTTCGGATCATGCCAGGAAAATGGCACAATCTCTGTTGGGCACCGGACGTGCGAGCCTTATATACACGGACTGGACATGTCGGCGTGACGTTTCCAGGAGAGAAGAGCAGAGAGAGAGGTTGACCGAATAGTTCTGATCTAACACAAGTAATCTCCGCCTGACTACGTTTCTGTCACCCGTCGCGTCCATCATGTCTCTCTCCTTCAGTTGGTAATATGGGTCACAAGTTGGTGTTTATGCTCCTGCTCCTCCCCCTTCACCTTAGAGCCTGTGTGTTTACCTTGCTCGCTTCACTACAGCGGCAATGCTCGGGAGAGGGGGGGGGAGGGGTGTGGGTGAATACCTTGTTCAACAGGTTGTAGCCCCAGCCCACACCTTCCAGGACACACCACACACGGCAGAGACATGAATACCCCGTAGAGAAAGAGAGAGGCAAAACAAAAGTGTGGGTATTATCAAGGGAAGCACGGGTTGCGAAAGGGAGGGAGGTGACTTGTGGAGAACAACAAGCTGGCGCACGCGTCATTTGTATCAGGGCAATAGTAGGAGAGGGCCGGCAAGCTGGACGTGTGTATATAGACTGGCAGAAGATTTCTCTTGCCGTCATCGACAGTTGGTACGAAGGAGTCGAGGAATACAGATGTTAGTCGTGGTAGTAGTAATAGCAGGATGTTAGCAGCAGTAGTATTGTTACTATCAACAAGACTCGGTAGCTTCCCCTCGACGACTACGCCCTGACTTCTTTCCCTATTTGGCTGTCCGTTTAACCGGGGCCGATCCTTTTTTTTATGGGCCTGCCGTCGTTCCGGACTGCGGCTTTGACATGGGTACAACTCAGAAGCGCCAACCCCTTGCCTGCGTAAGTCGTACCAAAGTACCAAGACTCATGATGATTATTACCCGGCGCAGCGGCTGCCGGTTGATTTAAACTAGCACAGCATACCTAGAAGGATGCTTCGGACTATGAACACGTAGAAAAACAAACAAGTTGCGCGAAGAATGTTGATCTTCCACAGCTTGTTCATCCCAACGTAGTTACTTGTTCCTCTCTTACTCCATAGTCCCTAGTGAGTACCTTAACGTTGGCAGCTGCACTTTCTCTTCGTTTCTCCCGTCGCGCCTAATAGCTAATAGTCACACTTAGCGGTGTCACTTGTTCCTTTTCAAGCTTCTTGTTTCCTTGCTTGGTTTAAAGCCTGACATCCCTACAGCCTTAGCATTGATCGATAGCTTGGCGACTCGAAGAAACTTGGCAACGCGAAGAAACTTGGCAACTAGAGGAAGCTTGGCAACGAGAGAAGGCGTGCCAACAACAAACACGCTGCGTGCACGCATAGTCCAAACATCAGTCCGTCAATGCCAGCTCCGACATGATCCCGCACTAACTCGCAGGAGCCGATAGCACAGGTACATGTAATACTTTTCTAATCAAAGCAAGGCTGCGTCCTCCTCCCTCGCGCTTGGTACTTAGCCCTTGTATAATATAATGTATTACGTGTCAATCCATGCAATCTGGCCTCAACGTCACACACATTTCCCAACTCCCGTTGCCCCCACTCACACCATGCGCCGTGGTTCGACACTAACACTGCAAGATGCCGTGGGTTAACTAGAGGGGATCACTCACTCCTCTCAATCCTCGCTCGTACCACTACTACAGATATTACTACGAATACTACGATCAACGAATACTACGAATACTAGTCTACCTGTACGTGGTACTACTACAGTAGCATGCGATTGGCAACCCCTACATAGTACAGTCCAGTAGATCAGCAAACCCGCAGGCCTGCAGCCTAACTTTCTGCATGTTGCGCCATCCCCCCCTCCCTCCTCTGGCTATGTTCCCTCTGCTTTGACTCCTTCATGCATACTACCTCTCCCTCGTGATTATCTCCCCTCTCATATGACTTGTGCGCACACCCTCCCGCGGGATAGATCGGTTCGTTCCGCCAAGCATCTAGCATGGGCACGCGCACACAACTCGTGAGAACACTTCGGAATAATGCTACCAGTAACGAAATGCTCTTCACGGTCATGCTCACCACATAACAATGAGCAATACTACGTCGCAAAGCACATGATTGTGTAGTTGGATGAGAACTTTCCAAGAACGAAGGGACTCGAAAAAAAAGAAGGCAAAAAAAAAAAACACACAAAAGGGCTAGATGAATCCTTTTTCGTTCATGTACTGCCACGTATGTGCATTAAACGCTATACAGACACGCGAAACAAATGCCAAGAACATTGTCATCGCCATCACTGCCGCTACCGCTACCATCATCATGCCTCCTACACCACTACTATTCCATGCACAGCTTCTCGGTCGCCAGCAAGACGCTGCGCCTCCGGTGGCCGGTGCTGGCACCGACAACGGTGGAGAGGATCTCACAAAGGCCCAGATCGGAGCTATAGCAGGCTGCATCGTCGGGTTCGCCATCGTCTCTGTCACCTTGACCTTTTGCCTCGTCAGCCGGTACCGTGGTCGAAAGCGTCTACGTCAGCGTCGCCGTCGTAGACATGATCATCGCCATCATCCTCACGATTATCGGCAGGCTCCTCATCCTCATCCTCGTCGAAGCCGCAGCGGCCGGCACGGACATCATCATGACCGTGAGAAGCCAGCAGCGTGGCCTCCCAACACGGCCGTCTCGTCATATCACTCGACGGCAGACAGCGATCCGCCCCCTCCTCTGAGAAGGTTATCACTGACGAGGGTGCGCTGGTCGTCCCCTCCTGTAGTCGTGGCTGTGGCTGAAACAGACGAAGAGAAGGTGCATACCCCTGGCGGGCCGGAGTACCCGGCGGCCACGTATAGAGCCATCCCGAGGGGAAACTCATAGGTTACGCATACTGGGGGTAGGTGGTAGCAGATACGGAGATTGACTGGTTTTTTTGGTTGTTGTCCGGTCTGTTCTTTTTGTTCTTCTCATCACGACGTATTACAGACAGAGTTTCTGTATCTTATTTTGAATACTGCATTGATCACATGAGAATCATGAAGATCAGGGACTCTAGACAAGGAGGCTGAATTGACGTCGTATTCTAGAAAAATGGCATATAACTACTAATATCAGTCACGATGCATGTAAATTGTAATAACAACGTACGTATATGATATATTTGCTCCATTTGCCCCATTGGCCATGACGGTTAATCGGCTCTGCGAATATACCATTCGTAACCAATTCTCCTTGCATATATTATATCACTCCGCATCTATGTCACTTTTTTTTCAAATTCACATGCATGTTTCTTTGATTCATCTGATCCAATGTTCAAAGCTGTTTTTCCGGGATATTGATACACCTCCTCCGTTTGAAGATGGTATTAAACGAACGCCTGTTATCTCTCCTTTCAGAAGAAAAAAAAAACAGCATATCACTAGATCGTCGACTTCCGGTCTCTGGCACAAGAGTGTCTCTTGTCAAGACCCAGAGCCACGCGTTTCCACTTGGTGAGACTCCTCGCTACGCCACGTCTACTAGCAGGGTTCACACTCGTCTTGTCGCGAGGTGGCACACGCGACGCGTCGAGGGCAAGAGATGCCAGTGCACGGCCAGCTGCTTTTGTATTGACCGTCAGCGCGGCCCAGTCAACATTGTCAATATCGTCGCATGCCGTGTGGTAACAAGGGTCCTGCGGTGCACCGGCTCCAGTGAAGATGCCCGACGAGGGAATACCGGCCTCTATGAAGCCGAGATAATCCGACGAAGATCCAAATGATCTGCATGTTTTTTTTTGTGTGTATGTGTGTTTACACAAACCGTAAGTCAGCCGGGAACGACACACACAGCAGGCAGCTACACTGTTGCGCTGATCACGTCCATATAGACACCAACACAGCATTCTTGCGGATCGACTGAACATACCCATATTGCACGTCACGACCCTGCTCCTCGAGATAGTCAAAGAGGATCTGACCTCCCGTCTTATGCGCGTCTGTGTCGGCGTAGATGTGGAAGAAGGGCTCGGGCGAGCCAATCATGTCGTAGTTGAAGTAGAAGCGGATCGCATCGAGCTCTGCCTCAGACAGCTGTGAGACATAGTAGAGGGAGCCGACCAGGCCACTCTCCTCGGCACCCCACCATGCGAAGCGCAGCTTGTTGTGATAGCCAGTGTACTTGGACACCGACGCGGCGATCTCTAGCAGGGCGGCGCTGCCACTTCCATCATCGTTGACGCCTAGATGAGGGTGTGGTCAGGTATTGGTGTCTCAGGTACGGGAGTCAGGCACACACAGACACGCAGCACACTCACACCCGCCCGCTCCCCTTTCAAATCTCCCACCCGTCTGATGAACATACCTGGACCCGCCTGGACGCTGTCCAGATGGGCTCCCACCATGATGACATTGTTCGCGTCGCCCTCCTTTGTCTCGGAAATGACTTGCCAGGTCTCGCGATCCTCCGCAGTCGCGTCCACCACGAGCTTGACCTCAACCGTCTGGTTCGCTTGCACTTGATCCCACCAGCCTGTTCCCTGCTCAAGCGTGACGACGGCCACGGGGGCTAGATCTCCGTAGTTCTCGCCGCTGAGCGTGGCGGACGAAATGTTCGGTCCGGCTACGTTGTTGATGAGGACTGCGCCAACCGCGCCCTTTCCCTTGGCGATGCGCAGCTTGTCGGCGATTGCACACGAGCCGCGCTTGACGAGGGCAATCTTCTTTTCCACATTCAGTCCCGCCCACTGGTCCTCGAAACAGCCCGACCCCCGCTCGTCGTCGATGGGCACGTTGACCAGGGCTGCCGTCACGCCGTCAGGCAGAGGTGTAGGGTTGTTGTACTGCAGAGTGACTGCCTTGACTTCCTTGCCGTCTGGGCCCGTCAGAGAGATGTTGTGCGTGGTAGCGAAGAGATGTGTGAATGGCTGGACAAAGGTGTCAAACTTATCGCCGAATCGGCCCACCACGCGCTCTAGAATAAAGTCCAGCGAGGCGTTGTAACCGGGTAGGCCGAATGCTCGGTTGCCACCATTGTCGACTGCAATCTTGTTGAAGTTCCAAAGGATATTCTCGAGTCTGGGTTCATGTAGTATCAGAGAGTTTGCTATAGAAGCCGAAGGGTTGCTCGACAAGCTCACCTGGCTTGGGAGACATCAGCTTCCACCTTGTCTTCCGTCAACTTTTCACTGGCCAAGGAAGCAGTTACCAGTAGACCAGTCGATGCGATGCTATTGAATCTCATGGTGAATTGTAACTGTGGTTGAAACTGAGGACTTTCCGGGTTACTGTAAGTGTAAGTGCGTATGATTGCACAAGGTTGCCGGGGAGAGGGCAGTGCCAGAGTCCCGGTCAAGTCGTGTGCGTGCTCTTTATATGTAGAATCCGCATTCCCGCCTGACGACATTCTTACTTCGAGCTTCAATTGATAACACCATTCAAAACTCTCTCATGCTGCCAAGGTTTTAACTCTACCGGTCCAGCCGTTGCAGAAAAGGCAGGTCGCATCGTATCAATGCAAACAAGCGGGGCTCTGGCGTACCCTACGGACCTGACTGCATCCCCAATTCGGTCATTGCGCCATATCATGGGCTCTCATCGTCCTGAACTGCGCACGATGTTCATGATAATTGGTCGACAATAGGTTCGACTCAATATTGATTGGGTCTTTTGGGTGATATATGTGTGGTGCAAAGGTCCCCTTGTCAGATCTCGACAATAAGCATCTTTTTTCACTTTTTGATAGCGTACATTTAGTCACCGGTCCAGACCCCACGCACAAGAACAGTTTCCCACCAAATGGAACTGCGTGACCATGAGACAACGATGAACATGCCGTAGACAAGTCGACGATGGCGCTTTCCTCTTTTCAACTCGCAGGGTGAGATGTTTCTTTATCAATGCTGTTCAGTTCATGGTTCAACGCCACTGTCGTACTTTAGGACAGTCTCGACTAGATGCCCCCGCCCGCCCACGCCGAAACCTGGGGTGGATGAAGCTGTGGGGTCCAGCTCTATCAGGCATACGAACGGGCGTTGATATATCACCTGTATATATTTGAGACCGATTGAAGCCTCGCCCGTAGTCAGGGCGAAGGAAGGGCACAATACTGGGTGATCTATTATTCATGACCGAAAATGAAGATGCTGTCACGGTGAGAAGGAAAAGAGACGGCGAGAGAACTATGCTGAGTCATCATCCACCTGTATGTTAGGCAGTTGCACCCTGCCTGCACCTGTTTGTAATCGCGCCATCGCGTAACTTCGAACAGCAGCGGGGCAGTGCCTGAACGTACGAGTCTTAAAGGCTGATGGCGGGGTTCTCTGGTATTACCTCCGTTTATGGTACGTGCTCGGGAAAACATGTGATGCAATGAGGTTTTCTTCTTCTATGCTATCCTTTCTTCTTTTGATGTTTTGTTAATAGGTTTATCTGCTTTGTCTTCTTCTATCCCCTTCTCTACCTTCTCGGCCGCCCCTCCCCGTTCCTGCGAATAGTAAATACCCAACCGGAACAATGGCCGACTCTCAGGTCCCCCGCGTCCCTCGCGGTGCAGCCACTGTCCTCTCCGCCACGGAACTCATCGGAAATACGCCCCTCATCAGGCTCAACAAGCTTCCCCAGGCACTGGGAATTGAGTGCGATGTCTATGTCAAGGCCGAATACTTCAACGCTGGTGGTAGTGTTAAGGACAGAATCGCCCTCCGCATGGTGGAAGAGGCCGAGAGGAGCGGCCGTATCAAGCCTGGCGATACCCTCATTGAGCCAACCAGCGGCAACACGTTAGTCCAAAGGCCTCCTAGTCCCCATCTTATCCTTATGTGTTGACATGTCACAGCGGTATTGGTCTCGCCCTAGTCGGTGCCATCAAGGGCTACAAGACCATCATTACCCTCCCGGAGAAGATGTCGGCCGAAAAGGTCTCTGTGCTGCGTGCCCTGGGTGCTACCATCATCCGCACGCCCACACAGGCAGCCTGGGACAGCCCCGAGTCCCATATCGGTGTGGCCCGTCGCCTGGAGAAGGAACTTCCCAATGCCCATATTCTCGACCAGTACTCAAACGTGGATAACCCACTCGCGCACGAGCTAGGCACGGCCGAGGAGATTTGGGAGCAGACGGGTGGCAAGATTAGCGCCGTCGTGGCCGGTGCCGGAACCGGAGGTACCATTACCGGTCTGTCGAGGGGCATCAAGAAGCACGACTCCAGCGTCAAGATTGTGGCGGCCGATCCTCAGGGTAGCATGCTGGCCCTTCCCGAGACCCTCAACGAGGAGCACCTCAATGCGGCCTACAAGGTCGAGGGCATAGGCTACGACTTTATCCCCGACGTCCTGGACCGCCATGCCGTCGACAAGTGGTACAAGACGGACGACAAGGAGTCCTTCTACCTCGCCCGACGTTTAATTTCCGAAGAGGGCCTGCTCGTCGGTGGCAGCTCTGGCTCTGCCTTGGCTGCCATGGTCATGGCTGTTAGGGACTTTGGATTCACCAAGGGCGATGTAGTCGTCGTCATCCTACCGGATAGCATCCGCAGCTACCTGACCAAGTTTGCTGACGATGACTGGCTGGCGGCCAACAACCTCTTGCCTGCCAGCGGCCTCGAGCCACCTTCATCGGCCGTCGGCAAATCCGAGGACCCTTACAATGGAGCTACAATCGCCTCCCTCCGTCTCAAGCCCGTCACGTCGGTGTCTGCCACGGCCATGTGCTCCGAGGCCATCGAGACGATGCGCGACAAGGGCTTTGACCAGCTGCCTGTGCTGTCTGCCACATCCCCTACCAGGCTCGTGGGACTCGTCACTCTGGGAAACCTGCTCAGTTACATCTCTCGTGGCCGTGCCACGGCTACTAGCCAGATCAAGGATGTCATGTTTGACTTCGCCCACCTTGACGAGATCATTACAGACCCGCGCCAGGGCGCGGCACTCGGTCAGACAAACACGGCGACTAAGAAGCGCAAGTTTGTCCAGATCACAAAGGACACGTCTCTGTTGGAGCTGAGCAGGTTCTTCGAGTGGAACTCGTCGGCCGTCGTCACCGAGGGGCAGGAATCTGGGCACCTGTCCAAGCCTGTGGCCATTGTCACCAAGGTGGACTTGTTGACGTGGATGATTAACAAGAAGGACTAGAATTTCTGATCTAGTTTTCATGCCGCTGTAATGTCTAGAATAGCCAAAGGGGCTTTGGCTTAGGAGTTTGGTTTCAAAACAGCAGGGCGGCCCATGGCCGTAAGGAACATCTTTGCTTAGGGGCTGACGACACGTGTAGTTTTACCGTGGGCACGAAAGGATACAAGAGAAGATGAAAAGAAGAAAAATTTCATGACTGCGCATGTCTCATTATGGAAACTAGTATAAAAAAATTGAGAATTAGTTTTATGTTGCTGTCGCGCCCTCTCCCTCTTATATCTTCTGAGCAATCCACCACCACCACTTTTCAGCCCCGGGTCCATCACCCTTGACGTTTCCAGGCAGGATCTCGACGTTGATGCCAAACTCCTGCATCTGCTTGAAGGAGAACTTTTCGGTGCCGTACTGACCCAGCCAGGCATCCTGCTCCTCGCTGCCCACATCGTCAGCTCCGACACCGGAGTCGAGCAGACCTTTGCTGCGGGAGGTGCGGATGCGCGACAGCTCAGCCTCGAGGCTAGACCTGACCATCGTAGCGGGCAGGGCGGTGAAGAGGTCCATCTTGTTGGCGGCAATGAGGACGGGCACGGGGCCGGAGGGCTTGTTCTTGTCGCCGGTGGCGGCGGTGCGACGCTGCAGGGAGAGGAGCAGGTCGTGGAGGTACGAGGCCGTGACGGACAATACGTCCTGCTCACCTAGGGCGGAGGCGTCGACGACGAAGACGACGGCGCGAAGCTTCTCGGTACGCCGGAGCTTGCCCTCGGCGACGTTGCGCAGCTTTCCGTGCCCGGGGGTGTCGATGAGGAGGAACTTGGTGTAGGTGCCCGTCGTGTCATCGTGGTTGCGGAAGCTGGTGCGGGAGTCGGAGTCGACCGAAGCGTTGAGCTCGACCGACTGGGTGGACTGAGTGGTATGGGTGGCGGCCGGACCGTCGTCACCGCGCTCGAACAGGGTGAGGAGACTGGTCTTGCCTGCCCCCTCCGGACCGAGGAGGAGGACGGCGGGGGGGGACGTGTACGTCCGCGACGAGGAGAGGATAAAGTGCAGGATGATGGAGGGAATGAAGAGGATCAGGAGGCCCGTTATGATGACGGTGGGGGATGGCGTCATTATGGCCTCGACTACCGAGGTGAAGGTCGCCATGATTGCGGCTTTGGTTCCAATGGAGACGTGTCCGGTGGGAAGGTGGAAAGGTGTCAAGTGTGCATCTCGCGTCAGAAGCTTTGGCGAGTTTGTGTGTGCAATTAATCATTAGTGGTGGGGATCGCCCCAGTTGGTCGGTTGGTCGTACGAGCGCAAGCAGCTGTAGAGACGAAGAAAAGGTTACCCTAGAGGAGAGAGGTATGTGGGCTATAATAATATGGTTGGTGGTGGTGTGGATTGGATAACAGGATATGTACGTACTCGTATAGTACGATTATCCAAATACTACGGAGTAATGCATACAGACACGCACATAGCCACAGGCCCACAGCCTCATTGTCCATGCCCCCATATTTCACCGGGGGTGTTAATATCCGTAATATAATCAAAAGGCATCTTTCCTCCAACAGAGCCAAGTATCCAAGGGCTGTTGCTCCGTAATAAAAAAAGGGGATTCGCGATACCGTACATGTTTTGTGATAGCGACTCCCCATGATAGGCTGCACAGGTTAGAAGGAGGAGAGGATACGGACGTCTGCTTATTACAAGGTGCTCAAAGGGCTTATAGGTACAAGTAGCGGCTCATCGGCCAATGGTTCCACCGTTCCCAGCGAGACCTTGCAGCCTACGAGTAGAAGGTAATAATACGTGCTCGTTACATACTCGTATACAGGTCCTGAAGCAGCTCAAACCTCATCCCTTTACGCCCGCCGCCCATACGCGTCCCAGCTGCCCCTGCTCCACCAAATTTCCATCTCATCCGGCATCTCTTTTCCCTTCTTTCCTCCTTCTCCCTCGCATTTCTTCCCCCCCCTCCTTGGCATCGCCACGATCCCTGTAGCATCTTCTATTTCTCTTATTCTTCTCCTCTCTTTGTCGCCCATCTTCCCTGGTCGTCTTACTTCTGTTTTCCTTGCTTTTCTAATTTACTACGCGTAAACGGTCTGCTCCCCACGAACCCCCTGTTCCTTCCTTTTTTCTTTCTTTTCTTATCCGCCCTACCTCTACGACGTATCGAATCCACACAGCTTTCTACCGGGGTTCGTGCTTTGTGACCACACACGCTCTCTCTCTCCTGAGCTTACTCCTTGACCGCGACATTCCCAAAACCTTTTGATGGTAGCTCCATCCGTCCAAGGCAGCGATCCTGCCAATGCCACCACTGCCACAACTGCCGCCGCTGCTCCCCGACAACCCTCGTCTAAGTCGACAATGGCCGCGCCCAAACTTAATAGCGATATGGAGATGGGCAGTGTGCACGGCGACCAGGTCGCCCCGGCCGCCGCCGACGATACCCAGCAGGATGACATCATGCAGTTCGCCCGGTTAGGCGACATCAAGGCCATGGAGAAGCTGTTCGAGCTCAAGGGATACGATGCCACCTATGCCGACGAGGAGGGTATCACGCCACTACATGTACGTTTCTGCGGAGCCGTCTAGATCTGCGGTGATGATGAGAGAGGTGATGCGCGGGAAGACGCGACACCGACAAGAATGACGAGGAGGGATTAAGAGCTGACCAAGACGAATAGTGGGCTGCAATCAACAATCAGTACGCCATGTGCAAGTTCCTCATCGAAAACGGCGCCGAAATCAACCGCAAGGGCGGCGAGTCGGTAGCCACGGCTCTGCAGTGGGCAGCCCAGCGATGCCATTACTACACCGTCAATCTCCTCCTCCAGCACGGCGCCGACCCCCTCATCACCGACTCGCAGGGCTACAACACGCTGCACATCTCGACCTTTAACGGGAACGTCCTCCTCATCGTCCTCCTCCTCCACCAGGGAATCCCCGTCGACGTCGTCGACAGCTACGGCCACACGGCCCTTATGTGGTCCGCTTACAAGGGTCTGCCCCAGTGTGTCGACATGTTTCTCCGCTGGGGCGCCAGCGTCCACGCCACCGATGAGCAGGGCTTCACGGCTCTGCACTGGGCACTCGTCAAGGGTAACCCCTTCTGCGTCCTCAAGCTCATCGAGTATGGTGCCGATCGCTTCGCCAAGACGCACACGGGAAAGACACCCGCCGCCACCGCCGCAGACCTGGGTACCGACCAGGCCTGGTTCTCGGCCCTGCGCGAGTGCGGATACGACGAGGACGGCCACCCTGTCACCCCGCCTTGGCCGGGCGCCCAGTATTTCATTCGCGACAAGCGGCTCTTTGTTCTCCGATTCACCTTCCTCTGCCCCTTTGTCCTCGTCTGGGCCATTGCTATGGTCCTCTCTCACGCACCGGTGCTCCTCGCCGTGCCGCTCGCTGGCTTTGTCGGATTCTCCATCCAGTGGGCTGCACAGCAAGTCCTCGACTACGCCCCTCCTAGTCTGAGGGCCTTTCACAAGACGCCCTGGCTCACCGGCATCTTCGCCGGCTCCCTATTCCTCGTAGGCGTCGACTGGTTGTTTGTCGTCCTGCCCGTCACCGTCACGGCAGGCGAGTCTCAGGGTTCCCGATCGCATTTCCTGCTCAACCTCGTCCTTGCCGCCCTCCTCGGCCTCACCACCTATTTCTACATTGTCTCGATGCGAAATGAGCCCGGATACGTGCCCAAGCTCAGCGGTATCTCGGAACAAAAGGCCGTCATTGACGAGCTGCTTGCCTCGTGGAAGTATGACGAGTTCAACTTTTGCATCACCTGCATGACTCGGAAACCTCTGCGTAGCAAACACTGCAAAGCCTGCCAGCGATGTGTTGCCAAGCATGACCATCACTGCCCTTGGGTCTACAACTGTGTGGGCGTCAACAACCACCGTCACTTTTTCCTCTACATCATCTGCCTGACGCTGGGCATCCTCACCTATGACTGGCTCTTGTACTACTGTGAGTTTACATCCGTTCAAGATGATGACATCTTCGGCCACGATACAATCATCTGGCCAACCGCTAACCAATCGGCCAAACAGACTACGACACCGTCTCGCGCGCCGGCTCCGACAGCTGCAGCTTCCTCAGCCCGAACCTCTGCCAACTCGTCAACGTCGACGCTTACACGCTCATCCTGGCCATCTGGGCATCCCTCCAACTTCTGTGGGTGACAATGCTCCTGTTCACGCAGTCGGTGCAGGTTGCCCGCGCCCTTACAACGTACGAGAACATGTACGGCGTCCACGACAGCGGCACGACAACGGCATTCACATCGACGGGCCACCCTCTCGACCCGAACCACCCGTCCATCTCGGCCCCCAGCGACAACGCAGGCGGCCACAAGACCAAGGTCGGCAAGCTCAAGCAGTGGAGCCGCGTGCTGGGCATCGACCCCTTCATCGAGACGATTGCCGGTCGGGGCGCCGCGGCGGGCAGCAAGCGCATACGCAAGAAGAACCCCTACACGAGGGGATACGCCGTCAACTGCAAAGACTTCTGGTGCGACCCCGCGCCCGTCTTTGGTAAGAGGGAGAATGGCACGGCTATCCTCGGTGGGAGCCCTGTCGATTATACGGTCATGTACGAGAGCCCTAGACTCATGAGCCTCAGCGGAGGGAGGGGTCGTGACGGGTACGAAGCAGTTGGGACAGAGGTGGTGTAATATCAGGGACAGACGGTTTTCTTCTCTTCTCTCTTGTCTTTTTTTTTTCACTCACGTTTTTACTAAAAGAAAAAAAAGACATGCAAACGCAGCGGGCGAGAAGGGTTCTCCGCCCGAGGCCCTTGGCAGGGTATATGAAGGTATACGGGCTATCCATATTGGGGATGCCCCTAGTGTGTTTTCTATTTGGCCCCCTGTTTTTTCTTGGTATTGGGGACGACACTTTTTCTTTTTTCTTTTTTGTTCACAGACCATATGACGACCAGCATGGAACAACTGTACATTTACACGATTTGCGGGAACGAAAGACGGTGGTTTAGGAATTGGAAACATGGTAGCGCTGTGATAGTATATATTTTTAATCTCGTTAAATCACTTTGGAATATTTTTATATCAAGAAGTAGTGCAGGGGGGRGGGGGGGGGGGRGGTATATGGTAGTTGTCCAAAAAGACGGGATATTCTGGGCGCTTAGATACTAACACCCTTGTCGTCGTCCTCATTGATACGACTGCCCAAGATCTTTCTCTCATGATCGACGACAGACTTGGGCAGACCGATACCTATGCCCAGAAAGACAAAGAGGGCCCATTTCCAGCGGAAGGGGTTGAAGGCAACGCAGAAGGCGAACCACCACACAAGCTCCAGGTAGGTGATGAAGTCGAAGGCAGCAGTGGGACTGGTAGCCTTCAGGAGTCGCGTCATGTCGATCCAGCGACGCATCCAGAATGGACCGGGGCGGGTGAGCGGGTCGGAGAGGAACATCAGCAGGACGCGGGTGTAGATGCCTATGTGCCAGTTGCCGACGGATCCAATGGCGGAGACAAAGGTACAGTTGATGGCGCTGACGGAGGGGTGGACGGGCGGGAAGGTCTGGATGTACCAGCTCGGCGGGGCGTAAGGCTCGACGAAGCACTCTTCTGGGAGGAATGACAACGACGGCCTCTTGAAGCCGGTGGCCAGGATGATGATGTCGGCGTCGATGTGCTCGTCATGTCCGGGGCCGCCCTCGGGCACGCCCTTGGCGCGACGGTTGATGGCAAGCCCCTTGTCCGTTATGCCGTCGATGTCGCCGCGGACCCACTCGACCTGACCGCTACGGAGCTGGTCCATGACGTCAGAGTTGACGATGGGCGTGTCCGTGAAAAGACCCTTGCCCGAGCCGGCAGGTGGTGCGACGGCCTGCATGTCACGGTAGAAGAACTTGCGTAGGAGGAACTCGGGGACGAAGGACAGGAGCGTCTCCTGACCAAAGATGTTGAGCGACAGGAGCACGTCTACTATCACGTTGCGGGGGATGATCCACTTCTCCGAACGGGAGACTATGTACGTCTTTGCAGCGCCGGCAGCAGCAGCGAACTCAAAGGCTTCCACGGCCGAGGCGCCACCACCGATTATGGCCAATTTCTTGCCCTCTGCGTTTTTCCTGTCCCCCCCCCCCCTTCATGTCAGGGTCTGTGTGCGTCTCGGGAGAGAGAGAGGAGAGTGGTTACTTACCCAGTAAGGTCAGATGAGTGATAGATTTCACCCTTGAACTTGTCCATACCAGGCATAGAAGGCATCTTGGGATCACCACAGGTTCCCACGGCGGCAATAAGACCGTCGAAGCGGCCGTTGGAGATGTCGTTGATTATCCACCGCCCCCGCTCGTCTTGGTATACCTTGCTGACCTTGAAGCCGAAGCGGGTCTTGCGGTCGAGGCCGTACGTCTTCCATATCTTGCGCACCTGCTCCAAGATCTGGCGCTTCTTGGGATATCCCGTGTCCCACTGGACGGACGGGTGAAACCTGTACATCATGGAGTGGAGCTGCAGGCTGGACGTGTCGTTTACTTTCTAACATATGTAGTCAGCATTGTTTTCTTCTTTTGGTGTGATTGTGTCGTCATACCGCCCATATCCCACCGACTTGATGCTCATCTTCACCCTTTTCAAAGATGACGACGTCGTAGCCGTGACCGACGCAGTGAGCCGCCGCCGTGACACCGGTGATACCAGCGCCTATGATGGCCAACTTGGGACGGCCGAGCTCTCGGTCGGACTTGGGTGGGGTCGGGGACAGGAACTCGGAGATGATGGCTTGGATGGTCTGGTAGGCGCAGAGGAATAGCCAGAGGAGGGAGCTGCTGCTGCTGCTGCTGCTCGCCGTTCCCTGGGTGGGGAAACTGGTTGCTTCCTTTGGCATCGTTCCTTGTCATGTAATATCTTCTATTACGTGGTATGTATCAGTTAAGAAGAAGAATCAAAAAGAGAAAGTAAGAAGAAGAAGAAGAGGAACAAGAGGAAGAAGGAGAAGAAGAGGCAAGGTAAGAAGAAGAGGAAGAGGGAGAGGGGAAGAAGAAGTAAAAGATAGAGGACAAGACAGATTGAGTTGGTCGGTTGGAATGATTGTGTTCTTAAAGGCTTCTCTTTCTTCTTGTCTATCTTTTTTGTATGGAAGATGTGTGACGTCAGTTGATTCTTCACATGCTTGAACTGTTTGATCTGATCGACTGAATTCCTTTTCTGTATTTCATTTCTATTCTTTATGATGATGTTTCCTAGTAACCGGCTAGTAATAGATCCTGCTTTCGTCCAAGTCTTTGACATCAGATAATCGGGCCCCTTCTTTCACATGTTGGCTTTTATTATAATTTTCAATTGATATTGTCGTCATATTAAGACTCCTTACTCCCTCCCCCCCCCCAAATCTCCCTTCTCCCTCCCTTTAATACGTCCCTTTCTCTTCTTCCAACTTGATCTGTGCATCACTCTACTCGATTTCATATGATTTCCATCATGGAGAACCCAGGTATGTTTCTATATCGGATAACACCTTTGCAACATTTCAATGATGCTCCTGTTCAATTGGGTCAATTGGGGAGAATACTTACTCACCCCTGTAGCTCTCGAAATCAAAGACGTCATCAGGATCCTCACCACTGGTTCCCCACCAGAACAAGAGGCCAGCCTAAAGTCGTACTTCACCAGCGACGCAGCCTTCTACCATCCATTCTGTCGCGTACCGTCCTTCCCCGTCGGATCAGTCCCTTTCGCTCCGAGTCTCGACTCGAGATGGATCCTACTGTGCATCTACCGGTGGTACCGCACCCTCAGTCCGCACATAGACATAACCATTGACGATGCCGGTAAGAGGAAGGCGGCAGGGCAAGCAACCGCCGCCCTGGCGTGGCCCGATTGACCTATCAATACCACGGTACATGTATAGCTGATGTGTGTGCGTGCGTGTGCGTGCGTGTGCGTGCGCGCGCATATGTAGCCTTTGACAAATCATCCAACAAGCTGTTCGTGCCTATCCGGCAGACTTTTTCCATCTGGTTCATCCCCTTCCACAAGGCGCCCGTCCAGCTGGTCACGGTGCTGCAGCTGGTGCGTCGGTCGACGGTCGAGCACGCCGCCACGCTGTCGTCGCCCTCGTCGTTTGCCACCGAGGCCCTGACGAACGGTTCCGACTCCGTGCGCTACTACATTGCCAGTCAGGACGACCGTTACCATCTCAACGACTGCATCCGCTTCGTCATCCCTTGGCTTCTCCCGCTGCTGTGGTCCGCCTGGCAGCTCGTCGCTACGGGCATGTGTGTCCTCGGGTCCCTCTTGTTCCTGCCGCTGTATCTGGTTCTGAATAAGGGGACCGAGGCCAAGGGAAAGTCTGCTGTCTTGTGATCTCGTATTCCCAAAATCAATGTAAATATGTATTCATGTCGGCGTGGACGGGGGAAAAAGAATATCCAGGGTAAATAATTATCCTGCGGTCTACATTATCCGGGGACCCTCCCTCTTTGGTGTGGAGACGCAGTTGGGGAAGGATTAGGTGTGTTTTAATACATGTCCTTTTTTCTTATATTCAACCTCATCTCTTGAAAGTTCGCTTCTCTCTTGTTTCCTTCAAGCTTTGACAGTTCTCCCCTCTCATAATGGAAATACCACCCTATCTCGGCCAATCCAACGTCTTTGACTGGATGCACAGCAACCCCTTCTCCTCGCAGAACGGCCACACGCCACTAGATCGCATCGTCCCATCTATACCCTCTGATAGGCCCATTTTTGTAGATGAAGCAACTGGTGAGCTTCTGTCTCTTTTCTCTCTTCATTTCTCTCTCTCCCTCTCCCTCTTATTTGTGAGACTCTTCACTGGTAGAAAACGTGACGGTACTAACCCCCCCCTTGCAGATCACACCTTGACCCGGTCCCAGCTCAGACGCGATGCCCTCCTTCTAGCTACCGGTCTCCAGACCACGCTGGGACTCAACCCAGACGAGACGCAACACTTCAAACCGACAGCGACGTGTGCTGACCCACACATCGCACCCGTCGTGCTCATTCAGCTCCCCAACTGTCTGCCCTTTGCCACAGCCCTGATGGGCACCCTGGCCGCCGGTCTGACCGCCACACTCGTCTCGCCTGCTCTGACAGCCTCGGAGACGGAATGGGTGGTACGGCAGTCCCGGCCGCGCGCATGCATCGTCACGTCCGCATGCGTAGACAACGTGAAGAGGGCGCTGGGGAACGGACACGATACCTCTGTGCCGATCTACACTGCCGACTCGCTGTCGGACCTCCTCAGCATCGACGGTGACTCCGCGGCAGTGCGACAGCCTCAGTCGCTGGACGCGTCAAACCGCGCTGCCGTCATGCTCTGGTCGTCCGGGACGTCCGGCCGGCCCAAGGGTGTCCTCCTCTCACACCGCGCGCTCAACCTCTCCGTCGCGTCCGTGTGGCACGACGCCGACTTCTACCGCGGCCTCCCCGAGCGCTGGCTCGGCTTCGTCCCCTTCTACCACGTCTTTGGCCTGCTGAACCTGTTCCTGGCCGCCGTCGCCGCTGGCGCAACAGTCTACATCATGCCCTCCTTCAACCCCGACGCCATGCTCTCGGCCGTGCGCCGCAGACGCCTGACATACCTCCACATGGCGCCGCCCGTGGCCGTCCTGCTGGCCAAATCGCCCCTCGTGCACCGCGACACCTTTGTGAGCGTGAGGGCCGCCATAACCGGCGGCGCACCTCTGGGCCATGACATCATCGCCCAGGTGTACGCCAGACTCGGTTTTCGCATCAGGATGGGCTACGGCTTGACGGAAGCCTGCAACGTGAGCGTGCAGTTCGGGCTGAATGAGCACTCGCTGCATGACCAGGCGGGTACCACCGGCCGTGCCCACTGGGCCGTCGAGCTCGCCGTCTCGTCAGAGGGCGAGGTTCTCGTGCGCTCTCCCTCTCTGATGATGGGCTACCTCCCCGTCGATGGCGTCGACACGTCTGCCACCGACGAGGCGCTCACCCATGACGGGTGGTTCCGCACCGGTGATGTCGGTACCCTCGATCCGCAGGGAAACCTTCGTCTGACGGACCGGATAAAGGAGCTCATCAAGGTGCGGGGCTTCCAGGTCGCTCCCGCAGAGCTCGAGGGAATCCTGTGCGCGAGTGACGACGTGGCTGATGCCGCTGTTGTCGGCATCCTTGATAACGACAGCGCAACCGAGTGGCCGAGAGCCTTCATCGTGCCGCGTTCTGCTCCGCATACCGCGTCGCAGCAGCATGACCTGGCTCATCGGCTGAGAGAGCTTATCGAGACCCATGCTACCAGGTACAAGTGGCTCAGGGGCGGGGTGGTGTTTGTCGACAAGATTCCCAAGTCACCGAGCGGCAAGATTCTACGGAGGATAATGCGCGACGGGGGCATCAAGGGCGTCGAGGTGGCCGTTTACGGCAGTGCCGCTCGGACATCAAAAATCTGATTGAGACTTCTTTTCTCGTACGTGTCTGTGAATTGGATATTGCCAGAAGGAAAGAAAGAAGAGAAGACCGAAATATTGCACACAAGCGCTAGACCAAAAACTAGAAAACACGGACCTCGTTGTATGCATGGTAACCAACGAGTAACATGGGGGGGGGGGGGTTATCAAATAATAACAGAAGGGGAATATGAAGCAGAGCGCTGCTCCCGGCTAGTCATTCGTGAATTTTGTCGTCGTCATGGTGCCGGACGTGTATATCGAAGAGGTGCAGAACGCTCTCTAGAATAGGTGCACCCAGCCCAGGCGGCAAAGAGGAACCGGCTTACTCTGCAGGGTGAAGGGGTTGGTCAGCTTTTGAATAGTTAACTGATAAAAGTCCGTGCAAACAACATACGATATTGTAGCGAGAAAGGCTTGATCCATGGTCAAGTACCGGCGCTTCAATTTCCAGTCGTCGCTTTCACGATTCGTGTTGCTTGCCTCGGTGAAGAGTAGTATCATGACGCCGCCTAGACAGATGGCCAAACTGATGAGGTCATGCATAGCGGTCCGGGCTGCACGCAGAGTCGGAAAGTGATCTGCCGGGTCGAAGCGGGATGCGACTTCCCAGCTGTCGTTGAGTATGGCGATGGCAGCCTGTAGTATTGTCAGCATGATAACAATGATGTTTTTTGAGATGCCACCCCCCCCCCCCCCCCCCCCTTTTTTTTTCCTGTTGTGTACCAGATGCACAAGCACAAGATGTAATCCCCCCCCCCCCCCCCCCCCCTTTTTTTTTTATAAAAAAAAGAAACATCCTTTGATTTCGTTTCGTTTCTTTTTTTTTTTTTTCGTCGTCTGTTGTTTTGATAGCTTGCTTAGGGTCAGGATGGGGGGGGGGCATGAGGCAACTCACGCCAACAAATCCAGCAGCAGTTGAAGCTCCCAATTCAGACCATCGTCGTACTGTGTATCCAAGGACGAGAAGGGCGGCCAAGTCGAGAATCCATGCTAGGAATCTAGCGGCCGCCAGGGCCGCCGAGTGTACGGTAAGCGGGACCAAGCGCGACGGCATCAACTGCCGTTGCCAAGGCATATAATATATATACTAGTAGGTATTACTATCCTGCTAGCAGAAATGTGTGGTGACTGCGCTCATGCGCATGTGTCGTCGCTGTTTTCGCTTATCGTTGCATCTGTTAGTCTGGCCGATTTCGAGATATTGTGCAGTCGGTAATGTTGAGAGTGGGAAGCAGCAGCAGCAGCGGACAGCCTGGTTATGGTTTCCCGGTCATTGGCAGACGCGATATGAACGAGCGGAAGATGGCGCTGAGACACTCTGCATGACAGGTAGACGGGCCTCCAATCTCATGCAAGGCGTGTGTGTGCGTGCTTGGCCTATGCTTGGTCTACGCTTTGATGTGGCGCTTCCACCGGTACTCGTCCGAGTGTATACAGATGCATGGATATGGTGGGGCAGAATAGCCGTCCAACCTTTTGTGGAATGTATGTGGCAGGCTGCGTCTGTGGCTTACCTTGGCCAGGATGGTGGTCATTTCATGAGCTTCGAGATGGTCAAGTAGAGGTTCTATTCCAGGCCGTCCGCGGGTTCGCAGTGCGTGATCTGTAGATCTGTTTGAAGTAATATCATGTTAGAGTAGGGAACCTTGAGGGATTATAAATGGTGCATGCCGGCTCTTGTGCTGCTGTGAATGGCTCTTGAGGCTTGTTTATTGATACCACGGAATTTGTTTTATGAGACAGACAGGTGGAGAAGACGAGTCCGAGTCCGTGCTATCAAACAGAGCTGTTTTATCAAACAGAGGGAGGCCACCAATGACCATAGAAGGTCGAAGTGTCAAATCGCGTCAATGCTAAAAGTAGCAGAGACATGAATAGAACCAAAGGGAGGGAGAAATGAAGAGGTGTAACTTCAATCGCCATGATGATTTGTTTACGTGCGGGGGGGGAGGGCGGAGTTGAAAAGTGGTAGTAATGTATTTGAAGGATGAAGAGGAAGGTACACCACTGCCATGCTCCTTCCATGTATGATTGCAACGCGGAATATCGTCAAAGGTGTGTCTCCAAGATGAGATGTAGCACGATTTATATTCCGTTCATGTAGATATGGACGTGATGTGTGCACTCATTGTGCCTATACATGATATAGTCAATATTGCCAGTACTGTTACTTCGTTGTAGTGATACTATTCGTCGTCTAGTTATGTAGCAGTGTCTGACATGGTGTGTTGATCACTTACTTGTACATGCAGTCTCGTATATAATATCCGGTGCAGCGCTATTTTTTTAAGACGTTGAACATGGTCTCTTCCCACGCACCGACCAGCATAAGGCAGGATTATACATAGCTGCATGCGGAAAATCTCAGCTCTGACTCTCCTGCAATGGCCTCGTCGGGGCTTACATGCAACTGCTACTACACATCAGGTGTAAACTCGTTGCTATTATGTTCCTCCAACGTCCATACGCAACTCAACATGGGGGATTTAGTTTACGAACGCGCCCTAGAGATTGGAGGGTCGTCATGTAAGAGAAGAGAGGGAGAAAATTGGTCTAGGTTACGAGTACCACCAGCCTCTTTGCATGAGAGTTTGTCTAATCGTCGTTACATACGTGTTGACAAGAGCCGAGGTTCCAGGAAATCCCATGTTGACCTGACCACGTCAAGTATATTGGAGAGTAAGAGTACACTCGCATATACAACTTCTCCACCACATCGAATCTCATTAGATATTGCGGCATGACGATTTCTGTGGGAAAAGCCGCAAGATTGAAAGCACATGGCTTCGACCCATATTTTCCCCAACAATACCCTCAGGACCCCAATGCCACCTTATTTCTATCTTTGTCCCCTTACTCTGATCACATCTCCTCTTATACTTCATTCTCATCGTTGAAACTCCCATGTAGTCAGGGCTTGTGGATAGTCTCCAAAGTAGCATGTAACTTTTGCCACCCCGTCAGTCGAAGCAACCAAGGATCTGGATCACGAGACTTCAGCGAACAACCTACAACGACGTCATTCTCACCGCCACCGGCTTTCTTCTTCTTCTTTCTTCATTATCTATCCTGCGTGACCTTTCGAAGCAGTGGATATCATCAGGCCGCATAATCAGCGGCACTGGCCTCCTTACCGGTTACTTGTATTCGTATTGTAGCCTAGCCGACCCACGGAGAGCGTCGGTCATACGAGTACGAAGTAGATGTATTATCATTACATGCCATTTCCTCCACTGCATTCTGGGAGAGTCCCACCATCAATGATATGTAAAATCAAGCTATGAGGAGAGAGAGCGGGGGAAAGCGGCCTCATGATGCGACTCCACCGCGCAGAAGGGGAGAGATGCGGCCGCGCCAGGGCCTTTCTGGACTTGGTCTACGGGACATTAGCATGTGGGACTCTTGGTACTCTCGTTTCCTTCCGATTATGGCAGAAACATGCGTCTAGCGTCGAAAGTAGATTTAGGCAGCCGTTTTGGAGTCTTGGTTTCTGGCCTCTCTTCTCCTCTTCTCCTCACTTTCTTCTCTCTCTATAGGGAAGAGTTTGGGGTTGGCCCCGGCCCATACGGATGCATCTGATAGGTCCACACGTAACTAGTCTTTTGCTGGCCACGATGATCAACCTCTGCGACAGATGCGGGATATGAAGGAGAAGATGACCCTTTACTCCTGGTGCAGCGTCGTCCCATTCTTTCTTCCCTGGAGACTCCGTCATCTGTCTGTAAGAGGCCACGCTGTCGACCAGCTTGACTGTCGACTGACAATACCCCGAACTCTCCTTGTCGGGTCCCTCGCATTCAGAGACAGTGGTGGGCCGTGAAGGCGGGGGAGGAGAAGGTCAAGGGGGGTAGAGAGAGGATGGGATGGAGATGCCGGGGGTGGATACCCCCCTTGACCTTGTTGTGCGGAGCAGCGACGAATCGTCTTCTCACGGCTGCATGTAAGTACCCGTAACTTACGTTAATTACCGGAATGACCCCGTCGGACCGGAGTTGATATTATACTCGTATGTCACGGCAGAGACCTATGGGAACATTCATGGGACTCACCGCTGCACTAACGGCAGATGGATGATTAGGACGTGAGGCCGCCGGGACCTCACCCTACCCTCACATACGAGCATAGTACAGCCAGGACGGCAGGGCCGACAAAACTTATTACGAGTGGACAGGTGTGACAACCTTCAATTTGGCCGTGACCTTTATATCTCTGGATGAATAAAATAGAACGGTAGAATTACCTGTGAACAGCCTAGGGTTATTTGTATACTGCCAAAACCGGGTGGGAGGTTAACCGGTTAACCGAGTTGCTGTTACCTGTCATCCGGTTGCCCGGTATTATCGAACACAAGTCACCACCAGCATCAATAACAGACATACAGTATTGCAGAAAACTCTGGTACCGGAGGCCTGTTAGGGAAAGAGAGAATGCTGAGAATCCATCAGACCAGTGATCGGCAAGGATGTTGGTGCTTCCGGATGGTGGCATTAACGGAGAGGGGTCGCCTCCCAGGATGAGGAGGCATGGGGATAGGAGGGGAATGCACAGTGTGTTCATGAAGCTGGTGCGCATGATGACGCGCAGTCCCACCTACACGTACGGATAATATTACATAGTCCCGTGCTGGGCCCGACAGACGCACGGTTCCGCAGATAGCTATTTTGCAATCCATTTCGACATACAGACTCGGAAAGCTGCCCACGGTATTACCTACACGAAAGTACGTAGTGATACACAATACACACACGAGGGGAAAACTTGCTAGGGTTGCTCATGATCGAAAACGTCTGCATAGGAGGCCGCAGAATCCATCACGTCACAGCGGTGACGAGAAAGGGGAGAGGGAGGCAAGGCCCAACGTCAGCCGCCACCTCTGTCGACGGCCCATGATGGCCCCGAACAGCATCAAATAGGGCAGGATGGCACTTTACGAGTACGGCGTAGCATCGTTCAGAAGTTGGAACTAGACTACATTACCAGTTCCCACTGCGGGTACGCGTCGTGGGTATACATGCGAGTACTCGTACGGATACGCGTTAAACCTGAAAGAGACACGACTGACCAGGATTCCCTTCCTCCTGAGCAGAAAGCGAATGCACGATGCAGCCATCACGATTAGGCATCCAAGATATGTCCCATCTAGCCAATCCCGCAGCGCGCTAACTCCGTTCAACTTGGAGAGATCGAGTGGGGTAGGGACACACACAACATCCTTGCTCCTCAACTTGAGGATGTATCATGTACTTGTACTCTGTCGGCTTGCTGCTCTCAGTCCTCTTTTTTCTCTCCAAGTTCCCCGTCCTTTCCCCCCTTTCCGATGAGCCGTCCCCCGTGGAACGCCCCAAGACTACGTCTCTAAAACGCTCTAGTCTAGTCCACTTCGTTTCCTTGGTTTCCAATCGTATTGTATAGTGTACTTGTTGACTCCGCTCAATATCGTTTCCTTCCCCATGGGTGTGTCTGGCGGTATAATCCGGGGATTTGTAGAGTAAGGTACACGTGCAGTTAGATGTATGTACTTTACTTTCCCTCAAGCGAAAACCATACCCCAGCCAACAAACATCCTGGGGGGGGGGGGCAGCATGTACTTTCCTCCCTCCTCTGAGGGCGATTGGTTGGGCTTGATAGTTGGAGAAAAGGAGGAGTAAGAAGGGAATGACAATGAATATTAACATAGAGGGATATATATATGTGTGTGTGCCGCCGCCGCGACTACTCATCCCTCGTGCTTGGTAATGAGATGTTCAGTCGTATCCGTTCATCTGGGCCCATTTCCGCCTGCGATAGAGTGACACTCTTCAGATACGCCCGCCATGTCCAAGGAAGAAAGTCCTCTGGGCGATGCCCACGTTGCCCACGATGAAAAGACGACGTCGTCCAATGACCTGCCGGTCAGTGCGACTGGCGGTCGTCGCGAGTCTGTTGCCCACAACATTGTTCAGAACCCTCTGACGGTAGGTTTCCCTTCAACCTCCCTTCCCCGATTCACTTTCCTAACCATTGTCTTCTACCCCCCCTCGACAGCGCGTCTCCCAAGATGAAGCTGCCGCCCAGGCTCGCGCCTTCGCCGAATCCAATGGCCTATCCGAGCACAGCGAGCTGTTCGGCCGGGCCGCCCTCGTCGCCCGTGACCCTGACAGGTTCGAGATGCTCACCGATCTTCCAGAGGATGAGATGACGGCCCTCAAGTACGAGAGGGACCACAAGTGGCACGGGCCCTGGATGCTGTGGTACTCCATCTCCCTCTGCGCCGTCGGCGCCGCCACCCAGGGATGGGATCAGACGGGATCCAACGGCGCCAACCTTTCCTTCCACGAGGAGTTTGGCATTGACAAGCCCGGAACGGACGAGTGGATCGTCGGTGCTGTCAATGCCGTCATCTTCCTGACTGCCGGCCTCATGTAAGAAAAGCACGTCTACACTCCGTCTGTCTTCTTCGGCTGACCGATCGCCATCAATCCAGTGGTGCCTTCATCGTCGATCCCCTCAACTATTATCTCGGTCGTCGCGGTGAAATTTTCCTCACGTCCCTCTGTCTCACAGCCACCCCGATCGGCTCGGGTTTCGCCCAGTCTTGGCAGGGCCTGTTCGCCGCCCGGTTCGTGATGGGTATCGGAATTGGCGCCAAGAATGCCACCGTGCCCATATTCTCTGCCGAGATGGCTCCCGCACGTGTCCGTGGTGCCCTCGTCATGTTCTGGCAGCTCTGGGTCGTTGCCGGTAAGACCGTCAGAAGAGGCCTTCCTCTTCCCGCCCACCCCCCCCTTCTACACACACACACACACACGTCAGCGTGTCTACATTCTAACCACTGTCTCTTCTTGCAGGCATCTTCCTTGGGTTCTGCGCCAACGTCATCGTCAAGGACACAGGTAGAATCGCTTGGCGTCTGCAGCTCGGATCCGCCTTCATCCCCTCCCTCATCCTCGGTGCCGGAATCTGGTTCTGCCCCGAGTCCCCTCGTTGGCTCATGAAGCACGGAAAGATTGCCGAGGGCTACAGGTCCATGGCCCGCCTTCGTGCTAACCCCATCATCGGCGCCAGGGACTACTACTACTCCTACGTCATCTACCAGGAGGAGCTCAAGGAGGCTGCCGGTGCTGGGTACTTTTCTCGTATGCGGGACATCTTCACTGTTCCCCGCATCAGGCGCTCCAACTACGGTGCTTCGACAGTCATGATCGCCCAGCAGATGTGCGGCATCAACAGTAAGTACATCCTCTCGATCGACAAAGGTAACGCAGGAGGTGTCGACATTGCTGATCTCGTGCAGTCATGTCCTTTTACAGCTCTAGCATCTTCCAGAACGTCGGCTACACTGCCACCGAGGCTCTGTATGCGTCACTCGGATACGGTGCTGTGCAGGTCGTGGCCACGATTCCCACCCTCTTCCTCATCGATACCAAGGGCCGAAGAAAGCTATGTCTCTGGGTAAGCTTATCCTCATCCGTCATACTCGTACGGATCATAGCTGACGTTTAGAAACTAGACCTTCCCCTTTATGTGCATCTTCCTGCTGGCCGGTGGTCTGTCCCTGCTGAATAAGGAAGGGTCACGCGCCGAGAAGCTTGGCCCAGTTGTGCTGTGAGTTGTTGTCCCATTCATTATGTGCAATCACATCATTCCTAACCGCTAAACGAAAATAGCTTCGTCTACCTCTTCACCATTGCCTACTCACTGGGAGAAGGACCCGTTGCCTTCCAATACTCGGCCGAGGTGTTCCCCACCATCCAACGTGAGCAGGGCATGGCCTGGGCTGTGTGCATTAATAACACGTTCGGTTAGTATTATATGCTCAAGGATTCCCTCCCCGGTTCGAGTACCTTTTACTGACACAGATAACAGCTGGTGTTCTCAGCATCACCTTCCCCCGCATGCAGACCGTCATGACCCCGACCGGAGCGTGTAAGTGTGACCCTTTCAATACCGAAGATGACGAGGAAATCTCCTGACAGTAATGCACAGTCGGTTTCTATGCCGGACTCAACCTCATCGCCTGGTTCATGATCTTCTGCTTTGTCCGAGAGACTAAGCAGCTCACTCTGGAAGAGCTGGATCGTGGGTATCCCATCTGCCAATTTGATTCTCAAAGAAGGATCTGTCGCTGACCAGCCATATACAGAGGTCTTCTCCATCCCAACAAAGGAGTACATACACCACGAATTAACCGAGGAGGTCCCCTACTTCTTCAACCGGACGATACTACGCCGGAAGGTCCCCAAACCGGTGCCCATCATTGCCAAGGCGGAAAGGAGGGTAGGACCTGTCGAGGCTTGACTCATTACATCATGCGACATACCATTCATGTGTGGATAAGATGGCCGGGGCGTGCCGAGCTGGCTTCTAATGGTGGGGGACTGGCATACGACATGTTGCAATGATATACCAATTTGACTTGATACAAACGAATACATGATACCGCAGACTCTCTGGTCCGTTATGACGATGTTTGCCATGGCTGTACATGAGAGAAAAAGAAGGTTGGTGTTCATTGCTATAGAGCCACGTTACTTACATGACACAATTGCTTGTAACAGTCTGCTGTCAGCTTCCCATGCGGAGAAACGGTAGAACAGACATCGTTGATAGCGTAATGTACATTCGCTTGTTGAATAGTATAGCAGTCGTCCATGAAGCCGATCGATATTCTTGAATTACCTATACACCTTCCTCAACAGGATGGTTGACAGCACTTATTTATATAGTCATGCATCTCAGTCAGCGTCTCTGACATTACCGCACAATCAAAGTCGCCTCAAAGATACACAGTGAGATTTCTCACGTACTTCTATATTATGTTTGTATGTCACAAATTATCTGTTGGTTTGCTCACTGTCAAGATGGGTGTTTGCCCACAAGGTCATTGTTGTCTGTGAAACACTACGATACTAGCATTGCAGCAGTTGAGAAGATTTTCCATTTTAGATCAGCCAATTCAATCAAAGATCGATAAGAAAACGAAATCATAATATTAAAGATAATTTGTCCCAAATCTAACCTTGTTCTTTGAGAATTCCGGTGTCTTGTCTTAAACAAGGCGGTCTGGCTTATTCATTGTTTTTTGGTCCCCGACCGTCTCCACATTTCGCATTCCCCGTCTCTCCGATCCGGCGGGGGAGACAAGAGCGAGAGGAGAAGAAGAAAAAGATTCATCTTCGTGCAACGCTACATCTCAAGCCTGGCAACATCACTCGCTTATTCGAGGGTAAATCAATTGAATCGACTGAATCGGCATCATTCGACCAGTGTCCGGGAACCTGTACCACTCTTCAGTGTGTGCTCGTTTCCGGAGGTGGAAGAAGCCACGGCGGACGTCCAAATGCTCCCCCCCCCAACGCAGCCGCTTACTATATCCTCATCATAACCTTGTCCGAGCGGTGACTTGGCTTTTGAGTAGAAATTGTTTGCTTAGCACGTCTGACAGGGTCCCCTTCAAGGCGTCAGGCTGGTTGGCTACCTGAGCGAAATATCACAAATATCACACCACACCGACGGATGCCAACCACACCATGAGCTAAGAGCAGACCCGCTTCATACCTTACACACGCACACACACACGCACAAGGTTCCAATAGACTCTTTGGAGGGCGATGTCATGCCTTCTCTACTACCACACGAAACTGCCGAAATGCGGACCTCCGTTCAGGCTCAGTGGTACGGCGACAACAGAGACAACAACAACATACCTTTGGCTTTACACTCGCAAGTCATACCCGTACACATCGAAGCCGACAGCAGCTTTGTCCATCCCCTCGCCATACTCTCGCTCATAGTTCTTGTCATCTTTGCCTTGCAAAAACCTATAAGAGCCCGACTGCCCCCGTGGCTCCGTCCGTTCGCCAGGGAACAGGAAGATGTCCAGAGGCCCAAACGGCCGAGACACACCTCGCTCTCCCTCTTTGCCCTGTTCTTCGGCTGTCTGGGAGGACTGGCTATGTCGTTGGCTGTCGCCGTCCTCTCAAATGGCCACAGAATAGCAAACCTTGAGGTTGTCCCCTGGGTGGCCACCTTGGTCATGGTCATCGTCGATCGACCCGTCAAGACCCCCCGCATTCTCCTTCTGCAATTCATCATCATGCTCTCCGCGGGGCTGGCACGATACTCCACGCACTTTCTCAACCACACCCTGCGCACTATAGACCCCTTCCACATGTGCCAGCTGGGCGTGTGCGTCGTTGCTATCGGCATAATGGTCAACATGCCCATCCGGGACCCTTCATGGGACTCTAGTGAGATTGGCTCGGCTAAGAGCCCGCCATCCCACCATCTGCGCAGTCCCGAGGACAACCTCACGCTCCTGCAGTTCTGGACAATGGCGTGGGTGTACCCGCTAGCGAAGCTCGCCCAGACCAGGGAGATCAATGTCGAGGACGTCTGGCAGCTGCCTTACGAGTACCAGCACAGCCGCCTATACCTGGCCTTTCGGGAGGTCCAGGGCAGACTCCTCCACCGACTCGTTGAGGCCAATGGTCTGGACGTTTTCGTCTCCACGATACTCGCCGTCATAGAGAAGGTCGCCGAAGTCTCTAATATCCGGCTCACCAGCAAGCTGTACAGTGCCCTGGATGGCGGCGACCCCAGCGAGGCCATGTTCTGGTGCCTCGTCATGTTCTGCCTTGATGCTCTCCGACAAGTCGCCAAAACCACGTCGGGCTGGTACTCCCGCAAAGCCTACGAGAGGTCCAGAGGAGAAACGTTCATCGGCCTGTTCGAGAAGCTCCTCACCCGCGCCGTCCCCGGATCAGACCGGACGGAGAAGTCGCCCGAGGAAACACAAGCCACTGTCTCAACATACCCGGCCGCGGGGAGATTGAGTAAATTTTCCGGCTGGCTGTGCGGAAGAGGGGGCTACACAAAGATCTCGTCAAAGCCCAGTCGTCAACCCGCATCGAATGCCAAGGTTGTCAACCTTGTCCGAGGCGACACGTATCAAATCTCCCAGAGGTTCTGGGAGTTTCCCAGACTGATTTCGCAACCCATAAAGGTCATCTTCACCCTTTACTACCTTATCGACATCATGGGGTGGCCATCGTGCGTCGGCTTTTGTCTCATAATCATCTTCCTGACCATAAACTCCATTCTGGTCAAGAATCTCATTCAGATGGAGCGTGCACGCACCATCCACTCGGACAAGCGAGCCCAGGCCGTCTCCCATTTCGTCGAGGCGAGCAAGCCCCTCAAGCTCAACGGGTGGACGTCCTCGTGGGCCCGGCGCATCATGAAGCTCCGAGACCTAGAAATGGACAAACGCCTGCGAATGTCCTACGTCACGGCAGCCATCGGGACCATCAATGTTCTCGGCGGCGCTACATACCCACTCGCAAGCATCTGCCTGTATACTCTGATCCTGGGCCGCGGACTCCCCAACGCCGTCATCTGGCCGTCTATCCAGCTGTTCGCCCAGCTCGAGTCCAGCGTCAGAGAGGCGTTCGAGCTCATTTCGGGTTACTGGAAGTCCACCATACCTGTGGAGCGTGTGCACAAGTATATGGCTGAGCCGGACCGTGACAACGACTCGTCCTGGGATGAAGGTACCAGGGACATCTCCTTCAGCGGCGCATCCTTCTCCTGGCCTTCCACCGACAAGCTGGTCCTGGAGAAGCTATACCTGTCCTTCCCCACCGGCCTCACAATCATACGCGGCAAGGTGGGCTCTGGGAAATCCAGTCTCCTCTTGGCAGCCCTCAATGAGATGGAGCTCCACGATGGCAGCCTCACTAGACCCGATGAACCTATCGGCTACGCCCAGCAACTCCCGTGGCTGCAGAACAAGACGATCCGGGAAAACATCCTCTTTCACCAGCAATACAACCCAAGCCGGTACCGGGAGGTTGTCGCTGCGTGCGCCCTCGGACCCGATTTCTCCATGCTCCCAGACGGTGATCTGACTAAACTAGAGGAAGGCGGTGTCGGACTGTCGGGCGGGCAAAAGGCTCGTGTCGCTCTTGCCAGGGCTATTTACAGCCCCTGTCGGATCCTGCTTTTGGATGACCCTCTTGCCGCCCTGGATCACGACACGGCCAGCCTTATCGTGAGGAGATTCCTGCGGGGGCCACTGGCACAGGGAAGGACCATCGTCATGGTCACGCACAGGGACGACCTTGTCCTCAGGATAGCTGACCAGGTTGTCGACTTGGATGAGGGGCGTGCGCATGTCCTCACGCAGGACCAGATCCGCGATGAATTGGAGCACCCATACCACAACATGATCGGGCAGACAGCGGCTGACGAGGCTGATCATGCCCATCATGTGGACGAGGTGGCTATCCCTGAAGCCAGGGACGCACCCGAGGAGCCGTCTAAGACCGGCGGCGTCTCGCTCTCTATCTACACCAAATACATTGCAGCGGGCGGTCTACACCTCTGGATCACGCTGGCCCTCTTCTATGCCCTCTCTCGGCTCTGCGATATCTTTCGAGCCCGTCTGCTCGAGGCCTGGGGCAGTGACACAGCTGAGCAGACCATAGGCCTCAGCGGTTTCTTGGGCCTCCCCGATCCGCATCAAAGCCCGAAGTCATGGTTGCTTGCACTGGCAGGTCTCTCCGGTGGGCAGATTGCTTCGTACGCCATTGCCCAAGTCCTACTCGCCCACATATGCATCAATGCGGCGCAGGGCCTGTTCCGTAATGCTATCGACCGCGTCAGTAGAGCCACCTTCCGATACCATGACTCGACACCCACGGGACAGCTCAAGAACCGCCTAATCGCGGACATGGGTATGGTCGACGGCGGTATCCTGTCGCCCTTGGAGTCGTTTGTCTTCAACCTCATCACTCTCATGCTGAGTCTTGTTGCCATCATGCTTCATCAGCCTGGTCTGCTGATCATTTTGTGCTTTGCGGCCCTCCTGTTTGTCTACTTCTTCCGAATGTACGTCCCCATATCGCGTTGCCTGCGCCGAATGGAGATGCGCTACCTCACGCCAATCATTTCCAACATTGGCGTGATGCAGGACGGCCTGGTCACCATCCGGGCTCTCCAGGTGGAAGAGCACTTCAAGGACCGCCACTTGGATGCCGTGGATGACTTCCAGAAGCAGGACCATTTCTTCTGGGGAATGGCCTTCTGGCTCGATTTTCGCCTGAGCCTATCGTCGGCCTGCATGCGCTCCGCCCTCATCATCTTTATGGTGTGGTACGGTAGCCCGGCAAGCGCCGTTGGTTTCGTCCTTACACAGACCACCATCGCCATGGGGTCTGTCCAGCAGCTGTGTGAGAAGTTTGCCCAGCTCCAGCTGGACGCCGTGTCTCTCGAGCGTGTGGACATGCTCAGCCGAATCCCCGAGGAGCCTACAGGAGAGCTGGACCCTCCAGAGGGCTGGCCCCGGCCGGACGATAATATCAAGTTTGACGGAGTGTCCTTCAATTACGACGAGGGCATGCCCATCGTTCTCAACGACTTGACCTTTGAGATCCCTGGCGGCTCGACGTGCGCCGTCCTGGGACGCACGGGGTCTGGAAAGTCCACCATCGCCAACGCCCTGCTCGCCACACGGCTTCCCTGCGAGGGCACCGTTAAGATTGGGGATGTAGACCTGTCACAGGTCTACCGTGAAACCCTACGCAACCGGGTAACGTATGTCCAGCAGGACCCCGTCCTGTTCCCCGGTACCTTGCGCGACAACATCGACCCCGACGGACGGTTCTCGGACCAAGAATGTGAGAGGGCGATTCGCAGCGTCCTCGGGCCTCAATGGAACCTGGACTCACAGATCGACGCGGCTGGGAAGAATCTCAGCCAGGGACAGCGCCAACTCGTCAGCATCGGCAGGGCTGTTCTCCGAAGAAGTGGTCTGGTTATTCTGGACGAGGCCACGGCGTCGATCGATCGCGCCACAGCAGCCAAAGTCCAGGGCATTCTTAGGGAGAACTTGTCTCAAAGCACAGTGATCACTATCGCGCACCGCCTTGAGGCCGTCGAAGATGCTAATTGGTGTCTACGCCTGAGCAAGGGCAAAGTACTGGAGTGCGGACCTGCGGGTAACAATCGCTCATAGTGAAAGCCATTCTGGCACACTATGTAACTAGCTGTATTCGTTCCATCTATCCTTTTCCGGACGCGGTTTCATGTCTGGTGATGAAGAACGATTGGACGGATGCGAACGTGGGAATACGGATTAATAGCGATGTTGATAAATGAAATATAAGCACGATAGACAGGACCCCTTGCTAACGATATTTAATATGAAGGAAAGATCTTGTTGTTCACGAAACGGAATTGGGTCACCATGGCATGCACATGAAGCCAGGTAGCATCAATCGAAATGCATAGGACGGGCTCAAGTGAGTATGTGGCGGTGCGTGTCGTATGTGCGTCATGTCACATTGCATTTCCACAGCAGGGATGCAGTAATCGTTTGTTGACAGGTCGCCTTTGGGGCCTGTCAGCCGAACAGCTTGTCAAGAATGCGTTCAAACATGTTGCTATGTGTGAGTCAGCCATATTTGCAGAAGCAGGAATATTAAGAGAGGGGGGTTTGTAGGAGCGCACTTTGCAGGTTGGGGGATATAATTGTCCTCATAGTCCTTTATATCCTGCTGGTCCAACTGGAAGTCAATATCCATCGGACGAACAAATTTGGTCCGGTGGATAATCTTCCAGCCGACGTAGAGCACAGGAAAGATCATGACCATGAGGTAGGAGAAAAGGAAGCTGGGAACGCTCCACATGCCATCGAGGGGCAAGAAGACGGTGTAGCCGCCGACGAAGACCATTGCCAAGGTGGCGGCGAAGGCGATCCAGGCAGCGTAGGGCATAAACTTGGCACGGTAGGGCAGGGTACGTCGGTCGATCCCTTGGGCCTTGATAGCTCGGTAAAAGCACAGGTACGTAACGGCTACAGCGCAAAAGTTCATGAGTTGGGAGGCCGTGACGAGGGAGACGATCCAACTAAGGACGACGGCAGACCCTGAGCTCAACTGCAAGAAGGCGATGAGACCGATGGCCAGGACGACGAGTACGCTGTAGATTGGAACACCACTGCGGGTGCAGATGGCGAGAAAGCGCGGTGCTTTGCCCTCGAGGGCCAGACCGTATAGAGAGCGAGAGGCGCAGTAGCAGTACGAGTTGCCGGCCGAGAAAGCAGCCGTCAAGACAAGTACGTTGACTAGGTGCGGGAGGACGCCTATATTGAGGCGGTCCATGGCCACGACGTAAGGGGATGCAGCGGCGCCGGGTCTTCCGTCGTTGAGGGCAGCCGTCAGCTCGGCGTCATTATAGGGAACCAGGATGCCCACACACAGGGCGCCGAGAACGAAAAAGGTGGTCAGACGGTAGAAAACGGCATTGAACGCCCGGGGAAGCACGGAGCGTGGATTCTCAGCCTCACCAGCCGCCATGGAGACATAGTCCGGGCCAGCGATGGTGAAGGAGGCCTGGATGAGGCACTGGAGGAATCCTAGGAACCGGCCCAGTGACCCCGTGTAGTACAGCTCGGCAAAGGCACCTGGCTCGGACCAGTAGCGGAAGCCAAATCGGTCATTCCGCGGGTTGCCACCCAGCATGACGACAAAGGTGAAGCCTATAAGTCCCACAGCGAGCACCACCTTTCCCACGGCAGCCCAGAACTCGGACTCGCCGTACCACTTAACGGCCAGGAGGTTGATGAGCAGGTATAGGAAGAGGATGACGACGATGACGACAGCAGTAGGGATGGCGTCGGTCCAAAAGTGCAGGATGACATTGCAGGCGACGATTTCGAATGGGACCAGGGCAGCCTCGAAGACAAAAAAATTCCAGCCGGCAGCGAATCCAAAAGCCTCGTCGACGTAGCGGCCGGCGAAGCGGATAAAGGGTGAAGAGATAGGGAGAAAGGTCACCATCTCAGCCATACACACTGTGACTGCGAGTACAACCATACACCAGATGCCTAGTTGCATCCGCACAGGAAGGATCATATCAGCAACGGGTTCTCTCAAGTCGGCGCAACCCACGCCACACATGTCTCAAGGGTCTCTTACAAAAGGCCACAAGAAGCGAGCCCGGACCGCCAGCGAGAAGGCCCTTTCCGATTTGAACCTAAGTAAAGCGAAAGAGCAGAGGAAAAGCATAGGGAGAATGAGCATGATTTCTCTAAGATAAGGGGTGGTGGGGGAAGGGGGATTGCTCAGCCTGTCTTGTCAAGGAAAACGAGAAGATGGTCTGCCACAATGGTAAAAGTCGGACGCACAAACAGGGCGGTGCCAATAGTTCCTCCAATCCCAATGAGTTGGACATGGCGAGATTTCAGGTTACGCTTGGTATGATCCAGCTTCGAATCGCCGGAACCGTCAGAGAAATCCTGGGCAGCGGCAGAAGAAGCGTCTTTCTCTTCTGGAGCATAGGCAGGAGGGGATGCGACAGCAGCCTCGTTGATTGAGACCTCCATGACTGTACTCTTCTATGGTCTGGTCTTCAAAGAGTGTGGCAGAAAGAAGGAAGAGAGGTAAAAGAGAGAGAGAGAGAGAGAGAGAGAGAGAGAGAGAATGACGGGAGTAGACACAAAGGTTGTCACTGAATCTGTTTAAGAAGGAGACTGAAGAACTGCAGCTCAAAGTCCATGAGGTATTGATGCTGTACGATATGTAGACGATGTAGGAAGAAGAAACATGAGACTCTCAAAAGAAGAAGAAAAACCAATGAACTAAAAAAAATGAAAGGATGAGCTTTCCATATCTTTGGGAAAGTGCAAATCAATGTTCTAGTCTATTTTTGTTTTAAGAGATAGGAAAGGGGGGGGGGGGGTGGCAGGCAACAATCATAGAAAGAAGGAGCACTCGGCCACTGATACTACATAGGATACAACAAATACTACCTCCTTCAGATAATACTTCCCTCATGATTCGCTTCTCCTTGTACCCAGTATTAACCTGTAGATTATTACAGAGCTGCACTAACTATAGTACTAGGCCTATGTAGTCTAGACGATATACTTGGCTCCATGAAAGGGGTTGGAAACTTGGGTAAAAGGCTTAGGAGGACCTTGGAAGTTAGCACCTAACGTTATTACATGTATTACGGAGTAGAAGTATGACTATGTGCTAGTACGGCCCACCACCTGGGCGCTACCAACCTAGCAACCCTCTCGATGTGGAGAGTGGGGGTCGGAATCTGGTAGACTTATTAGTTATGGGAGTTCTAGGAAGATTCTTGCGGAGGTGGATCTCCGTTGGTTTCGCTGCTAGCTGCTTGAAGTGCTTATCTCTACCGGTCCACGATGGAGGCAATTAATATTAGTATTGGTGAGCGGCACAGGCAAGACCAACAAGCACGAGCTAGACATTACTAGTATATTAACGAATAGGCGGCTTATCATTTCAAATGTTGCACGCACGCAAACCTGCAAGTCCAACAAGTGTTTATCTTTCATCGAGCATTGGTCGATTCTCCTCATTATAAGATATCATCGCTCTCCTCCCATTCAAGTGGTGGAGAGCCACACGCCCTCTATAGTGGAAGTAATCAAGAGACTCGAGGTCTTGACATCCAGAATAGCACTGGAACAGTGCACAAGAGTATATATAACGGGGAAAAGCAATTAAAGATATAAACAGTAGCTAACAATCGTCAAAAATTACACTTCATGTACCCATAAACGTTTTGCCAAGGAATAGAAAAGTTACGCCCCCACGCAAGTAATGCCATCATCACCTTGTTTGTCTTCTTTCTCTTTGCCGTCCTTCTTGCTCTTCTTCCGCTCCTCTTCCGCTTCTCTTCCGTTTTGCTCATGTTTTTTTCCCTCCGCGTCACCATTAGATATAAGCCACCTTCCTCCTCTAACTCATTTTGACTGACCAACCAAATCCCGGAACACGGCAATGGAAAGAGAAAAAAGTCAACCCGCTTTGGTATAGAGGAAGTTGAACGGACAGAGGAGAAAGGGAACATGGGCCAACACGAGCAGTCCTAGAGAGGAAACATGCTGAAAACTCGAAAAGATCACAACTCATCCTTCTCACGGCCCATAGCACGATCGACAGCGGTTGTAGCAGTGGCATAAACCTCGCTGAGACGGGACATGACGCTCTGCGTAAATGACGGCTCCTTCCCGCGTACAAGCTCTGACACGAGCTCGCCCACGGCCTCACGCTGCGTCTCCTCCTTGTCAGCCTCACCCACAAGCGAGTCGTACCAGCCAATGTGCTTCTGCTCCTCCCCACCATAGATGCGGTGGTTAAGGTCCGCCACCACATTCTCCCATACATCTGCCACCTGCCCGCCGGTGAGGTAGACCTGCTCGCTGGCGGCGTCAAAGGCAGAGGCCACGCCTTCGTCCACGGCCCGTACGGCATCACCCACACTGTTCACGGCAGACGAATAGGCCTGGTCGGCCGACGAGAAGGCAGCCGAGATGGCAGATGAGGCCTGGGCTGCGAAATTCGTGGCCGTGGGCGACGGCGTGGCTGTCAAGGATGACATGGCCGCTGATGCCTCCGCCAGGAAGCTCGAGTAGCGCTCCTGTGCGAGGCCGATGCCGGCATAGTAGTTCTTCCTAGCCTCGTCGAGGTACCGCTGCGACTGGGACGTGGGTGTCGGTGTCGGTGTTGGCAGACCGAGCGCAATCACGGCGCTCTGGTACTGCAACTCGGCCCACAGACGGCCCTCGTTAAGACGCTCCGCTGCCACGGACTCGACCTTGGCCCAGTCCACGTATGGCGCGGCCTTGGTAGGCGTGGGTGTGGCCTGTGCGCCCAGGACGTTGTTGAAACGGGAGCTGGCGGCCACGATGGCGTCCTTGTAGGCCTTGGACACTCTTGAGAGGAGCTCCTCGTGCACTGGCTCGGGCGTACCGTAAATCTGAGCTGACACAACCGATACGGCGCTAGAGTACTGTGCAGACGCTGCAGCAAGAGCATTCGACATGACGGCCGAGGCGCTGAATGCCACATTGTTCTCGTCCGAGTCAACGTAGCCCTCTAGCACCGGCTCACGGCTAGATACGGCCTGGGCAGCAGCGCCAAACATTGCGGGCTTGACTGACTCGACCTGGGTCTTGACCGACTCGACCTCGGACTCGGGGGTGGAAAGGGGTACGCCATCCCACTCCTGCTCCTGCTCCTGCTCCTGCTCCTGCTCCTGCTCCTGCTCCTCCTTCTCCTTCTCCTTCTCCTTCTCCTCAGCATTGTCACCATCCTCCTTATTCTCGTCGATCATCTCAGTTTTCGAGACCGGCTCAGGAGCGGCAGATTCCTCAACAACGTCCGCCTCAACAGTGGGGTCCGACTGGATGGTGAACTCAGGTTCGACTTCGCTCGAGGTAGCAGACTCAGAGGTCTCTTCATCAGTCACAAGTTCGGAGCTGCTGGGTGCAGCCGTCTCCTCCTCGGAGGCGGTGGACACTGCGTTGGTGACCTCAGAATCATCACCAGAAGCAGTAGACGAAGCCTCCCCAATAATGAGCTCCTCGTACCCCTGCTTCTTTCCTCGAACATCGGGGTCGGGGATGCCAGCTCCGGCTACGGGGGCAGCGATGGTCTCTTCAGTATCGTGCGGAGTAACGGAGTGGGATGAAGCCGTATCCTCGTCTGCATCAGTAGCAGCCTCGATCTCCTTCTTATCCTCCTGGACAGCCTCAGCCTCAGTAACATCGGCCTCAGCAGCAACAGTGGTAGCAGCGGCAACAGCCTCGTCAGCAGCAAGCTTCATGGCGTCCGAGTCAAAGTTGTCAGACGTGTCCCTGGCGGTGATCTTCCAGAGGGCCACCTCCCTAAGCCTGCTTAGTTCGCGAGCGGCTTGGGAGGCAATCTCCATGGACTGGTCTTCGACTTCGGCCGAAGCGTCTTGGGCCTCGAGGAGGGCTGGGTGGGTGACAATGAGCTGCTTGAGCTGGTCGGTCCATTCCTGGAGCGTCTGCTTAAGCTCGTGGTACTTGCGCCAGTCCTTGTAGGTGACACCATCCGTCCAGGCCCACTGCATGCCAATCTTCTGCAGGGCCAGATTGCGGGTTTCGTCGAGGATCTGGAAGTGCACGTCGGCAGCCTTGGTGACCGTCTTCTGCAGCTCCAGGTCATACAGCTGGCGCCACTTGCGGACTGCCTGGGCCTGCTCCTTGATAGCGACGCCCGCCGACCGGACGGCCTGGACGGTTTCGGCCTCGGCAGTCGCCTCCAGCTCGTCGGCGCTAGTTCCCTCGGCAGCAGCGGCGACTCCTTCGACGGCCTTGATGATATTAGCCCGAAGTTGCGCCATCTCTGATTCGACCGTGGCCTCGAGCTTGTCTGTGAGCGAACGGCCAGTCGTATGGACCTTGGTGGTAATCATGCGCTTGGCAATCTCATCGACGCGGTCCTCCATGTCCTGAGCTCCTTCGTCGGCGCGGGCGGCAAACTTTGTCTGCCAGGTCTCGAGATCGTTGGTCACCATCTCACGTGCCTTCCTCCTCTTCTCCGACTCGTTCTCGGCAGCCACGGGAGGCTCGACGGGCTTGGAGATAAAGTCGGCGGCGTCCTGCTCCTTGGACGGGGGCTCGGGAGTGGGGGGAGTAGCCGTCTGGCTGCTAGGGGTGGGCTTGACAAATGACGACTCGTGCTTGTCACTATTTTTGATTGGAAACGTCAACATATGTAGCTTATATCTCTCCCAGTAGAAGGTTACGACTCACCTGTCGGACCTGCTAGGGGCGGACTTGGCCTTGACTCTATTCTTGTAGCGGCCGAGACGCTCACCGATACGGACCAGCTGAGGGTCTACATTCTCAAGATAGGCGGCGCGCACCTGAGGCCAAACTGAACTATCGACAAAGGCGTAGGTCTTGTTCCAAGCCAGGTAGGCGGTAGGCAGGGCAGTACCAGTTGTGAAGTCGGAGGCGACCTGGTATCCACGGGTAGCGTAAGGTCGGACGGTGGCATAACCGGGCAGCACGACATCTTGATAAACGAGGACGGCATTCGTGCTGGCAGTGTCGTAATAAGGGCCGACGAGCTCCTGAACCTGCGACAGGCGAGGTGCAACGAACTGGTCGTAGTTTGTCTGAACCACAGCCCACGCCTTAGCAATCTGGGGCTGGGCGTTCTTGTCCCACTGAGCCTGACCGTAGGCGCGGGCCTTCTCCGCCCAGGGAGCACCGTACTGGATGGCGTAGCCATGAGCGGGCACAATGACGCGGTCGTTGAAAGAATCGTAGTAGGGCTGGACAATCTCGACGTAGGGCTCGGCATAGCGGTGGTAGTAGGGTTCGACGTGGGGAGAGACGATGTTCTTGGTCTTGAAGTAGTAGGGGCAGATTGACGGTGAGGACTGGTCGCAGGCTTCGAGCGTGGGAGGGCAACGGAAGAGGATGGTGAATATGACGAACCAGGCAGCGAGTCTACGTTGTTGTTTATGGAGTCAGTATCATCATCGTGAACCAAAGCCATCCCAACCCCAGAAGGACATCGGCACGAATAGTAAGGAGAAGATGATCATACCTCGCGACGACATTCAGTATCCATGGCACGAAGCCTCTACGCTTTGGCTTGGTAGGCCACCTCCTGAGCCCAGCGTCTGTAACTTCTTTTTTGATGGCATGGCCATTTGTTGCCGTACCGTTACCATTGGTGGCGCCCATGACGTCTTGCTTCCTTTTTTCTGTACTTCTTTCTTCCCTTCTATTCTCTTCTCTCTCTCGTTAGCCTGGAGGGGGGGGAGGGTTGACAGAAACCACAGCAACAGCAACAACAAGAAAAAAGACGTCGCTGCAGCAAAATGTAAAATGGATATTTAACTTGGGTGTAAGAAAAAAAAGAAGGGAACAAGTGGAAGGGATATAATAAGAGAAAGAAAAAGAGGCGTCAATGGTGCCGAGGCCGAGAATTTTCTATTCTGTTCAATGCGCCTGCTGGCTTTACTGGCAAACCCTGGTCGGCGTGTCGGAGCTAGGCTCTAGGCTCCTGGCAATGGAGGAGCAATGGAGTGCTCCGTGGAGAGCTTTGTCGCAAAGGACGAAGAGCAGGGGTAGAGATGAGACTAGCTGGGACAGTGAGCTGCTGCAAAGAGGGTGGAGCAGGGGTCGTGTCACAGGTCGCACGGATGGGTCTGCCGCGGTGTCTGGATCACACCAGGATAAGGTGACAGCGTACTGGTTGCAAGATATTACGCTCACGGGCGTATGGTGATGGGAAGGGAGAGATTGATGAGGATGATGACGAGGGGAAGAGAAGAGAACATGGGTGGCGTTGGAGAAGAGCTTATTGTTTATCTACCACTACTAGCAATAGTTCACCGTATTCTGTACAGAAAAAGGCAATTTTTGACTCTGAACCTGTTTTTTTCTTCCTGCCCTTAGACTTGGACCAACGTAAGGCCCTCGACCGCCACACTACTCATCAGCTGAAGCCTTTTCTCTCCGCGATCCACAATGTCATCATCCACATGATGCACGTCACTGATAGTCGATATTGCTACTATTACTATCCATAAGTACTACAGTAGTGCTACTTGTAGCCTGCAGTTATTACGAATGATACCAAGTAATAGTAGTACTGGGAGCATTATAACGGCCTTAGTACTGGTAGAATATCCAGTTGTAATCTACGAGTCGCTAGTCGATCCGATTCAGCTCTCGAGGTGCAGGCTGCGGCAGACGGACTAAATTCTTGCTGCTGGCCCTCCTTGATCCTTTATGGCCCTTGGTGGTCTGGTGGCCTTGGGTTGTACTGCACGGCACACACACACACACCTACACACACACACCTACACACACCTCGGTCGACGTGATTCGTTTGCCCCCCAATGAGGAGAGTAATACTACTAGCACAGCAGTAGTGGTACATAGTAGTTCCTGCAGAGTGTTGCGAGCCGTAGATGCCGTCATGGTGTCGATGTTTTGTAATCTGTAGTCCTATTGTCTTTTTCAGAACTGATGCATGATGCATGATCCCACTTGTACAATACCTTATATATACTTGCCTCTATACTCGTATTCTCATTTACGTTGTCATCAGACCCGTTGGGTTTTTTTTTCAACCTCTTCCACCATGTCCTTACCTGATACTATATTTGTCACATCCACGTACCTTTGCACCATCCCAGACCTGTGTAGTCCATCTCGGTCAAACTACAGATTCATGAAAAAAAAAAAAAAAAAAAAAACAACATTGCGGTTCCTTTTTTTTTTCCTGAGTATGAATTATTTTTCCCTGCTGAATTTTATTGGCTTCTTGCAAACCGCCGCAGGATATTGGATCTCGATCGGCCTGAATCGACTAAAGGGTAGGTAAGTATTAAGATGTCCAGCCTCAATGTCTCAAGAAGCTTCCCAAGGCAGGTGCAAAGGTGGGGGCGGGGTGCGTAAAGTGATGACCAAGCAGCCAATATTTGAACAGTCTCTACTATTAGTATGTACATATCAGACTGGTTAAACCGGCATACGCCATGTGAGAAGGTAATAGAAAGACTGGACGGGGAAAAACGAAGAATCATGAATAGCCTCTATGGAACCGTCAATATAGGACCGCCATTTTATTTCCTCAATGCACATATATATATATATATATATACACGATATGTGTGCCCCCTCTATACATTTCGTACAATTGTACCCACTTGACGTCAGTCGGGGCCATTCCATATCAGATACACACAGCCATCTCTCTCTTTTGAGCATATCCGGGCCGTTCCAATTTACAGTGACAGTGGATGGACAAGCTTGGTACACCGCTATATCGCTACCCTCTGCGACTCCCTACAATGGCCCGTAATGCCCTGTAACTCCCTGCTATGCCCTATGCTCTGTTCAACGCCGTCCGTGTGCTCTTCAGTTGGCTTCATGATATTACTATGCCATCTGCTTAGCGTCCGGAACTACTGCTTTGCTGCGTGTTTGGAAAGGTCAACGCTTTTAAGACTCCCCATTGTTTCCATTAGAGCTGCTTTTATGACTCTTCTTAGGCGGTTCAAGTGCACGTGGTTTTGGCCACCGCCAAGGTATTACCACTTAATACTCTTTGCTGCTGTCTACTGGCGACCGGCAACAGTCTAGTGACATCAAACCAGATGATAGCAGGAATCTTCAACCCCAGCCAGACATTATTATTCCACTATTTCCAAACACACAGCATTCATCTAAACCGCCAACCCGCACTTCGTTTGTACCCACGACTATACATACATCCTCCTCCTTTTTTCCACCTCGGTCGCATCCACCACTACGCACGCATTTCCCGTCTGATTGGCCCTGACCATACCAACGCCTGGCTGTACTAGTATGCTGCTTCCCAACGAGACCCTCCCTGGGCTGAACCCACTCCTCAGAACCCCCCTGGTCCCCCCGCTGACGTTGAGCCACGCACAGTTCTCTCTCAAGAGAAAAAGCTAGACCAAACATTGTCAGCACTGATACGGACCTCGATTGTTGACTCCCTTTCGCCTCGACCAACCTCTCCACCTTCAAACGTCAAAAGGTGTCACTTTCCTATCGAGTGCCCCTCGTGGGCAAGGTCGCATTTGTCGCGAGCCGCACACCTTCCCTTTTCTCTGGCACATAGCCTGCCTCGGTCGCACGACCCGAGAGGGCCACCATGGCTGATCACGACGCTGGCCATGGCTTCGGCCCAAGAGCCCATCACGACCGTCACAACTCCCAGGCTACCAGGCTCCCCAGAAGGAGAACTGTCCAACCCGATCCCTACGATGCCGCCCCTGGCATATGTCGAATCTGCCGCAGCGAGGGCACCCCGGACGAGCCGCTCTTCTACCCGTGCCGATGCAGTGGCAGTATACAGCATGTCCACCAGGACTGTCTGATGGAGTGGCTGTCGCACTCGCAGAAGAAATACTGTGAGCTGTGCAAGACACCCTTCCGCTTCACCAAGTTTTACAATCCCAATATGCCACACACCCTCCCCATCACTGTCTTCGCCCGCCAGGTCGGTCGATATGTTCTCGGGAGTAGTCTTAGTTGGCTCAGGGCTATTGTGGCCCTCTCGTTCTGGGTTGTGGGCCTGCCGTGGTTCATGAGATGTGGCTGGTCCGCCATGCTCTGGCTTAGCCAGGAGAGCTGGTCTGGGAGCTCCGTCGCCGCCACCACCATCGAGTCTGAAGGCTCGATCATTTATCTGTCCTCCACAATGATCGGCTTCGACATGTGCCCGGCCAGTCCGCTGTTTGCCCCTACCATGACTCCGGCAGCCGAGGTCGCTAGCATGCTGGGCTGGTGGGCCAACCAGACCGTCACTCAGTTCTTCATTCACTGCCTCTTTTGGATGGTCGGCGTCCCTTCGCCTTCGCTCGTCTCCGCCATCACTGGACGTCAGCCATCCCTAGTCCCCCCCATGCCCATCACCCATGGCAGGAGTCTTCTGAGCAATGTCGAGTTCCTAAAGACGCTCACCCGCAGCCCCATTATCAACCAGGAGTTCATCACCATCCTCGAGGGCCAGATCATCACCGTCGTCGTTATTGTCAGCTTCATTCTCATAATCCTGGTTAGGGACTATGTCGTCCAGCAGCAGCCCGAGATCAATCTGCGAGGGGCCTTTGAGGCCTTCGAGGAGGTGGCCGAGATTCTCCCAGCCCCGGTTGTTGTCGAGCCTGCGCACCCCCAGCTCGATGATGATGCTGACTTGGAAGATGACCTGTCCGATGGCGAGCCTACGCCGGCTGAAGAGCAACTTGATACGCACGCACCCGAAGTCTTCGAAAATGTAAACGGCTTTGGTGCACCGGCCGCCCACGAGACGATTCGGGACTACCATGGTGACCACGGCCACAGTCCCGGCAATGTGTTTGAATATGACGAGGAGCCCACTGTCAGTGCTGCAAACTTTCCCCAGGGCTGGGCAGAGGACACGTCGGTTTACCGCAGGCAAAGCGATGATGATGCCTCGACCGATGCTGCCTTTACCCCGAATCACTCGCAGAGCGATGGCACCGACCACGATCAGGGCTCGTCATCGGGAGAGCCCAAGGGCAAGGAGAGGGCTCAGGACGTTGTTGCCACGCTTGATCCGTCGGAGCCATCCTCGTCGGCTGATGTCGGAGCTGGTCCTTCCCGGCCACGCTCCGTTTCTGATGGCCCTCAGATGCACAGCAGCATCAACCCGCTCGCCAACAATACTTGGTCTTTTGCTGCTGTCTACGAGCCCCACAACCAAGAGCCCCAGAGCGAAGAGCTGCCGCAGTGGCCTGGATCCGACGCTCCAGTGCCAGAGACACTTCACGAGGATGAAGCTCCTCAGCCGGCCCCTGTACCCGACAATAGCAACATGACCAATTCCGAACACCACGACCATAGTGCTTCTGTAGTCAATGCAGGGACCTCATCGGCAACAGATCCGGGACCTGCTGCTGCGCCAGAACAGCCGAAGCCCCTGACGGAGCGTGTGACGGATTTCATGTGGGCTGATATTGGAGATCCCGACCATGGCTTTGCCGGTACAGGCGCCGATGACCACGAGACCGACGATGACCAGTGGCTTGATGTGCCCATGGACGATAGAGACAACGGGCTCAACATGGCTGATGCTGCTGCCGAGTTCGAAGTCGACGAAAATGATGTTGCTGGTCTGGACCCGGGACGGGACGCTGAAGTTGTTGAGGACATGGAGGATTTCGAGGGCATCATGGAACTACTGGGGATGCGAGGGCCCGTGACCAACCTGTTCCAAAACGTCATATTCTGCGCTGTTCTCGTACAAGCCGCCTTGTTTGTCGGTATCTTTATCCCCTTTAACGTTGGGCGCGTTTCGCTGTGGTTCATTGCCAGGCCGACACGCCTCATCCTCATGATGTACGAGATGTCCAAGGTTATTCAGGATCTCACCTTTGCCTTCACTGGATTCCTCAGCTGGGCCGCCTTCAACTTGGTGGACATGCTGACGAGCCACCTCGGCGGCCCCGTGGCTATCCAGGTCCTGGCCGGCCGTAAAGCCTCGTGGGGCTTCTTTGCCGGGGCGGTAAACAGGATAGTCGTCGTATTTGACCTGCTGTCGCAGGAACTGGCGGTGCCCGGGTCGGGGATGCAGTTGTGGTCTGCCGCTAGCCACGAGGCCCTCATGAACATCCAAGAGTTCATCATCTCGGCCGTCATGTCTCTCGGCTCTGTCCTGTCCCCCCGCGGCATCCTTCGCCTCATCATTGAAGCCCCCTATTTCTTCGGTAAGACCCTGGAGCGTATCTCCATCGCCATGTCCAAGCCCGGCGGCCTGGTTGTCAACCTTACGCCCGCCTACACCGCACCCCCCGTCAGTCTCGATAATGCCCACTGGTCCGCTAGTGACCTGACGTGGGCTATCCTCACGGGCTACGTCACCATGCTCGCCATCGCAGCCCTTTACCTCAAGACGGGCATCCGCTTTGCTCGCGGCACCTCCCTCGAGGACTGGGAGGTCGGCCTCATTGACACGCTACACCAGGCTAGCGGGATCCTCAAGGTCATCACCGTCATTGGCATCGAGATGCTCGTCTTCCCGCTGTACTGCGGTCTGCTTCTCGACTGTGCGCTCCTACCCCTCTTTGCGGGGGCCACCGTCACCTCCCGCCTGCAGTTTACGTACAATAATCCGTGGACGTCGTTGTTTGTCCATTGGTTTGTCGGGACAGGCTACATGTTTCACTTTGCTCTGTTTGTGTCCATGTGTCGTAAGATAATGCGGCCTGGAGTTCTATGTGAGTGCCCCCCCCCCTTGATGATTTTCTTCTCTCTCACCCACACTTCACTTCTTTCTCCCGCAACCACTGATCAATCCACCCAGACTTCATTCGCGACCCTGATGATCCTGAATTTCATCCCGTACGAGATGTTCTCGAGAGAAACCTGACGACACAACTCCGCAAGATCCTGTTCTCGGCCTTTGTCTACGGAGCACTAGTCATTGTATGTCTTGGCGGGGTCGTCTGGGGTCTGGCCTACGCCGCTCCCGGTGTCCTCCCCATTCACTACTCGTCCAACGAGCCGGTTCTCGAATTCCCCGTCGACTTGCTCTTCTACAACTTCTTCATGCCACTCGCATTCAGAGTGTTCAAACCAGGTGATGCGCTCCATTCCATGTATAGCTGGTGTTTCCGCAAAAGTGCGCGCATCCTGCGACTCACCTATTTCCTCTTTGGCGAGCGTCGCATCGATGAGGAGGGCACACTCCGACTACCTGATTCCTCGCCCTACCGGGATTCTGCACCCTACCGACTGCCATTCCTCGGCCTGGACGAAGATAAGAGGAACGTAATTCCCAAGTCCCTGATTGACATCCTCGACGGCGTTGAGACGGGCCCCGATAGTTCCTTTGCCTACGCGAACAAGCACCTGAGGCGTAGAAAGGCCCGCCTCGTGGAAACTGGCCAGCTCGTTCAGGATGGACGCTTCGTCCGCGCACCCGCCTCCGACCGCATCAAGATACCCAAAGGCAGAAAGGTCTTTCTTGAAGTCAACGAAAGTGGGCGACGTATCGACGGCAAACCCGATGAAGGGCTCTACGCTTCTGGTCAATTCAAGATGGTCTATGTGCCGCCGCACCTTATCCCGCGCGCTTTCCTGTTCATCCTTTTCATCTGGACCTTTGCCGCCGTCACCGGGGTGGGCTTGACTGTGATCCCCCTGATCTTAGGCAGGGCTATGTTCAAGGCTGCGTTGCCGGACCATGTGAGGACCAACGACATATACGCATTCTGCATTGGTGTGCACGTCTTCGTATTTGCCGCCTACGCCATCTCCCACGGCCGGCAGCTGTGGGCCAACGTTCGATCCTTATGGCTCGCGGGTATGCACGCAAAGTCGTCGGAGAGGGTAACGATGTGTGTGCAGTCGGTCGCCTGGGCGGCCAAGCTCTTGTACGCCTACACGTTCATCCTGTTCATCTGCCCGCTCGTTCTCTCGGCTCTGGTGGAGCTGTACATCAACATGCCTCTGCATACGCTCATGAATCCACCTTCGGCGCGGGACTTTACGGGCCAGACGGGACACGGACACCACAAGATCCGCATCATCGAAGCGTGGACCCTAGGCCTCCTATACCAGCGTCTGGCAGCCAAGATGATTTCTAGCCTGTACTACCACAGCCGGTTCTGCATGGCGATGCGGGCGGTCCTCCGGCGCGGCTGGCTAGACCCGGACATTGGCATTCTGACGCGGGCGTTTGTCATTCCCGGCACAGCATTCTCGCTGGTGGCGGTGCTGGGCCCCGCGGCGCTCGCCAACCTGGTTGAGTCGCAGTTCGCGTCGCTGCTGAGCAGCGGTAACGGCGGCCACGGCCCCAAGGAGATGGCATCGCGCGTCATCAGGCACAGGCAGGCATACCCCTTCGTGGCGGTACTAGCCATGCTCACGCGGCATTTTGTCGTCATGAAGGGTGGGTTTGACACGCTCAAGGCGCAGGTGCGTGATGATGCGTACCTCATGGGTGAGAGGCTGCAGAATTACGATGGGCCTCCCTCGGATACGAGGACGGCAAAGGCGCAGAGGCAGGTTGCCGGTAGAGCTGCTGCAATGCTCTAATGTGTTCTATGGCAGCTCTACCGTAGCAGAATGCGCGTCTTTTTTTCTTGGTAATAATAAAGGGAAAGCATCGAGGATATAGAGTTGAAAGAAGGACATAGGGAATGTGGAGAAAAAAAGATGCAAGGGTTTGGAGAAGAATAGAAGAAAGGGGAGTAATAATGAGTGGTTCTACGATGATGTTAGTATAATGCCCAGTATCACTACTCTTTACAGCAAGATATCCATGCATATCATTCCTGGCAGTGAGCGGAAAGAAATAAAATGATAGAAACAAATGATCAACACTATCAACTTGTGCGATGAACAGACGAGGCAAACGGAGGGAATGATTTTACTAGCAGTATTACTACAGATTATAGTAGTACGAATATGAAGGAGACGATAGTGGGCGTACAATGTGATGGACAAATGATCGCAACTCGTATCAAGGCAAGGATTGTTTTTATCTTCTTCCATAAGTGGTTGCTTACGAAACCAGTCCATGGCCAGCAAACTATGACGACAGAGTGCTAGGTAGATACACGTCGTAGATGAGTCATGACATGTTACGTGTAAATAATGAGAATGTAAACAGCCCAACGTACTCGTAACTCGTAGCTGGTTTCGACAGTTGTCCCACACAAACTCTCTCCTTTGTTGTGCATATGTTGCTTTATCTGATAGGCTAGGAGTACAGTGCGCCTTTCCACCATCAACGACTGCGAGACTATGAGTAGTATTACAGTTAGTTTCCGACGAGCAATACTCGTACTCGTGAGTGGTATGGAGTACCAGAGTACAGGTGCACGTGATTTCCTACGACACCCGAGACAAACAAGATAGGAGGGCGAGAGAGAGAGAGAGGGAGGAGCGAGGGAGGGAAGGAAGGAAAGAAAAAGAGGGACCCCGTTGCTCAGGAGGCCACGTTTCTAACCCTAATTAGGAAAGGTCGTTGCTCTTCGAAAGCCCGAATGGCAGGCGCATCAACTAGAGCAAGCTGCACCGGTTGCAGTGGTTAGTGCTACAGAGGCTACAGAGTAATTATCCGTGGATAGTAGGCTGATTATTAGTGGCTAACAGCGGGCAATGATTTAGCGGTAGCGGGAAGCTCAGTGTGACCGTGACCAGTGGGAGCGCTTCAGTCCCCCCTCTGCCGTGCGGCCCCCCCCTGGTCTGTAGGTCCGTCACGAGCCAAAACATTCAAATGCAACAACATCCGAGAGTTGTCGCACTCGACAACCACCCCGCCCAAGAACGCCGCCTCATGGGTTCGCGGCCCTTTCTCTACTAACCAAAACTGGGAAACAGGCAAGAACGCCAGGTAAGTCAGCGACGACAAAAAGAGCGACTGTGTCGTCTACCCGACCACGACACGACCGCTACCAAAACGACCAGACGACAACAACCCGCGCCACTCTGTCAAGAGGGGGGTTGTTGACACCAGGCATCCGTAAGTTGCTACTCAACTGCGCCGCCTCCCTCCTCCCCCCGACGATGTGCGCACAGGCGTACTGACAGACAATATTCCATGAGCAGGAAGAGGAAAAACGACGACACTCGCGCTCTCTTTCATTTTCCTTCTCTCTTATTTTCTTCTATATATTCACCCCTTGAGTAAGACGTAATATAACATCATGGCCGAACCACCCTCATCGCCGCCTAGGCCGGATGCCACGGCTGAAGAATCTCTCGCCTGGTACAAGACGCAGTACGAACATCTAGAGACGGACCTGGCAGAGTTTCGCGAGTCTAGTCGCGAACTCGAGCAAGAATTGGAAAAGGATATCGAACGCGCAGAGAAGCAGGAGAGGCTGCTGCAGGAGAGGGCTGAGACGCTAGCTTATGAAGTGGAAGAGTGGAAGGTAAGGAAGGCTCTTGGAAGGGGAAGCGGAAGGAGGAGAAGACGAGACGGGATAATAGGGAAAAAGAGGGGTTTGCTGACAGCTATATGGAACAGCGCAAGTACAAGGAGTCCAAGACCGAAGCCGCCTCTGTGCAAAACTCGCTTGAAAAGGAGATTACGACGCTACGAGACACAAACCGGACCCTCCAACTGAAGCTACGCGACATCGAGGTGGCCAACGATGACTTCGAGAGGCAGGCGCGCAACACGACATCGTCGCTTGAGGACATGGAGTCCAAATTCAACCAGGCCATCGAGCGCGCTGTCTTGATGGAGGAGGAGATTCGCCAGGGCGAGCAGGAGCGCGAGAACATGCGCATCGACGCCCAGCGCCTGCGCGAGGAGCTGTCAGACCTCAAGATCGAGGCCGAGTTGCTGCAGGATAAGGTCAAGAAGCAGGAGGCCCGCCACCTGTCAACCATCTCGACCGACCTGTCCATCCCCGCCTCGCCCACATTCGACCGCAACGCGGAGCCCTCGTCCCCCCAGTCGACCGCCAGCTCGCCCCTCATCACCACCCCGCCCGACACAAAGTCCATGTCTTCAGCCGACACGCTCTCCGAGCTCTACGACCCGCCGTCCCCGCCCATGTCCGACGCCCCTGTCTCGCTGCCCAAAAGGTCCTCTGCCAGCGGCGAGTCGTCGATGCGCAAGCCCACCATCACTCCCAGCTCATTCCGCAAGTCGCAGCTCGGTGGCTCGGTGGCCGCCACTCCCAAGCCTCGCAGCACCGTTAACAAGGCGCCAGGGACCATCGGTGTGCCGCGCATGCCTGGTGCCCGCACGTCGACGGGCAACCCGCCCCTGCGCACGCCCGTCAACCGGTCCGCGCACATTCGCTCCGGCAAGCTTCCCGCATCCAACTCGCTCACGCACATCCGTACCCTTACGGCGCAGATGGAGCGTCTCGAGGCGCGCGTGCACAATGCGCGATCCAGGCTTCCCGCACCCACGTCGACACCACCCCGGTACTCGCCGCGTACGTCTGTAAACGGCGGCGGTCCTCCGCAGATCCCCTCATCCATCACGGTTCGGTCGCGTAAGAGGACCGTTAGCTCGACACCGTCGATGACCGGAGACGATGACACTGCCACGTACCAACTCACCGCCCGAGGCCACGTTTCCCGTCTCAGCGAGTCACGCGTCGGACGTCTTTCGTACGGGCCGATTCCCAACCGCGGCGGGCCAGAATCGGACATGAGCCGACCCAGCTCACGAACCAGTATATCGTCCCGGCCTCCGTCGCGTACAGATATGGCCCTCCCGCGCCCCATGTCGCGGTCCTCTCTTGGCGGCACGCGCACACCGCTTGGCCGTCCGCGGTCTTCGATGGGTGGCACCATACATCATTACTCTGCCAGCGTGGGCGTAGGCCGCATGGAGGAAGAGGACGAGGGAGAAGAGGACGGCACGTACAGCACACCCAGCCGACGGGCCATGTACGCCAGCACCAGCGGCAAGTTTGACCCCAACAGGAGCACTAGCAGTATTCCTATTCCCGGCAGCCGGCGGCAGAGCGGGAGTACCGGCGCAGCTGGCGGAAGGAGAGCCAGCAGGGATGGAAGCAGTGGGATTCCCGTGAGTGGAGGGAGGCAGAGCTTTTCCCGGAATCAGAATATCGAGGACCTGGGAGAAACGTATTGATTGCATTTCCCCTTTTGAATCTCGCATCTTTATTTTCTCTTCTGGTGTCCTTTCGAGGCCCTCTGTTTTTACCATACCCCCCCCCCCCCTTTACTCTCCCTCGTCTTATATCCCCGCTTGTCCTTTTTTTTATATCCCCTCGTGGTTTTTATATCCTCTCATCTTATTTCCCCCTCGCTGTTTTTCATCCTCTTTGTCTTTACACAACTTCCCTACTCTTCTCTGTTCATATTGATGCAAAGGATGGGATGGTCTGGTGTCGGGCTCTCTTTTTCAGCGGTGTTTACTCTCATTTTTTCTCTTCGTCTTTATGATGATATGGCATCTTTCTTTTTCTTTGAGTCTTTTTGGGGGGTTTCTTCTTTTTTCTTGTCTGTCTCGATCTTCATAGGATCGATCGGGAACGATGAAGAAAACAAAAGAAAGTAGATGGTTTTGGTGGGAAGGAGAAAGGGTGGGAGATCGCTATTACAAGTTTGTTCAAGTTACCCAAGGTTGCATGGACGGTTACGGAGCATCATCACTTTTTTTTCTCTTTATCTTTGTGCTATTCCTGATCTGAAGCTTTTGGCAGAATGGCAGGTTGGCAGGCATTCCTTTTGTTTTTGCTATACCTAGTTCCCCTCTCTCCTTTGTCTTGGTCTCCTGGTGTGGGACGGTCCCGAGATGGGATGTATATACGAGTATGGAGTAGATTTAAATATTGACTCTGCTCTTTACATTTGATATGACGTTTGTAAGTCGTTGTATGCGAGTGAATGCTTGTGGAAGAGACAGTATACGTGTGTGGAAGAAGCTGTACGTTGCGGATTTTCGAATGCTGTTGCCTTGAATGTATCGTTGGCATAGCTGGGTTGGAGAACCGCGCGGGTTCAAGGTTTCTGTCCTTGTGCATATATTTTTTTTAATGCCGAGTGTGCGAATACGACTATCCGATTACGAAACCATCAGGGTAGTAGTTGTGGGTTGTGGTGGCCTGAGGGTGGGTGTGATGCAATAACGGATATAGCAAGACCAGGGTGGAGAGTTAGTAATGCAATCAACGACAACTGACGGTCAGAGAGTATGGAGTGTTATTATCCAATGTTGGGGCAGCATTTCAACCATTTGGGAGCTGGGAGTCCGGGTTTTAGATGGGTGGGGAGGAATCAAGAAAGAGAGAGGAGTCCCATGGCCTACTAATGGTCCTTTGGATAACTGGTACTCCATACATAATAATACTCGCAGTAATACAGATTACAGGCACTAATAATGTCAGATTGTCAGGCTGGGGAACTCAACAATTGGGGCGTAGAGGAAAAAAAAAAAGGCTAGATACTCCATAGTAAACAAGCTAGATGGACACACACAATACATAAACCAAGCCCCCAAACTCAATGGGTTTACAGCTTGTACAGTTACGGGTATGACGACTTATAATGTACGACTATGGGGACTGCCACGTTTCTTTTTTTTTCTCCCTCTCTTCTCGCTGTTTTTGCTCCTTTTTGCCACATCTAGGAAAGGACGGATGATGGCTTCGGAGCCGGGACAGCTGGCTCGGGATCGGGATTCACGAATACGGACTATTATTAGTCGTATAGGACTACGGAGTAATACAATAATCACGGCTACTAGTATGAACACCGACTACAATTACGGAGTATTTCTTCATGGCACAGATGCGAGTTGACGGGTAAAAGAGAAAGAGGTTAGACATCAAGGGAGGCGAGGGGTCGGGGACATTTGAAAATGGAAAGACCGGATTAGAGGGTGGTCAGACATTTTTGTCTTGAACTGGTATTCGGCGTATTTCGGCCTGGCTACTACTGCTGATTGTTATTGACTTGGGACGTACAGGTTACGGAGCTCGGAGTACGGGTAGTACAGTTCCAGGTGTTGACGACGGCGCATGCTGTAGCGATACCCCGTATAGAGTACGGAGTATCATAGTAAGAACGATAAAGCAGATCAGCCAAGATATGATTGGATATAGAAGGAGGTTCTGCATGCAGCCGGCTCAACCTTGTGAGAATGCTGCACGACGACAGAGAATGTTGGCGCGTTGATGCAGTTTATGAGAGAATTGGAGAAATGCACGGCCGTGACGGTGTGGTTTGTTGGCGAGTGTCATGATGAGGCTGCCGATTGATGAGAGTTGATCGATTGATTGATGAGTGATGACTAAGGATCGGAGACCGTCCAGCTGGCACCCACGAGCCTACGACAGGGAAAAGTTGGGAAGGAACGAGTAAACCCTTGTACGTACCTGTCCCCCCCGGAGAAGAAATCGAGCTTGGTAAGGCCCCCCCTGTAACCTTCATCTGGTGGGATGGGCAAGTACAGGGCCAGAGAGACAAGAGACAGCCAGGAGAGACACGGCCGAGGAGAGGGTGAGAGGTAGAGAGCGAAGAGGCCAGAGAACGTGTTGCTCGTAAGACCAGAGGGATTCATTACTATTCACTTCAGAACCTCTGGTGTGGGGATTTTATACTGCGATGTCGGGTATCAAAGCGCCGACGATGATTGTGGTATTCTGTCCATTTACTCTGTCAGCGTTTCACGGTACGTAAATGTAAGTGCTCACTCGTAGACGATCTGTTGCCTACCTGTATACTACCAACAACCAATACTTCACATCGCATTATCGTACAGTATCCAACTAGAGGTAGGTTCCAGTAGTTATGTATTATCGATATCGGTTATGGACTAGCATGTATTACTCCGTACTCGTAGACTGCCCAGGTGAGACCGCCCAAATATTCTCTAACGATCCCTCCCAATGACTTTGGCGGGCAGAGCGAGCAGCTGTCCCCTGGAACAATGCCCGTGAACACCGACGCACCCCTCCCCCCACCATGAGCCCCTAGGGAAAAAAAAAAAAGAAATCCCAAGGGCCCACCCCCTGAGCTCGATTGCTACTTGCTGTCAGCCAAGCTAGTGGTCCGTCCCAACAAGATCGACGGTAGGAGAGGAGAGTAAGAATACCTGCACGGCGGAAAGTACAGGTAGTTTCAGCAACTGTTAATCCAGCCACTACAGGTACCTCGTAGCCGGAATTCTCATGGAAATATAGTGGTGTAGTACATTTTAAGGCTCTTTAATCAACCTGTCTGCCTGTATTTTGTCACTCCCTTGCGCCATTCGAGCTGGCACGGGTAGGTACCACCTTCCCACCTTCCCAATCCTTCACACAGAATGACCTTGAACCCTTCCTTCCACTCGTAGTAGCTCTCTACTCTGTCCTGTCCCCTCTTATTTTTCTCTCCTCCCTTTTTCTAACCCTTTTCCCTTCTCTTACGGAACATCATACACCTTCTCATCTTCTTTTCTATTTTTCTTTCCTACAGACAAAGAGTGAGCGAGAGAGACTCCTCTTCTTAATTCTCTTTTGGCTCTTCTAAACATCGTCTCTCTTCCTATCTCTCTCCTTACATACCAGCTACCTCTTGCTCTCCTTCTTTCACCGGGTGCAGAAAGAAGAGACCGGAGCCAGCTTTACGGGGGGTTTCGCGAACGCATTCTCTCGATTTTTTGTCGTCACCGCATCTCCATTCCCTCTCCTACGGCTTCCCCTCCCCCGGTCCGCCACGTCCCTCCATGCCGGCAAATCGACCATTACGACCTTGACTCGATCACCCCCTACATAAACAACATCCCCCTCCCTCTCTTGTAATACCACCAACCATGGCTCCGTTAGCAAACGGCTCCAATGGCGCCGCCAATAGCGTAGCCTCTTACGCCGAGAAGCACAATCTTGCCGACCACTTTATTGGAGGCAACAACCTGCAAACTGCTCCTGCTAGCAAGGTCAAGGACTTTGTCGCTCAACATGATGGTCACACTGTCATTACAAACGTGAGCCCTCCATCCTCCCCACTGCCCCTCCCCCCCCCCTGCTTCCCTGTGCTTTGGCAGGAAAGCCGCACAGGAGAAGGAATACAATGCAAGAACAGGCCGCTTACAGAAATCAGGTTCTCATCGCCAACAATGGTATCGCCGCCGTCAAGGAGATTCGTTCCGTCCGGAAATGGGCGTACGAAGTCTTTGGAGACGAGCGCGCCATCCACTTCACAGTCATGGCCACCCCCGAGGATCTCCAGGCCAACGCAGACTACATCCGCATGGCTGACCACTACGTCGAGGTCCCCGGAGGTACGAACAACCACAACTACGCCAATGTTGAGCTCATTGTCGATATTGCCGAGCGTATGAACGTCCACGCCGTCTGGGCCGGCTGGGGCCACGCCTCGGAAAACCCCAAGCTCCCCGAGTCCCTCGCCGCCTCCCCCAACAAGATTGTCTTCATTGGCCCCCCGGGATCCGCCATGCGCTCGCTTGGTGACAAGATTTCCTCAACCATTGTTGCCCAGCACGCCCAAGTGCCCTGCATCCCCTGGTCCGGGACCGGTGTTGACGAAGTCGAGGTGGACGACAATGACATCGTCACCGTTCCTGACGAAGTCTACGCCAAGGGCTGCGTCTACTCGTGGGAGGAGGGTTTGGAAAAGGCCCGGCAGATTGGCTTCCCCGTCATGATCAAGGCCTCCGAGGGTGGTGGTGGCAAGGGTATCCGCAAGGCTGATAGCGAGGAGGGCTTCGAGGCGCTCTACAGGGCCGCCGCCAACGAGATCCCCGGGTCCCCCATCTTCATCATGAAGCTGGCCGGCAATGCCAGGCATCTCGAGGTCCAGCTTCTGGCTGACCAGTACGGAAACAACATCTCCCTCTTTGGCCGTGACTGCTCCGTTCAGCGTCGCCACCAGAAGATTATCGAGGAGGCCCCCGTCACCATTGCCAAGGAAGACACCTTTAGGCAGATGGAGGAGGCTGCTGTCAGGCTAGGCAAGCTGGTCGGCTACGTCTCTGCTGGAACCGTCGAGTACCTCTACTCCCACGCCGATGAAAAGTTCTACTTCCTCGAGCTCAACCCTCGTCTCCAGGTCGAGCACCCTACCACAGAAATGGTTAGTGGCGTCAACTTGCCCGCCGCTCAGCTGCAGATCGCCATGGGCCTGCCCCTCCACCGCGTCCGCGACATCAGGCTACTCTACGGCGTCGACCCCAAGACGTCGAGCGACATTGACTTCGGCTTCCAGCTAGAGGGTACCGCCCAGACCCAGCGCCGTCCCCGCCCCAGGGGCCACACTACCGCCTGCCGCATCACCTCCGAGGATCCTGGTGAGGGCTTCAAGCCTTCCAACGGTGTCATGCACGAGCTCAATTTCCGTTCCAGCTCAAACGTCTGGGGTTACTTCTCCGTCGGTACCCAGGGTGGCATCCACAGCTTCTCCGATTCACAGTTCGGCCACATCTTTTCCTATGGCGAGAACCGCACCCAGTCTCGGAAGCACATGGTTGTCGCCCTCAAGGAGCTGAGCATTCGTGGTGACTTCAAGACCACCGTCGAGTACCTCATCAAGCTGCTCGAGACCGAGGACTTCGAGGACAACACAATCTCCACAGGCTGGCTCGACGAGCTCATCTCGAAACGCCTGACGGCCGAGCGCCCCGACCCCATGCTCGCTGTCGTCTGCGGTGCCGTCACAAAGGCCCACATCGCTAGTGAGGCGTGCCTCGCCGAATATCGTGCCGGTCTCGAGAAGGGCCAGGTACCCCCTAGCCACATCCTCAAGACTGTATTCGCCATTGACTTCATTTACGATGGCTACCGCTACAAGTTCACCGTCACCCGCTCCAGCACCGACAGCTACCACATCTTCATTAACGGCTCCAAGTGTTCCGTCGGTATCCGTGCTCTCAGGGACGGTGGCCTGCTCATCCTGCTTGACGGCCACAGCCACAACGTCTACTGGAAGGAGGAGGTCGGCGCCACCCGCCTCTCTGTCGACTCCAAGACGTGCCTGCTCGAGCAGGAGAGCGACCCTACGCAGTTGCGCAGCCCCAGCCCTGGAAAGCTCGTCGGCTACACCGTCGAGAGCGGCACCCACCTCCGCGCCGGCCAGGCCTACGCTGAGGTAGAGGTCATGAAGATGCACATGCCCCTCACCACCCAGGAGGACGGTGTGGTTCAGCTCATCAAGCAGCCCGGAGCCGTTCTCGAGGCCGGTGACATACTCGGCATACTCGCTCTCGACGACCCTAGTCGCGTTAAGCAGGCTACGCCCTTTGTCGGGAAGCTGCCCGAGTACGGCCCCCCCGTCGTCGTCGGCACCAAGCCCGCCCAGCGCTTCAACCTCCTCTACAGCACCCTCCAAAACATTCTCGAGGGCTATGACAACTCGGTCGTGATGGCTGCCACCCTGCAGAAGCTCATAGAGGTTCTGCGCGACCCCGAGCTGCCCTACAGCGAATGGAACGCCCAGTTCTCGGCCCTGCACGCCCGCATGCCCCAGAAGCTCGACGCCCTCTTCACCCAGATTGTCGACCGCGCCCGCACCCGTCAGAGCGAGTTCCCCGCCAAGACCTTGCACAAGGCCCTTGCTAAGTTCCTGGAGGAGAGCGTGGCCCCTAGCGATGTCGCCGCCCTCGAAGCCACCCTTGAGCCCCTCACCAAGGTCGTCGACCTCTACATTGAAGGCCAGAAGGCACGCGAGCTTAATGCCATCCGCACCCTGCTCGAGACCTACTGGCAGGTTGAGTCGCTGTTTGTGAACCAGCCTCAGGAGGAGACGGTTGTCCTCGCCCTGCGTGACCAGCACAAGGACGACATCACCAAGGTTGTCCACACGGTCCTGTCCCACAGCCGCGTCAGCGCCAAGAGCAACCTCATGGTCGCCATCCTCGACGAGTACAGGCCCAACAAGCCTAACGTTGGCAACGTCCCCAAGTATCTCCGCGACATCCTGCGCAAGCTCGCCGAGTTGCAGCACTCGCGTTCCACCTCAAAGGTCTCGCTCAAGGCCCGCGAGATTATGATCCAGTGCTCCCTGCCTTCGCTCGAGGAGCGTGCCTCTCAGATGGAGCACATCCTCCGGTCTTCGGTGGTCGAGTCGCGCTACGGTGAGTCGGGCTGGGACCATCGCGAGCCTAGTCTCGACGTCCTGAAGGAAGTCGTCGACTCGAAGTATACCGTCTTTGACGTCCTGACCCTCTTCTTTGCCCACGAGGACCCCTGGGTCGGCCTGGCTGCACTCGAGGTCTACGTCCGCCGTGCCTACCGCGCCTACATTCTTAAGAATATTGACTACCAGACTGACGACGCGGGCACGCCCCTCTTTGTGTCGTGGGATTTCAACCTTCGCAAGATGGGCCAGTCCGAGTTCGGCCTCCCCATGCAGTCCCCTGCCATCTCCACCATCGCGACCCCGTCCACCCCGGGCGAGTACCCTGGTCTCGGCAGCGCTGGTGCCGGCGAGGGCAGCAGCGGCCATGGCCTGGGAGGGCGCATCCGCTCCGTCAGCGACATGTCGTACATCAACGCCAGGATGGACGAGGAGCCGAACCGTCGCGGTGCTATCGTGCCCGTCAAGTACATTGACGATGCCGAGGAGCTCCTCCAGAAGGCCCTGGAAGCCCTGGGCCCGTCCAGCGAGGGCTCCAATGACGACGGCCCCGACCTGAAGAGCAACCTGAGCCGCCAGCGCAACCCCGCCGTGTCCGGCAAAACCAAGCGGATCCACCTCGGCGAGCTGTCGGCCGTCATTAATGTCGCCATCCGTGACGCTGAGGGTGACAGCGACCAGGTGACTCTGGAGCGCCTGCAGCCCATTGTCGACGAGTTCAAGGATGAGCTCCTGCACCGCGGCGTGCGCCGGCTGACCTTCATCTGCGGATACCGCGACGGCTCGTACCCCAGGTACTATACCTTCCGCGGCCCCGAATACGACGAGGACGCCAGCATCCGTCACAGCGAGCCGGCTACGGCCTTCCAGCTGGAGCTGGCCCGTCTTTCCAAGTTCAACATTAAGCCCGTCTTCACCGAGAACAAGAACATTCACGTCTATGAGGGCATTGGCAAGACCGTCGGTACGGACAAGCGCTACTTCACCCGTGCCGTCATCCGACCGGGACGTCTCCGTGATGAGATCCCCACAGCCGAGTACCTCATCTCGGAGGCTGATCGCGTTATCAATGACATCTTCGACGCCCTCGAGATTATCGGCAACAACAATTCGGATCTAAATCACATCTTCATGAACTTCACACCCGTCTTCCAGCTGCACCCCCGCGAGGTTGAGCAGAGTCTGCAGGGCTTCCTCGACCGCTTTGGCGCCCGTGCCTGGAGGCTGCGTGTCTCCCAGGTTGAGATCCGCATCATCTGCACCGACCCCAAGACTGGCGAGCCCTATCCCCTGCGTGTTATTGTCACCAACACGTCGGGCTTCATCGTCGACGTTGACATGTACGCCGAACGCAAGTCGGAGAAGGGCGCTTGGCTCTTCCACAGCGTCGGCGGCACCAAGGAGAAGGGCCCCATGCACCTGCTGCCTGTGTCGACCCCATACCCCACCAAGAACTGGCTGCAGCCCAAGCGCTACAAGGCTCACCTCATGGGCACGCAGTATGTCTACGACTTCCCGGAGCTGTTCCGCCAGGCCATCCAGAACAGCTGGACCAAGTCTATCAAGGCCAACCCCGAGCTGTCGGGCCAGCAGCCCAAGACTGGCGACTGCTTGGTCTTCACTGAGCTCGTCCTCGACGACTCCGACCGCCTGGATGAGGTCAACCGTGAGCCTGGCACCAACACCTGCGGCATGGTCGGTTGGGTTTTCCGCGCCCGCACCCCCGAGTACCCCTCCGGCCGTCGCTTCATCGTGATCGCCAACGACATCACCTACAAGATTGGCTCGTTCGGCCCCAAGGAAGATAATTTCTTCTACAAGTGCACCGAGCTCGCCCGTCAGCTAGGTATCCCCCGCATCTACCTGTCAGCCAACTCGGGTGCCCGCCTGGGTCTCGCCGAGGAGCTCATGCCCCACTTTAGGGTCGCCTGGAACGACGTCACCAAGCCTGACGCTGGCTTCCGCTACTTGTACCTCGACGATGAGATTCAGGAGCGCTTCAAGGACACCGTCATCACCGAGCCTATCACTGAGGGTGGCCAGAAGAGGAACAGGATTGTCACCATTATCGGCCAGGAGGACGGTCTCGGTGTCGAGTGTCTGAAGGGGTCCGGTCTCATTGCCGGTGCCACCAGCCGTGCCTACAATGACATCTTCACCATCACCCTGGTGACTTGCCGTTCAGTCGGTATGTTTTCTTCCCTCCGCTTCTCCATGCTCATTCCGCTTCCTTTCTTCCCGTGTGCATGACGGCTAGCTAACATGCCCCAGGTATCGGTGCTTACCTTGTGCGACTCGGTCACCGCGTGGTCCAGATCGAGGGCCAGCCCATCATCCTCACGGGTGCTCCCGCCCTCAACAACCTTCTAGGTCGCGAGGTGTACACGTCCAACCTGCAGCTGGGCGGTACGCAGATCATGTACCGCAACGGAGTGTCGCACATGACGGCTCCAGATGACTTTGCCGGTGTCTCGCGCATTGTCGAGTGGCTGTCTTTTGTGCCTGAGAAGCGCAACAGCCCTCTGGCCCTCAGCCCCTTCCCCGACGAGTGGGACCGCGAGATTGCCTACTACCCGCCCCAGAAGCAACCGTACGATGTGCGGTGGTTGATTGCTGGAAAGGACGAGGACGATGGCAGCTACCTTAGCGGCCTGTTCGATAAGGACTCGTTTGTCGAGACCCTTGGCGGCTGGGCTCGCACCGTCGTGACTGGTCGCGCCCGCCTTGGTGGCATCCCCATGGGTGTTATCGGTGTCGAGATCCGCTCTGTTGAGAATATCACCCCTGCTGACCCCGCCAACCCCGACTCAATTGAGCAGATTGGCAACGAGGCCGGTGGTGTGTGGTACCCTAATTCTGCCTACAAGACGGCCCAGGCCATCAACGACTTCAACCACGGAGAGCAGCTGCCGCTCATGATCCTCGCCAACTGGCGTGGATTCTCGGGTGGCCAGCGCGACATGTACAACGAGGTGCTCAAGTACGGATCGATGATCGTCGACGCCCTGACGAACTACGAGCAGCCAATCTTCATCTACATCCCACCGTTTGGCGAGCTGCGTGGTGGTTCATGGGTGGTGGTTGACCCGTCGATTGCCCCCGACACGATGGAGATGTACGCCGACGCTGAATCTCGCGGCGGTGTTCTGGAACCTGATGGTATCATTGGTATCAAGTACCGCAAGGACAAGCAGCTGAAGACCATGGCTCGCCTGGATCCTACGTACGCCGACCTCAAGAAGCAGCTCGAGGACACGTCATTGTCAGAGGAGGCTGCCGAGGAGGTCAAGGCTAAGATGGCGGCGCGCGAGAAGGCTCTGCTGCCTGTATACGCCCAGATTGCTGCGCAATATGCCGACCTGCACGACCGCGCGGGTCGAATGAAGGCCAAGGGTGTGATCCGCGACCAGTTGGAGTGGGTGAATGCCCGTCGCTTCTTCTACTGGCGTCTACGTCGCCGTGTCAACGAGGAGTACATCCTCAAGCGCATGACGACCACAGTGCTGGCCAGCAGCCAGCAGCAGAGCACTGCCAAGACGAGCGAGCTGCGCGCTCAGCACCTTCTCCTGCTCAAGAGCTGGTCTGGCCTGGAGGATTGGGACAAGAATGACCGTCGCGTGACGGAGTGGTACGAGAGCGACAGGAAGGTGATTGGCGAAAAAGTGGAGGCTCTGCGTGCCGAGAAGCTGGCTACGGACGTGGCTGCTCTGGTGCGTGGCAACATGAAGGCGTCTCTCAAGGGAGTGAGGGACGTGATGAGGGTGATGCCCGTGGAGGAGAAGGAGGCACTGTTGAAGTACCTAAGAGATTAGGTTGCTTTGTCTTGATGGTGATGATTTTTGTTTTTTGTTTTTTGTTTTTACCTGGTTCGTGTTTTCAATCTCACACATTCCTGTTTGGTCAATTGACCAAGTGTTATAGATGTATTAGGCGTCATTAATGGTACATTATGCCTTTATATGATATTTGGAGTAGTAGTTTCTGCATTTGACAGTTATGTGTTGCAGTAGTCCTTTGACTCGCTGTGTGTTCCTCCATAGACACCCCAGTGTATCATTCCCTTTATTGTACATGTATTATACAGAAGGTAGTCTTGTTCTCTTCTGGTCCCTCTGCTTATCTTCTTCGGTTGTCATTTCCTTTCTTTTTGTTGAACTCTTTTGAGAATGGTCTCTTCCATGTTTCCTTTCCGAAATCCAAGAGGTCATTACAGTGTCTTTTTCTTTCTCTTTTCCGAAGGTGATAGAGCATTGTATAACCGGGTATGGGTGGACGTAGTTACTCCCCCTCCTCAGGAACCCTCGTCCGGATCTGGACACCATGCCAATTCTTGACCTGGTCGCCGAGGGCCTTATTCACCAGCCTCTGCTGGGCGAGGAGGTTCATGCCCTTGAAGCGGCGGGAGGCGACCTCGATGGCGTACATGCTCCCGCAGCCACCGGAGACGTCGCGAACGAGGATGCTGGATATAGGGTCTAGGGCTTCGAATGACGTGATAGTTGATGCTATGGCTGATTCGGCTTCTGTCATGGAGGATACGGCGTCGTCGGAGGAGAAGGCGCGGCTCTGGCCCGCTGTTGTTGCTGATGGGAAGCTTAGACGAGGCGACGTTGCTGCTGCTGCTGCTGTTGCGGTTGCGGGGATGGCGACTCGTGGGACGGCAGCTATGAGCCTGCGACTCAGCAGGGGATTCCGACGGAGAAACATGGTCTGCTTCTGAGAACGGGACTTTGGGTAGGATTAGAGAACTTCAATGGATTGGAGACTTTTTTCTCCTTTGGCTTTTGGCCATCGTCATGATTCGGAGGATTGGTAAGCTTTCGCGCGGCCCGAAGAATAGCCGACTGGTCGGGAAAAAAATAAGTGCAAAGATAAGAGACAGTGTATTTTCTATTCTTCATTTTTTCCGTCCTACAACATTTTTTTTCATCATGAAGGAAGAAGGACAAGGGAGAAGAGAGTAGAAGTATGGGAAAGAGAAAAAAATATTTTTCCACCATATCTGTGCCTGCATGATGATGGGTCGTGTACTATGATGCCTGGCTATCTGGGTCAAAGACCCCGTGTCAGTATGACGAGGAGCAAATTCCATACCAGTAGTACGCAGAATAACAGCACGCAAGTCTGATGTAGGAACGACTCATTCCGTACAGAAATCGCCATTTCTCAAAGAAACTTGTACGTGATTCAATGCCTGCGATAAAGCTGCAATGCAATGCTGCAATGGAACTTTTGCCTAAACATGGGGCGGCACTGATACGGAATAACGGCATTGATATCTGTCAGTTCAATCCTTGGCGGTAGGCAGTACGGACATGGTGCTCGTAACTCTCAGCGAAACGCTGCACTCCGCACGTATGCGGAGTACGCGATTAAATTTAGCCTGGTCAATCACCGTGATGATCGATGTGATGGTACTCATGGTAGCCCGGAGCACCGACCCTGACAGAGTCCTGACTTGCTAGGTTGAGGTTATCGGAGATTGGCATCCCGGCAGCCAACGGGAACATACAGGGGTAGAGTTGCTAGCGAGGCCTCATACTTTGTACTCTTCGTACTCCGCACTCGTACTCTCAACGAATGACACGAGAGTCGGGTCAAGGCCAGTCAATGCGAAATAGAGATAGTCAATAATAAGTGGGCGGCGAAGCTCCAAAAGTCCTCGTGGGAATGGAGGAGCCCCTTGCAGTACGGACCTCCCTGATGAGGAGTGGCTCAATCTTCATACCTGTGCGGAGTAGATGCTACTCTATAGCTGAACCAAAGCTACTGATAATAATACTGAATAATTCAATGGTGCTAAGCAGTACGGATCCAAGGTGATAACAACAAATAGCGAGTTGGGTCGGGACATTTGCCGTGTATCCCTGCTCCCGATATCTATAGGTACCTTGGGGAGGATGGTCTGTCTGCTATCGCGACTACGAGCACACATGTAATCTATACGCTCCCAGGCAAAGGGACATGAATATCCCTGCTACCCACTGTTCAATTGACAATTGACAATTGACGATAATACTGCGTCGTACCCGGAAGAAACCTTGGTCTTGGCCTTCTACGCGCAATCTCTACCGGCTCGCACAACATCCCGTTTATCCCTCCCCCCCCTGCCGTTGGATATCCCTCGAATGGATCCCTCATAGCACCCCAAACTCACCTGCTTGATTCGGGGTGAAGAGGGCCATGGTCCATCATGGACGACGATGAATTGACCCATCTGCATACCTCATGACCGTCATCTGTGAATGGATCAAACATCCATGCGAGAACATGGTGCCCCTCCTCCCCAACCCTCGGTTTCCCGCACAGGGGGTGCGCAAGAGAGAGATATATAAGAAGTAATGAGTACTCACAAGTTTTTAAAACATGTTTCTGTATCCCCACTCCCTTCAGGCTTGAGCGGTTAGACATCTTCTACTCGTACAGAGAGTAGTTTGTTATCGCTGTTTTGGTTGTCAATCATGCCTCGTCTGTCGACTCTATCTGCGCTGCTGCTCGCTGCAGCTCTACCCTTGTGCTCTGCCGGACATGCCAGAACACACGTTCCCGGCGCGTACATCTTCGAACTCGACCATGAGCAGGTAATGATAGATACCAAACGCTTCGACCAACTACCGTGGCGGAGGCTCATGTTACTGACCGGTCACTCTCGGCTTCAATCAGGATACTTCCGATTTCTACGCCACTCTCGGCAGCGAGGGCACGACGCGTCTGAAGCTCGACTATACGCTCTTCAAGGGCGTGTCCGTCCAGCTCGACGACGTGGACAATGCCGAGGCCAAGGCGTCCGTCATGGCGTCCGCCCCGGCCGTCAAGAACGTCTGGCCCGTCGAGTTGTACGACCGCCCCAACCCCAAGAAGAGCTGGGCCGGCACCCCGTCCAGGACCCCTGCCCTGTCCAAGAGGGACAACACGTCCGACACGTACTCGCCCCATGTAATGACTCAGATTGACAAGCTGCATGGTCAGGGCATCACCGGCAAGGGCATCAAGATCGCCGTCGTCGACACTGGTGTAGGTTCACGCCATACAGTCAAGAATCGGCTGAATTAATCCGGAATACTGACTTGAAAAAAAGATTGATTACACCCATCCAGCTCTGGGCGGCTGCTTCGGTGAGGGATGCCTGGTCTCCTTCGGCACCGATCTCGTCGGTGACGCGTACAACGGATACAACGAGCACTACCCCGACGACGACCCAATGGACTGCGACGGCCACGGCACCCACGTCGCGGGCATCATTGCCGCCCAGGAGAACAGTTACGGCTTCAAGGGCGCTGCGCCCGACGCCAACCTCGGTATCTACAAGGTATTCGGGTGCGAGGGCAACGTCGCCAACGACGTGCTCATCGCCGCCTTCAACCAGGCCTACGAGGACGGTGCCGACATCATCACGTCCTCCATCGGCGGCCCTAGCGGGTGGTCCGATGAGGCGTGGTCCAAGGCCGTGTCCGCGATTGTCGACAAGGGCGTGCCTTGTACCATCTCGGCCGGAAACGACGGCGACGCAGGCCTCTTCTTCGCCTCGACGGCCGCCAACGGCATCAACGTCGCCTCCATCGCCTCGTACGACAACATCCTGACTCCCACGTTCCTGTACATCTCCGAAGCCAGCGTTGACGGCGGCGACGCCGAGGAGTTTGGATACGCCCCTGCCAGCCTGTATGCTTGGGACGGTGTCAGCCTGCCCCTGTGGGCGCCCGAGTTCGACACGTCCATTGCCAACGGTGGCTGCGACGCCTACCCGGATGACACGCCCGACCTGAGCGGGTCCATCGTCCTCGTCCGCCGCGGCACCTGCACCTTCGTCCAGAAGGCCCAGAATGCCGTCGCTCACGGCGCCAAGTACCTCATCGTGTACAACAATGTTGCCGGAGCCAGCGAGATGGACCTGAGCACCGCGTCCGGTATCGAGGCCGGAGCCATGGTCACCCCCGACATCGGCGTCAAGTGGATCAACCTCCTCAAGGATGGCTCTGAAATCGTGCTCAACATGACGGGCCCCGACAACGCCGAGTCCACCGTCACCTCCCCCCCCAACAACGTGACCGGTGGAGCCCTCAGCACTTACACGACTTGGGGCCCCACCTGGGACCTCAAGGAGGTCAACCCGTCCTTTGGGTCCCCGGGGGGAGACATTCTGTCCACGTACCCCGTCGACAAGGGCGGTTTCGCCGTGCTATCAGGCACCTCGATGGCCTGCCCTCTTGTGGCCGGTGCGTTTGCCCTATTCGCCGAAGCCCGTGGCACGCTGGAGCCGGAGGTGGTGCGCAACGCCTTCTCGGCTGAGGCCAAGGCCCAGCTTTTCAACGACGGCACATCCTTCTACTCGTTCATGGCGCCCGTCCCGCAGCAGGGATCCGGTATCATCCAGGCATACGACGCCGTTCACACCAAGACGTCTGTCGTGCCCGGGAGCCTGTCGTTCGGCATTACCTCCGACCTGACCGAGTCGCTCAACTTCACCCTCAGCAACGACGGTGACGAGGACATCACCTACTCCATCTCCCATATCCCCACCGTCACCATGTACACTCTCAACCCAGGATCCATCTACCCTGCGGCCTTCCCCAACGAGCCCGTCAACAGCGCTGCGACCCTGGCCTTCAGCGAGACCAAGGTCCTCGTTGCCGCCGGCGATTCTGTTGTGCTCCAGGTCGTTCCTACCCCGCCCAAGGCCGTCGTCGCCTCCCGTCTGCCCGTCTGGTCCGGCTGGGTAGCCGTCAACGCCTCCGACGGGTCCTCCCTGACCATCCCGTACAACGGTGTTAGTGGAAATTTCCTGGATCAAAAGGTGCTCTCCTCGACGGCCGCCTGGGTGTCCAACTCAACGGATAGCGATCTCAACCCCCTCGACGACAACGTCACCTTCATCCTGCCCCCCAAGGGAACAGAGAACACTGACCTAAGCAACTCGACCATCCCCGCTGCTGTCGCCAATCTCGCCCTTGGCTCTCCCCTGCTGCGTGCAGATATCATTCCCGTTGGCCAGAACAATGCTCCCACAACCACTGACATCTTTGACACGCCCTTCATCGGTCAACCGGATGGCTTCCCTGTCAAGTTGAACCCGCGCTCCGCAAACACCGGCCCTTGGAGTGGCAGGTTGAGCACCGGAGAATACGCCCCCGAGGGCCAATACAAGTTTATTCTGCGGGCGTTGCGTATCGGCGGTGATGCTTCCAAGAAGGCTGATTGGGATTCCGCTGAGACGACTACCTTTTCTATCAAGTATGCTCCTTAGGCAGAGCGTGCTTGGACTTAAATCTTCTGAACATTTTTAGCGTGAGATTCTTTTTAATGACAATTTTCCTTGATTAGAGACGCGACGTACTATCTGTATGTGTGTAGTTCAGCAAGATGACTTTTAAAAGAGTCGGAGTGAATCAATGAAATGCGCGTTTTTTATAACCTCGTAATGATATAATATGCAGCAACGGTAGGCTTACACAATCCAGAGTACCTGTTCTGGAACACATACCCATCATGTTGCCTTCTCGTTTCCCGCGGTCTTTCGAAAAGAATATCAATGCCGCTTTTTGTCAAACCACTCCAGTATACAGTACCTCTCACCCTTCTCAGAGTCCAACTTTGTGTGATGAGCGACAAATCATACAGCCATTTCTGTCCTAAGAGTAAAAAGGAAAAAAGGCATTTAGTTCAATTCTGCTGAATTTTGTGCACATATAGAAAGGCAATGAGTATTAGATGTTGGTAAATAGAATGCAAGTACGGGCTAGCTAATCATATCCATCGAGTCGTTCATAGTGTGTCGTAGAAGTCATTCTCCCCAGGCTCTCCTTCAACTCTCGTTTTGCCTTATTTGTCTCCAGAATGTCCATCTGGCTTTCCATATAATCGTGGTTCCCGGACTGGTTATTTACGAAGTCGAGTCTATACAAAGGCTTAAGCGTGACATCTTGCTGCAAGATCCATCGGCGGACCCACCAGGGAAGCGTTTTGGTGATCTGGTACTTCATAAAAACGCGCAACGGAACGGCAAAGATGTAGTCCAGCTCTTCAAGTGTTCGCTGCTTTGTTTCAGGGAGGAGAAGGAAGATCATTATGAGAGCCAACACGTTGAATCCGGCGTACAGGACGAATGATCCGAGGACTCCAAGTCGGGCGAGCATAAGGGGGAATGTGATGGAAAGTACAGCCGCCCAGAATAGGCAAGTGGCAACAGCCCAGGCCATGCCAACTTCACGATGAGAGAGGGGGAAGACTTCGGCCGAGTAAGGGTAGGGCACGGGCCCTTCACCTGGTGAATAGAAGGCAGCAAACAGGTAGACGAAGACAGCAATCATGGCGGCTCTCGTGTTCGTATCTTTAGGGATCAGGCTGCAGAGGCCGGCAGCTAATAATGTCCAAGCCATCTGTGGAAATGTAAATAATAGGAGGGAGCGGCGTCCAAAGGTATCGATGGTCCATATAGCCGGAAAGGCAAAGACAAAATTGATGAGACCGAAGCCCATGGTTGATAAATACGACTGGTATTTACCGGTTCCGGCTTTGGAAAAAATGTCGGTCGAGTAAAATGCGATGATGTTGATTCCACACATTTGCTGGGCAATCATGACGACGAACGATGCTATGGTAGCCCGTCGAATTCTCGGGATGGTGAAGAGCTCAATACACCGTCTTAAATAGTCGCCACGACCGGCGAATTCGCGTTCTACCTGTAGCTGAACGTGGATATAATAGAGATCCCGCCCTGCTTGAATAGGGCTATTGCGTATTCGCAGCAGTGATTTAAGAGCTTCGGCATATCGGTCCTTTTTCATATACCATCGGGGAGATTCGGGACAGAGGAAGATGAGAAGAATGAGAGGGACAGCTGGTATAAAGGCGGAGCCTAGTTGGTAGCGCCAGGGTTCACTGAATGACTTGAAGGCAATGATATTTGCGCATGTGCCGAGGAAGATTCCAAATGACACCCACAGTTGCCAGCTCATGACTAGGGCGCCACGGATCGGGGCCGGTGTGCTTTCAGCGGCGTATATGGGAACAGTAGAGGCCTTGATGCCCATGCCGATACCGAGGAGTAGGCGGCAGCCCAGGAGCTGAACCCATGAGTTGCAAAATGCGCTTGCGAGAACGGGCCAGAGACAGAAGTGCGCAGATATGAATATAGTTCCACGACGACCAACGAGGTTGTTGATGGGGTCTGAGACCCAGCAGCCAGCGAAGGCAGTGCCTATGTAAGGAGCGGCATTGACAAGCCCAACAAGCGTCTTATCGCGTATGGTGTCGGCGCCTATTCCGAATGCGTCTGGGAATTCGAGGTTGGCGCCATTGGAACCCGTCTGGTCCCAGCCCTGAACAGCCGCCCCGATGGAGCAAGTGATAACGGTGAGATACAAGGCTTTCGGTATACGCCATTTGTGAAGAACCTCGTCGCGAAGTGCTTTGATGTCATGTTGGTCGAGCGAATCCGGCCCGGTAAAATCTTCGTATCCCGAAGGGTCCTTGGCGACCAGCGCACCTTTGCAAATGATGTCACGATACTGCTGCAGACCCTTTTCGCGACAGAAGTTTTCGACATCTTCTAGGAGGGTGTCACGAGATATATCTATGAGGGGATTTCTTATCCTGTTATTGGTAGAACAGCGGTTAGCAAGGTAGCTCTGACGTTGTTGTGTGACTGGTGTTTTTTTTGTGTGCTCACCTTGCCTCAATATTGGAATGGAAGTTGACGTCCGTGGGTCGCCTGCGGGATGACGAAGGGGGAGAGTGGAGACTCTGGGTGAATCTGAGAAAGACAGAGAGAGTCAGTAGGCGGTCAAGTTGGAACAAGATAAATGAAGAGGGGCATCACTCACCCATATCCAGGCACCTCGTCTGTCCTGCCGCTCAGGGCCATGGCAGACAATACATCAGGCGCTGTAGCAATCCCGGGGAAGATTGGCAGCTGTTTAGATGAATAGCGTCTGACATGAAAGAAACAGTCTCGCTAGTTTACGGCCTGTGGTCCCTGGTAGTCGTGATGCTGATAGTGTTGCAGAGGCTGGGTATAGAGCACAGGATACAAGAGCAATCAGGACGACGGAGTTATGAAGGAGAGAGAGAGAGAGAGAAGGCGGCGGTGCAAACAATATGTATGGTGAGCAATGTGGCACACAACTGTGGCACACAACTGTGGCAAAGGGAGAAAGCGGAAGAGCGGGATGGAAAATAAAAGAACAAGGATCCTCCAGCTGTCTATCATCAGAACGGACATGTGACGAGTACAGTCAGATCCGTTTTCAAAGGAGCGATCCCCGCGTCTGCGATTAGCGCTAACATGAATGACCAAGCGAGCGACATCCGCGGATGGTGAGACAGAACAACGATGTAGACAGCGTCCGGAGAAGAAAGGCCTAACGAAAGGATTTCAGAGGAGAAACGAGGGATTTGTAGAACTGGGTGGGGAAAGGGCCGAGGGCCACACGGGGATGGCGTATTCCGTGGCCACTGAGCCCAATATCCGTGACCGTTATGGCCATTATTAATATGGGAAAGAGCACTGCCTCTAATCCCTGTATGCATAAGCGAGGATGGACTCGCAGCTATGAAAGGAGCTTCCAACTAACTGGAGTTTCAAATCACTAACTTCCCGGCCATTTGATGCGCGGATCGCCAATTGCGGCATTGTTGGGTGCGCTGTAATAGTCATGCCACCGGTAAAACGATTGATGTTAGTGGGACTACCCAACCTCGACCCTACCTACCTGTATTGTCAAAATCCTCTCCCCATATCTGCCATGCGCTTACAAATTATAATCGGTATTAGGGATGATGTGTACAGCCCATAGATTATGCAATGGGCCCAACCTCCAGATGGCCCCGCCCCCGAGATCGATGGAGAATCATTTTGGTGGATTCGTGGGGAAATCCCCGGTTGCTAGCCTAGAGCCCGTATGACCTTGTGTGTGTAGCCTTGTGGGCCAAACCTCGTGGTCTGTGTCCACACATGCGCAATGCCGCCAGCATAGAGCGTTGATCTCTGAACCGGAAATACAACAGCCCCTCAATAATGTTGCTCATCTTGCAGTAAAGCAAGAACTTACGCTGCACTCGTAAGTATTTTCGACTAGGCTGAAACACAGTCTTTGTCGCCCCAACGGACCCATAGGCATAAGTACAACTTTACGCCTGTTGTCACGTAGTGTCCCTCTATCAAATCAACCCCGCTTCTAAGAATATCGAAGGTCTGTTTGAGTGCGCCGTTTTTTCGACTGTAGTAGAGAATAGGTAAGCCGGACTCGACAAGTCCGACGCAATAACAAAAAGAAAAGAACTTGACGCCACATAACACCTAACTTACGTTGAATGTATATCAGTAATTCATAAATGTTCCCTATTATTCAACTCTATTTAAAAACTTTCCGTTATTTAGACGCCTTCTTCCTATACTCCTGGATTCCTCACACGCGGCCATGCTCGTGTCGACCTTCACGTCTTACATAATCAAGTTCGGCACTGTCCTTATCACATCTCAACACAAGGATAGCCTGCTTTTCTGCTGCCCAACAAAACGGCAAAAAGTATGACAGTAACCAAACGGACCTTACATATTGCGCAGCATTTGGTCTAGTCTCATTATGAGATAATAGCATCACTTGCCACTGACTGAACTGATAATGTAGGTAACTATTTAGGTAACTGTTCGATCACGATCTAAAGGCTGCCTGCTAGCTGGAGTAACATCACATGACTCAACGCTCTCGACTACATGACGTGTAATGGTAGTATGTCAAGCGTAGCAGCGGAATAACGCTGGTAAAACGCTCGCCTGAGATTCTGGATGGGAAGATATTTATCAAGAGAGTTATTCGCTGATGTAATGATGAAAAAAATACGGCTGTTTTCTGCCCTCTGATGATGTGTAGCTTTTTTTTTCTGGGTGAACATAGTGACTGTACAAGTGTTCCGTTGATTAGGGTCATCTCTGATCGGACCGGAATAACCAATTTCGGTAGCTTATTCAGCTGTTTGTTCCGACACGACAAGCACGTGTTAGTTTGGCCGGCTGATCAGCCAATCAATCGTCATCGATCACGTAGGCAGCAGCATTCGGGGCAGAGAAGGATGCAGGAAGGTGCGGCCCGGACGCCCAAAAATGTAGGTAATGTTCCTGTTTAACTGCTTGATCTGCCCGTGAGAATCGAGTTGAGCTCCGCTCCAGGCACCAACTTTTGGACTCTTTACTTTTCATTCCCTTGGCTTTGCCGCCGACTTGGCTGGAGCCAGTCTCTATGAAACCCTCCTATTCACTTCCCATCTTTTCGAACGTCCACCAAGTCGACTCTGGCATTTGTAATTCGCTCATTCCTTAGATCCAGTATCACCATTTAGCCAACGTCCAAGAAAATGCGTTGAATGCTCCGCCAAGCAGCCCTTTTGGTCGCCGACAAATGCTCACACCCGTCCGAGCCCCGTGTCTCTGCATCAAACACAGCAGGGGCTATCGTAGCCCTCACTCTTCGACTCACTGGGAATTCTCACCTAAACTTTCTGCTTATTGACTGCTCCCTATTTCACCATGGAGTCCGTTCTACCGCTCGGTGGCTTCCAGCTGCCATTCCGGCAACGCCTCAGCCGCCTGTATAATGACACCAAGAAATCAACAGACTTTGTCAAGGGCCCCGTCCAGAATGAGCAGGATCCAGAGGTCAAAGCCCTGCACCGCAAACTGCGTATCCAAAAGGATAGGCTAGTCAGCTGGGGGGTGGAATGGTCTGATCCCAATCAATCTGCTGAAATTGATGAGTCCCTCTCCAAGGCCGGCCTGAGTGAGGTCGTCGGTAGCATCATGTCTACCATCAAGGACATCTTGGCCGAGGCAGAGCCTCTCTGGCTCAGCACCAAGCCTATGCCTGATGCAAACCGCTCACCCACTGACCGAAAAATGAGTCCGGCCAATTGGGACAAGTCTCACTTTGAGGATCTAATTCGCGACCTAACCTCATCCATTGACACACTCTATGACCTCTCACGAACGCGGTACATGGGTGCCGTCTCAAATTGTCCTGTCAAACAACCCGAGAAAATGTCCTCAGCAGTTGACGAACCCAGGCCTTTTGAATCTACCAGGATGCAGACTCCTCAAACTGTGCGTCCCGATTCGCTGACCCACCTACGCCCCAAGCAAGATGCTTCTAATGGTCATCCGTCCCGAGAGGTTGTTTTCATGAGTAAGACTGCCTATGCGGAACTCACTAAGGGCACTTCAAAGGAACCCTGGGCACCCTTGCTACTTGAGTATGCCACATTCAACTGGGTGTATTCGCTCACGGGTATCATGCCTCCTATGTCACGATTTGAGAAGCTCTCAGACTGTCTGCAGCAAGATTCTCAGAGGTCTCCTGGTGCCTGGATAGGCTTGCCCCGTCTTATCGGCTACTTTGAAGATATGGAAAATTCGAGACTTGGCCTATTGTATCGCTTCCCCCCGTCATTCAACGCCGTGTCTTTTGAGAGCATCAATCAGAAACCTCGATACAGTCTACCCACACTCGCCAACCTTCTCGCGAACCCTGGGGCAGAGCCTAATCTTGAGGCCAAGTTCCGACTTGCTCATAATCTTGCAAACACCGTATTCGATATGCACGAGCGTGGATTTGCCCATGGGGACCTCACCACCAGTGTTATTTGCTTCAGCGTTGGCGCCAACTCGGGGCCTACTATAACCAGCGGTGACGTCGATGTCCGCCGTCCTCTTGTGTCTTCATTCCATCTCTTCGCCGAGGATGGGACAGATACCAACCCTTCGAATTCTACAGATTACAGGTCCCACGAGGACTCGTATTCTATCGACGAACGCATCCTGGACCTTATACAGCTGTCTCATATCCTGATCTCTGTTGGACTGTGGCAGCCGCTTGAGAGTTTATCGGAGGGTGGTTCTATCGAGCGTCATTTCGACCAGCTTTCCCGTAAATGCGGCACACTCTACATGAAGGCCGTCCACACGTGCTTCTCAGCTGTGGAAAATGAGCGTAATGGTGAACTCCAGACTAGAAGTCTATTGTCTGCTGTGCAGATGAGAGTCAGTCGATTCCTGGAAACTTGTTGCATCCTCGATGTTGGCAGCGGTCTCGAAGACCAGCTTTCATTGGAGTTGAGAGATACAGCAACGACTACAGCTGCGGTATCTGAAAAGGCCCCAGTAACAGCCACAGCCGCATCTTCAGTTGTGCCAAAGGAGCTGAGCGACGTCAAAATATCACCCGGAATCCCGAAAGAGCCTCAACAGACTCTACCTTCCCGCGTCAAGTCGTCTGAAGTGGAAGCCGATGGTACGACGGGCCTCCGCTATTTATAATCTGATTTCGCACAGTTGTCAACTAACCACCTTATAGATACGCTTGGGAAGCCCGAGGCGAGAACCAAGCTGTATCCTAACATTCCACTCCCGCCCGATGTAGTGGAACAGTGGAACACGATATTGATGCCGCAGATCAACCAGGCCCTTCAACAGTTCTATCGCAAGAACCCAGAGTCTGTTGAAATATCGCTCGAATCCGTCGGGCCATCTCCGTTAAACACGCGTCCCACTATCGTCGTGGTATGCTCTTCCGTGAGCAAGGTGCGCGCTATTCTCAGGAAAAGACTTGGGGAGCTTTTCGATGACTCTACTGGTTTTGCCCTCAAGGTCTGTAAGGGGCACGTTATGCGATCCAGACGCTGGCTAAAAGATGCTGTACCATCCATGGCCAGAAGGAGCAACGTGGGGAGTCTCCAGGGCAAGGATGTGGATATTGATCGCTTTGTCAATGCGATCAACCCCGGCTTCCAGAAAAAGCCTGGAAATGGCGCCAGCATCGGCGCCTGGACCGGACATCAGCACCTGCCGCCAGTCAGCTTCGGAGGGCTTATTCAGATCGATGACGCGCTATACGGAATGACGGTTCACCATATTCTTGATGACCCTGACCATGATTTTGGGGACCGGGATGTGTCCCGGAGCAGCGCCCTTCCCGTGCGCGATTTTTCTCCAGTAGCGCCTATATCAGATGATGATGGGGAAGGATTTGGCTACGAGCTCTCCGACGCGGAGTCTGAACCCTATTCCGAATCCGACATTTCCAGTGACTGGGGCGAAGAGGATGAGGAAGATGAAGAAGAGTCTGAGCCTGGCGATATTCCGGGGATCGAACCAGGGTATGGAGATCGCTACGACGTCACGCAGCCTGCTCTCGACGATGTGGAGGAGGAATTCTACCCTTCAGCTGAGACTAAGGACGAAGATCATCTGGATACCTATGCTGTTGGTAAGGTGTACGCCTCAAGTGGAATCCGTCGCAAGGTCTCTGGTGGCTTGACGCACGAGGTAGACTGGGCACTTTTTAAGTTTTCCCACGATCGCCTCCCCGAGGATAACACCATACCTCATGCTCAATGGACGCCAGGAGCGAATTTATCGAGCCCTGAGGCTAAGGAGCGTCTACTTCGACCAAGCACAGTGGCGGGATTCTCCGAACTTGCAGGTAAGCAGGTTCAGTGCACAGCGCGTACCAGCGGGTTGCAAACGGGCCAGATCCTCCCTGCTCTGGTGAGCGTTAAGATTTACGGTCGCACCTCGCCGAGCCACACCTATCAGGTGACTGGTACTGCGTCGTCGACCGGCAGTAGCCGTCTCCCTATTGGAATTCCCGGCGACAGCGGAGCCTGGATTGTCGACAGCAAGAATGGACAGCTCTGTGGCCATGTGCTTGCGTGGAGTCACAGGAAACAGGTCGCCTACATCTGCCCAATGGAGGTGTTGCTCAAAGATATGTTGCAGACACTAAAGGCAAAGGAGATCCGGCTCCCGCACGGGGAAGTTCTCATGAACTTGCACGACGAGACAAGCATCGGGATAAACCTGAAGAAGGAGTCCCTGCCGGGGCTGGCCTGCGCCGACAATAGTACTGCTGATTCAAGTTATGATACCGAGGACAAAACCTATGGTTCTTCAATGATGACGTCTAATCGGAGCATGGCTAGTCTGACGGGCAGCGAGGAAATGTCAAGCCAATCTTCATTTAGGATGGAGTCGCCGTCGAGTGGAATGGAGGCCCTGTCCTGCACACTGGGTGATTTGAAACTTGGTAGGCGGATCGATGTGGGTGGGTGATGATGCTGGCAGTGGTGTTTCCTTGGTTACGCCATGGCCAGATTCTGTTTAATGCCCGATTTGTTATTCTTTTTCTTTTTTTTTTACTGCCAATACATACCTAGTACTTGTATACGAATAAGAGAAGAAGGATTCTGCCTTTGCTGATTTCTATATTATCACGTTCTATGCAACGTATTGGCAAGAAAGCAATCGGATCACATGAAATCGTCCTCCCAATCCTCCCCCCTGTCCTGATTGCTGCTCGCAGCCATGTTATCTTCGGTGAAGATATCGTCGTAAGCATGCTCCTTTTGCCACTTCTTCTCCTGCCATTCCTTGGCTTGTCTGGCCTCTTCCTTTTTCTGTGTTTAAATATTTCTGTTAGCCTGATTTTTTATCCTTCCTTCCCCAGTGCGTGAAGTGAAGATGGTGGATTGGTGGGCCATCATACCCTTTGTTGATGCTCTGCCGTATCTTTTTTGCGTAGCTCCCTCTGATGATCGTCCTTTTCCTGTTTGAAGTCGGGCTTCCTCTCTACTTTTGTCTTGTTCAGGCGGTTGATGATGGGATTTTCACGGGTGGTGACGAGGATACGCTTGACCTGTGCTGGGCGTGAGCTTGATATCCTTGACTTTCTTAAATGCAACATATGTGAGGAAGAGACTTGTTATGATGACGGGGACGATGTGGGTATGGAAGGAGAGGCGAAGGTACCTTGCGTTGATCCTTGAACGACACCTGACCGACGTCCATGGAACCATCTTTCTTCAGGTTGGCCCAGGGGGTATAGATGATGGAGACATTGTCCTTCTTGTTCCCTGATAAGGGTTAGCCGCAACAGATCCTCCTTTTCTGTTTTTTTTCTCGCGCGCGACTGTCTTGGAAATATACCCTCTATCGAGTTTGCCTTGGTGAGCTGTGCTAGGTCATACACTAGGTCTTGCGGCAGATTATCCCATTGCTGGTCAGGTTGCATGCGGAGGTAAACGTGTGCACTTGACAGCTTATCAACGTGGAACTGTTTTTTCCCCTATCATGTCAGGATATGACAACCATGTCATCATGGAGTGATGTTGATATTTCGCTGATATTTCATACCCTTGTAACCCTATTATTAGCAAGCGTGATCATCTCCGCCGCGAAAGTCGTCGGCCAAGGGTTGACATACCAGACATCTTCATCCCATCCGAACTTGATCAGATCCTCATCTAAGTGATGTCAGTCGTATACGAGCATGGGGCAAGACGGGGAGACCAAGTGGTTAGTGATGGACTGACTTTCGTACTTGTCCTTGCCAACGTAGATGCGAGCCGATGGCGTGACAACGTTAGAGGTAAAGTAGTACACCATTATGCACCAGATGAGTCGTTGACGGGATGACTTATTTTGAAAAGAAAAAAAAAAAGGCCGAGTGGTGCTCAATAGATGTGTGAAATGAGTCACTATCGCATAAGCTGCTCCTCATGTAGCTGATGGCGGTTTTTTCCCCCCTCCATACCTATTTTGCTGGTGTGTGATGATAGCTTGTCGGAGATGCACGTGACTCCCGCCAAGAGTCATCGCTTCAAATGACACTCGTGAAGCTGGGACTGGTGATGTTGAATGTGATATGAGCGGAGAATGAAACAAATATCCTCATCGATTGGATAGAATGATATCTATATTGAATTACTCACTTTCTCCATTCTGAATAAAATTGGTATTTTTTTCCAAGATACTTAGCTCCTTGATCTGAGCAGTTGTACGCTTCCCCAGCTTGCAGCAGTGTGAGAAAGCAAGGGTACATGCTGTTATATAAAGCAAGTGAATGCATTCTCAGTCATTCATGAATGGCCACGCAATATACGCAGCAGGATGACTGCTTGTCTATTTTATAGGCCGCTCTCTACTGATTGGGATAGCATTTTACCATGGATCTACAAGCAAGACAATGGCTTATCGGTCTATCACAGCTCCGCGGTCGGCTTCGAGAAAGTGTACCACCTTTAACAGAGATGGACTTTCACGTAAAAGTTCTACAAAGATTGCTGAAGTATTAAGCCATAGTCGCTGGCGTTTTTGGCTGCTATCGTTAACATTCTGCCTGCTCAGTGAGAATGATAGAGTCAAATCTTACTCCATTAACACGCCTAGCATATTGAATAGACCTACCTAATTGTACTCCATACTTGTACTTTGTACGCAAAGCAAACTGACGAGAGGTGGGGTTCCAACTCCAGGGGTCATCGAGCTGAGACGGAAATACGACGGCCATCCACGGCTGATTGGTACTACAGAATCCACCAGGACATTATTAATACATCGTATGCGCACCGACTTATGAGGGCATGCTTGTGCCAACAGGGTGCTCCATCGTGTTGCGTGCGTCATCCCCTTGACCTGTCAAGCCTGTATGTGTATATGTGTGCTCGTATCGCCAATCCCTCTGCTGTACGTAGTGACGGAATATGGTCAGTACGGTTAGTTTTACCTACACGAAAACCCAATAACAGCCCGATATGCTGATAGAGGTTGGGCTTCGTATTATGTACGCCCATGGGGTGTGGTATAGGGCAAATGTGAGTTTCAATGGATGTCGCTTTATTTACTAACATGTATTACGAGTACGATGAGAATTGGGGTAACATGAAGTAACGAATCGAAAGCTGAGACCGGATATTTTCATGACTGCCTTTCTGAGAGCCAATGGATCCCATGAGTCTGCACGTGCCAGGTTCGTGTACAACGTGTATGGAAGGTGTCCCTTGGTACCGCGACGTCGATGGCTGCGCATGTAGCGGAGCACTCTCGAGCTCTACCTGTACTTTCTTCCCTCTCCGCTTCTCTTGGCTCATACAGCGCCACCGTCCCTCTGAGTATAATCGAATAGGCGTGCGTGCATGACCTTTTTTGCATCACAACCGATATGCGGGCTCAGCATTACCTGCAGCGCAACAGGACACGACGCCATTGTTTCTACATGTATCGATATTCGATAAGTCTAGGCACATTCTAGCTTGCACGTTTTTGCCATTCTTGATCAATTGAGACTGTACAGACCACCATTACATTCGTCCTGCACTGAATGCCACACAAGAAGACTTACTCTTGCCTTCACTGACTATCAGAGCAACCTGTTGAGTTATGTTTAGTAATATTACTACTATGAAACTGAACCAAGACGACCCATCATCGCTGACTGCTCGAGTGGGGTCTCCTTTGTAGATCCAGGGGACAGCTACGAGGCCCCCACGACAATGCATACGATATCATACGCGTATGTCGTACGACGTAGTAGCGATGATAGCGGAGCAGCATAGGAGATTCGCGTATAATATGGCACCTCGCAGAGCCGTCACGGTATCAAACCTGCGAGTAACGGGGTGCCAAGATCCTAAGCGCATGCCTGTTCGTATGCAGGAAGTCGCAGCGGACCTAGCCGGCAAAGCCGGTCTAGCCTGGCGAGTGAACGTTGAGGGGCGGACCCGGGTAAATCGGATACTCGGAACTGTCGTGCCGGGCAAAGGCCCCATCCGAGTTATAGAAACCCACGCAAGGCTCTCTGTCACTCTCTACCTGCACTCGCACTCCGTACGGGATGCACCGTATTAGTCTGTGCTGCCTTGGGTCTTCCCTGGAGGGGGGGAGGGACCGTGAGCCAAACACAGTTCGCCGTCGAAGCCATAGGTCAGTAGACAAATGGGTCGCGTTTCGTCGTGAGAGCGATGCTCCGTATTTGGCCCCTTCCAGTGACGTGGCTAACAGAAGACCCGGGTTTCAGCTGGAACGGCTCCGGTTGTTCGGCACAGATATCCAAGAGCTCCTCCTCGTCGTCGCAAAAAGCACAGTTCCTCCAACGGGGGAGAACCAGTACTATAGTCCAGTGGAGGGGTATCAACTCATCAATCTGGCTGTGTTGGACAGAATCCATGGATTTGGATTCAGGGACGGTTTCGTCAGCGGGTATAAATAAGGATAAGACGGTCTCTCTTGAAGAAAGAAAAGTCTCATCATACCACCACAACAAACTTATACAATCATCCAAACCCTTTTCCACATTCATAACAGCCAAGATGTTCGGATTCGGTACAGCCCCCATGTCCTTGACATATGAAAACAAACGAGGTAGAAACCTTGACTAACACTAAAGTTCAGACGAGGCCAAGGACGTTCGTGACGAGGTTTACGGTGACAAGCACGAGGGCAAGCTCTCGCACGAGCTTCTCGGCGGTGCTGCAGCCTTCGAGGCCATGCACCTGTTTGAGAACAAGCAGCGCTCCGAGGGCAAGACCGTCAGCCACGGTTTTGCCAAGGAGGCCCTCGCCGCCTTTGCTGGCGCTGAGGCCGACAAGCTCATCGAGACCAAGGGCCTTGACTTTATCGACGCCGAGAAGGCCAAGCACCACGCCAAGAAGCAGGCCGAGTACCTCTACGACAACCAGTACGGTGACATGGACGAGTACAACCCGTACGTTCCTCCACCCCTAATATTATACAACTTTTCCCTTTCCTACTTCTCAAAAAAAAAAAAATGCTAACATACCCTATGCAGTGAGGCCCGTGACAGACACCCTCACCACAACTACTAAGGGTGTATATGACACTCCTAATTTTGGGTCAAGCCTATGCGTCTTAAGTGATGCACGTCTATAAGATCACTATGTTCCGGACCAGAAGCCTAGAATAGTGAAATGATGATGATGAATTCATATACCTCTGAGCAAAATTGTGTTGGGCATTCATCGGTATCATATCTGGTGTTTTGCAGGGCAGCGCGGCCTGCGCGTATGAAACAGGTTAACGCTATCGACAGTCGCAGACAACATCATGGAAAGGAAAGAAAACCACATCGCACCCGGAACGGTTCATTCGATAGCTTCTTGACAGATGACGAGGTTTCTGTAGCACTCTACTCTATATTGTAGTATCCCACTTCACTTGTTACTTGTTCTGGAGAAGAATATAGTATAGCAGGATTTGTTGGCAGGTATGTACTCCTACGTCTAACGTGGCACTGCTGAGAAAGTCTTAAGCATTATTTCCTTCTTCTTTTCATTTCTTTCCCAGGCACGCTTTGAGCTGGGTATAGGGAATCATGCACCGTTCTGGTATGGAATCGAGTTTTTTCCAACGTTGGCAGTAATATATTCTGGCGTTTGCCTTGAGAATGAGGATTCCATCACCATGGGCGGATGGCATCTCATTATTCGAGGCCAGTATTCTCAAGTGTATACAACGTGGTTTGAGTTCGTAAATGAATAATCGAGATAGACGATTCAACTGTATGGCTAGAAACGATTCCGGCGACTATGGCCAGTCAATCAAAAGATTGGAGCCAGATTAGCATAACATTAGAAGTGCAAGTGCCCAATTTGGTAGATCAATCTGCACATGCCATCCCACACGCTTTATTTGATCATGTTTTCTCATTAATAGATAGAATTGCACGCATTGCGGCTTATGGTTCCCTTAAATTTAGCAACCTAATTTGACACCAATATGCTAGAGCATGCTTAGATATCATCTTTTTCTCTGAATTCAACAGGTAATCCCTGCTTAATCAAAATCTGTAGCACAAGGTTATGTTCATCTGCCGAAACGAAGCCTCCTAGTGGATGGGTGATCTGTTCAAGAGCTCCGTAACCCAGGACTGTTTCGTATGCCATCGCCAGAGTATAGTACATAACAAACGGTAGTTGACTTTCTCGCTCAATGTAATCCGGACCGTCCGAACATATCGGTTATCAACGCTGCGGTTTTGAGAAGAGATGAAGATTGCGACATGTATGTGCACCTGGGGTGTAACGGTTAGTATCAGTCGTCCAACGTGAGAAGGCAAGGGGGTGGAAGGTGACGGGTAACTCGCAATTGTCTTAAAATGGGGCTGCATTCCTTGTTGTATGCACGTAGAACCAGCCAGCATTGGCGGTGGAGTAGGAGGTACGGGAATCTTGGTTCTAGAGTTTCGGCCTGTAGTGCCTAGACGAGCGGCTCGATGAGGCCGCCGGGTGAAGACACAGTGACCGGCTTTTTGCTGTCGTTTTTCGTCTTCTTCGACCGAGGTGCCTCATTCTTCTCAATACGAATGGCCTTCCACCTTCGGTTGAAATATCTACTCTCCTGTAGTTGCTACGTGCGTCGATTTCTTCAATGTACTCAGGGGTCCAGTAGGCAGGTCCTTTAGATGTAGATAAGTGTGGGTTATTCCTAGGAAAGTGACATGACAAGGAACCATAGCAAACTGACCATCTTCCAACTGTACCGCTCCACAAACACATTCGTCACTGATCCCAGGTCTGCCTTGATACCACGAGGCCCGGCGGCCGAGTGTAGGGAGCCTATCGTTTGGCTTCGACGCAATCCAGCAACCGCAGAAACTGAGGCTCCTAGCTGCAAGCACGCCTTTTTGAAGCAGTCAACCATGCCGAAAGAGCTCTTGCCACCTACAAAGAAACTGTCCTCCCCGAGGATTTCCGCGACCACATCCAAATCAGGCCACATCAGGTTTTGTGGAAGCAGTTTCTCCGACTGCAAGGCATTGTAGAGGTGTACCGCTGCTGTAGACGAGCTCCAGACGTTGGCCACCAGGATGCCAATTTTTGAGTACTCGGCTCGGATGCAGATCCCTGTGGAATTCCAGGCGTGATTCCAGATCTTCTTGTATGAAGCTACTTCGTTTGAGCAGCTAGTGCAGGCCGCGCTCAGCTCGCCTGCCAAGAATGCGGTGGATATCCAGATATATCTGTGCGGCAAACGCCAGGATGAATGGTATTTTGTTGGTATCGTCCATTTCCTATATACCGCGCTGGAACCCATCGTGAGCGGGCCAATGAGCGACGTCACGGTTGTAAATGACCATTTCAGTAGAGATGCCCATCAGGAGGCCTTGATCCTCCATAATTTAGACCTTCCTCCCCTTGTACGCATTTCTGGTGCATACGGCGGCAATGCAGCATCGGAGACCATAGGCATCGAGTTTGGGTTAAGGACACCAGTAGACTTCCAAGAAGGCGAAACGAAACGTTTTGATGTACTTATCATCCTCCACATCGTACAGAAGATCGTGGTTGGAATAATCTTCGGCGTTGCCAGGTCAACATCTGGCTGCAGCAGGCCACAAACTTTCTGGAGGACGGTGACAAGATGGGTGCTTGCGACTTGTTTGATCCTCAATGGCACGCTCATTCTGGGTGCCAATTCGGTGTCGACGGTGGTGCGAGCATCGATGATGCGATTGACGAGTCAAAGCACCTACAAGAACTGCATTGCTGAATTTGGTAACCCCATTTTCGGCCAAAAGTGGCTGTGTAGCTGAACGGTGGCTGAACGGATGAGCTTCCGGGGTCTAGGAGTTCCGACCCGTTAAATTGCCCATCAAAGAGCACTGTGCTTTTCGCTCGCTGGATCAAAGATAGGCGTTGCACCACCGTACCGGCTAGTACGAGTGCAAAGGTGCCTTCTTATTGTGATCTGTAACCGGCTTGTTTTTTCGAAGCTATCTTCATTACCTAGAGCAAATGATAAGGATAATTCGTGTGGTGTGTGCCCGGCAGATAGTTCTGCCGGAACCGGGACCCACTGCACCTTTCATCAGGGTGACGTCAAACACCGAACATGGCCATTTTCACAACCAGAGAAGGATAATCCATGACATTTTCTCATCTCTGTCATCTATCTAGAAAACTCATCGATGACACTGCGTGGCTTCGAGAACGTGCCTAGGGCCTTATATTCAAGGTCATTAAACCCGAATCCCTTGGGTCCACCAATTTCGATACCTCTCTCAGTCGACGTCCATTTTTCGGAAGCAGTGATCCCAAGAACAATCACAGGCAAGCCGTATCGATACTCTTGGGTCCCTAGTGCCTCGCCGTTCTGGGCGTCAATGACACAGACAAGATCAGGCACAACGGCAAGGATCTGCCACCAAAATCAGTCAGACGTGCTCAACTGACAGGAACTTGAATGGGAACATTTAAACTTACCTCTTCTTTACCATCAGACCCAATCTTCTTGGCATAAATGTTTTCATTTTTGAACGGAATGATCAGTTTCTCCTTGGAGTCCTTACCGGCCGTCGACTCGATAATGACTTCTCCATAGGCGTGACCCATCCTTGTCACCCTCTCGACGCCGACAATCTTGCCCTTGAACAGAAGCTTTGCGGACTTGTCGCCGCCAACCTCGGCAATAATGGAATCGGCAACTGTGTCAACTGTATTGTTGCATCGCGAGAGGGCAACCGCACGGCCGATACGCCATGAAAGCGACATTGTGTTTTCGATAACCCACTCTTTGGTGTTCTTGCCGGAGACGGGTCCTTTCGCGCAGCCGACGTGCGATCCCATCTGTGATAGGGCGGCCCTCAGAGCACGCTCGATATCGAGCTCAGTGGGAGCCTTGGTCATGAACTGCAGATCATTTCAGGAATCAGTTTCCATCGCCATGTCTTATGTTGTTCTGTTGGACCGATCTCCTCACAATGATTCTCCCATTTCCGTCCGATATGCAGGTCGGTACCATCATGGCCTTCTTCTCAAAGACAACGGGGGTCGTCTGCCATGAAACGGGATATGCCCGACCCATCCAGTCACCGTCGATGGCCGGGATATCAAGATTTGTGGAGGCACCGATGATGAGACCCTGCAAGCCGTTTCCGCCGCCAATCTCCAGAGGAATGACTGCATCCGGCTTTTTGTTGAGGAACGCATAAAGCTCTCGTTGAGACTCCATCATTCTGAAATTCCGTCAACTCAGCACACCTATCAACAAGATACAGGACCATGGAGGGTCTGAACTCACTCATCTCCATATGGTTTCTCAATCGAAACCTGGGGTGACCCCTTTCCTCCACCACAGGCCACAATGTCATCGTCCTTGAGATCTCTCGGGGATATGACGCGAAGCTTAGCCCCTCCTCGAACCATCTCGCGCAGACGGAGGTAGTGCTGGTATGGGCTCCCGCCACCACCTGTTCCAAGGATATAGCAGCCTATGGTGATGAACTGCAAGTCCGTCTCTGAAAGAACCCACTCTCGGTTGAGGACGGTTGGCTTGTACGAGTTGATGTACTCCTTGGTGAACACCATTGTGGACGAGTCAGGGGAATCATCCGCCATATGGTTGTCCGCCGTCTTCCTAGTGATGTCATCTGTGTCATCGGCGAATCCGTCTTCGCCTCCGTTTTCTATGGACACTGTTTCAGATGCGAAGCCCGTCCTGGAGAAATCGTAATCGCCGACAGCCTTGACAATTATCCTCAATTTGTTGGCAATATACTTTCACACTATTAGTATTGGGGACCAAAGTACAGGGATCCATCGTCAACTGGGGCAACAAACCTGTAGTGGGAAGGTCTCAACTTCGGCAATGGCAACTGTCTCACGGAGCGCACCGCTGGCAACGGCGGCCTCAACTGCGCGTTGAGAGACCGCCGCGGTCACTTCCGCCACGCTCTTCCCCTCCGTGTTCTCAACAGAGTCTACCACTCCGCCTACCCTGGCTGTCGCTGCACCTATGGCGTTAGCTACCCCTGACCAGTTTGGCTTGACGACGCGGCTAGCCCCAGTCAATTCGTCAGGCGCGATGATGGCGCCGCCTCCGACGAGGACAACTGGGATATCTCCAGGAGATGTCTTCATGGTGTCGACAATGGTCTCGAGCATAGATTTGACCTTGTCTTTAAATTCTGCCAAAGAGTCCCTCAGTTCAGTACTATCAACCAGTGCACGGTCTCCGATAGTCAGATCCTGGTCGCCGAGGACCGTGTAGTCCGTAGCGGTTGGGACATCGCCTTTGAACACCAAGGCCTTGCTTTGGATCTGGTACCCGACGCTTTCAGGTCCGACTGTGATCTTGCCATCCTTGTCGCGTCCAACAATAGAGCCGCCTCCGAGGCCGATGCTTCTAACATCGGGATACGAGTAGTTGGTACGGACGCCCGCAATCTCGCTAAAGGCAGCAGCTTGCCTCGGAAAACCATTCTTCTGAAGTAAGCCAACATCAGTGGTAGTTCCGCCAATGTCCACCACCATCATGGCTTCATCGATCTTTTGGTCCTGCATTAGGAATGCAGCACCACGCATGCTGTTTGTCGGGCCGCTGGAAAATGTCCGTATGGGGAGTCGAGCAGCTGCACTAGCAGGTAGAATGGTTCCATCGTTTTGCGTAACGAATATAGGGCATGTGAGCTTTAGCTGAGAGACAGCCTGCTCAAAGGCGTGGATTGTCCGTCGGGCAAAGGGCAAGATGGAGGCGTTGAGGATAGCGGCGTTTTCCCGCTCAAGAAAGCCGATGTTGGCTACATACTTGGAGCAGACAATGTCACACTCGGGATATATGCCTTTTATTATTTCGGCAGCCTTTTCTTCTTGTCTATAGACAATATCGATAGGGCTGAAGATACCGACGACTGCGACGCTCTTGATACCCATAGACTTGATGACTTCGGCCTGTCGCCGCACCTCATTCTCGTCCAATTCTGAAATCAAGCTGCCGTCAATTTCCAATCCACCGTCTATAAGGCCTCGGTGGCCACAGACGATGTCTCGAAGACGAGGCGGCCAATCTATTCCGATTGGTATGTCCTTGGAGAACGGACCACACAGTCGTAGGACGGCAACTTTTGCAAGTCGTGACTGGTCCATCTCCACAACTGCGTTGATAAAATGCGTCGTGCCGATGGTTACGCTGGCCACGCTCTGTGGGTCGACGCTGGACTGTTCAAACATCTCTCGGATAACATTGTTGATGCCATCGCTAGGGTTCCGAGTCGTGCTTGACTTTTTCCAGGCGATGATGCCTCGGTCTTGGCCAGAAGAGTTTGTAGGGTCAAGAATCACACCATCCGTGTTTGTCCTAGATGGCTCGTCAGATTCAACTCGTCGCGTTGCAGATAACGTATCAATGGCTATAGGCTACTCACCCGCCGACGTCAACCCCAATTCTGAATCTTGGAGAAGGCATCTTTGTTCTATTTTATCCAGCTTTTGCAGAGCAGCACAACGTAGTCAGACAGATAAAGGAATACTTCGCAATCAAACACCGAATATGATTTACCAGGTGCACACAAGGTGAAATCTTATACATATGAATCCTCCGGTTCTGTCTGTGAAGACATTTATTTCGTACATCCACCCGGAAATGGCTCGTCCCCCCGCCTCTTAGCCCGATGGCGTTATCACCGAGTCGGAGAGCTCCATTTGTCGAGATAAGTCACGAGTTTGGAAGGGAACACGACATAGGTACCTGTATAACACTCCCCCCTCCATACAAAAATAGCTGTGGGGTCTGGGATCTTATAAGTACCTGTACCATATTATATATATATGTCTTCGCAGTGGACATGTAATAGGCGCACAGAATAACACACTCGTTACCTCCTGCTGATCAGTCCTACTATAACGTGACACCATTGTAATCTTCTTCGGCCCCCAGTTACAGCAGCAGTCGCCCGAAACCGGTTCAGGAACGACCCCCGCGGTGCTAATGAGCATAAAATGAAATCGCATGGGTGCTTGTGGGTTCTCTCTCCTAAACCAAATCGCACTGCCGACATACGCATGCGCAGTCGATAAGAAAGATGCAAGTCAGACGCCATCAGCAAGGGTGGAGGGGGCCTAGTATGCACACGCACACTTCATTGCAGTGTGCCCTCAGCCGGTTTGCATAGGCTGTGTGAAGTCTCCCGCTGAATTCTTTATCTCCTCGACGTTCCCCAAATCGGGGTAAATACGCATCCTTGGCGCTCGGACGGGTGGACCTTCCAAGAGCGGTCATTTTCCAATCCACACCATCCGTGTTTCTACACTCTTGGGAAGACCACCAAAGATTTCTGGCTTGACCGATACCGGTATTGATATGTAACATTACACAAGTGGCCGATAGTGATATTTCCCTTCGAACATGCATTGCAGGTAGTCGAAATCAGCACTCCATCACAAGCACCAGACTGTGTGCCACCAAGACGGTATCGATGCCTGACTATATTCAAGAAGAGGTAGATGAGCGTACAAAGTGAATTCCTTCGAACTGACAGGCTCTACGTAAAGCTTAGTTATCTATACGGGAACGGTTTTCCATGTATACAACTGCCGTACGGAGTACACGTGGTTTAGATGCGTCGTTTTCCTGTTGACCCCGCTCATTGATGATAGCGGAGGCCAGAAGTAGCCCGGTCTACTGATGGGGTCGAATCGGCTTGCCATGCATGATACCCATTTTTGATAAGCCAAGAGGTCCCCGGCGACCATGCTTGAAGAGATACGTACGGGGGAGATAGATATGGCAATGGAACGAGGAGGCTTGGCTAGTCGCCGCGCGCCGCTGGTCTGCTTTTAAGACTTATACCCACGTTCCGCGCCGAAGGGATTGATTTTCTGATATTTTCGGCCCCCAAGCCGTAATTTCACACACCATGGTTACCAAGGCCATCAAGAAAGCAAAGGAGGCTATAGTCCTCAAGGCGGACGGGACGCGGCACGAGGAAACGACAACATGGTGCAATCGCGATCTAGTCCCTCTACCGCCATCTAGGCGAACCTGGGGATGGTTCAACTTCTTTGGATCATCTACACTGTAAGATACCACTGGAATCTATAGCTTCCATTGACATGCAGACTGAACATCAACATAGCGGTGCTCTCAACGTGTCGACGTGGCAGACGCCCAATACCTTTCTTACCCAGGGTCTCTCCGTTGGGCAAGCCATGGCCATCATTGTCGTGTCGCGATTCATTGTCTCTTTGTTCGCCTGCATCATTGCCTGGTGTGGTCTGACCTGGCACATTGGCTTTACGGTTCAGAACCGCTTTACATGGGGGTTACGTGGAGCATACATCCCGCTCCTTCAACGGTGCATGTTGAATTTTATTTGGAACGCCGTCCAATGTAAGGCACTCCGGCATCCTGAACTTGCATTGATATCTCGTGCTAACCTGACGCAGGTTGGAATGGTGGAAAACTTGTCACGTTAGTTCAGAGACATCGCGCGTATCTTCTCGACGTCTTCGGGTTATTAACATGACTTTGAGCAGTGTGTGCCTAGTTGCTATTTGGCCATCCTTCCAGAAGCTGCCAAACACTCTGTCCGCTTCCACCCCGACGACGACCCAGGAATTGGTGGGGTTCACTGTATTTTGGGTGATTTCTTTTCCATTCCTGTTTCTGCGACCGGAACGATTCAAGAAGCCTTTTTTCTTCTCAAGCATCGGGTGCGGCCTTGCGATGATCGCCATGATGATCTGGTCACTGGTAGTAGCTGGCGGCGTGGGTCCCATCTTCTACCAGAGCCAGAAAACCACGGCGACGGCAAACTGGAGCATCTCGTGGTTGATGATGGCTGGTCTTAACCAGTCCATCGGCTCCAAGGTAGCTGGAATTGTCAACGAGAGTGACTTCTCGAGGTATTCCAACAGCAACCTTGGTTTCGTTCTTGGCACTGTGTCTGTTCAGTGGTTTGTCGGTATATTTGTCTCGTTGGGCGGCCTTGTGACGACATCAGCATGCCAGGTCATATATGGCGAAATCTGGTGGAACCCTCCAGACCTGATGATGGTCATGATGGACTGTACGTGTCATCTCGTTCTGCATCACTTGTCGTATCAACATTCCAGGCTGACTTTAGCAGACGGTGAGGGATCATCCAAGGCTCGCGCTGGAGTCTTCTTTCTTGCGCTTGCTTTCACCTTTGCCATAATGTTCCAGAATGTTTGTGGCAATGCAGTGGCCGGTGGCATCGATCTCGCGGGTATCTTCCCACGCTACATTGATATTCGTCGGGGTTCACTTATAACCTTCATGGCCACATGGATCATTCAGCCGTGGCAGCTGGTGAACCGTGCCGAGACGTTCATCACGGTCCTGAGCTCCTTCTCTGTATTCCTCGCCCCGCTAATGGGCGTCATGATCTGCGACTACTACATCCTAAGGCGGCAAAAGATCAAACTCAATGACCTCTACCGATCTGATCCCTCAGATTACTGGTTCTCTCACGGGTTCAACTGGAGAGTGATACCCTGCTGGGTGGCGGGTTGGGCCCCCACTATTGGCGGTCTCATCACCACCGCGGGCGAGATGGAAAACGCACCCAGGTCCCTCACAGAATTGTACTACACTGCCTTCTTTACCGGTCTCGCCATATCATTCACTTTATTTTATGCCGTCAACTTGATCTTTCCTGTTGATGGGCTTGGCCAGTACGATCAGTATGATGATTGGGCAACTTTTACCGCCAAGGAAGCGGCTAAGCTCGGAGTGGTTCCGAACGATGACGCCGAAGAGCTCCAGAAGATTGCTTTTGGTGCCTCTGGATACAATCGGCGTGCGAAAACGGCTCAGACCGATGCGACCGAGTTTGAGGCCAAAGTCTAAGATTTGAATAACATGGCTTGGGCATAGCCAATCATTGTTCAAGCTGAGATTGATGTTGCTTACAATATTATGAGAAGCTTTCTGGGAATAGTCACTCTTCATTATTGGATACAGTTTGACGGTGTAAATCCCCGATCATTGCCTACTGTGTTTGAAGTCGCCATGCCCAATTCTCGCGAGGCTCGTGTCAGTCTCGACGCTACTTTATGTGATCATTTTACTATCTAATACTCCCTGAAAAGGTTAGGCGGTGGCGTACAGGCACGAAAACCGCATTAGTGGCTCTAGATCTAACGGTGGCTGCCATTGGTCGAGATAATTCATGGCTGTTGGAACAGGACGGGAACATCGGTCATGGCTGCTTAGGGCAGACCGGCGAGTCCGGGCACAAGTGGGTCCCGAGGTCGGTCTACCTCTGATATTATTGCCGGCGCCGTGGCGAATATTTACGAGTCCATGGTTCGGAGATCAGCTGAATGTACCGAGACACCCAAATCCACCGCTCGCTACGGATGCTGGGGAGCGGTACCTGCTGTGGAATGGCTCGAGCTATCACCAGACTCGCCGCTGCTCGCTTCGACGCTACGACCAGATACTTTTATATTGCACCACGAACCTGGGGAATTTGATGGGTTTGCCAGGGCAATGTGGACTTATTCCGTAAGGGCCGACAAGGTGCAGTACTAGATTGACAGAAATATACGAGGCAGTTGAATTTCCGTGTACGATAAAGATTTCCGTGTACTCCCAATATGTATTTGTCACTTTTTCCGGGCCCTGTTGGATTTCCGATGTTCAAATCGGTGACACCGAATCCTCCGGACCATTTGTTATGCTACGGCGTCCAGCGCCCGGGACGCTTGCGGAATCCTCACGGGCGCTAGCGGGATAATTGCGGACGCCAGTGGGGAATTCGCCTGGCGGGTGCGCTGTGCAATACGATCCAACGACTCTGCCATGTTTGAATGGTTTTGGAGGGAGGGTAATAGTATATACAAGGCAGTGCCGGCCGTGTAAATTCAGTCCATCTCCGCAACAAATAGAAATACCTAAACCATCAGTGGGCCATCGCTGCTGGAACCAAGGACAGTCAGGAGGTCAGGAATGTATCAGTGTTTTAGCAGGTTCTGGTTCACTGGAGTGATAGGGTCTTTGCCACCTAGGACAGCTAACACGTTTTTCATAGACAATGCCTCGAACCCCAGCATCGTCTCAAATGCGCCGCCTGCGTTGTGTGCCGTGAAGCTGCAGTTGCGGAACTGAAGAAGGCGTTTATTGACGTTTGGCTCATCCTCATGCACATCGAGCCCAACAGCCCACAGATGACCGCTCTCGAGGGCATCAGCTAGAGCTTCCTCGTCAACGAGGCTTCCTCGTGCAATATTGACTACCCTAGCGCCTTTCTTCATCTTGAAAATTCGGTCTGCGTCGAGAATCTTTTTGCCCCCGGCACCGGGTATAGCGATGACAACGCAATCAGACTGACCGAGCATGTCATCAAGCTCTGGCACCATCTGAGCACCACCCAGCGCAGCCTCTTGCTCCGCCGACTTCGCAGAGAGATCGTGGTAGATGATCTTCATGCCGAAGCAGCGGTACGCCTTGAGCCCAATGCGGTATCCGATGTTACCCAGGCCAATGATTCCAAGGGTGAAGCCGGCTGGGTTGTGAGCGCCTACAGGCTGGTGGCGGTGGGCATCGAGGAACTGTGCGGCGTCACCAGACCGGGCAGCCGTGTTGCTCCACTGAATGTTGCGGAAGACGGAAATGATATGGTAAATGGCCATGTCTGCCACAGCCTCAGAGCTGGCAGCGGCGCCGTTACAGTACAGAATCCCAGCCTCAGCCAGCAGATCGACATCGGCCCAGTCGTAGCCGGCACCCGCCGATGCGAAGAGGCGCATAGACTTGGGAAGAAGAGGAATCATCTCAGAATCCCAGCGGCCCATTTCGCCTCCCGAATTCCAAAATGGTCGGAATACAGCCTGGAAGTCGCCCCATTTGTGGTCTTTCAGAGCCTGTAGCCATGGACCTCGTTGGCGCTCCTCGACTGAGGGGCGGATCACGGTAAATGACTCCTGCAGTTGCTTGTAAAGGTCCTTATTGAATTCGATCGGATCCCCGAGATGCAGAATAACGGTCTTGGACTGGTCGGACATGTTTGCGGTGTCTGGGTCATTGTTTTCGTCTCTGCCCATCGCTATTTTCTCATTAGGCTATCTCTATCATTTTATTGATCCCCCTTGAAATTTCTAAACCCCTCAAAACTCATGTTGGGGATGCGATTTGCGGACCACCAACGCCCGTTATCCACACGGCATGCGACAGCATACGAGTTATCGGATATTATTCCGACCCAACAATGAAGCGCCATATTGTAAGCGTGGGGGCTTCCCTTATTGGCCACCTCCTTGGACAACGATAACCGATGTTGCATCACCAGTCATCTATGATATGGCACAGGGACAATGTGCCTTTGCCGGGATAATCATGCTGCCGATTCGGAGGGCGGCTGGTGTAGAAGGTGCCTTCATTCCTATATATTTCTCTGTACTCCAAATTATCTCGCATCCACTTAGATGTCAGGGCCATTGGGAGAATCTTACTAAAATGGGGCCATCAGGACGGAAGAAGGCATATAAGTAACCGCTTTCCTCGTGGAACGAGGAAGGGGGCCAACGATCGATACATCATCATCCCCCACCGGAACTTCATATCCGCTGCTTCGCTACGACTACGCTGTCACTTAGCAGACCTTGTCACTTACCTCACTACTCTCCTCTCCTAAGCAGACTCGTTGTCTGACATCAGATGATGTGGATGATGCTATTATACATGGTCAACCTTAGGACCTTGAAGCTCGACATAGCCTTCTTTTCAATATCGAAACGCCAAGCCCTTCCTTCAGCCTTTCCACATCGGCGGCATCGGCTTGACTCTCGGCGAACGTAGCGACAAGATTGTCGAAATCCAACTACACGTCCGTTCTAGATACAGCGCCAATGTTTTTTATCAGCTTACGTAGGATCTCAGGCCTACACTCGAGATAAGCTACAGTGATGGCGACGCCATTCATGGCTAGCGACATTCGGCAAACCTCATCCCTATAAGAGGGGCTGCTTGTCATACTTTTTGCCGTCTTTATATAATAAAAGCAGAGCTATCCTTGTGTTGCGTCTTGACAAGGACTGTGTCGAGTTTGACTAAGCAGGCCTCATGGTCGACACATGAGCAAGACCGCGTGCGGGCAATCAAGAAATGAGGTAGAATGTTTAAGCAGTGGAAAGGTATTCAGATATAGTTAGATCACAAGAAGTGTTTGTGAGAACACACACTACAAATACGTCTAACATAGATTCAAGGTAAGTTAGGTGTTTGTAGTCATCATCACATCTTTTCCTACGTCTTCAGTCATCTTTTGTGCCTCATCATGTTAATATCATGCGGTGAGCCCCACCCCCGCGATGCGAAATGCAGGCCTTGGGTGGGGGGGGAGCTGAATTGTGAGAAAGAAGTCCGATTTCTTGTAGTGCTGACTCCTTGCGTGCTGCTACCAACTGCTCCAATGTTCTTTCAAGCATCTTTCCGTATGCACGCTGACGGTGACGGAACCTAGGAACATACTAAAATAGGACACACACCTGAGGCTTGAGGTGACGCAATTCTTAATGTTTCGGTTACCAAGAAAACGTGAAAACGTGGCACCACATTGCCGCAGAAGTACTCGTCTGAATGAACGCGCAGAAACCCCCGACTCTTTCTTTCTGCTTGGCCCCGGTCCCGCTACCTGGTGGATCTTGATACGTATTAGCCAACGGCAGTGCGAAATGGGACGGGACCCCGCAGCAGCTGATGGGATCATCCCCAGCGGAGGGGTGAATGAGCTCCGATTCAAATACTCTCATTTTCTCGCATGAGCTTAGGTGGACAATCTTGTGGTTCCTTTCCGTCATTATCCCCCGTACGTCGTTGACACATCGTCGAGACCTTCAACTACGTTGATAGTTGAGCATTATACTTTGAGAAACTATCATCCGCCAAGATGGCCTCGACGAAACCCACCTGCCGCTGGGGCATCATCAGTCAGTACAGATATCCCGCGCGAATCCGATGCCAGCTTCAATTGACCGTGACCATGTCTAATTAGCAACTGGTATGATTGCCTCATGGTTTGTCACCGACCTCCTCATGCCGCGGGATGATGCCAAGGCCAAACACGTCATCCAGTGCATCGGGGCGTCGTCTATTCAGAAGGGTGAGGACTTTGTCGCGAAGCACATGAATGGTGCCCCCAAGCCTACTCTCTATGGTAGCTACGAGGAGGTCTACAACGACTCCAATGTCGACGTTGTCTACATCGGAACTCCACATGGCTTCCACAAGCGCGATTGCCTAAATGCCATTGCCGCCGGAAAGAATGTTCTTTGCGAAAAGGCTTTCACCATCAACGCTAAGGAGGCTCGAGAGGTTCTTGAAGCTGCCAAGAAGAAAGGCGTCTACCTTGCCGAGGCCATGTGGCTGCGTCACAGGCCAATCGTTGCCGATCTGCGCCGCATGCTATACGAGGAAAAGGTCATTGGCGACGTGTGGCGATTCCAGGGCGACTTCTATGACCATATCGACATCCCAAGTCTTCCCTCGACGTCACGATACCGTAACCCCGATCTCGGTGCAGGGTCCCTGCTTGACCTGGGTATCTACACGCTCACCTGGGCCATCCTCATGCTTGACCCGAAGACGCCGGCTTCGAGTGAGAGCCCGACTGTCCGTGCCGTACAGTCATTTGTCATGGATATCGAGTGCAGCACCAGCATCCTGCTTAGATACAGCAGTTCTGGTCGTCAAGGAGTTGTTACCTCCACCACCAATGCTTCCCGTGGAAACCCTTACACGTTTGCCACCATTGAGGGCTCCAACGGTTATATCACAATTGAAGGACGTGTGCCTTCTCACCCCGACGCCTTCTACGTTCATCCCAAGCAGAACGGCGCCGCCAAATCTGAAGGAAAGAAGTACGACTACAGGAAGCCATTCCAGGGATTCCCGTACGAGGCCGACAATACAGCACTCGACGTGGCCGCTGGCCGAAAGGAAAGTGAGATTATGCCTTGGTCAGAGACCATCCGCGTCATGGAGATCATGGATGAGGTGCGACGCCAGGGTGGTACTGTCTACCCTGCCGACAAGTAGAACATCGGTTTCAATAATACATGATGTAGTTGAATTCGTGACCAATTCTCCTGAAAAGAAAGGATACTGTGACTAATACAAGGACGCCATATATGTATGATTGAATCGTGACTATGCTACATTCCTGACACTAGTTTTATGCTATGACCCCTGCCTGTGATGGACAAGGAAACTTATCTATGTTCTCCGAGACTTACCCTGTCCACTTCCGCCTTTATTAGACCCATTTGGGGAGGCTGTCCCCTTCCCAAGAGGCCCCTTCGGCTGCGGGAAGTGGGCGTCGGTGGTAAAGGGCTCTTTACTGCTGAGAGAATCGACTCGACCGAGCATATACTCGACGTGGCGGAAGGCTGCACTAGGCGCATACTGAGGAATCATGTGTCCGGAAAGCGTGACGCCGACATACGTCAGGCCGCGCTCAGTATGAGTGGTTCCAAAAACGCCAGCCCCAGCAAGAGTAGAGTCTGAGCTGTCATTGTGGTATGGCACATAGAAAGGCTCCACTGGCTTTTCTTGGAAACCCAGCTTCCCTCCGAAGGTCATGTTCTGAATCGACAGAAGGGTCTGGTTCGCCAGAAGGACAAAGTCAAGGTCCCCGTGGCCGATAATGACATTCTTGGTCCTGTCAATAACACCGGCCAGAACCGTGTTGGATGAGGGCGGTGACAAGTCTCCCTTTCCAACAAACACAGGCCCTCCGCACTCTGCCCACTCTGTCTCCACGGGGGCATTGATCGCCTTCTTCACATCGTCCCGGTTGAAGTAGATAGAAGCGCCCTTCGGGAGGTATTCCATGCTGCCGGGAAATCCCATAACATCCCACAGAAGAGGGCATGTAGTAGCCACTTGGTACACATCCCAGCACGGGTTGATGGCTATCGCGGCATCCCAGATGGAGTCGAAAATACTGTAGAGCTCGCAACCCGGCTCGGGGTCGCCCGTCTTACGGTCGATTCCCGGAAGTGGGTCGGGAAGATGACCGCTGGGTGGGTAGGTGAGGTACTTGTCGCGGAAATCGGCATACCCGCACTTACGATCGACCTCGTGGATATGCTTGACGTAAGAGTCATTGAAGGGGAAAAGGTTGTGGTGGTAGTCAATGAAGGGGACGGCTACCATGTCTCCAACGCGTTCGGGGCCGATAGAAGGGTCGTAAATTGTCATTCCGGCGACATCAAAATACGTCTTGTCCTCCTCATCGAGCATAGCGCTCGCGATGTATGGACAGTACATTCCACTTTTCAAGTCATTAGAACGGATATACAGGGAGTCTCTATACCCAAGAAAGAGTGGAATAACTTACGCATATGACTCGCCGGTGATGTAGACTTTATAGCCATGCATACCAAAGGTGTCGATGAAGTTCTTGAAGAAGCCCATGAACTGCCTAGCAACGTCCTCCTCGTCCTTGGCTGTGACGTTTCCACTCGAGAAGCCGGTGTTTATGGGCTGTTCCACCCAAACGACGTTTGTAAGATGGTGCCATCCCCAGGGGTTGGGGACGGGCTTGTAGGTGCCATACTGCCATAGGAACGGGCCATTTTCTTGAAGGAAGCCCTCGAGGGAGGAGCAGCCGGGCTAGAATATATGAGTTGGTACAAGCGCACGCCGGAATTATCAGGAAGAGGAAGAATATCACTTACGCCGCCATTCAGCCAGATCAAGATTTCCTTGTCTGCGGCTGGGTTGGGCGACGGCTGGAACCAGAAGTAAAGCTTATCAGGCCCGTCCAAGTCATCTGATATCGACAGGAGCCCAGCATAAGCCTCACCTATATCAAAATCGACATCGGGGATGCCGGTTCCATTGATGGCAAAGTCTGGATATGCGGTCAGTACTTTCGAGGATTGTCTTGTTCCCAAACGGATTGGCTAGTGACGGGTGCTTACCAGTTGTGTTAGCATTGTCAAATTTCTTGGCGACAGTACCGTCCCGAGTCCACTTATCGGTGGGAACCCCGCCATGGGCAAGTGGTACGGTCCTAGTCCTGACGCGCTCGGGCCAAGCGGCGGTCGCGAGGCCGGCCATGGCAAGGGCGGGAGAAACAAGTTGCCAGCGCATTTTCAGTTCTTCAAAGGTCGATGTGGTAGCCAGCCTATGCCACTTTGGAGGGAAGAGAGAGTGTGTTATAATTATTTACTACGACGAATATTCTCTGATAACTGGCTATCAGTTCAAATGGCCGATCAGCCGAGACCCCTGTTCCCCGCGATCCTAAGGCGGGCCTTTTGCTCAAGTTGGGAAACCGGGATGCCGCGAGGTGGATCACAAAGCTTAGTGGACAATTAATTGTACGAGGAACTTTTGCTTTTTCAATTGTGCCAGCAACCTACAAGTGATCACAGGTACCGTAAACCCAAAGATAAGGCTCATCACCACAGCGTATGCCTGATTGTATGAGCACATTTTAACACGAGCGAGGTGTTCTAGTTAATACAGGTACGTTTAAGGGAAGGGCTGCAGCGGTTGTCTTGATCTTACTTGCTGTTCTATCTAAGGATGAGGCCACAGTTATATCTGAGTTGGCAACGTTTGCGCAGAGGCCTAAGGCTTAGATATATACGGCGTTTGACGGTGTTTGTGCAAACAATTATTATCAGCCATATTACGCTTCGTAAAACGATACCCCCCTTATCAAAACCTTGGATTTCGGTCAACAACCCCATCAATGCTTGAAGAAAAAAAGGTAGAGGAATAAAAGCGACAATTTGGCCTTTATTGAGAACTGATGTAAACGGACGGTTGAGAACGAGAAGACATCGCAACGTGATGGATCGGGGTGGCCGGAATTGGGCATCGAGTGCCACAGCCGGCTTCATAATGACGAATTCGGAAAACTCTCAGGGAAGCTATGTTTAGTTTCTGATAACCTTTTTCCTGAATCAAACATCCTTGAAAATTTATCTCATACATTTTTTTCAACCTTCCCTACTTTCTCGGGGGCTTTTGATTCATGCTAAAAAACCAGTCGTGTTCTCGTCGAACAGAACATCAGGGTTTCTCTCCCAGTGATAGTCTTACTATCCATACTCAAACGAGTCCTTTCCTAGGGTCTGTCCATGATGATTTTATGTGTTTCAATCAGGAAATCTACTGTCCAAGGCCTTTTATGTTTGCCGCAAGCTCTGTGTATGATAGCACAGATGCGGAAGCCAGAAACATTCACTACCTACACTCAATCCACATAGCTATGACTCGACCTTAGCAAAACAATGAACAAACGAATATATTTTCATGTCCCCCTGAGTTATTGTAGCCAGTATTTGTCGACCACCGTTCGCATTCGTTTTATACCGGCAAATATTTGGTTTCGCTAGGAGCCGAGATCAGTACTGGTGGACTGAAAAGCGAGCATGGGAGAAAAGGTTAGCGTAAAGTGGAATGTAAACATACTGTGGGCGTTGCAAATGAGAATCTGAAATGCGCCGTCTGCGCTTCAGCACCGCGAGCCTTTGTAGTCTTATTATCTGCTCCCTGCCATGGGTGATAATATGATCCCGGTGTAAGTAGGACAAGTTCATCGATCATGGCCCTCCACATCTCATCCGCGAATGACTGTTCTGGGTCGGGGTCGTTGCCATCACTGGCAATCTCGGCAAATCGCTTGACGCCACGAAAATGAAACTTTGCCCAGACAAACATACCCGCGCCTGGGTCGACGTAGCTAAAAACTGGGATGTGCGAATTCATCTCAGGGTGGCTCACACACGCAGTCTCTTCCGGTCCGGTGTGATTGACGACGAAATGTTGGTGAAACGCATCAAGCAACCAGTCCCTCCGCAGGCGATACTGCTCCTGAAGATGCTGCAGCCACAGTAGGTATCCGTCTATTCCCCAACTAGAAAGCAGACTCAGCACAAACGCCTGGCTGAGGCCGGCGGGATCTTGCGTCTCCGTCTCGGTGGCGCGCAAGAGACGCTCTGTAAATATCGGGTTGGCAACGAAATACCCTAGACGCAGCCCGGGGAACAGCGTCTTAGAGAAGGACTCAAGACGGATAACGCGACCCTGTGTATCCATGGATAAGAACGAGGGTGAGAGGTCACTGAGGAAATCTTTTGTTGATATCTTGCTTTTCGACCCTGTTTGCTTGTAGCCGGGGTATTGGAGGAAGTAATACGGGTCATCCTCAACGATGATAATATCTACCGCTTCATTGTGAGTGTGGGACCAGTGATCAGACAGAATTGTCTTACCGTATTCAACGCAGATACTGTAAATCTCTTTGCGACGATCGAAAGAAATCGATGTACCGGTGGGGTTTGATCCTACAGGTACAATATAGAGACTGCAATCATTAGTCCGGGCTGCGCTCTCCGTATCTTTTCTGCTATCCTCATAAAATTGCTTACGTCCTCGGCCGCCTAGCCCCACGAATCTTTTCATCCCAATTCTGTAAGATCTCGCGGAGACTAGATGGTTGGATTCCCTCCCCATCTGCAGCAATCGGCGCTGCCTTAATTCCCAGCGGAATCCATAGTGCCTGTGCCGATGGGTATGTGTACTCTTCCACGAGGACATAGTCATCATCTTCGCATAGCAATCCGACCACCTTATCCCATGCATTAGTGTTACCTGGGTGTAAAAGGCATTCGAAGTTGTAGGGCGGCGTGTGCACCACCGTTGTTAGTTCTCTGCACAAGGCTATGAGGCCCTTGTTGCCAGCGCCAGAACCTACGCATGTTAGCTTCATGGGTCTTACGCTCATGCAAAAAAACTATTGCATTGGTATTACCGTATTGGAGGAATTGTGTCAAATCCAAATCAGCAGGATCAGAACCCCGTCCAAGTCGCAGGATCACGCCATCGGCCTTATCCGCTGAGGGGTCGAGGCACTCAAAGGTTGTCTTATTGAGCGGGAACAAAGAAGGATGTGGAAGCCCTGAAAGAACACACTATCAGGACGAGTGCCAGCTGTACAGTGGGAATATGATCTTCACTCACCTCCAGCGAGACTTATCATTCCTTCGTACCCCATGTAACTGACAATGTCCTTCAGCGGTGAAGGGTGTCGCGATCTGCTCTTGGTGTTGACATGATGGGCAAGGTCAACTGCGTCAGAAAGCGTGCTTGTACCAGTGTCCATGTTGTGTAGAAACGTAGAGGCCCGGTGATGGTGAGTCCTATTTCCTAATGGACATCTACTCCGGTTTTAGTTCTTGTTCGGCAACGACGAAACTGGCAACGCTTATCGGGCCATGATCCGACAACATGGCCGATAGCGGGAACTAATACCGAACATGTCGGGGCCTACCGACCGGATCGCAGTTTTGTCGCCCGAAGCCGACTGAACCCCTCCCTGGCCCTCGCTTATGATGATATCAAGGAAATGAAAAATCGTGACTACACGCAAAACTGATTTCGACCATCATCCGATATTTCGACAATGGGAAACACAATCTCATACAACGATACGCCGGTCGAAGTCAGCCTCGGCTCCAAGGGCACCATCCGCGGTGTGCAGCGCGACTCTAAATCTCGCCGCTACGCAGGAGTCGCTTACGCACTACCGCCGACGGGCGAGTACCGATGGCGCAAGCCACGACCTCTTCCGTCAACATACAAGTATATCGATGACAATGGTGGCGCCTACGACGCTACCAACTTCCGATCCGTGTGCCCGCAAAAGTCGTTTCACGTCGTTCAAGCCGACGGTGGAGTCACTGCTTACAGTGAGGATTGTCTTTTTGTTAACATCTGGACGCCTGTTGCCACCAATGAAACAGCAAACGACAAGAAATGGCCCGTTATGCTGTGGATTCACGGCGGTTGGTTCCAGATGGGCGATCCGTCGCATGAGTTCGGCATGGATCCCACCGAATTGATCTCTACAGGCGGTTTGAATGCTATTGTCGTCGCCATTGGATACCGTCTTAACGTGTTTGGATTCCTGGCTGGTGAGACCCTGCTTGAAGAAAGCGACGGTGTGTCAGCAGGAAACTTCGGTCTTTGGGATCAGCGCCTGGCTGCTGAATGGGTGAGGGAAAACATATCCTTTTTTGGTGGAGATCCGGGAAACATCACACTTGCCGGTCGCAGTGCGGGAGCCTACAGTGTCGAGGCCCAAATGCTCTATGACTTTCGCAAGCCGGGACCTAAGAGTTCGTTGTACCGCCGCGTGTTCATGGATTCCAATGCGATCCCAGCCCAGCCCAAGTCCCTCGCCGATGGGCAGAGCCAGTTCGATGAGCTTTGCAGGTATCTTGGTATCGCAGAGTCACTTTCACCAGCCGAGAAGATGGCATCTCTCAGAGGCACTACGACAGAAAGACTCGTTGAGTCCATGGACAAATTGGAAAATCATACCTTTCGGCCCGTCACGGATGACATATTCTTTCACTCTGGCATGACGGACTACCTTGAGAGCAAGGAGTTTGCAGATGAGTTTACATCGCGCGGCTTCAAGATTTTAATCGGCGAGGTCCTCAATGAGGAGACCCTTTACTCCAACTACAACGCTCCTACCGAGCCTACTCTGGAGGCCTTGCGCCTGCAGATTTCTAATTACTATGCTCCTGATGTCACCGAGAGGGTGATAAACTGCTATGACCTTCCCAAGTCGGATGATTTGGATGAATGGAAGAAAACATTCGGTTTGTCTATCCTTCACTGTGAAACTTCCCTCTGGTAATAATAAAGGAGCTCATCGTTGGATTTAGGAAAAATCATCTCGGATGGACAAGTGCGCGCCCCAACAAGGCTTCTAGTCAAAAACCTTGTCGATAATGGCGTGGATGTGAAGAATGTCTGGCGCTACCTTATTGCTTACCGATTGTCCTTCATTGACGAGAAGGTGGCTCCCAAATCATTTGGTGTTGCGCATGCTATGGACAAACCATTTTGGAAGTGAGTAATTCGAGTTGAGTTCCTTTGCCAATGCGGTTCAACTTTTCTAAACGATTATAGCTTCGCAATATGTTATGGACCAACGATGGAGGAGAGGATACTGATGGAGGAATGGATCAAAATCTTAGTCGCCTTTGTGAATGACCTAGACTATTCCATAGGCATCGGAAGTCTGGAGCAGCTCAAGGTCGCCACTCCAGCAGCGACAATTGAGGTACAACAGGACAAGGCCTGGCACGATCTCCTACAAAAGGCAAAGATTTTCAGTGGAAAATTAGTGTAATATCGCTTGCTTTATATATATTCTGTGTAGAGATCTCCGATTATTGAGTAGGCATACACGATTGTCTCCGCTGCTTCAAAACGCGCGAAGGTATAATATCGAGAATACCTTTTCGAGGCTTGAAGACTTTGCTACCCCGATGTACCAAAACATTCACACCTGCCCTAGTACTTGTACTCGAAATGAATATTCTCCCTGTCTGTCATGTCACTCTCGGCATTAATCTTCCCTTGCCTTTGACTTTCCTCCTGAGTGAAACCCTGCTCCTGGATCAGCTTTGCCCGCCTCTTGTTTTCCCAGATATCTAAAACGTGTTAGCTTGTCTAGTCACAATCGTCGCAGTGTTGTTCAACATGACTTACAATAGAAACGCCACAGACCCATGGCGCAAAACTCCACGAAGTATAAGACGCCGCAGGCCGTGATTCCACGAATGTATCTAGGTGCATCGGAAGGAAGCATGATCTGGGCTCCAATGGCATTTCCAACGCAATATGCAACAAAGAGAACAGTAGATGTGACCGTTTTCTTGGTCCTGCCAGCCACGTTGGATGGCAGGAAGGTCCAAATCACTAAGCGTGACATATGAGTACATGGATGTAGCGGAAGTTTACGGCAATTGAAATAACTCACTGAGTCCAGGAAGAGATCCAAACACCTGCAGGATGTACATCCCCCAACGGGTCCAGCGCATCGTGTCAGTCGGCAAAAGGGACAGAGCAAGCATGCCACTGAATGCCGGTAGAAGAGAAAACATCATTAAGGCAACTTTTTTTTTCAACCCTTGTTAATAACATGAGCTTGAAAGCAAAAGATTTCGAATACTGACATCGAAGATTTGGCTTCTTAAGTGTAATAAAACCAACGGTCAGAAACCACACAATACTAACAGCGTAGTAGGGCGTCGATCCCTTAAGCAGTGTTTCAAGCGGCGTGAAGCCAAACGACTTCCATATGAGCTTCGAGAAGGTCGTATTCGCCCCGTTTGGGAGCGCGTTGATGATGGTGACGAAGAAGAAAAAGTATGTCTGAGGGTCCTTGAAGGTGTCCCGCACTTGGTCCCACCTGAAACTGGAGTGTTTCTCACGATCAGAGCCCGTCTGGTTGATTAGCACGCGGGCAATGGCGGCCTCCTTTTCTTCTTTGCTGAGCCAACGGACTTCACGTGGCGTACCGAGAACGAACCAGACTAGTACACCGCACAAGATGGTCAGACCACCAAGGAAGAAGGCCTGGCCTTTCCACTGTTTTTCTGTGTATTAGATTCATCATCTTTCATGGTGTGAAGGACATAGTGAAGCAGAAAAGATATCGAACTTACAGCAGCGAGCCCTCCAGGGTGCTTCTGAGCATGCAGTCCAATCCCGTACATGCTGAGTCCTGTGATGATATTCATGCCTGCATTTGCCGTCCCCCAAATCACGGAGCGCAACGTATGTTCCTGCGATGTATACCATGCACCAGTTATGAGCATAAAGGTTGGAGAAATGGTACACTCAAGTGCTCCCTGCAGAGTGCGCAGAACCATAAGCTCCGTGAAATTCCGCGCAAACGCGATGCACAGTACCACAACTCCCCATAGCACAATCACAACGGACAAAAACCGGCCCATGTGCACCTTTTGCATAAGCCAGTTTCCGGGAAACTCAAACACCATGTATGACAGGTAAAAGATGGTGCTGAGCCAATTTAGCTGATCTCCAACTAGGCCCGTATCCTCTGCGATGCCGAATACGGCCATGACGCTCAGCGACGTCTTGTCGGCTTGCTGTGTGCCGTAACATAGCCACATCAAGGGTAGAAGAATCAAGTCGATCTTCCATCGTAAGCGCCGGAGGTACACGTCGGAGTATTCAGGTGCAACATCAATGGCAGTGTCAATGACTTCTGTCAATGTATTCTGCCTTTTCTCGTCGGCCAGTGTATCGGGAGCACCATCGGTTGTCGTCATTTTTTCAGGGTCTTCTTGTGCATCATACCTCAAATCAGGACGTTTGAAACCTACTTGTTTGTTTCGATGTTGAAGGATGATATTTGTAGAGATTGCTGGCTATAAGCCCAAATCTTTTCTCTCGGGTGGATCTCATCCGGAGACCGGTCACTATCAATGCATGTAAGGGCCCATTATGTGAATGAACGAAGGCTCCGCCAGCAGTTCAGAAACGGGGCATAGAGATGATAGCACGTTCTCGTGGCAAGCAAGCTCAATTTCATACACACCACACCCTCACTGATAAGGACTTCCCATCCGGCGACTCGCTCTAGGTGGTTTGATAAGATGGCTTCCCCAACTTTCGGCCGTACAAATGAGTTCCTATCTGCCGCCTTACAGCCCCAAATAATAAGCTACCCACCCATACTCACCCAATAGGTGTGACAGGGCGCGCATGTTATCTTTCCCCGGCCACGGGGGTATCTAGGTGTATGAAGTAGGCTTGTTTCTACGTCTCGTATCAATACCCCTGCGCTTACATTGCACAGATCCGAAAGCAGCTCTGTTTTAAGTAATTTTAGCCACTTTTAAGCATAGCTAGTATTCTATCATCACGGGCTTTTTTTTCCCTTCTTACTTCCTTAGAAATTTGCGAGACGGAAAAGTAGACTATTACATGTAGAAAGAGTATCGCGTAGCAGGCCTCATGGCAGAGAAAGGAAGAAGACGGAACGACCTCACTGTCAGGGCCCATTGGGGGAATTGTACAGAAGTGGGGCAAAGGTTTCTGAAAGGTCATATAAATGGTCACCTTCCGCGATTGCATCAAGGCAAGGGTTGCGGCCAATATATGCACAATTGTTGTTACTGGTGCCTCTATTGATATATCAATCCCTCGCCACTACATAGTAACCTTGTCACTTATTTCACTACCTCCTACCGCAAGCAGACTCGATGCCTGACATTCGACGATTGGCAAACAAAGTGGGCATGAATATGAAGCAAAAGCCTTTGTGAGAGCAGAAGACTAGCTAGCCGACGAGTCCTGGTAATATCTCCCTTCAAAGGCTATGAATAATATCTCCCTTCAGAGGCTATGAGGGGCCTCACACCATGCTCTTTCCTGATCCATGGCCGATGAAGGAACCTCATTCCCTTCCAACTTGAGGAAGAAGAAGGCAGGAAATACTTCCTCTCACGACATCACAACCAAGAGGGCCTCGAGCACGTTGTAGTCACACGTTTTGGTCCACAAACATACAGCCACCCGCCATGACACGGGTACATCACGGAAGCAACCTCTTGAATGCATCAAATGACTGACTTGTCATGACGAAAAAGAAGTTTGTGCACCAGTGTGAGGTAATTGCGGAAAAGATCATATCAGCGGGCATTAAAATCCTGTTTTGACCCAGATTAGCATGGCTCTCTTTTGCAGTCGGGACTCAGAGAAAGTTCTGGGTATTGCTTGTAGGCAAATGTATGCATTACGTTAAATTCTCGGTGAAGCTTTTACATGACGGCTTACGTAGGCTTACACACGATAAGTCTGCGTTCACTCTGTTCAAGATCTTGTCTCTTTGCAAGCCATGTGGAAGATTTTTGGGACGACCCGATATACTTCCCCTCTAAAGCTTCCCTTGCAATTCTTCCATGATATACAGTTTCTAAATACCGGCACCAAACGTGCTGCCGCTGCGCTTATTCTGCTTCATATAGTACTGCAGGCCAAGAACAGCTGTCAAGACCCATGCTCCCCCCATCAGTGCACAGATAGCCGTAAGGCTCTTCAGGTAGTGAGGTGCATTCGACGCTCGGAAGATTTGCGAGCCCGATATACCAGCGCAGTTGGCAGCCATGATAATCAGTCTAGAGTACGGTTAGATCTTTTATGAAGAAAACTGTATTCAGGGGCACGTATACTTACGCGAGGGCAACACTGCGCTCCTGGGGCTTCTTGCAGTGTACTGATAACCAAGAAACATTAAAGATGCTGTTTTGCTGTTAGTATCCTGTTTATCTGAATGTATCAACAGCTCTGATTTAAACCACTTACTGCATGCTGACGTACGCGACATTCGCAATGATCACCAGGCTATATTTGTGCCATTTTGTTCCGTCTAGGGAATATACTCTCAAGCATGTATACGAGATTACGTTCCAAGTAATTGAGAGTAGTACAAATGGTCCTCGATGACCAATGCGATCGCTATACAAGTCGTTAGCAGCTTTCAACAAAACATTGGCATTCGAATCACGACTTACGCAATCCAAGATAAGGCAGTCAGCCATATGATTCCAATGTAAGGACCAACTGACGTTAGAGCGTTTGCCCTGACGGCTGTGAACCCCATACTCTTGATTAGGGTTGGGGTATACTGAACCAAGCCTTGGAAGGCTGTCATGGAGATGAGGGTAATAAACCAGTGCTGCCACACTCTGACCTGAGAGATGGTACCCTTGATGTCAGGCCATGTGATTCGGATATGGCCTTTGGCTTTGTTCGGGTCGTCTAGCAAGACACGATCGCGGCAGATCTGGCCTTCCCTCTCGGTGAAATAGCTCCAGCGACCAAAAGTAATGAGGGCGCGACCATCGCCAACGGCAGGTGCGATGAGAAAAACAAAGATGAACCCAATGAACAAGGTGATAAGACCCTCGACTGAAATCACGTTAGCAAAACTGGGAAGTCGTTTACCCAGTATATCTGTATGTGGCTGGCTTACTGAGGAAAATCCATCTCCAACCTTCCAAACCACTCTTTCCCTCCAAGGTCAAAGCCCCCGCAGAGATTAAACTAGTCGTTGCGGATGCAAACATTTGCCCATAGAAGAACAGACTAACTCGTAATGTAGTTTCATCCTTTTTATACCAAGTAGATAGATAGTAGAGGGCTCCGGGGATGAAGCCGCCCTCGCAGAGCCCGAGGAGAATTCTTGTCGCCAAATATGCAGGGTAAGACTGGATAAATGCTTGAAACGTGGCGACCAGGCCCCAGGCAAACAGCTGGCCGGAAAGCCAGACGCGTGGGCCTATACGTTGAAGAATGATGTTGGCGGGGATCTCAGAGAGGACGATTCCGGCAGAAAGCAATTGCGTGCCAACGTTTATCTGGTCTGTAGTTATGTCGAGGTCTTTGGTGATGGTGGAGGTCAGGACAGCACTTATGTTGCCACGATCTACCTGCAACGAGAAGAAGGCCAGGGCTAGGACGGGTATCAATATGATATCGAGCCTTGGAGAGCGCGTTAGAAATCGTAAAATACGAATGGAAATGGGCACCAATTCCTCGGAGAGCGCCGCTAGGGATTTCAATTCAGAATAACGCTGTGTTGAACTTACTTGCGGATGAGTGCAGCCTCTTCCTTGTCTTCCCAATGCTTCAAGATTCCATTGTCGTTTTCAGCTTCGGTGTTCTCACTCGAAGGTGGTAGGGTGCCGTCCTTTTCAACGACTGGGTTCTCCTTTCCAAAATCCTGCGATGCTGCCCGTTCGGTAGTTGCAAACACTGCCATTGCGCACCGTATGATTCAGAGAAAGCCTCTGTGATGGACAGCTTCCAGAATTTCTATGAAAGGTTAAAACGGAAAACGACGATGCTCGACAGGAGCAAGAACGGCGGAACACGGATGGCGGGAAGACGTTGCGTCGCCGGCGGACATTAAGTATTATACGGGAATTATCCCACTTGGCGCGTGGCCTCGGGCCGTGCGTCTGACTCCACTGTGCTTCCGGAAAGGCCTCATTTCCGGAAGTATACGAGTAGGGCTCATTGTTGATATTACGCCGCGACAAGCCAATAATCTACCGAAACATAACACTATGACATAGAAGTTCTCCTGTTACCTCTGGATTTGACCGGCTTGCCCACTGAAAGTGGCACGTTGCCGCGTCGCTGATGTTGCGACACGGTGGGGATGAATGGCGCAATCGCAACCTGGTACGTATTTTTTTCCCCATACTAAATCATGTATCTACAACATTGTATTAAACGGCGTTGCTAAGATCACATGATCTGAATCACATGGTCAAAGGGGGTTCACTCGTCTGGGAAAGGAGAGATTCCCTAAGTATTTCCCCTTTGTTCATCTGATCACTGTTCCATTCTTTCTGGAATCGTGGATCTTGAAGGAAGCTACGTTTGCGAGGGTTTTGTCCCCAAGAAAGATCTTCCGGTAATGGCCCCGAAAGGTGGGGTGTCAAGTGGATATTGACACGAGGTCGTCTAGGTCGGAGGGTATCCGTCAATTATGGAGGAGGAAGCGTGGCCGGAGGTGTCGGCCTGCTATGGCTGGAAAAGGCGGTCGATCGCATTACTTACCCCGGGTGAGTAAGCCCGCGGTCTGGACGAAGATTTAGGTCTTGGGGAGTATGGGCATGACAGCTCCATTGCGATTTACGATGCCGCTGATATAACGACATTGGATGTTGCTGTAATGCTGGTGATGGTACAGTGATGCCAATATCTAACGCATGACAAGGTTCACAGCACGAGAAGAAGAAAAGGACGGAATGGGCCTTACTATACAATGCCGAGTCCATTTCTTATGACAACGAGTCTATTTAGGTAGGGAGATAGTGAGATAACTGACAAGGTTGCGTATAGAGACATACGAGTAGTAGAAGCGTTAGAGTGATGAAGGCACTAGTGGCAAGCGTATATATTATATATATTAATTGTTGCCCCCTTCGGACCCGTCCTTAATGGAATCGGGGTTAGTGTACTTCGTAATAATACTTATATACCACTTCCGGGATCCTTTCACCCCACTTCCGTACAGTTCCCTAAATGGGCCCTGGAGGAGGCAATGACGAAACTGGCGCCAATGGCAAGTAGAAAAATAGAAAGAAGGCTAAGACGATGAAAGACACGATGAATTAAGTGGTCGAATTGGAGCCTGGAGAGCTCGGGAGGAAAAGATTCTCTATGCCGATGTTGGTTGGAAGAGCGCGCGGTGAATACATCTACTATTGAGTATGTACATTGCACGTTGCATACGATCTCATTCAGGAGACAGCGTACAGACTTGCCAGTAACTCAGGAGACGCAAGTAGATGCTTTGAACCCGTAAGAGCTATGGCGAAGGAAGGGGGTTTTATTACCACCAAAAACGGCCGACAATAAGGAAAATAACAGAGCTTGACAAACCCCGTATCTTCCTTTGGCTAGATGTACTAATAGACGTACGTGATAATTCTCATACTTCTATTCATTCAGATATTCTAGCATTGTGAGCGCCACATATGATATATTATTATCAGAGAAAATTAGAGAATCTCCGTGATTGAATCCTTTGGACACATTTTTATTTATGCCATGATCTTCTACAATCTCAACCTTAGCTCGTTGCACAGCCTGGGAGTGGTACATGTAGTCAGGCTTAGCCTCGTAAGAAGAACCAACTCCTATGTGAGTTGTGGAGGAGTTCTCTTACGCACAAGTCATAGTGAAAATCTCGGCGTAGCACCAGCTTCACTCGTTTCGCCATATTCTGTTAGAGGTATCAAGTACGGCTGGCCATGGCTTTTAGTAAAGTAATTAGTCATCTATAACGCTAATTACACAGGGAGTGGGCGCCATGACAAAAGTCAGTGGTCGACAGAGTCATACATTACGAATAGATACTCAAGGGACGATGCGTTAGCCTCATTTACGATAAATTTTGATGACTCGAAGTCAACCCTTGAGGTTATACTTTCTCGTAACATGACTATCTTAGTAATGAGAGCAACTAAAGCTAATGTGAACCGTTGACTACCGTATGGGTTTAGGATTCTTTTGGGTAATATATGAGAGAGGGACATGCTATTGAACCGGGTCCTAATTTTACGGCCATATCAAGCGAACGCCATCATTTTGAAACCCTTCTTTTGAATATACCGTTCCGTAGAAGGGCATATATAATGATCCCATACGTAAAACAGGTCGGTGGATACAGGTATCTTTTTAAAGTCCAAACCGCACGGGGGCACTAGAGCGCACGTGCTGAAATGCGGGGGATTTGGATTTCAATGTTCCCTAACAAGACGCATACCATGACAAATTGTACTAAGCGGACGGAGTCCATTACGTCTTCCCTGCTTGACCTCTCGCTATTCTCGGTACGTCATCAACACGGAGGCTGCCTGGCTCGTGAGACGTCGATAACGTCGTCAGTGAGGCATATTGCTAGAAGATCTAATACATAACGGTAGTCAGCCGCTAGGACTGCCACAGGATGCAAATGTTCATCCATAAGTCTCATCGCGGAGGGCATCCAGGTCTCCTGACCCCAGTCCCCGATGGCGATGGCACATTTTCCATGTTGAAGTCACGAGCAACAGACAAAGAAAGCCACTAGGCACGGTGGTTATTACGGAAGCAAAAGCTACTAGAAACTTCAACTACCTACGTGACGGTGATGGCTGCGCTACAGAACCTAGGGGCGACTGTTTTAAGGTTCATTTAATGTGGTCGTGTGCTCCTTTGCTTGATGATACTCTAGGGGATCAGATTACGCGAATCAGCAAGAAAAATCTCTTCCTATCTAACAATGTACCCTGTGAGAAAGCACTACCTCTCTAGTCCCCCTCGACTTTGTACGCCAATGGCCACGTTCTTCGGAAGACAATGAATGCTCGCACAAGGACTTCAGTCAGGTCTTTGGCCTCACAGTTGTTTTTTGGTGCTATGGTGTTGGTGTTTCAATTCTGCAACCTCCTGCACCCCTATGCTGTCTTGATCTCCCACTGTATCTCGTATCCGGCTGCACGGCATCGTCTTTCATCTCTAAGTGATGTATCTAAACTGCATAAATTGCTTTTTTAGAACTATATAGAGAAGGCCGAGACAAGCAGAGAAAAACAGTCGAGAAAAATCCCGATCAAGCCGCTTGCAGCCAGGGTAGTATTTAATAATCACAAGGCCCACGCCTAGCACGATAGTGAGACAGTGATGAACTGTATCATGGTAAGCGAGATGGAAGATACTTCTACTATAAATGGAGCTGGGAAAAAGGGCGATCAACAACTAAGAGCATGACGAGCGCGTAACTTCCGAATATCGTACCCGTATTATATGCAAGTTGATGGAGGGTTTCATGCAAGGACAAATCTGGTACGTACCATTCGATCGCTTACAGCGTATGCAGGTGGATCAGAGCATGCACGACAACGCGAGCGCTCCTTTGTCTCGTCTACCATCTAAGACATTGCAGTCGGGGACAAAATGAACAAAGAGAATGAGAGAGATTGATCCTCCCTTACACTTGATCAAAGTGGCTCCTCCGGCACTTAGATGCCGATGCTTGGCAATAATATCCGGGGTAAGTCACGCGTCATGCGGGGAGAGAGGGGGTGGCCAGGTGTGCCGGAATTCAATGCTTAGGTGCCTTCGCCTCATTGGGATGGTTACCAATGTTGAGAGTCAGATGCATGACGAGAACGGACTTGCAACACGCGACTGTATGATCCACTCCCAATACACCAGTGAAACACGGCATCAGGCCATACACACCAGAATTTTGGCCCAAAACCATTAGGATACAGCTATCTAACGAAAGGGATAACAGTCATGAAGAAAGAAAGTGTATATAAAGCACCAGCTTTGCTCACGATCCCAATCGAATGTTCCTGACTATCATAGACAAAGAGCACCACACCCAAAGAGAAGCGTATTCCTGTCACTCACATCTTTCATATCATATTACAAATTCCAACACTGAGTCGCTTGAAGCTTGATTCATCATGCCACCTTCCAGACTGAGAACCAAGCGCAGTGGCATTTTCCCCTTTGTCCTTGCCGCCGCACCTCTGGTGGCTGCCGGCCCATGCGACATCTACTCTTCTGCCGACACACCCTGCGTGGCCGCACACAGCACCACCCGTGCCTTGTACGGCGACTTCTCTCAGCCACTGTATCAGGTCACACGTGCCTCGGATAGTGCCACACTGGACATTGCGCCACTGACGGCTGGTGGTGTGGCCGACGCTGGCGCCCAAGACACGTTTTGCGCCGACACAACGTGCACTATCAGTATCATCTACGATCAGTCTGGCCAGGATAATCACCTCACCAGGGCTGAGGGAGGTGCCTTCAAAGGTCCCAATGAAGACGGCTCTGACAACTTGGCCGATGCGACTGCCGCCCCCGTTACCCTGAACGGCCAGAAAGCTTACGGTGTTTTCGTCTCTCCCGGTACAGGATACCGCAATAACGCAGCCAAGGGCATAGCCATTGGCGACGAACCGGAGGGCATGTACGCCGTCCTGGACGGCACCCACTTCAACGATGTCTGCTGCTTCGACTATGGCAACGCTGAGCCGAGCATTCTCGACACAGGCAACGGCCACATGGAGGCCATCTACTTTGGCAACAACACCGAGTTCGGCACTGGTGCCGGCGATGGCCCTTGGATCATGGCCGACCTCGAAAACGGCTTGTTCTCCGGCCTGAGTGCCAAGAACAACGACGGCGATCCTACCATCAACAGTCGGTTCATCACTGCTGTTGTCAAAGGTGAGGCCAATCATTGGGCTATTCGGGGTGCTGATGCGTCGATTGACACGCTCACAACGTATTACGATGGTGCGCGTCCCGATGTGGCCGGGTACAATCCCATGGTCAAGGAGGGTGCCATCCTCCTCGGCATCGGTGGTGATAATAGCAACGGTGGACAAGGTACCTTTTACGAGGGTGTCATGACCTCCGGTTTCCCCACGGATGAAACTGAGAATTCAGTTCAGGCTGATATTGCGGCGGCCAAGTACGCTGCATAAGCGCCTTTGAGGTACTGGAGATGCGTTTGTCGGGGGTAATCAATATTGGAAGAAAGGCGAAGAGAAGGCCGCAAGATTTCGCTGTAAAAACTAGTGAAAATGGCGAGGAATGTTGGTTATCAATATTTGCATGTTGATTCTTGTCCGAAGATGTGAAATGGGGTTGTGATTGATATCGATGTCAAGTTGAGTTCGCGGACAAGTGATTAGGATGAAAAAGTTAAAGCTTTAGCACTGCTCGTGACACGTCCCACTTTAATGGGTCTTGACACTCGCACCACTCCGGCCTGAAAATCATGAATCTCATGATATCTATCCACGCTAGAAATACCTTATAGGACAACCCGTTTCGTATACCTGTATTAATTTTAGTATTTTGTCCTTAGTTCTCTATACTATACTAACTTTAATAGCATTAGAAGTGACCTTTTCAGCTAATTCTGACCTCTTATTCTCCTCTATTACTGTCATACTTTCTACCGTTTAGGTGGGTGGAAAAGCAGAGCTGTCCCGTGTCATGCTTTAATAGGGACGGTGTCGAGTCTGACGGTATAGACGTCAGGATCGATACATGAGCAAGGCCGTGTAGGAAGAACGGCGGGGTTCGTGAACGGTGAGAAGGTATTAGAAATGTAAATTAGATAACATAATATCTTTTATGAGAACAAACTGTAAACACTTCTGGCTTACATTTAAATAGTAGATTAGGTGTTAAGGTTCTTGTTCGATATTCTTGCTGTGGTGCCGGACTCGACGGTTTTATGGTCGAGTCCCGCTTATCTAAACTATGAACTATGTACTATGACAATTACTATCATACTTTTCCGCCGTCCCTATATTGTGCTCCTGTCTTAAGATGTAGTATTTCTCATTATTCATACATTGTTTGGTACTGTCCCTTGGCATCGCCTTACGATGTTGTTTGACCAATCAATCCTTGTGATTTGCTAATCCTCTAGCAGGTGGCCATTGATCGTCCTAGCAGATATCCACTCGTCGCGTCCCGCGTCGACGCGTCTCAATTAACTACAACCAGACAACATGGCACCCATCAAACGAAGCGCAAGCCGAGTCGCGAAGGAGACGGAGAACCTCAACACAGTATCAGGAACTAAACGACAAAAGACTGCAGCTGCAGAAGAAACATTGCGACTGCACGCAAAGCTGTTTGCCCAAGCAGCGCGTCAAGCGACGCCTGATCTGACCTGTTCGATCCCAGCTCGACAACATGCACACACTTATCATCGGCCACTTCTCCTAAATTCAAGGGGAGGACGCGATGCACAAGAATCGCTCCTCTCTTGGTTTGACGGGGTGAGCGAGGTGCGCTCCATGCCATGGCGGCAGAAATGGATTGACCCGAGTACGGTTAAAGAAGCCAGCGAGCTACGGCCCCTCCTTGAACGACGAGCATACCAAGTGTGGATAAGCGAAATTATGCTGCAACAGACACGCGTGGCTGTCGTCATCGACTACTGGAACCGGTGGATGGAGAAATGGCCGACGATACAGGACCTTGCGGCCGCCAGCGGCGACGATGTTCTAGCGGCGTGGAAGGGCTTAGGCTACTACAGCAGGGCTACGCGTATACATGAGGCGGCAAAGAAAGTGGTGGTCGATGCCGAGATGAAGGGGCTACTACCTGAGGATGCAAAGAGTCTCGAAGCACAAGTGCCCGGCGTGGGGCGGTATACGGCCGGTGCAATCTCGTCGATTGTGTTTGGCCGGCCGGAGCCTATGGTTGACGGCAATGTGTTACGCGTACTTAGCCGACAGCTCGGCCTCATGGGGAACGTCAAGACAAACAGAACTGTCATCGACGTGTTGTGGGCGGCCGCCGATGCACTCGTCAAGGACGTGGCGAGGTCAACGCCCAAGAGCGACAGGCCCGGACGTTGGGGTCAAGGTCTTATGGAGTTAGGCAGCACAGTATGCACGCCTTCGCCAAACTGCTCTGTGTGTCCCATCACGACTACATGCAGGGCCTACCAAGAAGGCAAGGGACCGGGTGCCGAACCGTTGGCCGACATTGAAGACTTGTGCACGTGGTGCGAAGCGCTACCAGAAGACGCGGAAAAGCCAACAGAAAAGCCAGCGAAGCCGGCAAAGCAGGCAACGCTGGCGGCCTTTGCATTCACCAGCCGGACCACCAAGTCACCACAGACTCAAGGGACCTCTTCGTCACCGACTCAGGAGGCTATTACCAACCACACCAAAAGATTCCCAGTCAAGTTTATCAAAAAGGCCGTGCGCGAGGAGGAGACGGTTGTGTGCGTGATACGCCGAGCGGATGGGCAATACCTTGTTCATCGACGACCGGAAAAGGGACTCCTGGCGGGTCTCTGGGAGTTCCCATCACAGGCGGTAGACGGCCAAGTTACGAAGCAGAAGCAGCAGCGGACCAGGGTGGCCAAGTCGTTCGTGTCATCTCTGATAAAGGATGACAGTGGGTTCAAACACAAAGGCGAGGTGGGCAGCGTACCGTGGCTGTTTTCCCATATCAAGTTGACCATGCACGTCCATGTATTCGAGTCGGAGTCGCCACAAGTGGAGCTCAGCGGGACGAGCCGGTGGAGTCAAGATCCCGAGGCCGAGTCGATGGGCACTGGCATGAACAAGTGTTGGCTGTTGGTCAAGTCTATGGATCAAGATTAGTCTTCAATTTTGGGTTTGGGGGTCGTCCCTTGATAAAGCACGCTGTGCCTACTAATGACCGAAAGTGGTATGTTCCTGATAAAGCATTTTGCGCCTCCTTGTAGTCATGAATGGCAGTCTATCTGCGTATCGCACTCGCGCGGGTGACGGGGCATAATACTGGTCATGGCAACATGTTCCGGAGCCTCGCGTCGTCAGCCAACCCCCTCCCCCTCCCCCCCCCCCCCGGGGACATCAAAAGTCGAGCCGGGACGTCGTTATCGGTCGCAAAAAATTGTTACAAATGGGGTAATCATGCCGGTATCGTGGCCCCAGAATGTGCATCACTCCCTTTTAATACCGTAATCTGACTGGGGGTGTGGAGGCCAATGGCATGGCACCGATATCATGTATGGCATGGATTGGAAGAAGCTCGGTATACGGGAATAGACAATAAATCTACGGTCAACCAAGCCGGTTTCCCGACGGACGGCATATTCAAGCTTACCGGCACGTGACCGGAGCCATGTGACAGTCAGGGAGGCGATAGGTCAGGTTGTGAGAAGGTGAAACATGAGTATTGTTATGCGTCTTTGGCATTTTTACTATGTCACGCTGTTTTTTCTTTGGGTAATGCTAATACTACAAGTACTACTACTAGGAGTCTAGGACTACTATTTCGCCTACATATACAGCCATATTTACTGCGAGTACGAGTACGAGTGCAACTGCAATGATTGTACTCGTACGAGTGGTCTATATGTACCCGTAGTTTCATACCAAAAACCTCGCACTACTAACAAGGCACACAAACCCATGACGGTTTTATCGAGCTTAACCCCCACGCAGACTCTCCTTTGGTCCCCCCCCCCCCCCCCCGGGGTGTTTTGGCAATTTCGCCGCGGGTCTAAGCGTACAGTAGTTGGTGCTTGGTTATCCAGTAAAGATGGAGACGACTACGAATAACGACGTGCTATGACGCATGTTACGGAGTCCCCATACTACAGTCACGGAGAATGTTACGGAGTAATGGTACTCGTAACGGAGTTGAAGACATTGGCAACTACTTCTCGTAATGCGGGACTTGTTAGTGCGAAAGTGACCTCGACGACGTAATTGGTAGCCCGCTAAGGGACAATATTTTACGGAGCATCAACATCTGTCTAACGCCTGTCGCAATTAACGCACACTTGCAAAACCGCCCATTCAATTTTTCGGCTCCATACAATGGGAAGAAGCAAAAAAACGAGGCGTCATCTGTGGCTTGGGGCTTCTTCAGTCTTGACTCCTTAACTCTTGGAGAAGGGGGCGGTCGGGACGTATTGTGGCGTCAGCAGGTATGACAAATACAACCCGTTTAAAGGAAAAGATATAAAAAAAGGGGGGAGTCAATCAGGGTCGTACCAGAGCTATCAGTCGAACAATAGCATAGTAATAGATAACAAGTGACCGGGGTGGTTGGAAGAAGTAAGTAATACTCATACATTTTAGAGCGTACGGAGGACTCGTACAGCTATTGAAACGTCAAACGTGCTTATGCGGAACCCGAAGAGAGTACGTAGTATGGCTTCTAGAAGGAATCGAAAAGATTCTGCAGAAACCGTCCACCTTCACGCATCATCGCATAGTCACGGCTCACGGAGCAATAATAACATTAGACCTGAGCGCGGAAGCTGCAAGTCTAACCACTACTGCAAGAGGATTAATGGTTCCCGTTTCCAATCGGCAAGGCCGCCGGGTGGACATTGTACAGCGACGTATTCCGCATTATGGCTTGACTGCACTGGCCCAATGACGGAGACTCGGAGTGTGAACTCTCATTCTACCTGGTTACGCATAGTCCCTGCCCGTAAACTCACTAACTCTCATACTCATAGTATTAATACGCCTTTTAGAGATTTACGTGTGCAAGTAAGAGGAGCCATCATCCATGGACTATGGACAAGGGCCACCACTGCGACAAATCAGAGTCATCTTTTGAAGCCTACCGCGTTAACCTAAGAGCCCACTAAAGCACTGCAATTCTAGGCTCATGAGTGGCCAGAATGGTATCAGGAAGCAGAAACCACTAAGGAAAAAAGGAATTAAAATAATCTCTATTTTTTTTAAAAAAAAAAAAATCTCAATCAGTCCGTTTTTAATCCTGATAGTGATTGGTAGAGTAGAATGTACCTCATCGCATGTACATTTTTGGCGCCTTTTTTTCCTCTCCCACTTAACTCGTGCTAGCGATTTTTTAATAGCATCCTTCCTGTCCCCTCTCCGCTCCTGCCTCTCTTTTACTTTTTCTTTCTTTCCTTATCCAACTGTGCTGGTTTTCCTCCTTCGATCCCTCGTCATTACTTTCACCTCTTCTGACTGTGTCGCCGTTGTCCGTTCATTGCCGGTGTCTGTCCGTCCCGTGTGTGACCGTTTTCACTCTGCTTATTCGGCCCGTCGGCCTATGCCACCTTAGCAAAAACACACACCCCTCCCACGAAACAACCGGACGATAAGACCATCTCCAGGCTGCTAGCCATGGCTAGTCAAGACAGCAGTAGCAGCAATCCCGACGTCGTTGGTGGTCTCCCCAAGTCTGGCAAAATGGATACCGTCGACAAGTTTGGTGAGCCTGACCGTCGCGCATCGCGGGCGGATAATGCCAACGATCTTCTCGAGAACCTGGGCTACACTCCCGAGCTGGCGCGAACCCGATCCACCGCTCAGGTCGCCTTCATGTCTTTCGTCCTCGCCGCCATCCCCTATGGTCTCGCCACATCTCTTTACTACCCTCTTGTCGGTGGCGGTCCTGTCGACATCATCTGGGGATGGGTTGGCGTCTCTATGATTATCGTCTGTGTTGCTGTGTCCCTTGGTGAAATTACCAGCATCTATCCCACTGCTGGAGGTATTAATCAACTACCCTTATCCCCCCCCTCCTCTCCCGAGAATGCTCTTGTTACTCTCTTCCGCGCTGTGGCCTTGTTTGTTGATGAGAAATCTTCTGTCTGTTCAATTTAGGCGTGTACTACCAGGCTTTCATGCTGTCGCCGCCTCGTTGGCGTCGCGTCGCTTCTTGGATTTGTGGCTGGCTGTACGTCGTCGGTAATATCACCATTACCCTTGCCGTCAACTTCGGCAGTGCCCTCTTCATTGTGTCATGCGTCAATGTCTATGAGTCGTCGCCTGGTGTCGGCATCTTTGCCGGAAAGCCCTACCAGGTCTACCTCATTTTCCTGGGTATCACCCTACTGTGCAATGCTGTTTCGTCTCTTGGTAACAAGTGGCTTCCCTGGCTCGATGTGAGAATTTGTCCCTAGTTGTTGCTTTATCTTGCCTTTTGTTTTTTTCTCGCCGTTGCAGTCGCTACTGTCGTCTCCGTGACAGATAGCACGTTTGCTGACTCTTCTGAAAGACTGCTTCCATCTACTGGACCTTTGCCGGTATGCTTGCCATCATCGTTTGCATTCTCGTCATGGCCAAGGGCGGCCGTCACGATGCCAAATATGTCTTCACCCATTTCGAGGTCTCGTCTGGCTGGCCCGATGGCTGGTCCTTCTGTGTTGGTCTCCTACACGCTGGATATGCTACCTCGTCCACGGGGATGATTATCTCGTATGTGTGACCTTTTTGTACCCTTTTTGTTTGCTGGTCTCTGCACTTGCCTTGTTGTTTTGAACCCTCTCCTTGCGATAAAGTGCATCCCATTTTCCAGCCCTTTTCTAACACAATTTTTTTCACAGAATGTGTGAGGAAGTCATGGAGCCCTCGATCCAGGTCCCTAAGGCCATGGTCATCACCGTCCTCATAAACACCGTCGCCGGCCTGGTCATGCTCATCCCCCTCGTCTTCGTCCTTCCTGACATTCAGATGCTTGTCAGCCTCGCCTCGGCCCAGCCCGTACCCACCATCATTAGGGACGCCGTTGGCTCCCCCGGTGGTGCCATTGGTCTTCTCATGCCCCTCATAGTCCTTGCCATTATATGCGGTATTGGCTGCACTACGGCTGCCTCCCGCTGCACCTGGGCTTTCGCCCGTGACGGTGCCATCCCCGGCGCCAAGAGGTGGATGGCTATTGACAAGAGGCTCGATATCCCTCTCAACGCCATGATGCTCAGTATGGCCGTCCAGCTTATCCTCGGCCTCATCTACTTTGGCTCCTCGGCCGCCTTCAACGCCTTCTCCGGTGTCGGTGTAATCTGCCTGACAGCTGCGTACGCCACTCCCATTGCCATCAGCCTGGCTACCGGCCGTAAGCAGGTTAAGAATGGACTCTACTACAAAGGAACTCTTGGCCTTGTGTGCAATATCATTGCTCTCGGTTAGTATACCCTGACACGCTCCACAATACCATCAACACCTCAAATGTGCCATGTCCCGCTAACATCTTTCACCCTTCAGCCTGGTCCGCCTTTGCTATTCCTCTGTTCTGCTTCCCCTCCGTGATCCCCGTCCAGGCAACCACCATCAACTATGCACCCGTCGTATTCGTTGCTGCCTGCCTTGTTTCCGGTATTTGGTACTGGGTCTGGGGTTTTGACAACTACGCTGGCCCCCCTACCAATGAGGATGAATAGGTGCGGCGCAGTATATAAAGTGTAGTGTATTAAATATGACTCTGAGAAACGCTGTGTATTGCGTGTGTGTATAACAGTTATGTTTATTCATCAGGTGGTCAATAACGTCCCGCTGGTGTAGTGCAAAACTAGGTACGTAGGGCGGCGATGGCTTACGCAGCTGACATCCATGTCGTAGCATTGCCACTGGCAGATATCGGAGCATGTACAGCAGAAGTTAGCCGCTGACGTGGTATGGACTTGGCAAGCAATTGAAAGGCCCGATGAGGTTGGAGAGCTGCAAATGTGTCGATGTGAGTGTAATAGTTTGGCTGGATGCTCTGCAGCCACGAAATGCAGACCGTAAAATTTTTTATTACTGACGTCATGTATATACTATATATGTGTGTGTGTCTCAGCATCCAAACACCTATTAACATATGGTACCTTGATCAGATTCGATTCCCCGATGGTAGCATGTCGCCGCACATGGATATATGAACGAGGGAACTTCATATCTAAGGATGCGGCTACAATCGTGCCAGTCAGCCTGTATAAATGCTAGCTCTCAGGAGTGTCGCCACTATAATAGCATCACTATGTCGTATTTTAGTATTTGCCATAATTCACCAGCCACTCCCGTTTACCCACTGCCATTTTCTGTCTCAATTTCAGAAACACTGCCTATAGTACATATCAATATTTTATCTAGTATAGTGTAGTATGTGGCATGAAAACCCGTCCGGTATGTGGAATCCTTATTTACTCTTTTTTATGTTGGGAAGGAGTAGAGTTCAGGCATTATCAGTTTCGATTATATATACTCTTCAACATTATTATTATTTGCATATCCTCTAAAATCACAGGAAACCGAAATCCTTGCTTAGGGTAGCCTAGGCGGTATCACAAATCTGGAGACCGTTTGTAGGTTCGTTAAATGAATAAATATGCGTCTGCGGATATTCATCCGATGGCAACTTGTATGACTAAGCGGTCAAAGGCTGCTGCCACACTCATGTCTGTATATAACCTCAGATAGATTTCCTTCCTTTCCGTTCAATCAAGCAATCAGACACACACTCATCGATCCAGGACGTATCAGTAGGAATAGGCCACTGTACTCACGTATATGGGTCATCATGTGCTGTCGCAAGCAGGAAGCACAATCCGATGGCTTCAGGGTAGCACTTGTTCTCACAGCCTCACTTCAGAAATAATCAAAGTCAACGTAAGGCCTCTCCAAGTCGACTATCGCGAAAGAGCAGAAGGTGAGATGATGGACAAATACGACGATGTATCTTGACTGTCTGTGTGATAACGGATGCGTTCCTACAGCAGCCCTCACCCCTGCAGACAAGGTGCGAGCGTAGATCAGACGACAGCTAGAGTAGGGGGATGAAGTTTTCACCAATACGCGACCAGGCTGTTGATGGAGTTTACGATAATTTACGATGGGCCGCGATGATGGCGATGATGATGTATGGTACATACATATGGAGTTATATCCACGTATGTGCGCGAGTGGAGACTGTCTCTGCATCAGCGCTAGAACTCCACGATCGCACACTCAAAAGCTCGATGGCGACAAGGACGTAGATCGCACATCAAAGGGCGGCTATGGCTCAAAGGGGAGTTGCTCTTCATGCTTCCATTAAGAAGAATTTTCATATAGTAGATGTATAAATATCATATACATACACCTTGCGGGATTAACATGGCCCAAAATCTGATCGGCGCTGCTTCGAAGTGGGCGGTCGGTGGATATTGTCTCACGAGAAAATCGAAAGTGTCATCAGCATACTTGCCCACTTGCTACTCGGCCCTATACAACCACTCGTAGCTTACTCGAGTCTCGCTGAGTCGTGGTAGCCGCGGGAAAAAAAAAAGTCAACATCTTATCCTTAGCTGGACTAGCAACGAGACCACGCACGGGGGATCGATGGGTTGGGGCGGTTGCAAGGGAGTAAATCTCCGCCTACTACTAGTACCTCTTTTTTACTCCGTACTCCGTGATACTGGCTTTTGATTTTTTTTCGCCTTTGTAGTCTGGCCCCTTCTCCTCTGGCCCTTTCTCCACGGTGTTGAAAAGAAGTAAACGCCTCCCGCTGAGACCGCGTCGAACGATATCCGTCCCGCGTCGTGGCCGGTCTTCCCCATGTTCGACACGAGAGCCAAAAAGCCACCTCGTCGGCAGTAGATATCCTTCTTTTTTATATTAATTTTCTTTTACCTTTAAACCTTGACCCCGCCTCCGCACCAACAGGGAAAAAGCTTGAATGCGTCCCCTCTCCCCACGGGTCATAGGCATTGTCTTTGAATGAAGGAGGGATGCTGCACGAGTACGGAGACGTGCCGTTGTTGCAGACGCGCATTATGTGCGTCTTACATGTAGGAGCAGATAGGTCATCTTATCGTGCAAGGAAGGTATTGTGGAGCACATGACTGCTTATGAGGTGCCGGCAAGTTTTAGGGGGGTGAGAGGTGAGGGTGAGAAGGTAAGAAAGCAAGCTGTACCAAGGCATGGCGCGGGGTTGCTTTCACAGTCATGGAAGATTCGAATGTTGAGAATCTGCATTCATTCGAATGGGTGGTTGAGAAACTGTCTGTGTATTGGGTTGGACAAGTGTTATTGTAGACCGTAGTAGAGTAAAATTTTTCATTCTGCCGTCGCTCTGTCTTCGTATTGTGTAGCAGAGTACGGAGTAATATTATGTCAATGTTCTAGGCTTGTCCACTAACATTTAGCTAACCGCAGTAAGTAGCATAAGTAGCAACACGAGAAACCTGAAGACGTATTTCGGCTACCGCCAGCAATTGAATGGAGCATCTAGGGTGCACCCCAGGCTTATCGCATCAGTGATACGGAGAAGTACGGAGTATAAAAAAAAATGGCGTGGTGTGATGGCCTGATGGTTGTGTGTCAATGTAGAAACAAGGCTTGTTAACACTAGAGCTAGACAGTACCAAGCCTCGGAACAAGCTTGTCAGTGCCGCAAAGAGGGGTTGAAGATGGTGCTTTTTTTGTTTGCGGGGGGGAATTGATGTTACGCTATGTATGCTGTATGTATGGCTCCCGATGATGTCCGGCAGGAGCTCGTCGTCGTGTACCCTGTACGCTGTATGGAGACCATGGCCATGAAGGTGGTAATCCTTAATAAGAGCTATGCATCTCGCTACTTCGAGCCGTCGCCGTGATATGTGCTATTACTCTGTATTACGTACGACTTTCTGTGATATTGTCTCGACACTGGTAGCTTACAGCTTACTTATATTATTAGCTACTGATACCGTATTATCGAAACTTGATACGAGGACGGAGATAATATATTATATGTAAAAGGAAGAAAGCGTTGACCAAAAGGTACGCATTTTTTTTTTCGCCACATCCTTGTCCTGCCCAGGATGCTAATCTCAGCCTCTCTGCATACTACTTTGTACAGATTACATGTACAGGTATTACTCCGTAGACTGAGTATTATTAGGACTCTAGCACGCAAAGGTCAAGCAGGAGGGGCCGAGAGACCCGGTTAAGCGACAATATTGCAGCATGGGTCCCTAAGCTGCCTTGGCTTGGCGTTGGTCAGGGGGTGACACGGGTTGAGGACTCGATGGAGAGTTAACGGTCGCATCTGCTCGTAGTAATTCATACAATGTACGGACTACGGAGCTTGATTATTACTGTGACTGTGGCACTGAGCATCAAGGTGATTTGTTGCACAGAAGAGGTGCTCCTAACCGTGGCCACGTGCAATGAGCCAGACCACTTGCTGCTGCGTGTCCACTTCCGCACCCGTACGCAGCAATGGTGTAATAACGAAATTGTCCGTGTACATGCGTGCTATGTACATTGAGGAAACGGTTAATTCATTGGTAGCAAGCCACGGTGATGCGCCCGTTGGTGGTTGGTGGTGGTGGCGGTTCACACCATCCATCCATCCACTACACCTGCACCTGTCGCTCTCGCCTCGCCTCGCCTCGCCTCGCCGATATCGCTCCATCAACGGCTCTCTGTCACCCTCTCTCACTGGGTGGGCGGTTGTGCGTGCGTGCGTGTGTCTGTCTCAAATATGGTTTGCCACGAATGAAACGATTCTAAGGGTATGTACGAGCCTTTGTTCGTATTATCGGGGGACCAACATGTAGAGTCGTCCAAATGTCACATTTCCATCTTGTTGAATGGGTAATTGATAGGGAGAAATAATTGGTAGCACTCGCAGTATTTGACGGGGCGCTGCAGGCATAAAGTCAAAAAGCTGACGCGAACAGTTAATACGTACCCTGAGTGGCGGCGGGGTATTTAGCTGATTGTTTCCTTGTCACGTTATTCTTGTTGGTTGAGCTGTGATGGCTTTGCTCTTCCTTTACTCAAAGCTATCTCTCATGATTGGAATTTGAAAGACCTTGGATAAGCATGCAACCGCTAAACGCGCAAGCGGCAGAAATGGATGCAGTTGACAATTCTTCACTCCCTTGGGAAAGCTACGGAGTACAGTCTCCATGATGGTACGATAGTTGCAACTCGTAAGACGACGGTGCCCAGTAGGGTCCGATCTCTAGCATAGGTGGTGTGGGGCTACAGCCAAGTTCCAAGGACGTGCAGCAGTTAGCGTGTTGAGCCGCCAGTTCTCAGGTCTTCACTTCCCACCCACTTGATAATACTCCGTACTCCGTACTCGTACTCTGTCTCCATCATCTGTATAACTCCGGGGGAGGAGTCGTGTCTGGGGAGTACACCGTAGTCTGTTGAGTACTCTGTACGAAGGGGTATCTGATCTGTACGTTATACTAGTAGTCTAGGGAATATGAGTTGACTTCTTTCCCTCCTCCATTCGTTTTCAGAACGGCCGTTCCCCCACTGCGGCGTTAGTCTCCGGACTTGCCACAAGCCACTTGCAAACGTCATTTGTTGAGCCGCCGTCCCCAAAGTTTCCAACGCCAAGGATATCATACAAGGACAGCTCCTTTCTTCCCCTTCTCAAGGGCATTTGCGGCGAATACCGAATCAGGATAGCGGCCGTGAGTGCACAAGTAGGAAGCTCTCTCCCTCCCCGCCCAAGCACCTCAAACCTGGAAGTACGACGTAGGATGCCCTCCCATGCTGCAGTACGGGGCAGCAGCGTTGTAGCACAGAGGCGGCCCACAGATGGGGGAGGGGCAAGGAAAAAAGGGAAGTAGTTAAAAAAAGACGAAGAAATACGCAGAGCGCATCCAATCCCTGTCGGCTAGCGACGCCGCAGTACTTGTACTCCTAGTCAAGCGTTTTGTCGCGTGTGGTGTGCTGCATTGGTGAGGGAACTAAGGCAGCCCGTTATCGACCAACCTTTTTTGTCAATGCTTTGCCTTTTTTTTCCGCGATAATAACTAGCACATAATAATACTACGAAATAATAATACTATCGCACATACGCGAGCGCTCGTAGCGGTGCCACCCACCCACATTCTTGCCCTTCCTCATCCTCCCGCTACACCAAATCCCCTCCCACTCCTCACCCTGACTATTCACCGCCACGTCCAAGGGAGAATGTGGAGGGGATGTTCACGCGAGTGAGGGGACTATAGAAGAAGGGGCGAAGAAAAACAGCGATGGAGAGACACTCAATTCCATTGGCGCTGACCATGGCAACCATGTCCTTGATAAGATTCTTCAGTGGTTGCGTCGCCTTAAGGTGCGTTCCAACTTCTCCGTAGCCAAGCCACCCCACCCCACGGGCTCTGCTCCTGAGTGGACAAGGGGGTTGCGCTAGACCCATGGATGGTTTGCACCATGGCTCATGGGTCCCCTCCATGGCTCCGAAAGCACCCCAGTCTGAATCCACCCCGGGACAAGAGTAAGGTGTTCCACTTTTCCCTTGCTCTCTCTCTCGCTTGCATCGTCCGATCTGGCCGCCGTTCTATATCCTCTCCAAGGAGTACTCTTTTTTTGTGTGTTTGGGTGTGTCTGAATGTCACCCGTCCATAGTCGTTGAGACTGCAGGCCAAGCCCACCGGTAATCCGTAATACCGAGTACTCCGTCCAAATGCCTTGTACTACTAATGTGAACTGTTAGAAATTCGTACTAAACCATTATCAAGTATCTTCTAAAATTACTACTAGTCTTCGTACTTGCTTGTACCGTAACCCTATCACCCCATCCCGCCGCTTGCTTAGTCCATCAATCTACTCAAAACCACCCTCGTCCCTTCCCTTGCTCTTGCCTTCCTTATTTCTCCTCTTCTTCTCTCCCCTAAGGCTTCCTTGCACAGGGCCGGAAGACTGCATTCATCGTCTTTCTGGGATCTGATACTCCTGCATATTTTTTCTTCCTCTCTTTCTTCTCTTTCACTTTTTTCTTCTTCTTACATTCTTATTCTTAATCCTGTCGCCTATCCCGCCCTCCCCGGAAGTTTCGGGACACCCCCCCTTCCCCCGTTTTCGGTGACGTCTTCCGTATCTCCCGCAATCAAGAGAGATAAAAGCAAGGGGAAAATTAAACACCCCACCGACGAGCCTCCCCAACGGGACCAACCTCGTCCTCTCCTTCAACAACCCGCACGCTCACAATTGAGAGCGCCGGGCTTAACTTATTGCCACATGAACCTACTGGTTGCTGAAATATCGCCCGGGATTCTGTGCCAGTCTGGGCCTGGATCACTGTTCATTGCGCCGTCGTCCAGTACGTACTCGATCGAATCCACGACAGACAAAAAAATCATCACTCCTTTATCCCCCCTTGCTCATAGCGCACCAAACCACGAAGCCATTTGGCCTCCTACAATCAGCTGACTCACCACTCCCCCCCAATTTAGACAGTCGACTACGAGATACACTCACAGCCATTGGGATGCCGTACACGCCGCCCTCGCAGCGCTCTCCGGCCTTGTCCCCCTGCTCTTCGCCCAATGCGGGCCGTGGACCTTTACCCGCACGTCGGGCCTCTCTCCCGCGATCTAGCTCTTATGCGAGGAATCACCAGCGAAAGTCATCTGTTACCGATGCCTCATCTGGAACACTGACGCCTCGGGGCACCTCGGAAGACCTCCCTAGCCTGGCCTCTTCCGCCGTCGCTGTCGCCGCCCAACAACAGCAGCAACGGCCGTCGGCTCTTATGCCCTGGACCGACGACCTCATCATGCCACACGGGGCCGTGATCTCTCCCCCCGATTCTGCCTCGTCAAGTAGCGACGACGAGGCAACGCTTCCGCATATCCGTGGGCGCCAGTCCGCCAAGGCCAAAGGCCTCAAGACTGCCGTGACCCATCTCCCGCATGCTAAACCTCCTCCTTCCTATCCTCATCCACAGCAGCAGAGGCAACAGAGCCATGCCACCGCCTCACGGGACGCATCCAAGTCACAGAGCAATGAGGGTGATACGCGCAAGAATATGCACCTCAGCCTCAGCCTGGCTGCTCTCGATGACACCGCCAGTCGCCACCGCCCACGCAAGGTGAGCCACGTACGTTCCGCCACCGAGCCCAACGCCATTGTCACCCAGTCATCCACCGAGAACACGAGTGACGACGAGAATGGCGTCGACATCGACAACCCTGATGAGGCTACTGCTTCCAAGCCCCCTATGGTGCGCAAGAAATCCGGGGAGCTCGTTCGCCCTGCCTTGAGGCCCTCGTCTCGCCGCCGACCCTCTAGCATGCCGGGAACCCCAGTCTCCTCCAAAGCGGTCCACTTTGATTCTCACCTGGAGCACATACGTCATTTTCTGCAGGTAGACCGCCCACTTGCTGTCAGTGCAGGATCCTCGCCCGTCGAGGCATACCAAAATGAGGCCGAGTACCCCTTCCCCGGCGCGTCGCGCTCACCGCCCTTCGAATGGGAGATCTCGACTCCCAACTTTCCTCAGAACGGAACCTCCCGAGCCGCACTCCCAGTCAAGCTGGAGAAACTTTGGCTCTCACCCGATCAAAAGTCCCTGCTAGGCTATGTCGCCGTCGCAAACCTGGCCTTTCAGAAGCACGTCTCGTGCCGTTTCACTCTTGACTCCTGGAAGACCACGTCCGAGGTGACAGCGGAGTACTGTCACGAGATCCGCCCCTGCGAGACTTCCGTCCCCCACGACCGTTTCAGCTTCTCCATCAAGCTGTCCGACACAGCCAATCTCGAATCCAAGACTCTCTACCTCTGCGTTCGCTACTCAGTCAACTCCCAAGAGTTTTGGGACAACAATGCTGCTGCCAACTTCCAGGTAGACTTTCGTAAGAAGCATCTGCCCCAGAATGGCAAGAACAACTTCAACGGCACGGCTGGACGCTCCTTGCGCAACAGCCCCCTACCCCGGAGCAACCACCGATCTAGCGCTAGCTGTGGTGACAGCAGCACCGTCGTTAGGTCGTCGCCTTCTGTGGAACCCCAGCAGGTGCATGACCATTCCAGGGAGACAGAATACGGTCACTCGCTCCGACACTATCTCGGCGATAGTGACAACGGCCCTGGCCTGCGCCTCCGTTCAAAGTCGTCACAGGATATTGCCGGCGATCGTCTAGACATGGGGCTGTCATCTCCCCGAGGCGTGGCCTTTTCCAATCGTTACGACTTCGGGGCCTCCCTCAGCGCTGCCGTCCAGGCCGCGAGGGACACCATGAGCAGGGACAAGGATACGTTGTACTTGCAGGACAATATTAGGCCATCATCCACCGTCAATAACGACAAAAACAAGAAGCCTGTTCTAGTCATTGATGCCGCTTCCTCCCCTTCATCTGGTGGTGCTAGAACGACCACGTCAACTTTGCCAAGCACCTCATACGAAGAACTCGTCAACAAATACTGCTTCGTGAGTTACCCTTTTGTCCCTACACCGGCTTCACGCCTCGTTCATGAAAATCGCTGACACTTGAAATTAAAAATAAGTTCGGTACCAAATCAACACCTATCCACCAGGCCCTGCCCGCAACACGAGCGAAGCCTGACCGGAATAGTCCCACCCAAGATGGCAAGGCCTTGAGCGTGGAGCATCACGGGCCTGAGCCGGCAGCCACTGCCTGCACCACGAATACTACGCCCACTGGTTTTGGCGTCTCTGATGCTCCATTCGGGCCTCAAATTCCCGAGCGCTTCTCTTGGCGAGGAGACACACACAGCACTCCAACCATACGGGGTTGAATGCTGCCGCAAGAACACAGGCAGCGTACCGAGAAGTCTTGCTGACAGCGACGTTTACCAGCAAGAGCGCCTTTCAGTTAATGTATTCAGTAGTTTGCTTTTCTCCACTTTCTTGCCGGTTTCCCTCTTATCTGAGTCACTGCCTTTCATTTTTCATTTTCATTTTTCATTTTTTTTTCATTGTCATTCTTTGCATGCAAGGCGTTTTACGGGGAAGTTGCTCACAGGGAAGCAGATCTTTCAGGAGTTTGGCATTGCTTTTTTACCCTCATCTCTTTTTCTTTGGACATTTTGCTCGGGCCCAATGGCTAACGGGCAAATGAATATGGCCCTGGAATGAGGAAAACCTGGAACAGCGAACAAGGACTAAGCAACAAAAGGACAGAATTCAATGATTTGGGCATACGGCGCAACCGGATAAAAAAGGATAGCCCTGGCAGTACACGGGTCATGCGGCACGGCCGACTTGATAGTACGTTTTGATACGTAATGTTTTGCTTTGAACTTTTTTTTTCAAATTTTTTTTTTTCAGACAGTATATACATTTGCTACTCGTTGACACTACTCCTCTCATCCTAATGTCAATGAAAAAAAAAACAATAAAGAAAAGAAGAGAAATTTTGCTCTCAATGAAGCGGCTGAAAAGGTGAAGCTAAATGATGTATCTGTGCCATCTTCTCAAACTTGATAATGTGATTCTATTCACAAGTGAAGGGACCATTCGACATGAATCATAGACGGGAGCTAGCGACTTAACAGTACTTGACGTTTACCAGGCTGCGTTGAATAGGAATTGGTGTAGCGTGTCGTAGTGCACTGCACCGATAGCCGGAAGAAATGATGGCTAGCACGCCAAAACAGGGCATCTGGCACACACGATGATTGTCGTTGTTGAGTACGGAGTATTACAGCAGAGTAGGTGAGGATTTATGGTGGTATGTGTATGGAGCAATGCAAGGTGCATTTGCGACGGACGGTTAGGATATGTGGGCCTCTGATTTCCCCGCATTCGGCCAACCCCCTCCCAAATATTCTCATGCATCATCCCGGTAATCCTTCTCCTTGAAGCTCCACGTCTTCGTTTCGTTTCTTTGCTTCGTGCACTGCCCTGCGCGCCGTATGTGGAGCCTCGAAGGTTCATGCGACGGCCGTATCCGTTCATGGAAGTGCGATGATTCATCAGTGAAGTGCGTGACCGGACAAAGTGGACATTTCAGACCCTGAGGGACTAGGTAGCTGTGCTGATGGGGAGACTTGGCCAGAAGACGCACCATGTTGTCGTGCTTGAGGCAAAAGTGGCGTCTCTAGAGGGCCAGAACACATAGCTCCAAGCGCAAAAAGCGGCACTGTAGGTCATAATAATGGGCAGGGATGACCACCATAAACATTCTTCTGCATATGCAGCATCAACAAGCCAGAGTCCCGTGAGCACTTGCAGTAACCTGCCACCATGGGAGATGCGGCCGATCAACTCCAAGCCTGGTTGTCTTGCCAATCAGATCCTGCAAGAGTTCGTCGATGCCTGGAGGACTGGCGAGGTGGCAGTGTTCCGCTGGCTAAAACCCCAGGATCTTTTACCCGCAAACCCCGTGTACAGAGCTTGTTGCATGATGCGTGGCGTTCATCTGATTCTGTCCCTTATTTTCTTCTACCAGAGCAATTCTCATCGTTACTTTCTGAACCGACATTGATTGTCGAACACCTCTAGTGGATGGTCCTATTCGATATAAAGTCCTGAGATGTGATGCCTTAATGGCTCCGTCCCATCCCATGCCAACTTTCCGCTCGGCACTATGCCTCGATAAATCGTATTTCGTGGTTGAGTCTTATGTGTAGCTCCTTCTTACGGTTTGCATTGTTTTCTTCCTTTTTCTACTTGATTCCTCATCTTTTTTTTTTGGGCTCTGTTGTAGAATATGAAGTAAAGCGACAGGCCCCCCCCAGCTAGGGAATATCTTATTGCCCATCCCGAAATAACCCTCGATGACTTTGCTATGCTCTACGGCCTTATGAAGCCTCAGCAGTCCTTCTAACGGTACCCCCCACCGGTAAGTTACTCGATATTGTTAGCAACCCAGTCTATGAGGAGCATGTTTGCCGCATCCACGACTGGACCGTTGGTGACGCTTTCTAGAAGCGTCTGCTTGAGTTATCACGCTTGATTGACCTAGATTCTACAATATGAGGTAGTAAATTTCATCTTCTTGCCCATCCGGGGTGCCGTGGACGTAGAGTTAAACAAACTCAATAGTATTAGCACCTTGGAATCACGAGTACATATGGAAAGGCTAAGTGCTTTTTCCTGTGCTCACGTTACCGGGTTGTGTAGAATACTTTGATGAATTCCACTTGTTTATGTAAATCCCCTGTTTTATGTAATATGGCGAGTAGTAGGATAATTATGACCTACCTACGGTTATAAAACGAACTCTCCTTAAACCTGAGCGGGATCTTTTAGCCTAATTGAGAAGATAAGCCATAATAGTTGGATAATTATCCTGATCATTAGCCGGGTCTCGACGGAAATAGGTTTCTCTTTTAGCCTAATTGAGAAGATAAGCCATAGTAGCTGAATAATTATCCTGATCATAGCCGGGGCTCGACGGAAATAGGTTTCCGTGAGACATATATATTTATAAATATTTGACTGAGCCCAAGTTCATACAAGGATAAAGGAAGTGTGTCTTATTTAAGATGATGTCTGCACAATTCAAAAACAAGGTCATTGCTGTTACGGGCGGTGGCCGAGGCATTGGCTTCGCAACAGCCCGGCTGCTCGCATCACGGGGGGCATCTTTGTCAATCGTAGATATCCAACGGGACATACTGGTAGAAGCGGAGCGGTCAATCTCAACTGAGTTTCCATCGACGAATGTCGAGACCTATTGCTTAGATGTCCGGGACCCGAACCAGGTATCGGCGTGGATCAACCAGACCGTTTCGCATTTTGGCCGACTCGACGGTGCGGCAAACATTGCAGGCATAGTACCACTGAGTATAGGTAGCGACGCAGGGCTGGTCGAGAACATTGACCTTGAGGAGTGGAAACGCACTATCGACGTCAACTTGACTGGCATCATGCTCTGCATGAAGTATCAACTGGCCACCATGCAGGAGGGATCTAGCGTTGTCAATGCGAGCTCGCTCGCTGGTCTTACCGGAGGCGAGAGGAATGGCATATACGCAGCTAGCAAGCACGGTGTCATAGGCCTCACTCGATCGGCTGCCAAGGAAGTTGGCCAGCGAGGCGTGCGTGTCAACGCCATTTGCCCGTAGGTTCAACGACAGCTGTATATATGTACAAGAGAGCTTTGCTAATAAGCCTAGGGGACCGATTCAAACGACAATGCTTCGTATGGCAGATGAGGCGGCCAAAGCTGCTGGCTTCCATTCAGATTTCGACAAAGCAGCGCTGACCGAGATTGCTTTACGTCGGAAGGGCGAACCTGAAGAGGTCGCTAAGCTAGTGGCTTTTTTGCTCAGCGACGAATCTTCTTACATCACCGGGAATGCTGTCAGTATCGACGGAGGGTGGAATTGCTAGGCGTACTTTGTCATGATCAATTAGTTATGAACTTCATTGACTGGTATTTCCGTGGTCCTAAACGGATGATTGAGTTCGAATACATTGACCGATTCGGTGCCAGCCGTAGTTGGACATGACGTCGAAAGGCCATGGGCGTGATCTGGTAAATTCCGCCATCATAAACTCCGTCTCCTAAAATCTCGAAGTCGTAAGACTTATAACTACGATTATGCATCATACAGAACCTATGTAATTCACCACCTTCTTCATTACAAACAAACCTCAGATTCACCATGTCTACGAGCGCCTTGATCATCCTTGACTTGCAACTTGGTATCCTTGGCATGCTTGGAGATATCTCTTATGAAGACTACCTGAAGAGTGTGGTCAACACAGAGAAAAATGCCAGACAGGCTGGCGTCCAAATTATGCACGTCACCGCTTTCCGCCCGGATTATCGCGATGTGAGCTGCCAAAATAAGTTAATGTCTACTATTGCCGCTATGGTCGGTCCGCTCATTGTGGGCCATGATTCCACCAAATTTTATCGGATAGTAGCTCCGGAAGAGGGCTCGGATGATATTGTTGTCACAAAAAGAATCCCAGCCTTGGTTGGAACTAACCTGGAGCTCATTCTCAAATCAGCTGACACTCACGAGATTGCCCTTGCCCTCGTCGGAGTTGTAACGAGTAGAACAGTTCTTTCGACCCTGAGAAAGGCCATCGATCTGGACTTTGTCGTCATCACCTTGGAGGGGTTATGCCTTGACTTTGATCAAGAAGTGCAAAAAGTTTTGATGGAAATGGCGTTTCCTCCTCTAGCAACAGTCACTCCTACTAGCAAGTGGCTACACTCTTTGCGACAAGGCCATTCAGTGAAAGAGTGAGACTCCGAAAGTGTGACTATCCACGTACTTTTTAAATACAAATCGATTATTGCATATAATGTTCAGAATTATAGGACCTTGCTCAATGTATGATTAACCGACGATATTACCATATAATGCATCCCCAATGGAAATATATCAATATCTTCGAAGAAAAGAGAAAGACAAAGGGAACGTAGATGTAGATGATGACTTGCTTCTTCCCCTGGTGTATATTAGGAGACTTATCGTGAAAACAGCATTTTATCATCCTATTGTAAAATTCACGTGAGGAATCTTGGAACGGCAATTACATGTAATACCGAGGTTAGAGACTGAACAAAGCATAGTATTATCATTAGGATGTGGGTTGGTAAATCTGGGGAGAGATGTACTATTCCAATACAAGGGATTCGCGTCGGACGTCAGTGGCAGATTCTAGTATCCGCACTCCGTACATGGTGGTCATACTTGTGGATCATGGAAACCTGTTTGGTTTGAGGATATGTATGGTCAAGTTCGAGTCAGAGATGCGAAAGACCCTCAAGGTCGCCTACCACGTCGGAATCTGCTTTGTCAATGTTCCTAAACGATCAAGTCTGGTCCTTGTGAAAAAAACTATGGTATCATGCACAACTGGATCTTGAGGACGTTGCCTGCAGGAGGAACCAATTGGCATCGGCAATGAGCAAGGCCTCACAATCGAACATTTTACTTGTGTTAGGAAAATATCTGGATGACAGGCATGCTAAAACCCTTGCCTACAGAACGACACATGCGTAATTCAACTGCACTCGTGAAGATTCTCTTGATTCATATCCTGACTAGTTGCGCTCCCTCCTACCATTTCACACCAACAGGCCCTTTGCCGCTAGTTATTTGGCCCGTGTAAATCCTAATCTGTATCGGGTTACCATGATTGTTCATATATTATATTAACTATCACATGATCGCCTTCTCACAAGGTCTTTATCAAGATCCAGGACGTGTGTTTCCTTAACTGTATCAGATATTGGGAATTTAAGTAAAAAGCCGTGCTGTTCAAAGTGGACCATACCCTAGTTTCATTCAATGCAAACCGTTTTCCAAATGGCCGCTTATACTTCCACGTCCTCAGTGTCAGTTACCTAATTCGGCTAACGTGCGAGATTTGGAAAATGGCGTTATCTATGTACCCATACTTCTACCAGTACAATCCACCATTCAGGAACGAGGTTTAGCTTATCGAGCCGGCATCCAAATCAACACCCGGACACCTTTGTGCGGGGCACTCCAAACTAACGATATCGGAGTCTAACATCAGCATTCTTATTATTACTGATAACTAAGGCCTTCTCCACGAACCAATACAGGGAGAGAGGCCTACATTCAATAACATATCGCGACAATGGCAGCTTCGGAAAAGCCCAACTCGTCAGCCCGTTGGGCTCTGGGAGCAGGTATTCCCGCGTTAGTGGCGGTCTTTCTCTACTACATGTTTATTGGGCAGGGCGATTCAATCGTGGATCTCCCAGCGGTGACAATCAAGCAGGGGACAATTGTCGGACGCACAGTCAACTACGATACCTTTCCAAAGCCACTCGAGGGATTCATGGGCATTCCTTATGCAGTTCCTCCAGTTGGCCAGCAAAGATTCCTCCCGGCCGCCCCTGTGCCGGCGGGGAACAGCACTCTGAAAGCTTTCTACTTAGGAGCAAGGTTAGAAACAAAGGCTACAGCACGTTTTGTCGTATGTACTTACTGGATACAAGGTGCCCCGGGGAGCAATTGGTTCCGTTCCTCAAGGATGATGTTCTGGGCCCCGATTACGAGTCCGAGGACTGCCTCACTATCAACATCTGGCGGCCTCAGAACCATACGGCGAGCAACAAAAGGCTTCCAGTCACGGTCATGATTCCCGGAGGAGCCTTCAACCGTGGAGCTGCCCGCATGCACAATACACATACCATGCTAGCCAATTCACCCGAACCTTTTATTGCCGTCAGCATGCAGTACCGTATCGGTGTTTTCGGAGGGCTGAATACCGGACTTACTGAAAAGGAGGGCCTGCTGAACCTGGGCCTGAAGGACATGTACGTCGCTCTTGAGTGGGTGCAGGACAACATTGCGGCATTTGGTGGCAACCCTAACGATGTCACGATAATGGGCCTGAGTGCAGCTGCTCATGGCATCGGCCATCTCATCATGGATATAAACCAACCCAAGAAGCTCTTCCACAAGGCTATTATGGATAGCGGCGCTCACACTGCTCGAGCAGTGCACTTGCCAACGGCTGACCTCCATACACAACATTTCCGGGAATTTTTGGATCTCACTCCTTGCTCAAACTTTACCGACCTTCTTGATACAAATATTCTGACATGTTTGAGGAACTTGCCTAGCGATGTCATAGACTTGGCTGGAAAGGAGGTTTTCCGCCGATCGAATCCGTCAGTGCGTTGGGCCTGGCAGCCTGTCATTGACGGCCAAGTGATCTCACGTCGGCCAATCCACGCATGGAAGTCTGGAAAATGGCAAAAGGTCCCGATACTGACGGGCTCTACCCACAACGAAGGGTCATATTACGTATCTCCCAAAACAAACAAGTCTTCCGAGTTTACGGGATTCTTCAAGACACTGCTCCCCCACCTTTCGGAGAGCGATGTTGCAGAGTTGGAGCGCCTGTATCCGGACCCCGACTTGGACCCAACATCCCCGTACAAGGACACATCAGGGCTGCCGGACGTCGGTTCACAGTTCCGGCGCCTGGAGGCGGCATATGGGCAGTATGCCTACACCTGCCCTGTCCGGCAAACCGTCCATTGGGCAACATTCCACAACAAGTCTGACCCGCCTGTCTTCTTGTACCACTGGGCTGTCAACCAAACGGCTCTCCATGGCGCGAACCATGGAAACCAGATTCGGTATCAAACATATAATCCCGAAGTTCGCTCGATTTCACCTTCTCAAGACGAAATTGCAGGGAACTTCCACGCCTATTGCGTTAGTTTTATACTGTATGGGGATCCCAATAAGATGTCGCAAGGCAAGTTCTCACAGCGGCCCGAATGGCCGCGGTTCCAGAATGGAAAGGGCTTGACGATGCTGTTGGGGGATGGAAACGATGAGCGAGCGGGTGGGAAAGGGACTGGGATCGCTGCGCAAGCGGTTGAGTATAAATGGGGACAGAATGAGTGTAACTTCTGGTGGCGGATCAGTGAGAAGTGGGAAGAGTAAAAATATTCCGTTTTCGAATATAACGGAGAGAGCAACGATTGCAGCTAAAGCACTTTGTCGAACCACCCAATAATACCATAAACACAGTAGTAGCAAGCAGCATCAGAAAATAGACACGTAATTGACATCGGATCCAGAACATCGAGTATCACGATATATCATCTAAAATTATCCCAGACGTGGTAACATGATCGCATATCAATAGCACATAACATTGAACTCAACAGAGCCGCCTCCCCTATGTCGAATGGCAAAACTAATAAGAGTAGCGAAACTTTGGGTTTTCGAAATCCGTCAAGTCCTGCAACACGTATTCGTCATTGGTCGCTTCGCTGGCATCCGCACCCAAAGCAGCAGCCGCCGCATCTCGGATTCGATTTCGACGAATAAGAAGGATACGAAGGGCAATAGCGATGACCACCTGGCCGCAGACGCACCCTACAATCGTCTTGCAACCCGTCTGATACACAGGAGCCTCAGATCCGAGGAAGGGGTGAGGGCCAACAATGTTACCAACGCAATACGCGAGGAAGACAAAGGCGGTTGCCGTGGTGCGCTTTGTATAGCCACCCAGGTTGGCCGCTGGCATTTGAAGGGCCACAATCAAGGCTCCAACAAAGGAAGAGCACTATTATAATAACCATACACATTAGTAAAGACCCCCGAGTGAATAAAAAAGCGGGACATGTGAAAACTCACAGTATAGTACGCCCCCAAGAGCCCCCCGGTGTTTGACCTAGGAAGGTTCCAAAACAGGCACGTGGAGATCAAAGTAGGGAATAGCCACAGAACCATGACTATCGTGCGGAAGTTGGAGATCTTGGAAGCGAGAAAGGGGCCGGTGAACATGTAGATTGCCGTCAATGCACCGTAAGGTATTCCATAGACGGTCGTCATGAGGGCACTTTTCGTGAAACCCTTGACAATGAGCTTGGCGAAGTTTGCAATGCCACCATTGATGACCTCGTTCAACAGGGTGTACCAGAACAGGAGCCAGACCTGAGCGTCGCAAAAGACCTCTTTGATCTGTTCAGTCTTAATACGGTGGCTAAAAACACCGGTCTGATTGCGCGAACTTTGAGCAATGAGCATGGCACGCTGCTCGATGGTGAAGCGCTTGGCGGTCATGATGTTGTCGGGAAGGAAAAAGAACAGGACAACGCCCCAAACGATAGTCAACCCACCACAAAGGACGTAGATTATCCTCCACACGCTCCACCCTGTCGCCTGTCCTACACCGTAGAACAAAATGCCGCCGAACATGCTTCCAAATCCGTTGAAGCAGTAGAACATCCCGGCTCGAGCTGGCGCCTGGTCACGTGTGTACCATTGCGACACAATAAGCATGAATGCAGGTGTAATGACGGACTCAAAGAATCCAAGAAGGAAGCGGCAGACGGCGAGACCGGCAAAGTTGCTACATGCTGCAGTGCAAACGAGGATAGTGCCCCAGCAGACAACAACGCCACTGACAACCTTGGCCGTGGGTAGACGCTGGGCCAAGTAGGATGCAGGCCATTCTGATGCGAGGTAGGCAAAGTAGAAGATGGAGGCCATCCACGAATATTGGTCGCTTGTCATTCCCGTATCGGTAAAGAGGTCAAAGATTGCAGCATAGCTAAGTGCTTGCTTATCGATATATTGAAGAAGATATGTGCCACAGAGTAGGGGCATTAGAGCCCAGTCGACCTTTCGACGTAGCTTTCTCATCGCATCTTCGTCGGATATGAGGCTGTCAAGCTGCGTGTGTGAGATTCCATTATTCTGCAAGAAGATCTCGGCATCATCCAATTGCGCAGAAAATGTTTTCAAATCAATATTTTCTATATCGGCAGACTTCTTCGAAATGGCGGGCTGAAGTCCATGTGCTCCATCTGGAGACTTCGGAGGCTTAACATCCATTTCTTTCGACATGATGTAACTTGTTCGCAGAATCAACGGAACGAATGTGAAGAAAATGGATATAATCTTAGGGGGGAATGCTTAAAATTATCGGGACAGGATCATCTCTCTACCAGGCTAGTCCACCTTGAGGGTTTATACTCGATTGCACCTGTGCGCAAAATGCGTATCTGTAACTGACGATTAATTCTTATCTATGGAACTTGCAAAATCTGGGGGCCGATGCCGACTGGATCCATTATGCGGGGGAGATAGATAGATACGACGTAGGCTGCTGCCATGCCAAGGGAGAATCATCCTATCCGCCACAGGACATATCTCTGCCAGGGGCTCTAAATCGAAACATTCGGAGCTAAAAGAAGGCCCGATGTGGAGGGCGTACATATATCGTTCGATGTGACTGATAATAAACAGTTTAGGATAGTGGAAAGACCCATGTCGTGTTTTGCGAGAGCAGATAAATGGCCAAGAGATAAGGAGCTCAGTACGGCAGCCAAATGTGGTAAAGCTTTGCCGAAGGACGCCCTCTCTAGAAACAATTTTATGGGTAATAACCGAAGCGGTGGCATTTGGTAAAAAAAACAAGTACTAATAGCATGACATAGTATCTTATGCTCGCAGGTACTACTGGGCAGAATGCTTCCTCTGCCTCGAGCACTCGGACCCAACGCTCCTTGGCTCGGTTGAGTGAAATTGGGACGTCGTTATCAAAAAAAAAAAAAACATGGTATAATCTTTCAATCAGGAAAACAAATTCGGCACTGCTCTAGTAGGCGATGGATCCTGACTTCAATGCTCTTCCATCTTGGCCATTTTTAACATTCCTCCCCCTATCCCGAGGCATCTGAAGTTTGGCCCCACGTCCAGGCATCGAGATAACATTTTTCCGTTGCCCAGGATACTACGGTGGCTTCCAGTTGACGTAAAAGGGTGAGTCGACGGTGTCGCAGCTGGCAAAAAGCCTCTCGAATCGTTCGAGCTCTTCTAGCTTCGTGTGTTCCGGGATGGAGCGGTCATTGGTGGGTAGATCAGCCTTGGTACCGTAGCAGTCGGCTGCGTTGATAAAAAAGCGCTTCTCGCGGCGAATATTATCAGGAGCCTTAACCAGCCAGTCGAGAAATCTGAAATGGTAACTGTCTGAATTAGCGGATGCCGCTACTGGAAATTTTGCCTTAACCAGGGGACGTCCGGTCCCGTAGATTTAATTGCGCATGTACATGCGGTCACTCGTGAGCCATTGTCCAAAGGGACTAAAAATGTCCTCGAGGGGCGGCTGCAGCAAGGAACACGGATTAGGTGGCTCGCTTGTACGCAACAGGACCGGATCTAAGAAGTGTTTCGGTGAAATACGCAGCCATGATATTTCTTTCGTGACTCAATAACGTGATATCACAATTTGGATGTTTGTCATCTGCCAATAATCACGTATGTGACTTTGATTTAATATGGGAACGTCATGGTGTTTAACTGTTACCAAGATAGCATTATGTATATCATGTTCCACGAGCATTGATACTCACATCTTATAGACGAGCCCCCACCCCTTCTTTCATTAGAAAGAAGATGAACACATTTATATAGGGCCCTATAAGAACCGTGCACATTTTAGCAACAGCTCACATGAACTCGTTCCCCTCCCCTTGATGGAAGTTTGACCTTGTGATATCATTCTAGATGGCAAACCTGTGTGCTTCTAGTGGGAGACAACACAGGATGACGCCTAGACGCAAATCCAGTGTTCTCTACCTACGTATACGTTCTGAGTCGATATGCGTGTGTCTAGTTGCTTGTCTAAAAGGAAAGAAATATATATCTACGAAGCTACCTGCAGTTGAGTGTGTGGCAGCAGCTGGGGGCTAGTTAGTCATACAGCATGGGTGATACAATTATTAGTGTACGGGGTTAGGCGGGGTAGGCGGAATGCACAATGTGGCAGTTGGATTCCGCGAGTGGAGCTAAGCCGCTTCACCGGCTTGTAACGGCTCGTATGTTTCGTCATCGGTCGCCGCATATTCTAGGTTCAAAGAGGGTACTGTGATTGAGAACGTATAACTATCTTTCATTATTGGAAAGCCATCCTACATTTCCATCAACCAGAAGAAAACGTAAAGACCTACCCACTATGTCCTGGGTTCCTATTGCCGCCGAATCGCCGTTTTCTCTGGCCAACATTCCATTCGGCATCATCTCAACAGACGCAGATTCGACCTGTCGTCCTGCCATAGCTATTGGCGATCACGCACTTGACCTCAAGGCGTTTTCTAATGGCGGGGGTTTCTCACAATCCCCCGAGATCGAGAAACATGCAGCTGTATTTTCTCGATCGACACTCAACGAATTCGCTGCGCTGGGCCGACCATTTCATCGCCTTACGCGGACCTACCTTCTGGATATCCTCCGAAGTGACACGCAGTACCCAGCCCTGCTTAGAGATAACCCTAAGCTCAAGACTGTGGCCATGGTCGCATTTTCAGATCTCAGGAATCATATGCCCATGGCAGTAGGAGACTACACAGATTTCTATGCTTCGACCAATCATGCATACAATGTCGGCGTGCTCTTCCGCGGACCCTCCAATGCTTTGCAGCCAAATTATAAACACCTCCCCGTCGCCTATCATGGAAGAGCAAGCAGCGTTGTCGTCTCAGGGACTTCAATTCGTCGGCCCTGGGGACAAACGTTGCGCGACCCGAAAGCTGAAATTAAGGAGCCTATTCTAGGACCGTGTCAAAAGATGGATATAGAGCTTGAGATGGGCATGTTTCTATGCCGCCCGAACGACTTGGGAAATCCGGTTCACGTGGACAAGGCTGAAGAACATATATTCGGCTATGTACTCATGAATGACTGGAGCGCAAGGGATTTGCAAGCCTGGGAATATGTGCCCCTGGGACCTTTTACATCAAAAAATATGGGGACATCCATAAGTCCCTGGGTGGTTTTAGCGGACGCCGCAATCCCACGGACCCATGGTCTCACTAACGAGAATACTCTTCTACCATACCTCAAAGAATCTAGCAAGGAAACCGTCCTTGATGTGACGCTTGAGGTTGACCTTATTGGTAAGATACCGTGTTGACACCGCAATCATTTCTACTATGCTATACTAATATCTGAAAAATAGCAAAGTCTGGCTCCAGAAAGACAATAGTAAGAACGAATTCAAATAATATCCTTTGGTCGTGGCCACAGATGATTGCACACCATACAATAAGTGGCTGCAATTTACAACCAGGTGATTTGTTCGGTTCCGGAACTATTTCAGGTTTAGAGCCTGGTTCAGAAGGGAGTCTCTTAGAGCAGACTCAAGGTGGCAAGGTCCCGATTAAGTTTGGAAAAGAGGAGCGGATCTTCCTGAATGATGGCGACACGGTTGTTATGCGAGGCTGGGCAGGCAAAGATGGTGCCCGGATTGGCTTTGGGGAGGTGTCAGGAACAATTGAGGCTCCTTTACCCTCGCCTTATTAAGCAAGTTGGTTTTGATGAACTTGTCCATTCATCAAGTACGCTCTCTATATGGCTTTGCTGAATCAAATTGAATATCACAAAACTTGATTATTAGTGACATTTATTTTGACCTCGGGATCATCAGCAGTACCACATCTGTATCTAGTTCTGAGGGCGAGCAGGACGTCGAAACAGTTTAGTTACTACTTCACGTAAGATATTACATCATGTCGTGTACTCGATATAGTGCACCAGAAGCATGGAAAATGTGATGATGATGATAGCTAACTAGCTAGCACTATGTGAAAATGTGTGTGTCTCCGGAGGTGTTGGACTAAACCGCTGCGCCAATAAGCAAAACTTTAGGCCTGATTGCTTGGGTGGCTGTACCAGCCGGATATACGTCTCTCACACAGTCTGACAGCTGGCTGTAACACGTAACAAGTGGCCTGAGGCTACTAACGCATTGCGGAACTTGGTTTTATTTTTCGCTATCCAAATTGAGCGAGGCAAAAAGGCCAAGAGCCGCGTGCCCCGGACGGTGAAGACTTTCCCCCTCCTTCTCAAGGGGTAAGATGAGGGACGATGGCAACGGCAACGGCGATAGCTCGATGGCCGAGACTTGACGTTGAGAGGGGAGGTGATCGTGTAATGACTCACAATTTTTGTCGATTCCTTTCGTCGGGCGATCCTCGAAGATTCCGTTGTTGTGCAGGGAAAGTTGGGGGGAAGGGGGGGGGGGGAAGTGATTGTTGGTTGTTCATAAGTTAGGATTCGATTCGAGTCATGCCAGCCTCCGTGCCGCCTCATTTACCGCTCTCGAAAAGATTGTTACAATGGTGGGAAATAAACCCGACGAGAGCTTCGCCCGTGACATATGGAAGCAGTCCAGGAACTATGCGTCTAGCGAAGGACCACGTCCAGCATCGTCTCCAAACCCATGACATCCGCCGGGGATATCAACGACCCTTATGCCAAGGGCCTCGCCCAGGACGATCATTTACCCCCGCTTCGTCTTCTTGCGCAAGTCCCTCAACCCGTTTTCATAAAACTGGATGTGCCACAATGATTAGTACGATGAAGGGGTCTCCAGGGCACACACATCACGCTAATTCAGTTCCGGCGATATTGAGAATATTAAGTACACGGTAATGTATCGACAATGCCGACAATACATATAAGTCTTTAAAACTTCCACTTCACCAGATATAATATGGAGTACTCTAGACATAATATTAATTCAAGGTCTTCCCCACCCACCACCCCACACTTCCATATTATGGAAGGCATTTTTAGTATTTTCCTCTGTTATCTTCCCTCACAATTGGCGTAAAAAAAAAAAAAGGAACAACCGCGACAGCAACTGAAGCGGTTAAAATGACCGGAAACATTGTGACCTTGCTAAGACTTCCCACCACAGATGTACAGCTTCGTGAAGAGGTTTGTGAATGGTTCACCCCTATTCTCAGGCATCATGGGAAATGCTGACGAGCAATCAGCTCCTCGAGAGAATCGACGATATTGTCGATAACGTTATCGATTTGGAGCCGGGGACGAAAAAGTACGCTGCCTTCGTTCCACGAGAAGACGACGGGAAGACAGTATGGCTAATCGAAGAGTAAGATCTATGCATTCACACACAATTCCTCCGTTTGTCTAACTAGCTGGCAGGTATGTGAACCAGGCAGCGTATGAAGCCCATGCAAACTCAGATCCTGCTCAGAGGCTCCAAGCATGGCTACGTTCTGTGCCCATATTCTCCGAAGCCAACCCTCCCGTTGTTCTCACTTTACAATATCTCGGCGGAGATTTCTTCTTTTCTCGTCCCGAGCTTAAACAGCATCCCGACCCGCATGTAATCTTTGCCGAGCTTGACTACGTTCCAGGAGGCGTGGATAAAGCCGCGCCGTACTGGAAAGAAGTAGTGGCGACTGGCCGTGAGAACGAGCCTGGTACGTTGCTATATGGCGTCATGCGCGATATGGAGCAGGAGGAGAAGTTGGCAACTTTTGGGGCCTACGAGAGCCCTGAATATTTCAAGGATATACATATGCCTAACGATGCTATCAGCGCCAACATGAGTGACACTAAGTCTCCACGTACTGGGTTGAAACATTATCTTTTGAGGAAGGTCGTGGGGTTTCTATATAAAGATGAGTGATTGACTACTGATATAAATCGAACAAGATGCGCTATCCAGTGTTGTAAGGGCCAATTCCAGATACTAGTGAGCTAAAACGCATCGAGTATGTCGGGAAGATCATACCCATACAGGAATGGGGCTACGACCTTGTATGTACCCAGTGTTATCTCGGTCGTACGAGAGTTTCCAAATGCCTCCGTGCTGGCGCCGACATTGTCCTCTGCGGGCGTTGCCAGTGTTGCCGTTGCTGTTGGCGCCACCGTGTGGTGGTGAAGTTGGGATCGGGAAATTCATGCGCAAGAGTTAGCTGGTACCCTAATTGTTGGCCACGTCATCGAGTGTTCGACATACGCTACAGGAGGTTACAACTCGGCTTTCAAAAAGATTGAGTGACCACGACTTAGGCATGGACTATTCTAATGCCTTTATCGAAACCAACTGCGAACGCATATTTGCCATGGAGCAGGGCCGTGATGGGCTGTTTAGCCTCTGGACCATTGCCAGCCAGCTTCTGTGTGAGATTCAAGGCCTGCTTTACTATAACCCGGATGTAACAGCATGCATCGACAACGTCAAACTCGAACGGATAGGCGACAATGCCGTTTTCATGGGCAAGAGGCATTTGGATGAGTTCTCTTGCCTCAAATTTACAGTATCTGGTGCTCCCGGGAACACAGTCTCAAGATGAGGCGACGGTGGAAAGGATGGCCCATTTGCCCGTTAGGTCTGTCAAGAAGATGGACGCACCGGCCAACACCCAAGAGTTCCCTCGCGAGCAGCCGTCGACCCCTGAGTCTTCAAATTCCGTTGAGTTGACTTCGTTTGGTGCTGTGACATACGGTCCTCTCTGCTGTATCGTCATGAGCCGATCGGGTGTCAACCGAACCTAAGTCTTTTTGTCCGCAACGAGGAGTGGGACTGGCTGCTCTTGATAGCAAAACTGCACGAACTATGCATTTTCTGCTGAAGGATTATCTTAGCCGAGACTTGAATTTGAATTTGACTTTGGGATTTGGCAAAATTAAGAATAAGTAGTACATGGGTAGTCAAAAGGGGAGGTTCTTCCTTTTTGGTTGCCTTGTTTATTACACGCGTATCCCATATTCGAACAATCAGCGAGGAATCCATATGCCTCCATTGCCGTAAACCTTGTCTCTCAGTGTTGCAATTTCACTCCTCACGCCAGCCAAGTGCAGCGGGACACGATCAATACGGCCCTGGACAGACCCCACAACAGCGCCTACACGATCCAGGGTTTCATCGTGTCTATTTATGACACGTTCAGCAGACCACATCTCACGCCCAAGGCTGGCCATGATTGATATTACATCTTCATCATGCTGCCGGACGACGTCAACCAGGTCCGCATCCCTCGGCATTGGCGGGTGCAAGTACCCCACCAGGACAGCCTTGACCTTCATATCGTAAAACAAAGCACCGGAGAAGTCGTGCATCAAGTGCACTGCGACACGGTTCTTCATGACGACCTCAGGGGGCGCGTATCGGAGAGGCGCAATTGTCACAATGGCCGGATACCAGTCACCAGAGACACCATCGTTAGGATTATTCGATGGGACGGAAACACAAGCCCAGGCAGCATACACCCCCTTCAATCGCATCTTGATCTCGTCACGTACGCCTCGCAAGTTTGCTGTAGGTAGCCCCAATTCCGTCGTGGATATGCCCGTCCCTTTGGAAACCCTTCCATCAAAGGCAAGAGGAAAAGGATCCTCTGGGCCGCTGTCTGGACCGAGCACGGGTAGCAAAGCTGTATCGTGGAGAATGGGATCGTAGCGTGTAACCTTATGCTTCTTCCAACTCTCCATAACGGCCTGATCAATGCCCGTCGTCTGTAGCGCTGTCATGCCTAGAGAGGCCCCCGTTTTGACTGTCTTATGAGACACAACCTTGGCAGCCTTGCTCTCAAGTATAAGGGAAGCTGGCCCGGTGTAGCGTTTGGCGAATTGCTGAGCGACCGTACTACCAACCTTGACACCCACCTCTAGAGGTATAGTCTTGAGGCTTGCGCCGCGCATCACACTTGCATCTGCGCTCGTACTGGCCACCCTAAAAACGGGACACCCACAGAGCACCTTTTTCCCATCCTTGTCGCTGCACAGAACCAGTCGAAAATATCCGTCCGTCGCAGCAGCGGGGATGCGCACAATCAGCGTCTCACGGGGAACATGCTTCTTTTGCCTCCCACTGGATTTCTTGATGAAGCGGCCCAGATCACGCTGGATCCCTCTTTCCTCGATGTCAGGTAGGTGCTCAGGGCCGGCCTTTGTCTCAGGCGTCACGTCGAGCCAGCTACCCGTTGTGCCCACAAGGGCCTTGAGGTTCATGCCCATGTTGCCAGAGTAGCCTTTTTGCTGGATCCATATTGTGCGCGTTGATGGAAGCTCGGTGTCCGAGAGAATTGTAATGGATACCGATGTCGAGGGGCCGCGGTACCAGACAAGCGCGTGCGAGTGTCGGATTATGGTGTGGTGGCGTGTCGATTCAGCAGGCCGGGTGATGAGCCCACCTGCAAAGTATTGTGCCTCACCCAGAGCTGCGTTCCACCGACTCTGTGGCTTCACCTGGTCGTCCTCTTGTTGAGCGACATTGGGGTAATTCAGTTGGTCTTGAGCGGACAAGGCTGATGAGCTCCTGACACGGCGTAGTCCCCCGTTGTCCACGGCAGCCCCGCTGTGATATGTTGGAGCTGACAAGAGATACGGTGGGGGCGGTACATCGTCAACGACAAAGCCGACTGGCAATCCGCCATCACGGTCAGATATTCCAGTTGATGGTCGCTGGTGAGCCGATCGCAGGTTCGTTGCGGATCGAGCGAAGCGTAATGGCCGGGGCGCATCTATCGTGGCTGAAGGCGGCGTAGTTTTCGACAATGTTGAATCATTGGGATCCAGCATGGGTCGCCCGCTGTAGCTGTCAGCACTTTGAGGTACGGGCCGTCGCCGTGGTGGGTCCATGGTTCTTATGGGTTGGAGCACTGGTTCAAAGTCAGCATAGCCGTGAGTCTGATCCGTGGTGGTCATGTCTGTCAAAGCATCGGGGGCAAATGTCCTGCATGCTCCTGGAGGAGAGGAAGTGAGAACGGGGCCCTCGCGATATGGTAGCAGCGGTTGTTAATATGAGCTTGACCCACGCTTGGATTTGTTGACCGCTGCCGAGGCAAGCTATAACGAAATTACCACAGTGTTGTTTCAGGGATTGGCATACGGCCTCATACTTCTGAGGCTCTCAAAGAATACTCCTTGTTCTGCCCACGCGCTTATCATTAGACAATTATATCATGATTTAGATTCCAGTGTCATTTTTCTATATCGAGCAATACATGAATTGTTCTAATTGCTGAAGATGGCCTCGATTTCACTAGGCTCCTTGATGGCATCCGTCAAATTTTCATAGCCTGTCTCGGTGACCAGGATGTTGTCCTCAATCCTGACGCCGCCAACGTCCCAGAATCTGTCAAGAACTTCCTTGTTGATAAACTTGCTATGCTTCGGATCCTCGAGGTACGGTTTTATGATGAATTCGCAAAAGTAGATCTTCAGATTAATGTCAGCCGCTTTAACTCCCAGATATCACTTTATAATCTGAAAGAGAGATCACTTACTCCTGGTTCCACAGTCACGACGGCACCAGCCTCCAGCTTGTTGCGCAGCCTTAAGTAACGGAACAAAATGTCCTTGTCCGAACTGTTGGGGTTCCCGCCGACATCGTGCGTATCGAGACCGAGGTAGTGGCCCAAGCCGTGAGGGAAGAAGGCAGCGCTGGTGCGCGACTCGAAGATTTCATCCTTGTCTCCCTTCAGAACGCCAAGGGATAAAAGGCCCTCAATGGCAACCTTGTGCGCATGTGTGTGCACGTCATCCCAGAGCACACCCGGCTTGATCTGCTCAATCGCCTCCTGTTGCATCCTGTAGACAATGTCGTAGAGAGCACGGGAGTCTGGGGTGAACTTGCCGTTTAAAGGGAAGGTTCTCGTCTATATGAGCGCAGAAACCAGTAAGCCAGATAAAAGGGAACATTTGGGATGGGATTCAAGGCAGAGCAACATACAATATCAGAGGAATAGTTCTCCCACTCAGCACCCGCGTCAATTAGCAGATTAATCTTGCCATGAAGGGGCGCACTGTTGTTGACATAGTGCAATGTAGCGGCGGCCCGACCGGACGCAAGGATGGGGTGGTAGGCCATCTCTTTGGCGCCATGGGCCACACACTTCTCAAGGAAGGCAGCCTCGAGTTCACTCTCATTTTTAGCCGTCCTGGCTTTCTCAACGACGGCCTTGTGGGCCCAACCCGAGATCTGGTTGGCCTTGCGGATCAGTGCGACCTCGTACTCGTCCTTGACCACGCGACTGCGGTTGATGATCTCCTTGACGGCGGACAGGTTCTTCTTGGAGAAAATGGATAGATCAATATGGTCCGAAACCTGGCCATCGATAGAAAACACTGTCGACCCGGGATTCGCCGTGCTAAAAGACGATAGCGCCTTGTTGATATCGGTGGTAAAGCGGACGTCATCGACATCGTACTTGGCGAGAGCCTCGTCGATGCTAAGCGGGAGACCGGACCAGATGACATCATCGGGATCGATGGGCGGGATGAAAAGGGTCGACTTGGAAGACTGAATGTCGTAAATGAAGAAACAATCGGCTTCATTGCAGCCCGTCAAATAGTGGAAGAACCGGCGTTGCCTGTGGCACAGTGTGTTAGCTTTCATAAATCACACGGTAACGGAGTGCCTAGGCGGTGGAATCCCTGAATGCATACCGGAAAGGAACTGGACTGTCATTGTCTTCCTGCATCTTAGTCATGGTAGACTCAAGGTATATGAAACCATTGACCCCAGGAACTTTTTCGCGCAAGAGCTCGGTAACACGCTTGGCATGGTCCTTGGCTGGATATTTGCCCTTCAGGACTGCCTCGAAGTTTTCGGCGACCATGGTTGTTGGAGGCACTGAAGATGAGAATGGCCGATGACGACTAGCTGTGGATGGTTTGCGTATGGTTTGAAAAGAGCAGTAGGATGTACGAGGAAAGTATGGGGAAACGAGGGCGCCGCTGGTGGTGTTGGTGTTGCTTAAACGTGTTGCGGGACAAGATAAAAGGATTCGTATATTGGCAAAGGGATGACGCAAAATCCCTAAAGATCCCGCCAGGCAGGGACCTACTGATAGAGGAGTTACGCGGCTAGTGATAGCCATCACAGTATTGGTCTGGGTGCGGGGCATAGCAACGCTATTCAGTGATATAAAGAAGGTGCAGGCAGGAACCCCTCAATCGGCTGGAGACGGCATTGTCCTATTGGGATCCATTAAGCCTGTATTATTAGTAATGAGCCGCTGGTCTAACAACCTAGATGTTACGGCCCGTTATGCGACCTTTACGTGCACCCCACAAATTCCTTACTTATCACCACCACCTTCACTTACACACAATATAACCAACTAAGCGATTACCTTAATGTGACGGTTGGTACGACTCTAACATCCTAGATCCGCGCATTTTGATATTAAAATGGTTTTTTTCCTATATAAACTCTCGACCTATATATCTAGATAGGGGGATTAAAATGTGTTACAGCCCGTTATGCGACCTTCACGTGCACCCCACATTTTTCCTTACTCATCACCACACTCACTTACACGCACTTACCTACGATTACCACGAATCACTATAAATCGTCACGACCACTCCAACGATTACCTACGATTATAACGAATCACTAATAATCGGCCTACGACCGATTAGCACTATAATTTAGAATCACCTAGTATATAGTCAACCTCATTTCTATAGCCTAGTCACTCTTCACCTAGCTATTAATATAATAGTCAACGCTTCTTTTAGAACTCTAGTTCCTTCTATAACTAGTACCTACGACTATAACTGCCTTATTGCTTAGTTAGACGCCCTAACGGCCTCGCTAACATAAAACCGATACTTCTCTAACTACCCTATAGCATAGAGTCGTACTAACCGTTACACATTAATAGCTCTTATTTAGACCATTACTATATTAAACACTAAGCAATATCCAACACTATGTCTTCCGCTATACCTACGTCCTCTAATATTAGAAATAATAGTAACAATACCTAAAAGGATCTAGGCGAAACCCTTAAGCTTAGGAGCCCTAGACCTTTTAACGGTACTAGAGGAGAACTCTAGGGATTTATAACGTAACTTAAAACCTATTATAGGTTCTTTCCTAATAAACTTAGGTTTGCCTATAATAAGGTCCTAACATCCTAGATCCGCGCATTTTAATATCAAAATGGTTTTTTTCCTATAYAAACTCTCGACCTATATATCCGGATAGGGGGATCAAAATGGCTATATTAAAATAATCCGCAACTTATAAGAAAAATGCGTAAAAACTTTAAGATATATTAATTA